CAGAAGATAAACCAGTGCAAGGATGCTCAACGACAAGAGGAACTGAGCACAATGTATAAAACACTGGATAAAGAAGTGAAGAAGAGTGCACGCAAAGACAAACGACACTTCTACGACACACTGGCAAGTGAAGCAGAACAGGCTGCAGGTAAGAGAGACCTGACGACATTGTATCAAATAACCAGGTTGCTATCAGGGAAGAGACCAACACAGATGAAACCAATAAAAGATGAAGAAGGAAATTTAATTACAAAAGAAGAGAAACAGAGGAAACGATGGGCCGACCACTTCAAGAAGCTCTTGAATCGACCACCACCTGCACTTCGTCCAGAAATACCACCTGCAGCCGCTGAATTACAAGTGAACATAAATCCCCCAACGAAAATGGAAGTCCTGAACGCCATAAAGCTACTGAAATGCGGGAAAGCAGCAGGACCAGATGGAATACCGCCAGAAGCACTGAGAACAGATGCAGAGACAACAGCGGACATGCTCACACCACTATTGCAGAAGGTGTGGAGGGAAGAGAAGGTACCTGACGATTGGAAGAAGGGTTACCTTGTCAAACTGCCGAAGAAGGGAGACCTCAGTGCTTGCAAGAACTGGCGAGGAATCACTCTCCTATCCACCCCAAGTAAAATATTAAGCCGCATCATCCTGGAGAGGCTTAAAGACGCACTGGATTCAAAACTGCGACCGGAACAGGCAGGCTTCAGGAAGTACAAATCATGTGCTGACCAAATTGCAACGCTTCGTATCATCATAGAACAGAGCGTAGAATGGCAATCAGCTCTATACCTCAACTTCATCGACTTTGAGAAGGCCTTTGACAGCGTCGACCGAGAAGTAATTTGGAAACTGCTTCAATACTACGGAGTACCGCAAACCTTTATCCGCCTCATTCAACAACTATATGAAGATGCCACATGCCAAGTAATCCACAATGGGAAGCTCAGTGATGCCTTTGAAGTGAAGACAGGAGTGAAACAAGGTTGCCTACTATCCCCCATGATATTCCTAATTGTGGTGGACTGGATCATGCAGCAAACAGTAGGCAGCGAGAAGAGGGGGATACACTGGACGACGGAAAAGAACCTAGAAGACTTGGATTTCGCCGATGACTTATGCCTAATGTCACATAAACTTGAAGATCTGCAGGCAAAAACTAACAAGTTGACAGAGGAGGCAGCTAAGACGGGACTTCAGGTGAATATAGAGAAGACAGAAGTGATGAAGATACCGCACCACCACCATCAACAACAACAACAAACTCCAATCACCGTCAACGGTAGAAACTTGAAGGAAGTAACCTCCTTCACTTATCTAGGAAGCACTGTTTCAACTACAGGCGGGACGGACGAGGACGTCAAAGTCAGAATCGGAAAAGCAAGACAGGCATTCATTAGCCTGAAACCAGTGTGGAGATCTTCTGCACTCAGCATGCGGAACAAGATACGGATTTTCAACACCAACGTCAAGTCAGTGCTCTTGTATGGCTCAGAGACTTGGCGCGTCACGAAAGGCATTTCCAATAAACTACAGACATTCATCAACAACTGCTTACGCTCGCTGCTGAAGATCAGATGGCCAGAAAAAATAAGCAACAAGGAACTCTGGGAACGAACCAACCAAGAACCTATCACGCAACAAATATGCAGGAAGAAGTGGAGATGGATTGGGCATACACTGAGAAGGCCGACTGAGGACATCACGCGTCAGGCCCTCGAGTGGAATCCCCATGGGAAGCGACGAGTTGGACGTCCGAGGGTGACATGGAGGAGGTCGTGCGAGGAGGAAATGAGAGCTTCTGGGCTGTCGTGGAACCAGGTTCAAAAGATCTCAGAGAACAGAGGTCACTGGAGGCGTGCTACTGAAGCCCTATGTTCCACTAGGAACCCAAGGGACTAATAATAATAATAATAATTCAACACTACGGAGTAACACAAACTTTCATTAACCTTATTCAACAACAGCTATATGCTTTACATCACTATGCTGCATGCTAGACGCCAAGTGATTCACAGTGGAAATCTCAGTGATGCCTTCGAAGTTTGGGCAGGAGTAAGACAAGTTTGCCGCTTACTATCATCACCAATGATCTTCCTGATTGTGGTCGACTCGACTGGATGATGCAAGAAACTGTGAGGAGTGAGAAGATGGGCATACGCTGTTTGACCGGTGAAAAGACCCTAGAAGAATCGGATTTCGCCGATGATGGTTTGTGTATAATGTCTCATGTTGCACAAACTGGAAAATCTACAGGCGAAAACCAACAAGTTGGCAAAACAGTCAAGGTGAGGCGAGGCAGAGAAGGAAGAAGGGACCTCCTTCAGGTGAACGTAGAAAGAGAAGACAGAGGTGATGATAATACCCAACCAACAACAACGTCAACAATAAACATCAATCACTATGTACAGGAGAAACCTAGAGGAATTAGTCTGTTTCACCTACCTAGGCAGGATCGTTCGAACCACAGGTGACACAGATAAAGACGTCAAAACCAGGATCGGGAAACAAGACAGGCTTTCATTAATCTGAAATCAGTGTGAAGGTCTACTTCACTCAGCACAAAGAACAAGATTCGAATTTTCAACACTAATGTCAATCAAGTCAGTGCTTCTATGTGATGGTTGAAAGACATGGCGCATCATGAAAAACATTTCCAACAAACTACAGACGAACATCATCAACAGCTGTCATCTACGCTCACTCGATTTTGAAGATCAGTTTAAGCGAGAAAGACTAAGCAAGGACGAACTATGAACTGACAATGAACCAACCAACAACCTATCGCTCAATAAATATGCAGAAGAAAGTGGAGATGGATTGGATTGGGCATACACTGAGAAGACCTTTCGGGGACATCACGCACCAGGCCAGTCACTCGAGTGGAACCTAGATGGGAAATGGTGAGTTGGGCATCCGAGGCGAGGGTGACATGAAGGTGATGAGGAAGAAATGAAAGGTTGTGGGCAGTGGTGTAGCCAGATTCAAAAAACTGCAGAGAAAGGAGTGAAATGGAAACGTGCAACTGAAGCCATATGTTCCACTAGGAACCCAAGGGACAAATTGTTTATGATACCACCCAATTATCTTAGGCATAAAATAAGTTTAAGGGGTTTCGAACTCATAACCTAATAACTAGACTTCGAATTGCAGTGGATCGTTTACAGAATTCCTTATCCAATGAAAATACATCTTTATATGTTCATTATATATGAGTTTATTGTACAGTAATAGGTTCTGACCATGAAATATGATCACTTAAAGGGTTAGGAGTTAGTGCTGACTACACGATTTTAATGTTTGTCCTTGTAATATCATAATCATAAAATGAGTGATGTAGAGTTTAATCATAAAGTGTTAATTGATAAAGGCAACTAGATTCATGAAGTTCTGAACTTTCATCTAAATGAAGTAGCCTACAGTGTTAAAGCATCGATTATGATAAATAAATTTTGCATTTTGACGAATTTATGCATTGAAAATTCAACTTGAAGGTTTGTGAAAGTTGACTGACTTCAAGGTGGCATTGATTTCTAATTGATATCAGTCGGAGAAGTATTGAAAATCTGATAGCAGTGAACAACTGGAACTCCTCAGCAGCGTGCACCTTCACTCTGCTAAGCATTGATGCAGATGCAGAATTTGCTTACCATTTAGCCACTTTATTATTATTATTATATTATGTTTTTTGAAATCTTAAAGGGAACATACAGCCTCAGTAGCATGTCGCCACTTCACTCTCCAGTCTTTCGAAACTGCCTCCACGACTGCTCATACGCTGATCTGATCTGATGTTGAGTATCGAGTGAGTGAGGGTAGGCGGCAGTTGTTTATGACGTGTGTGTGTGGAGTTTGTTGGAAATGCTTTTCGTAATGCGCCAATCCTCTCAACCATCAGATGGAAGCAGTGACTTGACTGACATGAGTGTTGAGAATCTGGATCTTGTTCATGCTTCATTCTGAATGAAGTAGATCTCCACACTGATTTCAGATTAATGCATGAATACCTGTCTTGCTGTCTCTCCGATCGTACCTTTGACATCCTCATGTGTGCTTGTGTCGCCTGTAGTTGAGACAATGCTGTCTAGGAAGGTAGGTAGGTGGGTGGGTGTGGGTAGGTGTGGGTAGGTGAAATAGACAACTTCCTTGTAGATTTCTCCCGTTGATGGTGATTGGTGTCTCCTGTTGTTGTTGTTGTTGTTGTTGGTGGTGGTGGTGATGTTGGTTGGTTGAGTATCTTCACCACATCTGTTTTCTGTACACTCACCTGAAGGAAGTCCCATCTTCCCTGCCTCACCTCGACTCACCTCACCTCACCTCTTTTGCCAACTTGTTGGTTTTCACCTGAACACCTTCGAGTTTGTGCAACATTAGACATTGGACATAAATGATCATCGTTGGCAAAATCGAAATCTTCTTGTGGATTCCTTACATTGGTGCAGTCAGCGTATAGCCATCTTCTCACTCCTCACAGTTTTTTGCATCATCTAGTCGAGTCGACCGCAATCAGGAAGATCATTGGTGATGATGGTAAGCGGCAAGCTTGTCTTACTTCTGTCGAAACTTCGAAGGCATTACTAAGCATTCCATTGTGGATCACTTGGTATGTGGCGTCTTCATATAGCTGTTGAATGAGGTTGATAAAGGCTTATGGTAGTAAAAGCGTAGTGTTGAAGCAGTTTCCAAGTTACTTCTTGGTGGATGCTATCCAAGATCTTTTCAAAGGCTATGAATTTCGTCACGTTTTCGAAGTCTAATACTTCAAAGTCTCTCACTTCTATCAATTTGCGATATAATACGATATAGTATCCACTTCATATTCGACCATTCGACACCATTGGTTATGTCCTTTCACTGGAACTTCAAGATATCCATCTAATGAGGAATATTTCATTTTTACAACCTTAGAGTTTTATGAATGTTCATTCTTTTTTTCATTTCAGTAAAAACTGACTGACACTTCTTTTATTTATTATTATTATTATTATTATTAGCTTCGTAATGATACAGTGTTTGAAGTGGAATCAACCTCAGGCATCATTCCAGGTTATAGTCATATTGACATGAATATTATAGCTAATTTAAATGATATTATACTATTTAAGGATCAGTTAGAAATACAAATTGAAAATACTTCAAAATCATTGAAGATTGATTTAATCGCAATTGGTCAAGGTGGTACAATTGTTATACAACCATCTATAGGATCTATATTGAATTTAGGCCATCAATTTAGTGTAAATCCAATGAGAAAACAGTTTAAAGTAATAAATAAAGGTAGACGACAACAACAATTGATTTGGTCAATAGAAGGACAATCTCTACGTAAATCAATTCATTCAGATAATCAAGTAAGTTATGATTAATTCTGAGATAATTCATTTAACTCAGGTTAATAGTGTTATATTCTTTCATTGAAAATTGTACATTAATTAAACAATATTATGATAAAAAAAACTATGTGGATCAGTCAGCCTAACTGGTTGTGGAGAGTAAATCTAGATAGAGTTGTACTATAGTACTTGATATGGCTTGTCAATAAACCTAGTCTAAATAATAAAACCCAAATTTCTCTAGTCAGTGAAACGTAAAATATGAGATATCTGGCCGTTGTATGAAGGTGAAGAATACCAACTTATTGCCAAACTAATTAATTAACTAACTAATTAACTAAATAATTAATCAACTCACTAGGTAATTAACCAACTGACTAACTAAGTAAACAATCAACTATGTTACTAGCTAACTACTCAAGTAATTAACTAGCGAACTAACTAAATAACCAGCTAACTTACTAACGTAATGTTTAATTAACTAACTAACCAACTTACTAACTATCTCGTTAATTATTAACTATCTCACCTACCAACTAAATAAATAAATAAATAACTGACTAATTAAATAACTAACAAAGCAACTAACTAACTTACTAACTAACCGACTGACTAATTAACTGACTAAATGACCAATTAACGAACTAGCCAAGTAACTGGCTAAATAACTAACTGACTAACGAATAAACTAACTAACTAACTACCTGACCAATGCACCAACTAACCATTATACTGACTACCTAACTACCTGACTAACTAATTGACTAATTCACCAACTAAGTAACTAACTAACTAATTATCTAGCTAACTAACTAACTGACTGACTATCTAACTAACTAATTAGGTAACTAACTGTTGACTTGTGAGATAGTAACTTAGATATAATTGACTCACTATGACGGAATGCTAAACTGTAAGAATTTCAAACTATTGAATTACTAGAGATCTTGTTTTGACATTATTCACTTTTTAAGTAGTTTATTTGTTATTCTTGCTGCTATGTTCTACTCGATCACAATTCAATTTCCGATTATATCATCATGCTACGAAACTTCTTGTCCAAACTTATTTTGATTCATATTTACTACACATCAGTCCTTGCTTTGTTTATTCGATATATAACGCACAGCGATCTAATATTATTTACTTTATGACCATGTTTCCAGCATAAATTATCATTGCTAGTAATCATTTCAATGTAATCACACTCCACTTTCAACATCTAATTCAGATAATCCTGTCACCTCATATTGTTTGTTTTGATTGGCAGTAAAATTTTCCACATCTTTGGTATAGGTGTCGTGTCATTCCTATTCCACATGTGTTGGGTGTTGGTTGATTCGATGGACAAAGATTCAACTTCTATCTCTCTCCAACTAAGTGTATTGAACTTAAGTAGAGTGGTTTTATGCCACCCATCTTATGGTGCTGTTGTGTGTTAATGCATTCACCGCTATAGCCGACTTTCCTTCTGTCATTCTATATTTAGCTAAGTTTCTATGTTCCGCTAATCTAACCAACCTTGACCAGCTGATTGGTTTCAACTATTTACTTAACTAAGCAGTCATTACATGGAATTTGATAGATCAGATTATTTTACTGAATTGGTTCTATCGAATCCTGAAGCCACCCGATAAAGTTTATCTGTGAATGAGTTTGTAGGTTTAAATACCACCCTAATTCCAGCCTTGTTGAGAATCCCACGTAAAGTTTCTGATGTTTCTTCTTTATGTGGTAACACAAGAGAAGCTGTGAACTCCTTTCTACTCGTGTTGTCACCATTATTTGTTATTATTTTGTTTCATATGTTTTCATAAAATTTCTTAATAAACTGCGGAGAATAATTATTAACTGTTAGCGCTTATTTCATGTGTTTCAATTCCTTGTTTAGGTTCTTGCTCTGACTAGTCAGTTTTCTAGCTCTATCACTTAAACATTTGACTAATCCTGCCTTAACTGATATTGGATGGGATGATTTAAAGTCTAGATACCTGTTGGAATGTGTTAGTTTTCTGTAGACGGTAGTATCCAATCCACAGTCTGTCCTTCGTTTAATCCTGCAATCCAACATAGGTATTTCTCCTTGTTCATTTTCCACCTTGAATTGGATTGCGTTTAGTATTGAGTTTATATGCATGAGGAAATTGTGGATATGTTCTGATTTCAACAGAGTAAATGTGTGATGCATATATCGCTAGCATATGTTAGGTGCAGGACTAAACGTTTGTAAAGCCATGTTTTGCCATGTGTGCATAAATATATCTGCAACGATTGAGAACATTGGTGATTCAATTGTTACTCCTTCTGTATGTCTAGATATTTTTCTCTGAAGCCCAACTGTACGCCTAATATGATCTTATCAACCAGTAACTTGGTTCTGTAAGTTTTGTATCAGCGTTTAGGTGAACAGCCAGATGAGAGAGTATTAACATCCAATCAGTCATGCAGAGGTATGCATTACTTCCAGTTATCATATCTTATAAAAACATAGAAGAAAAAGCAGGTCACGAAAGAATAATATTGAAATAAGCAAAAGGTGTATAAGAGTAGTGAGTAATTATTGTTTTACAAAATAATCGAAATATCAATAATGCTTAAGTTCGCACACATCTCTACTGTGAAGCCGAAATGATTGACCTTCATATACCACTGTCTTGAGTAAAAGTGTCCTCAACAATGAAATAGAAAGAACATTCCATGAAAAGCTTTCTTCGATAATATGATAGCCTACCTATTACTGTTACAATTACACACAAAGCTTGAATTACAATGTGAAGAGGGTTGGGAATTCATATCACTATTCCAGTACTTGACCAACTGTTTGAATAAGTCAATATATCAGCTTACTACAAAGTCCATGAAATACCTACTGACAAAAACACTGAATTTCACTAATCTTTCATCATGGTTTTAATAGTTTCTTGACAAAACCTTGTAATTGAAGCACAAATTGACACTGATTAAGATCACTGGAGCAATATGTTTTATTCAAAGTTGATAAAAGCCGATTAGCAAATAAATTAGATGAAGAAGAATAACTTGAGCTACAATTTGATGTATCAGAAGTCTTGAGGTAATGTATTTTTTATCTCTAGCTCTCTCATATAGCTTCTAAAATAAAGTTGAACAATGCCTCATAGGAAATTGGTTCTTATTGTGTCAAGGACTGAGTTACTACTAACAAGTAATATATATATATTCAATGAAAATCTTTGAACTTTGCAAAAAAGTTTCGCCAGTAAATTATTTTCATGATAATCTCCCAAGTTGCATTTACTAGGTCAGTTCACTTGATTTAAACATGCGTCTTTATCATATCTCAATGATATTTTCATCACTGCTTGTTGCTTTCATCCTGTAAAATATTCTTGGTAGTTAAAAATCGTGTTATAAATGTTTTACTCTAATTATTTAACCGCCAGTATTGCTTAAACAGATAGCCCTCATAGAACAAAGTCCATTTCACTCCTGTTTTTGTTGGAGGGCCTGTGTTCACTTGTAGTTCTGAGGTTGCTGGTGGAATTTTTGGACGAGTTGTAGGTGGTGGTGATCGATTCAAGGGTTTTCTGAAGTAATCAGCCCATCGTTTCCTTTGTTTCCCCTCTCTGATGGTTATTAGCTTTGCTTCACTATCTTTCAATGGTTTCGTCTACGTTGATGTCTTCCCTCCCAGATAGTAACCTGGTTATTTGATATAATGTTGTCAGGTCTCTCATACCAGCCTGCAGCCTGTTCTTCTTCACTTGCCAATGTGTCGTAGAAGTGTCTTTTGTCTTTGCGTGCACTGTCCTTCACTTCTTTGTCTAGTGTAGTGTTTTATGGTTTGTACTCAGTTCCTCTTTACGTTGTTCAATCAGCCTGAAATAACAACTTACCACTTATTTATGACTCGAAAAGTCATAGAATTTGGGGGTTAGCAGGGATACAGAGCTTTTTCAAGTTGCTATTTATCATGGACTGACATCAGATGGGAGAATATTACAAACTTGGGACAACTGGATAGCTGTTTCGTCTTCGTACGGGACTCTTCAGCAGTGCCCACCCATGACCTCACCACTCCGAAGATCGAATCCAGGACCTTCAGGTTACGTGGTGTGGTTATAAGCAGGCACTGTTGAAGGGTCCCATACTAGGAGGAAACCACTGTCCAGTGCTCTCAGGTTTCTCGTGTTCCTCCAACTGATGTTAGTTAGTTCATGGTGAATATCATCTTGGTAAAAGAATCGTAGTATTTGAACTCGATGACTTAAATTATTTTTCTTTTATAAATCAAAAATAATTCATTTCACTTAATGTATTTATTCAACATTAGTCCTTAATTAAACCTGAAACAAAATGGACAATTACCCCACATCGTTTTGAAATTAATCCTGGAGCAAGTACAGAAATTTGTTTAGAAGTTCAATGTGATAGGTGAGTTTTGTTAATACTTACAATGAAAAATGTAGCTGCTTTTTTTGATCGTCTTAAGTAGAGCGACAAGAATAGTACAATTCCATTTTATTTCATTGTTTCTCATCAGCTATTCACAACAAGAAATAATTTCAAACATCAATGTCTAACCATACCGACCTTTGTCTCCGTGCCTATTGCCTGTCGTGCATACTAACTAATTGTCTTGGGATTTTATAAGACATCTCATCCTGCTTCCGAATATTACGACAATCAAACCAACCAACGACCATTGCAGAGAGCTAACAAACATCGCCTTCTGATCTCTGGAGTATCCGAAATTGTGGTGGATAAATACCGAAGGGAACCTCCAAATAACCGGTGATTATCTATAACATGGACAATACTACTACTACAATAATATGTAGTGGACCCAAAGAAAGTGAAGTTAACCAAAATGACAAGCAACGTATACTTTATATAAAAAATGGATTTTATGCTGTAGGAGTATGAAAAGTTATACGTCATAACGCAAACAGTATTGTCAGTGTTACAAATAATCACTGGTCACTTGGAACTTATCTCTTCGGTTTTTATCCACCACAATTTTAGATACTCCAGAGATCAGAAGGCGATATCTGTTGGCTATCGGCAGTGGTCATTGGTTGTTTTGATTATCGAAATATTTGGAGGTAGGATGAGAAGTTCTGTCAAAATCCCAAGACAATTAGTTAGTATGCACGACAAGCAATAAGCACGGAGGTAGGAATCGGAATGGTTAGAAGCGCATTATATTTCTACGATTAGCAGCAGTAAAAGTTGTAATTACTGCCACAACCAAAAAGGTGTGTAGATAAACAACATTCGTTTTTACAAGTATCAGGCAGAATGTACAGAAGTGGTTTATACACAATTTTATGCAGTCTCCATACAGTTTGATAGAAAACTTGTCAGCTTGAATGGAAGATAACATCGATATGAATGAATTTAAAACTGAGAACGATTGAGTAAATAAATATACTGAACTATGAAGGAGTTTGTCAATATATGAAGGAATTAGACGCATATTTTAGAATGAAAGTTGGATAAGAAACGAAGGCGAATGTATTCAAGGCATTGAGAGAGGTTATATAAAATATGTATGAAAAACTCATAAAATTTTGTCCTAGCTAAGAATTAATGTGATTCTAAATCAAATATTATATTGATCTTCATGACTAGCAAAAGAATCTAGGAACCGCCTTTCATTCTGTTTGGCATTCATCAGCTGGATGTTATTCACACCGAGTCTGTAACTCAGTACCCTTCACTTCAAACTCCAGAGCTAGTCATCAAGATCAGTATAACGTCACAAATATCTTGTAGTATCGAGGCATCCGCATAACACCCTATCTTCCAACAGAGGTCGAGCGATTCAGCCCTGTATAACAATGTGAAAGTATAAGTATCATTACAAGAAATCAGATAATTAGGTCAACCGTGTAAAATGGAAAAACATACAAACAATCGTCTATGAAAGAATAATGATCTGTAAGCAACCGTACTGGTTGTCAGTAACACAAAAGTGTTTACAATGTTAGAGACAGATTGATAAGTATTTTTATCTGAACACATAAATGAGGTTTTAATCATCTAATGTCTAACGCTTCAGTGTATTTGGAGTTCAACGGTGGAAAGCTGTTGATATGAAACCCTGAGGAAATTCGTACTTCTTTGAAGATATAACTTTGTTTCAGTCAGTGTTAAGACATTATCTATGTAGTTCATTCTTGATCACCTTCAAAAGAGGTAAAGTATATAAGAAAGTCATTGAATGATAAAGAACATAATTATGATAACAACTGAGGAAGATGAAATCTCAGAAACAAAACTGAAATAAATTTTATCTAAAATGTTTTTGCTGAGAAAACTGATCAGATTGCATCTGACTGAGTTTACGAGTCAGCTCACCTCTTGGAACCAAACAAATGTTACTTTAAATAACTTGATTATGCTTCATTTCTATATGATGTGAGATTCTTTTGTACAAATGTTCAGTAGTTACACAATTTTGGGATAACACTACTTTTGAGTACATGAGTATCTCACTTCACTGAGGACTCTTTTTGATCAATTCAATATGGGATTCAGTTGCTATTTGGGTTATAGACATATCTTTACAATCCTTCCTCCTAACTATTGATTTCACTAGCCTTTACTATCTTAGTGTAAATCTTCAATCATGGATGTCAAATTATACATTATTGAAACATATTTAGTTATTCATCTCAAAGAAACCAGAATAAAACCATCTTTGACGTCTAGTAGTAGTGATTTCAAGTGTAAAACATCTTGTAATAAGCAAATCACAACTACATTTCTCTTATTTGATAGCTTTATATAAATAAAAAGTTGTACAGCAGGATTTCATTAGGTTTTGTCTTACAGCAATAATAATCTATACAAATAAACATGTTAGTGTATAATTCAAGATATGAATTATAATAGAAGTATATTGTGGTTTGAAATCTCCCAGGAAGTCATTGAACAAGAGGCATTCAACAATGTTATTTTCATGTTCTACACTTACATATAAGTAAGTATCAGATTTGTTCGGTAACAGAAAGAGAATGTTATACATTTAGAACTCGTTGGCTGGATGTACCTGTATCTCAGTAAGTGACGCTGTTCCTGCTGGATTCAAATCCATCGCTTTAAACGCTAAAACGTTCTCCACTAAGTTACTGGTGCACAAAAGCAACCTCTTATGCAACCGTGGTATCAATTTTCGCACATTTATACTTGGTATTTATCGTTGATTTACATAGGGTAGAACTTCCAAACCACTACAACAATGTCGAGGTGTCCGTGTAGGAGTCCATTTCACAATAGAGGTCAAGCATTTCTATCCAGTATACAACTATCAATAAAACATTCAGTTTTAAATAGGTATCAAGAAATCGGATAGATAAATATGTAATATCTAAAAGTGTAATCAGATGCGCCTTTTAGATTCTACTACTGGCCACCAAGTAGACCACAACACTATCTTGACATCTCCCTACAAACATTCAACAGTTTGATGCAGTATTGTAGCCGGAAATTACAAGCATCCTTACAACAAAAATAACCTCACATTTATCATGTTTATTTTACTATTTGTCCGTTGGGCTCCCAATGGAACATAAGACTTCAGTAGCGTGTCTCTGTTGCACTCTCCTCTCTGCACGTTTTCTAAACTGGCTCCACCACTGCCTACAAGCTGCCATTTCTTCCTCATACAACCTACTCCATGTCACCCTCATACAAACAACTCGTCGTTTTCCGTTTAAGTTCCACTCGATAGCCCGGCCTGGTACGTGATGTCTGGAATCGGCCCTCACAGTGTATTCCCAACCCATCTTCACTTTCTTCTTCTGCATATTTATGCAACGATGGGTTGTTGATTGGTTTGTTGCCAGCCTAGAGTTTCTCCTTGCTTATTCTAATTATTCTTGTCATCTGGTCTTCAGTATTGAGTGAGCAAGGGAGCAAGCGTAGGCAGCAGCTGTTGATGATGATGTGTGTGCAATTTGTTGCAAATGCTTTTTGTGACGCTCCAATTCTCCCAACCTTCACATAAAAGTACTGACATCGCTGAATTAATGTTGAAAATCCGGATGTTGTTCACACTTTATGCTGAGTGGAATGAAGTGGAGAAGATCTCCACGCTGATTTCAGATTGATAAAGACCTGTCTTGTTGTCCTTCATATCCTGGCTTTGATGTACTTATCTGTGCTGCCAACTTGTTAGTTTTGGCCTGTACATTTTCAAGTTTGTGCCACATTAAACATGAATCATCATCTTTGGCAACATCCAAATCTTCTTCTGGATTCATTTCATCGGTCAAACAGCGTATACCCATCTTCTCGCTTCTCACAGTTTCTTGCATTATCCGGTCTACCAAAATCACGAAGATGACCGGTGATGAGAGTAGGCGGCAAACTTATCTTACTCCTGTCTTCACTTAAAAGTCATCACTGAGCCTTCCATTGTGAATCACTCGGCATGTAGTATCATCTTGTAGCTGTTGAATGAGGTTGATAAAGGTTTGTGTCACTAAAAGCATAGTGTTGAAGTAGCTGGCAAATTACTTCTCAGTCGACGCAATCGAAAGGCTTTATAAAGTCGAAGAAGTTGAGGTAAAGATTCAGTTGAATACCATTCGTTGTTCTATTCTATGATGATGCATAGCGTAACGTTGCAGTTTGATGCGTACATGATTTGTTTCTTCTGATGCCAACCTATCATTTAACAATAACTGAATTCGTGGACAAAATTACTTGACAGTTAAATGTATTTACATAATAAGTAACTAAATTTACCACTTTATTTTATATACGCTATATAATTACTTTTTAATATATTATCTTTAGTCCTAAAACAGTTCATGAGAAAATTTTATGTCATTCTATTATTGGACGAAGTGCAAAGTACTTGATCAAGACAGTTGATGTCTCCATTGATTTTATTACACCAGTCATTGAATTATCTTCTAGTGAATTATTTTATCGAGTAGAAAAGGTTAGTGTATTTATAAGTTGCTTTATTTGACTTATTCTAAAAGATTTAATGTACAGAAGAGTAAAATACTTAGGTTTTATAATCGAGTGTAATCCCATATTAAATTTGTCTATTTGATATAGTACACAATGGAAGAGTATAAATGACTGGATGATGTTTCCAGGACAATCTATCAATCATAATCGCATTAAGCTAACCAGACAACTTTTGACATCTTGGTATTATGATTCATTATTTTTAGTATAGATGTAAAACTTGAGCACTGTGGTAGAATTTAATTCTATATTCAAATAATGGAGAATATTTGTAGCTCAGATGGATGGTCTTGGTTGTATTGTGTTCTCTGAGCTGAGTTGTTTAATCGTGGAACTTTCATCATCCGTCTTCTAGACATCGACATCATCAGCGCTAACTTCAGTATCAAGTGAGCTGTCAATATCTCTCCGTGAGTGATTTAGTGGCTCGCTCTGACGATGTGGTCTGTGATTGGTTGTTTCCTTTGATTGATGTAGCATTGACTACATAGATTTTCCTGTTGGCTGTCCCTCTGTTTCACCTCTGACCTTTCTATCGTTTATCATTTTCCTTATTGGTTGATAGATCGGGTCTATGTCTAAACATTTGTTGATTGCTGACTGACCTGAATGCCATGCTTCTCGGAATTCTCTGACATTCCATATTAGATTTGTTTATTTGATTTATAACACACAGTGATCTAGTATTATTTACTTGATGACGTTTCGACCAACGTTTATCATTGCTCATAATCATATCAGTGTAATCACACTCCACTTTCGACATTTTTAATCATGATAATCTTGTCATCCCATATTATTTGTTTTTATTGGTAGCAAAATTTTCCAAATCTCTGGTATGGAGGTGTTGCATCATTTCTATTACATGTGTTGGCTGGGTGTTGATTCGATGAACAAAGATTCGGTAATCAATCTCTCTCTTCACCTAATTATATTGAACTTAAGTACAGTGGCTTTATCACATCCTATTGTGTGGTTGTGTGTTAATAAATGCATAGCAATAGCCGAGTTTTTTTCTAGATTATTGATCTTATTCGGCTCTGTTATTCTATATTTAGCTAAATGACCCTGACTGACTAGTTTGACCTACATACTTGACCTCACAGTCATTACATGGAATTTGATAGATCAGATTATTTTGCTGAATTGGTTCCATCGGATTGTGAAGCGACTCGATAAAGCTTATCTATGTGTGAGTTTGTAGCTTGAAATGCCACCCTAATTCCAGCCTTGTTGAGGATTCTAGTTAAAGTTACTGAGGTACCCTCCATATAGGGTAATACAATGGAGGCTGTGAACTCCTTTCTACTCGTGTTCTCGTTATTAGTCTCACTCGTTTGACTGTTATTTTTTCGTTTTTGATGTGTCCGTAAGAGTTTCTTAATAAAATACAGAGGACAATTATTAACTGTTAGCGCTTATTTCACGTGTTTCAATTCCTTGTTTAGGTTCTTGCTCTGACTAGTCAGTTTTCTAGCTCTATCACTTAAACATTTGACTAATCCTGCCTTAACTGATATTGGATGGGATGATTTAAAGTCTAGATACCTGTTGGAATGTGTTAGTTTTCTGTAGACGGTAGTATCCAATCCACAGTCTGTCCTTCGTTTTATCCTGCAATCCAACATAGGTATTTCTCCTTGTTCATTTTCCACCTTGAATTGGATTGCGTTTAGTATTGAGTTTATATGCATGAGGAAGTTGTGGATATGTTCTGATTTCAACAGAGTAAATGTGTGATGCATATATCGCTAGCATATGTTAGGTGCAGGACTAAACGTTTGTAAAGCCATGTTTTTAGGCAAAGTAGGATTTTCCTGTTGGATGTTTCTTAGATAAATAGAGATTCAGTGGTCAATCTTTGTCTTGTCCTATCTTGTCGTGTGACTGTGTGTCAGTCCCCGTATTGTAATGATCCATTATGTCTCTAGGCTAATTATTTAAATCAAGTTGTTATTCATCGAAGACTGACATCAATTGGAGGAACAAAGGAAACCTGGAAGCACTGGACAGCTGTTTCGTCCTAGTATGGGACTCCTCAGCAGTGCGCACCCACGACCCCACCAGCAGGGATCGAACCCGCGACCTTCAGGTCCCGCGACCAGCGCGTTACCATTGAGCCACTGGGTCAGAATCCAATGCTCCATTATTTAAATATTGTTAAGTTCATATACTTTGATGAAGTAATTAGTTGGGTTGTTGGGACTAAATGTTTAAAATCGACTGGTTAAACCTATATGTAACATTTACTAAAGGCCAAAAAATGCCTACATACTGTATGTATATGATAAAAAAAACCGCAGCTATGAAAGCTTTTCTGGTTTCCATACAGGCTGTGTTCAAAATACCGCCATTACATCTTTTGTCATAGTCGTTTTATGAAAATTCAGAACAATTTTTGATCAGAATTATTTCCCCACTTAAGTTTTATGATTCACCAGTGGCCTTCTTTCTCTGTCATATAAACATTTATACTGGGCGATGGTTGAAGGTGAGATGAAAACCTGGACCGTGACGGGATTCGAACCGGCGACCACCGGGTTACCGAAATTAATATGTAAATAACCAATAGAGTAATTAAAATAAGTAATATCTAGTACCTTCTTCTTAGGTAAATGGAGTGATTTTTGATGAATGTTCAGTGATTATGTAATAAATAAGAGGTAGAAGAGGTGTACAAAGTACTACTAGAAGTTACATCATGTTGACAGCCACGATAATGAAAGTGGTTAAACAAACTTCTTTTAAATACAACGGTGTGGTTCGTATAGGTGGATTGCAATAGCCTCTGCTATGTGAAGTAAGCGAGTGCATAATCTATGCGGTAAATTAATTGGAATGTGACAAATAATTTTATAAGCTTCTCTAGTATCCACTTGATGTACCGGGTCAACTAGATGTGCAAATATGCAACTTTTCATTGTTCTAATTTGTCCCTTGCTCAACCATGATGGATGGTGCTTAGAAATTTGACAATGGATCTGCCTCATTGTACATCCAACATAACTAGCTCCACAGGAGCAATTGAATTGATAAATGCACATAGAAGTGGTAGAATCAGGCAATTTGTCTTTACTTTTTATACCAAGAAACATGCAGTTGTAGAAGATGGGACATAATTTAGTGGCTAGGAGTGTGTTCATTTGAAAAGGCACATAAATAAAGCTGCTTCGTAGTACGCATCATCTAATTCGCAGTTAATTTATCAAGCTATATAATGATTATTATTAATATAAGAGTAAAACTTGGACACTGTGGTCGAGTGTAATTCCATTTTACTATGTTTATTAGAAATATCACACAGTGAAACAGTAGCATTCACTGCATTACATTTCGGACACAATTTATTGTCCATATTCATATCAGGTAACTAACTCCACAACTCCCAGACAGACTTTATATATTCCTAATTCTCTCTTCTTCTCTGTGATGACAAGGCTAGTAGAATTTTCCATATATCTGGGACTGGTGAAGAATCATTTCGATTACTGCATGAATTTGATGTTGATTCAATAAACAAATATTAAGTCGGTTATCAATCTCTTCCTACCTCCATCCAACCAAGTTAGTTTTCAACACTGTCGCCCTATCCCACCCCACTAATGTGATTGTGTGTCATCGCATGCAGAGCTATAGCCGAGCTTTTCTCTTGATTTCTTATCTCATTTGCATCCTCTAATCTTGATTTAGTTAAGTTTTTGTACTCTGTTATTCCAACCATCCTGGCTAGTCGACTGCTCTGACCTATGTACTTGACCACGTAAACATTGCAAGGGATCTGGTAAACCAGATTATTTAGATAGTGTTCGTGGGTTTTAATTGTTCTCTAGTCTGCCATCTAGTGGTTTCGAGAGATGATTATAGACGGTCGAGTCACGGGTTGGAGTCCTGCTCAAGTTACTGAGGTTTTGGAGGGCAGGTAGTATCACTAACCTTCATACAATAGGTGTCACGCATTGCCTAATGCATGGATGTGTACAAGGTGATTGTGTTCTTGAAAAAAACCTCCACTAACCCCCAACCTGTAAGAAAATGTTTAGTGAAAATAATTAGTTTTCACGCAGCTACATACTGATGATCAGTTGTTTTTTTTCAACTATAGAAGTCATTAAACAATTTTTGTACTTCAAACTTGGCATTTAAGGTATTGGACAAGCTTTTCATTCACATATGAAATCAGTCATTCTCCACGAACCTCCAGAATTGTTTTTTTAATACTGTCTATAGAATGTCCCTGCTTCTATATGGTTGAGAAACTTAGAGCATCACATAAGGCACTCCCAGCAAACTACAGACATTCATCAACATCTGCCACCTACGCTTGCTCACTCGATACTGAAGATCAGAATAAGCAAGGAGTAATTCTGGGAACAAACCAACCAACAACCTATTACCCAACAAATATGCAGAAGAAAATGGAGATGGATTGGATTGGACATACACTGACAAGGCCGATTGGGGACATCACGTGTTAGGCAAGGCTGTCAAGTGGAATCCAACTGGGAAACGATGAGATGGGCGTCCCAGTTGATGATGATGGTGTGTTGGGAAGAAATGAATATTGTGGGTAGTTGTGGAGTGGGGTTGAAAAGACTGTAGAGAAGAGAGTGGAATGGAGATGTGCTACTGAAGTCCTATATTCCAGTAGGGACCCAAGGGACAAATAATAACAATAATAATAATAATACAATGTCCCACCTGTTTCAGTTTAAAAAAGACATAATTATTATCTTTTCTTTCAGGGCCCATCTGATGAACTTTCTATCCAATTTAATCGATTTACAATGACTAATAAAGTGGATTTAATATTGACCTGCTCATTGGAAGTTTGTAATCCATTTTATTTATATTTAAATGATAATCATATCTCAACTATGGTAAGTTGATTATATATCTCAGTAGTATATAGATTTAAAATGATTTACTTAACTAAACTCTGTTTTTACATTGAGATGAAGACTAGAGTTATAGAAGATTTAATCCATGACTAGATAGTAACAAAAAAAAACCAATGATGTAATGTGAAACAATTTAGCGATTATATGGATTTCCATCCAATAAACCGCTCTGTATGGCTTAGAGACTTGGCGCGTCACGAAAGGGATTTCCAATAAACTACAGACATTCATCAACAACTGTCACCTACTCTGGCTCGCTACTGAAGATCAGATGGCCAGAATAATAAGAATAAGCAACAAGGAGCTCTGGGAACGAACCAAACAAGAATCTATCACGCAACAAATATGCAGGAGGAAGTGGAGATGGATTAGGCATACACTGAGAAGGCCGACTGGGGACATCACGCGTCAGGCCAGCACTCAAGTGGAATCCCCATGGGAAGCGACGAGTTGGGCGTCCGAGGGTGACATGGAGGAGATCGTGCGAGGAGGAAATGAGCGGTTGTGGGCTGTCGTGGAACCAGGTTCAAAAGACCTCAGAGAACAGAGGACACTAGAGACATGCTACTGAAGCCCTATGTTCCACTAGGAACCCAAGGGACTAATAAATAATAATAATAATATAATAAACCGCTCATATTGTATGAAGGGCAATATTGTGAATTGCCAGCCCAAAACTCGATATGAATAACACGATAATAATAATAATAACAATAATGATAATAATAATAATGACTTTATTCTGAAAACTATTTCTAGAATACTCTACAGAATTTTCATCATATGGCATCAGTTGGATAAAGACAGTGTATCTGTGTGTACATAACAAAATGAACATAAGCAGAAATTACATGAAGAAAAGACAAGAATATTCGCTCTATCTAAAACTTTCTTGAAAATGCACAATCAGTTTAGGTAGACAATTACATTAGTAATTAGATTCATAGTACGTAAAAAACAATTAACGCGCTCATCTTCAATAAGTTTGCTTTCAAAAACAGAAGGCGATTAGTTAGTTCATTTCTAATGCTTTCTTTATCACACAGGAGATGAGCTAAATAAGGTATTGTAGAGTTTTTATATTTTGTAGTACTTATTTCAAGTTGTTATTCATCGTAGACTGACATCAGTTGGAGGAACAAAGGAAACCCAGGAGCACTGGACAGCTGTCTCGTCCTAGTATGGGACTCCTCAGCAGTGCGCACCCACGACCCCACCAGCAGGGACCGAACCCTCGACCTTCAGGTTCCGCGGCCAGTGCGTTACCATTGAGCCACTGGGTCAGAATCCAATGCTCCATATTTCCAACTTCTGTTAGCTCACGATATATAGCGCAACCACCACCCAATGTCATCGCTGAGTATTTGTCCTCCTGGCCATCAGGCTTTGACTCCACCGTTCACGACTTGTCATTGGAACTTCGGGAATACTTCTCGAAGCTAGTCACCAATGAGCACCAGTTCAATTAATTTTTGAGGAAGTGCGCACTGCTGAGGAGTCCCACACTAGGACGAAACAGCTGTCCAGTGCTCCCAGGTTTCCTTTGTTCCTCCAACTGATGTCAGTCTACGATGAATAACAACTTGAAATAATTCCAAATCTCCACAACTCCCTCAAAATTTTTTAGTACGTGCATACAGTCTTATGTGTTTGCTCCTTGTCTTTCCAGATGACCGACAGGTAGAGAGAGAGCTTTGAATGAAGAGGATGTTGGTCATCTGATAGAATAACTCCTGTCAGATGTTTACATGGGTTAATATGTTTGTCCACAACTGTTTTAACTAGGAGACTTAAGGGTACATCACTAGTTTTGTTGACAATCTCCAAAGTTCTACGCAATTCACAGCATAGTCTTTTTTCAGCAACCCAGGAAAAATAAAGGAGAGCAATGGAGGAGAACAGGCAAGATGTCGGAGTTTATAAAACACAGGAGAAGAGGCTGAATTGTACCAGATACTCTCATCTTCCTAATATAGAAAGACGAAAAATATTTTTGGCAATAAGTGAAATATCGGAAGACCAGTAAAGGTTCGAAGAAAAACACACTGAAAAGGCCGTAAGCTTTTTAAAAATGTACATGAGTATGTGAATACGATCAGAGGACGTAACAGAATGATTAAAAGGAAAAAATCCGTTGGAAAATTAAATGCGATATGACATAGAAAATTTAGTAGCCTAGATATTCAAGCAGGCCGCTAATTTCAAAAGTTCTGGACCCATTTCCCATTGGTTGAAAACCGAGTTTTCGAAACAACAAATTCTAACTGCACTCCTATTATTATTATTATTATTATTTTTCCCTTCTGTTCCTAGTGGAACATAGAGCTTTAGTAGCACGCCTCCATCATAAACTCTTCTCTGCACTCTTTTCAACCCAGCTCCACAACTACCGACAACCTTTCATTTCTTCCCAATACACTATCTCCTCCATATCACCCTCACACAAACAAATCGTCGTTTCCCATTTGCATTGCAGTCCACAGTCTGACCTGGCACATGATGTCCCCAGTCGGCCTTCACACTGCATGCTCAATCCAATCCATCTCCACTTTCCTATTGTGCACACTTTTGGGTAATAGATTGTTGGTTGGGTCGTTGTCAGGACAGAGTCCCTCCTTACTTATTCGAATTATTCTAGCCATCTCATCTCATCTTCAGTATCGAGTGAGTAAGCGTAGGTGGCAGGTGTTGATGAATGTCTATAGTTTGTTGGAAGTGCTTTTCGTGACGTGCCAACTTTCTCAACCATCACATAGAAGCACTGACTTCACTGAATTGTTATTGACGCTTTATGCTGAATGGAGTGGAGTGGAGTGGAGTAGATCTGCACACTGATTTCAGATTAACATAAGCAGGCCTTTCTTGCTGTCTTTTCGATCCTCGTTAACTCCACTACTAAACTATAAATACTGCGTTCAGTGTTTTAATAGCTAACCTCATGGACTGAATAATCAATGGAACTTAATTCTGGTTTCATTTGCCAAATATCTGCGCCTAACTATTTCATGGATAAATGACGTGATTATCCAATCAGTTAACCAGGTTAATAGGTTATAAATACTAGTTTGTTATTAACACTGTAGTACATTACAAAACTATTTTATAAAATAAAATTTCCTATTCCTGGTTACACTAAAGTGAACTTGTCCCTATCAGCTGATATTTCAGCTGCTTTTATCATAATTTTATACAGTTAATGGTGGATAGTAGTTTCAGTGAAAATACAACCACTTACTGAAATGCATGTATGCGTATAGTTGATGACTCTGTAACACGGTAAAATTGGTTCTGAATCCCTCTGATAGTCATCACTGAATACACTAAAACATCGTATGCGTCAGTATTAGATGAATGGTTTAGAAAATTCTAATCTGCTGGCGATCAGCTGCATCATAGACAAATTTGCTGCTTATAAGAGACGTTACAAAAGCTAACGGGCTTTTCAGCTTGAATATAGAATGCGTAGATTATATCGAATGCAAGAATAAAAGGGTTTTAGCAATATGAAAGAAGAATAAGTATGTCAACGAAGACTCTGTTTTCGGTGATTTCATTCTCATATCTGTACAATCACAAGTTTACTATTGTTATTATTATTATTTGTCCCTTGGGTTCCTAGTGGAACATAGGGCTTCAGTAGCACATCTCCAGTGCGCTCTATTCTCTGAAATCTTTTGAACCTGTCGCCACTACTGTCCACAAGCTCTCATTTCTTCCTAATACACAATCTCCTCAATGTCACCCTCGGATGCCCAACTAGTAGCTTCCCATCTGGGTTCCACTCGAGTGACTGGTCTGGCGCGTGATGTCGTCAATCGGCCTTCTCAGTATATGCCCAATGCATCTCCACTTCCTTCAACTGCATATTTGTTGACCGATAGCTTCTTGATTTGTTCATTGCCAGAGTTCGTCGTTGCTTTATAATTTTTCTTAATTGTGTAAGGACTTGATAGCTAAGAATGGTTTGTCAAATATGTCAACAAAATATATGGTAAAGAAAGATATGAGCTTTGATGAGTAGTGAAGATTAACAAACCTTTGCATAGAGAACTCTACCACCATGCCATAAAGGATGCTTAGTATGAATCCAATTTTCAAAGATGATTCTACCAGTGACACTGTAAAGAGGAGAAGGAGAAGGCGATCAACCACTTTTAGGATGACATTCTTTTTATCAACGATGTGATAAGTATTCTTCTGTCATCCGATGATCTCTAACAACTAGAAGGAGAAACATTCACATTCGACCACTTCTGTGTATATACATATCACCTTACCTGCTCTTGTAGTAGTCCGATACAACGTCCTGGAAGGTTTCACGAAAACTATCCCACATAGCCATAAAGAGGTAACAGTTGATCTTAAGAATCAACTCGTTTAAAGTCATTTTTAAGGTGAGAAGAAGTAACCATCCAAAGGCTATATGTCTTCACATTCTCTACATCACTGAAGCTGCTCTTGAAGTTTGTACATGAAAGAAGATTGTTCAACCGCTCCTCATTTCATGACCTTTTTTTGACACTGTTTACTTCTTAGGTAATTTTTTGTTCCTTCTTGTTTCTATGCTATTTTTAACCCCACTTCAGCTTCCAAGTTGTTTATCATATTGTGAAACTTCTCAGGTAAACTTTAAAATGTTTATACAATTCTTATTTACCTTCACTAGTCATCATTATCTTTGATTTTAATGATAATTCATTTCTTTACATTGAATATTCGCATTTCAACATTTAGAAAAAGACTGATTAAGCAAAGAAATGTATATTCCTTTTCAATTACGTCTTCATCTTTGGCTCTACACTACTGTGCATAGTTTTACAATTCAATTAAATTACCAATCCCGTGATGGTGATGTTTCGGAAATAATGATGTAAATAATCAGTAGAGTTACTAAAATTGGAAATATGAATATTGATGGAAACAAGGGGAAGGGGAAGAGGTGTACAAAGTAAACCTAGAAGTAACATCATGTTGACGGCCACGATAATGAAAGTGGTCGAATAAACTTCTTTTGGATACAAAAGCTAGGTTTGTAAAGGTGGATTACAATCACCTCTGTTATGTGAAGTAACCGAGTACGTAACCCATGAAGTAAATTAATTGGAATCTCATGGATGATTTTGAAGGCTTTTCCAGTAACCACTTGATGTCCTGTGTCAATTGAGTGTGCAAGTATGGAGCTCTTTATAGTTCTAATTTGCCCCTTGTTCAACCATGATGGGTGGTGATCAGAAATTCGACGATGGGACTGCCTCATTGTACCCCCAATGTAACTCGCTCCACAGGAGCAGTTTAATTGATAAAGGCACATAGAAGTGACAGAATTAGGCAGTTTGTCTTTATTTCTTGCACCTGGAATTGGGCGGTTGTAGAAGGCGAGACATAATTTAGCAGCTGGGAATGCTTTATGCAAGACTCTTTTTGTGCGTTGTGTGATGATTTCACCGGCAATTTCACTCTTAAATTGCAGCTTCAAGAAGATTTGCTTCTTAGGAACAGTTGGCATTGTTGTCTTAACCCTGGTAATATTCATGTGATTAGTTACAAACTTGTCTGGGTAACTCTTCCTAATAAGCAGATTACGGATGATGGCGCACTCTTCCTTTACAGCATCATCTGAGCAAAATGGCTGAGGCACTGTATGCTAAGCATTTCACAAGGTTCCTTTTGTATTGGAGGGGTACAGCACTAAAAAAGTGTGTATACTGACCTGTTGATGTTGGCTTTCTATAAACACTTCGCTTCAGGATTCCATCTGACCTTCTCACCAACAGAACATCAAGAAATTGGATACCGTCATTTCGCTTGTCTTCTCTTGTGAATTTGATTGATAGATGAACACTATTGAACTTATTCAGAACAGGATTCTTATCAGTCTCACTTTCGAGAACTATAAAGGTATCATCCATGTAACGACAATGTAACTCTAAACGGCTACTAGTTTCGTTCAGTGGACGATTCTCAAGTTTTACCAGAAAAAAATCTGCTAAGAGCTGGCCAAGGAATTATCCCATAGCAACACCATCAGATTGCCGGTAAAGTTCATTGTTGAAAAGAAATTGTGCATTGATTGTACACCTCAGAATTAGTTCTTTCAATGTGGAGACTGGAATACCTATTTCCATGGCATTCTTTGTGAGTTCGTTGGAAATAAAGTCTACTGTCTCCATTAAAGGAACGTTAGTAAAAAGAGATGAAACATCACACGAAATCATTAACTTATTATCAACCTCCAGATCCTTAATGTTTCCAACAAATTCAAAGGTATCTTCGAGACTGTACTTCATGACTTTTTTGTGGAGAGGCTTCAAGAGTTTTACTAACCATTTTGCTGTTGTATGATAGGGAGAGTTAGTCATGTCAAGAACTGGTTGTAGAGGCAGACCATTTTTATGCAGTTTCGGTAGACCGTAAAGTGTAGGTGTAACGGTTCCAGTAGGTTTCAGCATTTCTATGGTGCTTTCTGAAATGAAACCTTATTGTTTTATCCTTTTTAGTGATTCAGTTAGATGTTTCTCGGTTTTCTCTGTTGTATTACGATATTTGCATTAGTTCCAAGCTTTTTCAAGGCTTCTCTATGTTTTTTTCATTAAAATACTCTTCATACCATTCCTACTAGTCGTGTACTTTAGACAAGAGTCAACAAGTGTAATCTTAAGTCTATCATCGTCTTCACTAGATGATGGTAACAAACCTTCTCTCTGTGTATATATGTTCTCAAACTGTATTTCCGTTTCCATCTTATCAATCATATTACGACTATCACAAAAGTTTAGTCCAAGTGGCAAAACTTCTAATTGTATAGCATCAAGATCGCTTCAAGAAAAATTACGTACAAACTGACCCATATTAGTCGGGAATCTCATCTCTGGTGTACGACCTTCAAGAGTTTTGATCACCTGAATGCGCTTCTTTTCTTTCCATGTATTGATCACATTCATCATATAACTCATATTTGAAAGACTACTCTTCACTATCAAACCATAACAGAAGCAAGAAAAGTATAAATTGTCTATTGTATTCAGCATTGAAAATGAAATCATTGAAAAGAGACTCTTCATTGAAATACCTACTTGTTCTTCTTCCATGCTGTAATAATTCTTAGTTTAATCATCCAAAAAAGAATATACTACTAGATCTCTTGTGTTTTGTTTTCAACATTGCAAATAAAATTACTATACAGTTTTCCAAGGAAACCTAGTTACCAAAGAGGAGAAAGAAATGAAACGATGCGCTGATTATTTCAAAAACTCGACCACAACCTGCAGATCGTCCAGAAATACCACCATTAACAACCGCAGAACTACAAGTGAACACAGGATCTCCGAAAATAACACGAGTGAAGTCCTGAATGTTATAAAACTGCTGAAATTCGGGAAAGCAGCAGAAGCAGATGGAATTCCACCAGAAGCACTGAAAACAGATGCAGAGACTATAGAGGACATGTTCACACCACTATTGCAGAAGGTTTGGAAGAAAGGAGTGAAAGGTAACTCCCCATTGATTGGAAAAGGGGCTAACTTTTCAAACTCCCAAAGAAGGAAGACCTAAGTCTTTGCAAGAACTGGCGAGGAATCATACTGTTGTCCACCCAAAGCAAGCAAAATATTATGCCGAATCATCCTGAAGGGACTAAAAGATGCACTTGATTTGAAATTACCACTTATGATGATTTATGTCTAATTTCTAATGTTGCACAAACTCGAAGATCCACAGGAGAAAACTAACAAGTTGATAGAAGAGGCAGGGCAACGAAAACGGGACTTCAAGTGAATGTAGAGAAGACAAAGATGACGAAGATATCCAATGAACAACAACAACAAGCTGCAATCGCCAGCAACGGGAGAAACCTAAAGGAAGTAGTCACTTTCATCTACCTAGGCAGGCAGCATCGTTTCAACTACAGGTAGCACAGGCAAAGACGAGGATGTCAAAGCCAGGATCGAAAAGACAGCAAGAGAGGCCTGCTTACGTTAATCTGAAATCAGTGTGCAGATCTACTCCACTCCACTCCACTCCATTCAGCATAAAGCGTCAATAACAATTCAGTGAAGTCAGTGCTTCTATGTGATGGTTGAGAAAGTTGGCACGTCACGAAAAGCACTTCCAACAAACTATAGACATTCATCAACACCTGCCACCTACGCTTACTCACTCGATACTGAAGATGAGATGAGATGGCCAGAATAATTAGAATAAGTAAGGAGGGACTCTGTCCTGACAACGACCCAACCAACAATCTATTACCCAAAAGTGTGCACAATAGGAAAGTGGAGATGGATTGGATTGAGCATGCAGTGAGAAGGCCGACTGGGGACATCACGTGCCATGTCAGGCTGTCGAGTGGAATGTAAATGGGAAGTGACGATTTGTTTGTATGAGGGTGACATTGTAAAGATGGTGTGTGAGGAAGAAATGAAGTCTTGTCGGCAGTTGTGGAGCGAGGTTGGAAAGAGAGCAGATAAGAGAGTAGAATGGAGGTGTTCTACTGAAGCCCCATATTCCACTAGGAACCGAAGGGAAAAACTATGATGATATATACAATAAGCTATGATATTTTGGGTGACTTTAAAGGCTTCCCCAGCAGTTGCAGAAATAACCAATTATGTTTCTTTTATTCTGACTAGAAAGATGGGTTTTTTTTCATATAATATAAAGCGGCGTAATTGATTATTTCATCAGTTACTAGGGTGGCCTTTAAAGTTGATCAATATTGTATAGAGAAATTGTTTGATTTCTGTCACTAACTGAAGTATCCTATGAACATTTATCCTCTTGGCCAACATTTAGGCTCCTTACATAAAGTTAATTTGTAGAGAAAAAAGAAGAAAACACTGTATGAAATATTTTGTCGCAGTTTTTGTGTACCTTAAATAGTTACAAGCAGATTACATTCAACAACCTTATAAGCACCAGTGACTTGAATGTCTGTAGAGGAGGAGAATGTAGTGTCTTGATGTACTCAAGAGATTGTGGGTAAAGTTGATGTTGTTTTTCGAACCTGCGTTACATATGAAGATGAGACATTGATCCAGATGAAATTAAGATTTTTGTTTCTGGATTCTGTGGGTTAATGTGTTACCCATGATACCTTAATTCACGTTGTTCAGTAGCGTAGGTAGTCAGTCAGTTAGTGTCAACATAGGACCTGGCTTTGGTGTGTTACCGCACCACATATAAGCATATCGAGATATAAGACAAGATGAATAGGAACTAAAACAATGCCTAAATATGGTACAATTTATAAAATGAAGATATTGTCTTGACGAATATGCACTGTCGAGATCAGTTCTCGTGTATATAACTCAGAGTCTTTGACCAGCGATTAAGGTTGTCTGTTTTACAAACCCCTATTGGGTAGTCTACATTTCTGCATATGGCTTATACCAACAGTTTTGAGATTTCATGAACTGATATCACGTTTTATGGTGGCCACTCATAACCTTTTCTCTACAAACTTTAATCAAGATTACCCATCAGAGTAGAAGGTGACTAGACGTCTGTAACAGATGTACATATCTGGTAGTGTGCCACATAAGAACCGATATTTATCTGTTATTTATGAAGATAGGATGTAGGAAACTGTATTCCAAATCATATATAAAGTAGTATTAATTTGTTATATAAACTAATCTTTCACTCTATGGTTCTTTTAACTTCTATATACTTACTTTTATGTAGACATTTCAAATGAATCCATTTGAATCGAAAGAAGTTACAGTTTCATTCAATCCATTGTATAAAGAGGATTTAATTAGTCGAAGAGCTGATGAACTATTATTTATCAAGTATGCTGAACATCCACAAACGGTAGGTGGTGATGAACGACAGACGAGACTATTTATTTTATACTTTTGAAGAAACTTATTCTAAGTGTCAGAATAATATGAACTGACAAATATTTCAAGTTGTTATTCATCGTAGACTGACATCAGTTAGAGGAACAAAGGAAACCTGGGAACACTGGACAGCAGCTGTTTCGTCCTAGGTGGGGGCAAAACCTGGTGGTCGTGAGGACAGTTACTCAACGATGACATTGGATGGTGGTTGTGCTATATCGTCAGCTAACAGAAGTTGGAAATATGGACGATTGGATTCTGATCCAGTGGCTCAATGGTAACGTGCTAGCCACGGAACCTGAAGATCGCGGGTTCGATCCGTGGTGCGGTGGGGTCGTGGGTGAGCACTGTTGAGGAGTCCGATGCTAGGAAGAGATGGCCGCTATCCAGTGCTCCTAGGTTTCCTTTGTTGTTCCGACTGATGTCAGTCTACGATGAACAACAACCTAAAATATTTCCAAACCCCGACAACTCCCTCAAAACTGAACTGACAAATGTTTCTTCATCAGACAACAGTGGAATAAAATGCATTCCATGACATACTTCAAACAAAGATTTTGTCATGGCCTAAATAGCTTATTGATAAAATCTCTGACTTCAGAACTGGAGAAACGGAGGTTTTAACCATCAAATGGAACATCAGTTTCCATATGATTGCAGATAAGCCTTGGTAATTAGTACTAACAAACATGAAATGTCTATCTTGGGCTTCCTAGTGATTGGATCTCATTGACTAACACTGCACTGCAGTATCGTACCACCATGTTTAGAGGTCACATAGTAAAGTCTAGTCGCTAGTCTTCGACCGGTGGTGAACACTAAGGATTAGACAGCTGTATGGTTTATCCATTGGTAACCAACTTGTAGACACTTCCAAAATGGACTGGCAGCGTAGGCTGCAGTTTATCACTTTAAGAAACTATAGGGGTGACAGTACTGGGAAAAAGATCATTAACCAGTGTCTAACTTTTAAGGGACTTCGCTGTCTTATGAATATCTTTTATTATTTTCAGCGAGTATGAACTACAGCGAGTTGTCTTTCTGTCCCTCTCTCCTTTTCTCTATCCTCTTCGTTGATTAATAATTCACCTCTGTAATATATGTCATTAAATATTGATACATTAAAGCTTAGGTAAATTCTAAAAAAAGTCCTTTAGTTTTCAGATAATGTTTACAAATGCTTCGACTGAAATCCCTATGACAGATCATCAATATGCATTGAATCTTTAGGCTAAAGTTGAAGTTTCACAGAGTTTAATGGTATTGCTTGCATTGTACCGTCGTTGATTAGACCGAATTGATTGGTCTCTATTGGTATATGGGATTTTGTGTAGATCCCTCGATATTCCCTGTGTTCTTATTTATATAATAATGATGGATAGTGGCTAGCAGTGGAATCCAGTGGTGTGTTAGATGTACCTGTCTCCTAGTGAGTGATGTTATCCCCACCGGGATTCGAAATCGGTACCGATCACTTCAAACGCCAAAGCGTTATCCACTAGTTTAGTTTGATTTCGAAGCAGTTAAGGAATCATTCAAAACGAGGTGACAATGTCCAATTATTTCGTCCAAGTATAAGACTCCTCAGCCGAGCGCACCTGCAACCTGTTCATGGATTGAACCCAAAACCCTAAAATCACTCAATCCCCACAAAACTCCAAGTTAAGCTTAGTCTAATGTCTAAGGTACAACACTTATACTACTAGTCAATGATAAAAGTTGGTATTAAGTGTCATAGGAATCTAAAGGATCAACTAATCGTTTGTTTTTGGAAATTTCACACAAGTTTTTCCCTTCACAAATCTAACTAGAACGACAACAACAGTTTCAGCAGAATAGTATGAATCAAAAATAATTTAAGCATCAATTAAGGTAGGTGTTGGCATACTTGAGTCAATTTGATCGAAAATTTTCTGCTTGAATTAATTAAAAATTCAAGAAGTGAGTGAAAAGAATATTTCAAGTTTTTGTTCATCGTAGACTGACATCAGTTGGAACAGCAAAGGAAACCTAGGAGCACTGGACAGCGGCCGTCTCGTCCTAGCATCGGACTCCTCAACAGTGCGCACCCACGACCCCACCGCACCACGGATCGAACCCGCGATCTTCAGGTTCCGTGGCTAGCACGTTACCATTGAGCCACTGGATCAGAATCCAATCGTCCATATTTCCAACTTCTGTTAGCTGACGATATAGCACAACCACCATCCAATGTCATCGTTGAGTAACTGTCCTCACGACCACCAGGCTTTGCCCGCACCAGTCACAACTTCTTATTAGAGCTTTGAGAATACCTTTCGAAGCTAGTCACCAATGAGCACCAGTTCAGTTGAATTTCGGGGAAGTTGTGGAGATTGGGAAATATTTCAACTTGAAATATTTCCAAATCCTCACAACTTCCTTTAAAGTCAATTGAAAAAAATATGTTGTCTCTTTTCGGTGATTTTCATTTTCAAAGCTGTACACAATAGCAAATTTATACATTTTTCTCTTGTTGTATTGTGTTCTCTGAGTGAGCTAGGTTGTTTAATCGTGAAGCTTTCATCATCCTTCTTCTAGACACAGATATCATCAGCACTAACTTCACTATGAAGTAACCTGTCAATATCTATCTGTGAGTGATTTAGTGGCTCGTTCTGACAATGTGGTCTGTGATTAGTTGTTTCCTTCGATTGTTGTATCATTGACTGTATAGACTTTCCTGTTGGCTGTTCCTCTGCTTGATCTCTGACCTTTCTGTCGTTTATCATTTTTCCTGTTGGTTAATAGATTGATTCTATGTCTAAACATCTGTTGATTGCTGACTGACTGACCTGAAAATCAAGCTTCTAGGAATTCGCTGATATTCTTTGTGTTTCTTTTATTCCTCCAAAATTTCTACATCATCGAAATTGAATTCATGTCCATAGTTATTATCCACGTGAACTGAAATGACTGATGAAATGTCATATGTGACGTTTAGTAGCTAATTAGTACTCATGTAGACGAAGGAGAAGAGGGGGGCCACCTTGTCCAATGTAGTAATGACTACAGTTATTGAGGTTGATTTCGTAAATGATATTCGGTTTGTCTTCTTTGGTTGTTGCATACTCTGATCTGAATAATAGAGTGTGGAGAAGATTTGTTAGTTTATGAGCCACACCAGTCCCACCCAGTGGTCACAGTAATCTTGTCGTGATTTGTAATATATTCTTTATGTACGGTAGGACGATGCTTTTATTGATTTCTGTCGATGACTTTTTAGTTGACGATGCAAGGAATAAGCATTTTCTGATAAAGTTCCGTGTGTAGCCGGTCTTCTTAAGCAAGGACATCAAGTAATTTTCTTCATTTCTGAGTGACCTTGTTGTACTGCAGTATGTTCTCACTCTTCTGTGAACAGAGTCTGCACGCAACTGATTTTCTAAGAGTCTAAGGATTGAACAATTAAAAACAGTTTGTTGAGCATAGCAACACAAATAGCGTCAATAAACGAGGTGTCATTAAAATAATAAACAACAAAATACTTAATATTAATTAGAATAAGCTTGGACAATAAGTTTGGTAAATGAATTGTGGTTAGGCAGAGGATAACAAGAAGAATGAGTAGGAAATTCCTTAAGAAGTGAATAGTGTAGAAACAGAATGATGGAAAGAAAAAAAAGGTGGGAGAGGGGGGGTGAGTAGAGAAGACTGAAAACTAAGACCATGAAAGGAGAAGAGGGTTGAATAATCTTTTTTTGTGTAGATAGTTCAGGCTTCTCCATTTGGATAGCAAGGGAACGTTAAGCAGATCACTTCACAGAAAACCAATGTGGAATTTAATAGCTGGGTCCCCATGAGTCGTGAACGAAATCTGATCACCTCCCTTGCCATTCGCATTAGACGAATCTTCAATCTCGATGAGAATTCTTCGTAATGTCAATGAGGTGCTTTCCTTGTATAGAATTCTCAACAAGCCTGACTGGGATTATAGTGGCATTCCAACCAAGAAACTCACTTAGAAACAAGCTTTGTAGGTTGAAAGATCCTATTGATGCAATTAGGCAAGATAATCTGGTTTACCAGATCCCTTGCAATGATTACGTGGTCAAGTACATAGGTCAGAGCAGTCGACTAGCCAGGATGGTTGGAATAACAGAGTACAAAAACTTAACTAAATCAAGATTAGAGGATGCAAATGAGATAAGAAATCTAAAGAAAAGCTCGGCTATAGCTCTGCATGCGATGACACACAATCACATTAGTGGGGTGGGATAGAGCGACAGTGTTGAAAACTAACTTGGTTGGATGGAGGTAGGAAGAGATTGATAACCGACTTAATCTTTGTTCATCGAATCAACACCAAATTCATGCAGTAATCGAAATGATTCTTCACCTGTCCCAGATATATGGAAAATTCTACTAGCCTTGTCATCACAGAGAAGGAGAGAGAATTAGGAATATATAAAGTCTGTCTGGGAGTTGTGGAGTTAGTTACCTGATATGAATATGGACAATAAATTGTGTCCGAAATGTAATGCAGTGAATGCTACTGTTTCACTGTGTGATATTTCTAATGAACATAGTAAAATGGAATTACACTCGACCACAGTGCCCAAGTTTTACACTTATATTAAGAAACATTGAAAAAAAAAGGTGGGAGGGGGGGGGGCGAGTAGAGAATACTGAAAACTAAGACCATGAAAGCAGAAGAGGGTTCAATAATCTTCTTTTGTGTAGATAGTCCAGGCTTCTCCATTTGGAATGCAAGGGAACGTCAAGCAGATCAGTTCACAGAAAACCAATGTGGAATTTAATAGCTGGGTCCCCATGAGTCGTAAGCGAAATCTGATCACCTCCCTTGCCACTAGCATTAGACGAGTCTGCAATCTCGATGTGTTAGAAAAGGAAATTTCTGTTCTAAAGAACATTCTGATTGAAAACGGATCCCCACCAAGCTTCATAGACAAACATATCATACCTAAACCTCTCAAGGAAAATCTTACCACCATGCCAAAAAATACACTCTACATGAATCTCATTTTCAAAGGTTATTTTTACGCTGACAGTCTAAAAATTGGAATATCAAACGCTCTCAGGAGAACATTCTTTGCATCAACACTGAGACCAGTATTCTCTTATCGTCCAGAGATTTTTAACAACTCAAAGGAGAAACTTTCACATCTGACCACTTCTATGTGCGTATATCACTTCACCTGCTCTCGTGGAGTCAGGTATAGGGGTCGCTTGATATGACTGTTATGCTGCATGGTTACAAACAGGTAACAATGGGGTAATAAGGACTGCTATAACTGAACACACCGTGAACACAAATCACTCTATCTCAAAAACATTCTCGTTCGAAGTCATCTCTAAAGGGAAATTCAACATCCATAGACTGTGCATCTTCGAATTCCCTGTATCGTCGAAACTGTTGACATCCGTATGGAGAAGCCTGAACTATCTACACAAAAGAAGATTATTCAACCCTCTTCTCCTTTCATGGTCTTAGTTTTCAGTCTTCTCCACTCGTCCCCCACCTCCCACCTTTTTTTTCTTTCCATCTTTCTGTTTCTACATTATTCACTTCTTAAGTAATTTCCTACTCATTCATGTTGCTATGCTCTGCTTGATCACAATTCAGTCTCCAAACTTATTGTCCAAGCTTATTCTAATTAATATTAAGTATTTTGTTGTTTATTATTTTAATGACACCTCGTTTATTGACGCTATTTGTGTTGCTATACTTAACAAACTGTTTTTAATTATTAAATCCTTAGACTAGGAGATATATGTATAAATCTACATTTTTGAAAATGGCAATCACCGAAAAGAGACTCTTCGGTGAAACTGATGTCAGTCTTCGATGAATAACAACTTGAAATATCTCCAAATCTCCACAACCCCCTCAAAATTTAATTGAACTAGTGCTCATTGGTGACTAGCTTCGAGAAATATTCCCGAAGTTCCAATGACAAGTCGTGAACGGTGGAGTCAAGCCTGATGGCCGTGAGGACAAATACTCAACGATGACATTGGGTGGCGGTTCGCGCTATATCGTGAGCTAACAGAAGTTGGAAATATGGAGCATTGGATTCTGGCCCAGTGGCTCAATGGTAACGCGCTGTTCGCGGAACCTGAAGGTCGCGGGTTCGATCCCTGAAGGGGTTGCGGGTGCGCACTGCTGAGGAGTCCCATACTAGGACGAGACAGCTGTCCAGTGCTCCCAGGTTTCCTTTGTTGTTCCAACTGATGTCAGTCTTCGATGAATAACAACTTGAAATACTTACTATTTTTCTTCTTTGAAATCTTTATGGTTATATTTCATACAAATTCGTATTTGTATGTTTATTAAATTATTTTTGAACGATTTCTGAATATCAACATCATGTCTACTATCAATAAGGTGATAAGCAGTAGCGCTGTTGTTCTTCATTTGCCTCCTTCATGGCTGATATCACGAAAGTACACAAAGAATATCTTCCTCTGTGTCCCATTTGGGATATGAACAATTCACCATACCATTCTATTGCCAAGGGGCTGTTAGATGTCCTTCGACCAGACAGCAGATAGCTAAATACGCACAGCTTATTCGGTCCCTTCGACCTTATCGACTCAGTTATTAATGTCAATATGTCTGGTAACCGAATGATTTATCTGGATGTGTTCTCGCTCTTCACCAATGTCCTACTCACGGAAGCTATCTGTTTCCTATATGATTTCATCAAGGATGATAAATTTCACGTGAGTATCTCAAAGCAATATTTAAAGAAATCTCTTACAAGATGTACTTTCAACGTGCAGTTCAAATTCAGCAGTGATCTATGTAGACAAAAGGATGGAGTTGCCATCTAATCATTAACCCATCATCCCTTCTCTTTAACATTACGTGTAGAAAGTGGAAAGTTGAAAAGTTAAAAGTGTCATCAATGTACCTTTTATACAAATAAAGTTCCGAGATTATATCTTGAATTAGCCCATTTTTGAGCTTTTCTATAAAGATATCAGCCAGGAGAGGGCCTAATGGAGACTGTTTTGCGAAGCCGTTCATTTGATTATAAATCATATTATTATTATCACCATCATTTCTTCTCTGATACATGTCTTGTTCTTATTCATGTATAAATAGGTATATTTCGTCAGCTTCCAATAAACCTATTTATGGGGCCATCGTACTATCGACTAAGCAGAATATCTAAAAACGGTAGCAGCTCGTTCGTACCCTCGTCATATATACATGGCTATGCCATAGACATATCACATCACCAAGCTTTTCACATTCATCAACAACATTAAAATATCTCTTACAAAATGAAAAACTTCAAATAAAATCATCAGCTAGATTTTAAACATATGGCATATAAACACATTAGATAGGTCTGATTTACTAGGACTACTAATGGTAGCTGTAGTAACTTGCCAGGATAATAACAAAATTTATTTCATGAAAATTCTATGACCAATCGAGAAAGATGCTTAGTTAGCATTACTAGTCAGTGCTGTCTGGTTTTTCCACTTTACATGCTCAGCGTGAAATCCAGTAGAAGAAACAATCGTAAAGTAAAACGAGTTATTCTTAAACTTCTAGTTTTTGAATGAAGAAACTAACTTCTAAGTTAACCGTTACACTGTATAGTAGGTTATAAGTCCACTCAACTGTTTAAGAAGTGATACATTTTACTTTTTGTTTAGTATTTAGCTACTTATATGTAAAAAGTAGTATACTTATATAGTGTTCATTTTATCTTGATCAAATCTTAACCAAGTGATTTCTCGATTAATTTATATATGAATTTTAATTACAACATACAGGATGCTTTACGATTAATTGGAGAAGTACATTTTCCAAATCTTCAGCTTGATACAGATAAGATAGATTTTGGTTGTATACTGAATAATACAGAAATGACTAAACATTTGAATATGAAGAATGTAAGTCCTTTACCAGTGAAATTTCGTTGGAGTCTACTGATTGGTGATCGAACTAACATTATATTTAAACGTCAAGCTCGTTTAACAGAATATCATCCATCTGAAGAGATTAATGGAACTGTACACTTTAATGAAAGTGATAATAAAATCTATGAGCAAATCGATGAAATCGATAACAATAATAAAATCAATGAATCTATCCCAATCATTCCAACTATTGAGATAAATACACAAAAAAATGATGAGAATATACTAGAGAGTATGGATCCTAATTCATTAACACCTAAGAATAGTGTATTATGTAATCTACTTGAAGAAGATGGAGATATTGTACCATTAGGTATTGAAGAATTATTTGATATTGTACCATTATATGGTGAAATTATTCCAGGTGAATCAATTTCTTTAAGTTGTACATTTTTGGACATTCTGATATAGAAGCCTGTGTAATTGCTTTATGTGAAGTTGATGGTGGTCCAGAATATAAAATTGAATTAAAAGGTTCTGCATCTGAGATTAATTATATAATTGATCAAACTGATATTAATCTCGGTTATAATAGAATGGATAAACCAATAATATATAAATTTAATATAATGAATATAGGAAAAGTTAATTTTAACTTTTCAATTAATTTACCATCATATAGAAAATCTAATGAAAATATTCAAAAATCAATTTTATTCAATTATGAACAATATGGTCAACTTAAAATTGAACCATTATATGGACAAGTGAATAGTTATAAATCATATTCAATTCAATTAACTTATATTTCATTTCGTCCAGGATATTTTGAACAAGAAATTGATATAATAATTGGACATTTTTTACCAAAACGTATTAAATTTTATGGTATAACAGAATTTGCTCATTTAATTTTAAATTTACCGCGTACACTTAAGTTGTTAAATGTTCAATCATTGAATATTGAACATGAATTCAATATTAATAAAAATTATTCATTATTCAATTATACACCTTGTGTATATGAATTAACTATGCAAAAATTAATTAATTATTTATATAAAGAAATAATAAAATTAATAGAATTATGGGAAAAACAAGAAAATATTTTAATGATTTGTTTATGTAAGACAATATTTTCAACTAGTTCATTATTATCTTGTATAAAAAATAAAAAACAATTAAATGAAATTTTTATTCATGATAAAAATTGTTTTATTACAAAAGCATTAAAACAAATTTTAGCTAAACAATATAATTTAGTTAATAAATTACCTGAAAATATTTTACAACTTATACCAGATATATATTTACAATTAGATGCAGAATGTGCACATATTTGTAGTTTATTGAATAATCCTACAGATGTCATGCATAACAATACAAATTCTAAGAGTAATGTTCATCAATTGAATATAATCACAGAATCAGAGGAACCATTAAAACCTTTACCATTAAATAAGTAAGTAGTGAATAGTGTTGTATATGTTTTTATGATTAAAGGTTAACAAATTTCATTTCTCAAAGTTTTATAGGTTTGTCGAGACCTATTCATTGAATCCAAATTAGTATTCATTGTAGACTAATGAAAAGATCCTAGAAGAAGATTTGGATTTCATTGATGAATATGATTAATGTGTAATGTCACAAAAATACAAAGATCTACTAAGCGAAAACTAACAAGTTGACAGTAGAGGCAACGAGAGGTGAGGCGGTGAAGGAAGATAGAACTTCTTTCAGATGAACGTAGAGAAGACGCAGATGATGAAGATACCCAACTAAAAATAACAATAAGAAGCACTAATCACCATCAACCTGACTGTGATCGACTGAATCATGTAGCAAACCGTGAGGAGGCTGGACCAATGAGAAGAGCCAAGAAGATTTGGATTTCACACATGGTAATGATTTACGCCTAATGTCTAGTGTTGCACAAACTCGAAGATCTACAGGAGAAAACTAACAAGTTAACAGAAAAGGCAAGGCAGCGAAAACAGAACTTCACGTGAATGTAGAGAAGATGGAGGTGACGAACATATCCAACGAACAACAGCACCAATCACCATTAACGGAAGAAACCTAAAGGAAGTAGTCACTTTCACCTACCTAGGAGAGTCAACATCATTTCAACTTACAGTGTCACAGGTACAGATGAGGATGTTAAACTTACAAATGGAAAGACAGCAAGCCAAGCCTTCCTACATCAATCTGAAATCACTGTGGAGGTATACTCCACTCCACTCAGCATAAAGCATGTACAACATCCGGATTTTCAACAACAATTCAGTGAAGTCAATGCTTCTATGTGATGGTTGGGAAAGTTGGCACGTCACGAAAAGCACTTCCAACAAACTACAGGCATTCATCAACATCTGCCACCTACGCTTGCTGACTCGATACTGAAGATGAGATGAGATGGCTAGAATAATTCGAATAAGCAGGGACGAACTCTGGGGACGAGACAACCAACAACCAATCGCCCAATAAATATGCAGAAGGAAGTGGAGATGCATTGGGCATATACTGAAAAAACTGTTATGAGACATCATATGCCAGGCCAGGCTCTGGAGTGGAATGCAAATGGGAAGTGACGATTTGTTTGTGTGAGGGTAACATGGAGAAGATAGTGTGTGAGGAAGAAATGAAAGCTCATGGGGAGTGGTGGAGCGAAGTTAAAAAGAGTGCAGAGAAGAGAGTGGAATGAAGGTGTGCTACTGAAGGTGTATGTTCCCCTAGGAACCCAAGGGACAAATAATAATAATTTCAGAGAAAGAGGTTGTACATACATCTTTTGAAAGCATAATGATGGTTTGAATTTTTGATGTCTTTCGAGTGACTTGAATGAATTTTGTACAGAATTTTGAATGATTTATCGTAAGGAGCCAAATATCTTCAGTTTACTGAGTATTATTTTACAGAGTTGAGGATACATTACCATCCTCCTCTTGTCAGCTAAGTTCAATTGTGTTCGCAAGCACGTTGTATTAGCTGACATATGGTATAGTTCATGTACTTGGCTCCATAGGGCCAATTAAACTGATATGCACAGACTGCTGTGCAACAACGCTCCAGTTTATCATTCGCGTACTGACGAGTGAGGTTCTGGTAGAAGACTAAACTCCGATATTAATCTTAGTGACTAGGAGAGGAATCCAGGACACATGTTTCGTCCCATATGAGACTCGTTAGCTGGATGTATCTGCACCCTAGTACAGAGTGATGTTATTCTCAATACTCTTTGCTTCAAACACCAAAGCGTTATCCACTGGAGTATGATAGCCACCTCTTATGCAATGGGTGTCAGTTGTTGTAATGATACTTGTAATTTCTCGTTGCTATACACCTGAACATATTGAAATCGTCTTTTATAGACATTTCTTACTTAAGAAGCATTACATGTTTAGTATTAGACTTAACTAGAGTTCAACGAAACTTCAGTGAAGGTCGTCTTATATGCAAGCATACATTCTCACTAAACTGACCAATCACACAAGAGGAGAGTGGTGTAAGCAAACGAATAACACTGATGTATCGGTATAAGCTTGAAATCGTTTGGTTTGTTCCATTATATTTTTGGCAAAAATCTTAAAGAATTTAATTCACCCCAATAAGCTAAGGGTATATGATTATGGTGTCAGAAATGAAAACAATTAAACCTTCAAACCTTCACTCCGTATCAATAATACAAGAGTTTCAAGCTATTGCCACCTTGAAAAGTTTCACTAATGATCAACATCATACTCCTTCTATGCAATTCACTTTGATTATAATGCTCTATAGAATTCGATCAGTACTCAGGACCCCTGACAACTCGAGATTCGTTGCCTTCAAATAACCAATCGATATAAATTAACAAGTTTTTCAATCATCTAAAACATCATCTGAAGTAAATAATAAGTCAGGTTTAATAGTTATCATGAAGATAATATATATGAATGCATCTAAACATAGGCTTCAGTTATCAAGAGGATACTGACTGATACATTAACATTGCTTTATGTTTGACGATTTTTTCAGTTTAAATTCCCTTCGACCTAGTATTGAATAACAAAGGAGATGATAACTTGATATACTTCATGGAGAACTTCATGAATTAGATAATATTTTTCCAACCTAAATCTCTACGCTTCACCTTTCCATTACAAACATATTTGTCCCACAACATATTGACGATCCAATAAAGTCAATACTGTTGAAGCACTTTAGAAGCCTCTTTATCACATTATTATTTATTGTCATACGTATTATTCTTTGTTGTTTGTTTTGTTGAATCGAATTGTTCGACCTCTATTGGCATATGAGCTCCTATACAGATGCCTCGATATTGCCTCATTGTTAATTATGATAAATTAGTTGGTTGTGCCTAGCAGAGGAATCTAGGACGCGCATCTCACCTCATTCGGAACTCATCAGTTGGATACACCTGGACCCCAATAGAGAGTGTTGTTCGGAGTGAGACTTGAATCTCATACCCATCACTTCAAACGCCAAGGCGTTATCCCCTATGCCACGGAGGAACGATAGCCACTTCCTGTACAACTAGTAGTAATTATTACTATTTATTGACATACTTGTTATTCTCCGTTGTTTGTTTTGTAGGATCGAATTGTTCGACCTCTATTGGCATATAGGCTCATATGCAGATGCCTCGATATTGCCTGAATGTTAATTATGATGATTTTGTTGATGCGCGTAGTTATAACTACTACCCATTGTGCAAGAAGTGGCTATCGTTCCTCCATGGCATAGTAGACAATGCCTTGGCATTTGAAGTGATAGGTACGAGGTTCGAGTTTCAATGGGAACAACATCGCTGCGCACTGGGGTGCGGGTACATCCAGCTGACAAGTCCCCAGCAGGACGGAACGCGCGTCCTAGACTCTTCTGCTAGCCATAATCAACCAAATTATCATAACTGATATGATAAAATATCAACTATTCATTCAAAATTTCATCAATACATTTTACTTTATTTTTGTTTTATGATTCCAGTTTATCATTACCGCACTATTTACTTGATTTCGGTATTGTTATCATGGGAACAAGTGTTAAACAATGTATATATGCTATTAATACAAGTTATGAACCAATTACTTTTCGTTTCGATACAATATCATTATCAAAAGCTAAACAATTAGGGTTTAATACGAATATTACAAAAATTCATCATTTACCCGGTTATCCTGATTATGAAAAATTACAATTGGAAATTACATTCGATACAAAACAGATAAGTCAAATAGATGATAGTTTAATTCAAACAGAATTAATTATTAAGGTAAGTTGTTCTGTTGGTTACTTTTTGCTTTATCTTACTCTTTTTATCCATTATCTAGTGGATTGATATTGATATATATTATTTGAAGGTATTTCGTCTCATCTGCTACTCATCAGTAAGTAGAATCCATTGTCTTGCGTTGATTCTTGCATACAACATCTATCATGTCAACAAACCTTCGGCTGAAATAAAATAATAGTTAACAGACATATCCGGGTTAAGTGTTTCGTCATGGATAAAGCTCATCAGCTGCTGAATCAGATAAAAACTTGGACCAGACACCTAAACGTTTTTTGCAGTCTAATGGCAAAAATTACTTCTCGGTGTGTTTCGTTATTATTATTTATCCTTTGGTTTCCTAGTAAAATATATGGCTTCAGTAGCATATAGCCATTTCACTCTCTTCTCTTCAGTCTTTTTAACCTGACTCCATTACTACTCACAAGCTTTCATTTCTTCCTCATACGATCTCCTTCATGGCTCCCTTGGCTCAGACGCCTAACTCGTCGTTTCCCATCTGGGTTCCACTCATTTTCTTCTGAATATTTTTTGGGTGATAGGTTGTTGGTTGGTTGGTTCGTTGCCAGCCAGCTAGCCAAAGTGATTTCTTTCTTACTTATTGTTTCTAGCCTTCTGATCTTCAGTGTCAGCATTGAGTGAGCGTATGCGGCAGCTGTTGATGATGTATGTATGCAGTTTGTTGAAAATGCTTTTCGTGACGCGCGGAGTCTCTCAACCATCACATGGAAGCACTAACTTGACGTTAGTGTCGAAAATCTGGCAAACTTGTATTACTCCTGTACAAACTTCACTTCAAAGGCATCATTGAGCTTTCCATTGTGAACCACTTGGTATGTAGCATCATATAGCGTATAGCTGCTGTTGAATGAGGTTGATAAAGGTTTGTGGCACTAAACCCGTAGTGCTGAAGCAATTCCCCGCCAAATTACTTCTCAGTCGACACCTCGATGGAAAGCCTTTTCAAAGTCGATGAAGTTGAGGTAAGGTAAAGATTTGATTGGCATTCTATGCTCTGTTCTACGATGATACGTAGAGTAGCGATGCAATTTGATGGATACATGATTTGTTCTTCCTGAAGGCAGCTAGCCTGTTCAAGTGGTGAATTTGAATCCAGAGGATTTTTTTATTATCTCCATGATTATACGGCCTAATACTTTGCTTGCGGTGGATAGAAGCATGATTCCGCATCAGTTCTTGCAAAGACTTAGGTCACCTTTGTTTGGGAGTTTGACAAAGTAACCCTTCTTCCAAACGGCAGGTACTCATCCACTCACATTTCTTATCTAATATCACATCTTGGTTTGGCCTTTCTAAACCCTCTTCCAAATTAATGCGCGTCGAGGTGGGCGGTGATTCAGCATATGCAGTACATGTCCAAGCCATCTCAGCTGGCTAAGTTTGACAACCTAATCAATCGACTTACCTATCTTGCCTGATACCCCCTCCCCCACCTGATCTCAACACTACCCACCTGGTGATTCCATTGCACGTGAGTAATGCTACAAAGATATTTGTGACCAAAGCTCTATAATCGCTCCATGTCTTCTACTTTTGACAATCATATCTCTCAGCCGTATAACAGGACTAAAGGGACTGTAGCTCAGCATGCTCATCCATGAATACATAGTTGGATATCTTGCCGTTGGCACCGCAGATAATGCAAGCTGGTAAATACTAGCTGAACCTTTTGTATCCTATCTAAGATTTCGTCATCAACCTCTTCTTTTAGGCTCGTGCAACATCCCGAATAAGTGTTGCGCTTATCAGTCATCCTAGTTACTGAACGACTGTGAGATAACATTACCGAAGTATAGGTAGATTATCTGGCTTAAACTGTTAGCAAGTGATAAACCACTGACTGGAGACTTTTGATGATGCAGCAGAAAACAGATCTCTATGGTGTGTATTCCTCAAAATTCTAAGCCTTTTCACTAAGCTTTGTTTAACTATGATCTTAATTTATTTTAAAATCGTTTTAGCGATATCTACTTCTTCTTTGTACGCTGTTGTGAACCGCAATGGCTTGAACTGACACAATCTTTTATATACAGTTGCCAAGGTCAAGAAAGGTTAATTACAGTCTCCTTCTAAGTAAATAGATAAGGTTGAAAATGTTTGATACCGAGAGCTCCTGCAAACCATAATAAATATGGTGTTCTTCTTTCGTCGATTATTCTGAAGAATTGAGAAACATCTATTTGATGTTCTATTCACATCAGATGCTTGATGATTGTGCTGGTAAAGACCTTGCTACTATTCGGATATAGATTTCTGGAAATATCGTCATAAAATCGAGGACCTATCCTAGTTCATTTCGAGTGAACATAACTGAACTCTGAGATCAAGGAAGCGACATATTATTGCAGCTTTGTCGATGATACTTTCATTGTTTGTGATAACATGAATGATGCATCAAAGTTGTTCGACACCTTCAATCAAGCTCATCCAAATAATAATTTTACAGTGGAATACGAAAGTGAGGAAATATCCAATTTTTTGGACCTAAGTATAAGACAAAAAACTATCCACAGGAAAGACACGTGGATTGGTCAGTGCCTTGACTATAGTAGTTTCTGTCCTGTCAGGTACAACCGTGGTTTAGTCGGAACGCTATTCACTAAAATAAAAATGCTCTGTTCTAAATAAGAAGAATTCGGGATAATTGAGAAAGCTCTTATAAAGAATTCATATCTGAAGAAATTTATCGTGAAGCATAGAAAAAACATATTGAGAGACCCAAGCATCCAACTGTTGAGATGATGCCTATTTTCCTTCGCCCAGCATTCAAAGGTTATAAGACATCTAAAATAATAGACAGAAAAATAAAAGCTTCACTGAGAAGGAGCCTCCCTGCTGCCAGAGTGATCTCAATTTACAATACATCATGCTTAATAATACAGTGGAAAGTAGACACGCAGACCCTTCTCATGTCATCAACTGCGTATATCAACTCACCTTGGCTTGTAGAAGCAAGTACATAGGATGGACTGAAAGAAGAACGTCTACTCAATTTAATGACCGTATTCTCAGAAATCTATGTCTCAATTTTAGCAAGGTCATTACCAGCGTTGCAACTAAACTAGAACAGCCAACAGGAAAGTCTACACAATCAATGACACAACAATCGAAGGAAACAACCAGTCACAGACCACAACGTCAGAGCAAGCTACTTAATCACTCACGAAGAGATATCGACAGCTCACTTCATACTGAAGTTATTGCTGATGATGTCGATGTCTAGAATAAGGACGATGAAAGTTTCACGATTAAACAACCCAGCTCAGAGAATACAATATAACCAAGACCATCCACCTGAGCTACAAATATTCTCCATCACTATTAATCTTGTGTTTCCCTACCTTGTTCACTACCTTGTTATTAATTCTGGATTTCAAGCATTTCATGCTAACATTACTATCACTAATACTTCATTACAATTGTAGACTCTTCGCAGTTGATGAAACATCATGAAACAAAATGAACACATTTTATTCTACAAACATCTTTGCCCTTGCATTTTCCAAATTTGTCAAGGGAACTACGTATGTGACGTTTCTGAAAATAACACAATTTTCTTGAAAAGTTCTACATTAATCTGCATAGTTATCCATCAGTTTTAATCTAGACTGAATCTTATTTTATGCGAAATTTAAGTGTTTCCAATCTACCTCCGTGTTGAACTTCTTAATTCCCCACTCCATCCCATCACCAAATCACTTACATATCATGAAGTAGGTAAGATGTTGCCTAAAAGTGAGTAGTGTCTAATATCTAGGATTAAACAGACAGATAGATAGGCAAAATCAACGTAGGGCCTCGCATACAAATGGATCCCTTCAGGTTATCACACTAAACGTTAGTGTATACATAACAAGTGGATAGGAAAAGTTGTTTTGATACTTATAATTCCTATCGCTCAACAAATATGCAGAAGGAAGTGGAGATGGATTGGGCATACACTGAGAAAACCATTCGGAGACGTCACGCGCCACGCCAGGCTGTCGAGTGGAAGCCAAATGGGAAACGGTGAGTTGGGCGTCTGAGCCGAGCGTGACATGGAGGAGGTGGTGTGTGAGGAAGAAATGAGAGCTTGTGGGCAGTCGTGTAGCTAGGTTCAGAAGATTGCAGAGAACGGAGTGCACTGGAGACGCGTTACTGAATCCCTATGTTCCACTAGGAACCCAAGAGACAAATAAAAATAAAATAATAATAATTCTCGGTTGGTATAAAGAACTGAATCGCCCAACCTCTGGTGGTGAATGAGCTGTCATACGAATGCCTCGATACTACCGGATATTCATGATATCAAAGTACACAAAGGTGTATGAGAGGAGAAGAAATTTGAAAATGAAGGTTAGTTAAAACATTCAAGCTTTAGAAGATGTTAGGCAGTGAATACTTATCCACCATTGTGATTGATTTTCAGTCATGTCGCCGAGTTCTCAACTATCGATTCTTATTGTTTCGGGAGTTTTAGCTGTATACACTCCACCTTTCCATATGGCTCAGCTCAACAATCAAGGACTTCATCGACTGGTGCCACATCTTCATATGCCCACCCTTACCCCTCTCCCAATTTTATCCAACTCCCTGTAGCATGATACATCAAAGTAAGTTGTGACTTAAGGTGACATGAGCAATACATGTTCAAGTAGTGTCTGTCATTGAAGGTTCATAACCTCCCATTCCTTACCTAGTACCTTTCACCTTAACTCGACATTACTTCAGTAATGCTAAAAAGACGCCTGTAACCACTTCATATGTTTTGCTTTTAAAGACCATTTCTAACGATCGTAAAACAGGATAGAATGGACTGTGGCGTAGTATACTTGTCGTCTGATAGATAGTTGGATATCTCGAAGGTGGATCCCAAAGATTACTCACGTTGGCTAATACCAAACGAAACCTCTATATCTGATCTAAGATTTTGTCAGCAACCAGTTTGTGTGAACCAATGCATCTTCCCAAGTAAGTGGGTTGTCCAATGCATTCAACCGTTTCACTTCCTATCCTTAAACAAGAAGTGATTGGAGATTGGTCCTACAGCATCATATTATATTTGTGAGTAGAAAAGAAATACCAAACACTTTCTCACTGTCTTCACATTAAATATATACACTCAACTATGTGAAATGTATCATTGACTGCAATCATTTTCTAGTTGTGAATTCCTCAACCGCGTCTACCTACAAATTCCAAGAAATATTAGGTCTCACAGTTAGCATGTTGACATTCAACCGTCTATACTTTCTTCGATCAATTTTCGATTCAATAGTAACACTTTTCCAAACTGATTAACTTCATATATCTTAACTTTTGATTTGAACTTCAAGAAATCCATCTCAAAACAAGCTAATGATAAGTGTATTTGAAAGCCTTTTTCATTCTAGTTTATAGGAAGATTTTTAGAATCCATCTGTAGAGGAGAAAAGCAAGACAGGCGTTCATTAGCCTGAAACCAGTGTGGAGATCTTCTGCACTCAGCATCTGGAACAAGATACGGATTTTCAACACCAACGTCAAGTCAGTGCTCTTGTATGGCTCAGAGACTTGGCGCGTCACGAAAGGGATTTCCAATAAACTACAGACATTCATCAACAACTGCTTACGCTCGCTGCTGAAGATCAGATGGCCAGAAAAAATAAGCAACAAGGAACTCTGGGAACGAACCAACCAAGAACCTATCACGCAACAAATATGCAGGAAGAAGTGGAGATGGATTGGGCATGCACTGAGAAGGCCGACTGAGGACATCACGCGTCAGGCCAGTTGCTCGAGTGGAATCCCCATGGGAAGCGACGAGTTGGACGTCCGAGGGTGACATGGAGGAGGTCATGCGAGGAGGAAATGCGAGCTTCTGGGCTGTCGTGGAACCAGGTTCAAAAGATCTCAGAGAACAGAGGTCACTGGAGGCGTGCTACTGAAGCCCTATGTTCCACTAGGAACCCAAGGGACTAATAATAATAATAATAATCTGTAGAGGAGAATATATTGTCATTTATCTATTGTTTATCCTTTATATAACATAAATATCTGTTAATCCGTTAATCTTTGTATAATTTGAACAATTTGTTTTTAGGTTTTGAATGGTCCATCAGTTTCAATATGGCTTAAAGCAAATATTATAAAACCAATGCTTAAATCTCATATAAATAATATTGATTTTGGTGAAGTTCAACGTGGTGAAGCACGTTTGATCACTGTACAATTATATAATCCATCACCTGTATCAATAAAATGGAATCAATCAATTACTGAATTACAAACTCATAAAAATATTATGGATACAGTTTATCCAATTCGAATTTGTTATAAATCACGGCAAAATAGACTCAAAGAGAAACAATTACGAATATTTGAAGTAGTACCTAACAGAGGAATTCTACAACCTAATGAGAAGACTAATATCCAGGTAATAACAGTTTGGTTATATTCTATATATGAACTTTATTTACCATATTATTTATTATTTATTTGTCCCTTGGATTCCTAGTGGAACATACGACTTCAGTAGCACGCCTCCATTGAATTCTCTTCTCTGCAGTCTTTTCTTCTAACCTGACTCCACGTCTGCCAACAACCTTTCATTTCTTCCCAACACACCATCTTCTCTTTGTCGCCCTCTGCTCATGTGTCGCGTGATGTCCCCAGTTGGCCTTCTCAGTGTATGCCCAATCCATCTCCACTTCCTTCTGCATATTTGTTGAGCGATAGGTTGTTGGTTGGTTCGTTGCGATGCTAGAGCGAATTCCTTCTTGTTTAATCTTTCTGGCCATATGATCTCCAGTATCAAGCGTAGACAGTTGTTGATGAATGTCTGTAGTTTGTTCGAAATGCTTTTCATAACGCGCCAAGTTTCTCAACCATCTCATAGAAGCACTGACCTAACTGAATCGGTGTTGAAAATCCGGATGTTGTTCACGCTTTACGCTGAGTGGGGTGCAGTGGATCTCCATACTGATTTCAGACTGAAGAAGGCCTGTCTTGCTGTCTTTTTGATCCTGGCTTTGACGTCATCGTGTGTACCACCGCTGCCTGTAGTTGAAATGATGCTCTCTAAGTGGGTGGGTTGGTGAATGAGACTTCCATTAGGTTTCTCTCGTTGATAATAACTGGTGCATTTTGTTGTTTGGGTATCTTCATCACCTCGTTCTCCTCTACATCCACCTGAAGGAAGTCCCGTCTTCCTTCTCTGCCTCTTCTGTCAACTTGTTAGTTTTCGCCTGTAGATCTTCGAGTTTGTGCGGAAAGACATTGGACGTAAATCATCTTTGGCGAAATCCAAATCTTCTAGGATCTTTTCCCCGGTCTAGCGTATTCCGCTCTTCTCGCTCCTCATGGTTTGTTGCATGACTTAGTCCACCACAATCAGGAAGATCATCCGTGATAGCAGATGGGAGCCTTGTCTTACTCTTGTCTTCACTCCACTTCAAAGGCATCACTGAGCTGAGCTTTCCACTGTCAGTCACTTGGCATGTGGCGTCTTCATATAGCTGTTGAATGAGGTTGATAAAGATTTGTGGCACTAAAGCCATAGTGTTGAAGCAACTGCCAAATTACTTCTCTGTCGACGCTGTCAAAGGCCTTTTCGTAGTGGATGAAGCTGAGGTAGAGATCTCGTTGACTGACATTCCATACTTTGTCCTATCATGATGCGTAACGTAGCGTTGCAATTTGGTCCGCACATGATTTGCACTTCCTGAAGCCACCCAGCCTGTTCCCGTCATAACTGTGAATCCAGAGTACCCCTTAGTTTCTCAAAAATGATACGGCATAATATTTTGCTTGCTTTGGGTGGACAGGATCATGACTCCGCACCAGTTCGTGTTTTTGCAAAGACTTAGGTCTCCCTTCTTTGGAAGTTTGACAGTATAGCCCTTCCTTCAATCAATGGGAAGCTATGTAAAAGGAAATAGTCAAGACAAACTGATATGTCTTTTGTGACATGATAAACGTTATTTACTCATAAAAATATTCTATACTTAAATCTTCATAAAATGTGCCATTATTCTCATAATGTCAATATCATCTTTTATTCTATTTATGGTGTACAGATTAAATTTACACCAATTGAAGAGAAACGTTATGAAACAAAAATTCTATTGAATATTGAAAATAGTGATACAGTATTAAAAATTCAATGTCATGGTAAAGGTTTAGAACCTCAATTAATATTTGATCGTAGTCTATTACAATTTTCACCAACTTTACCATTTTCACCAACTGGAAGCGAAGAAATTGTCACCGTAACAAATCCTTGTGATTATCCAATAGAATTTTATTCAATTGAATTAGATAAACAATTTGCACAGGTAATTTTTTTATTGAAATGGAATTTTTTATTTGTTGAGTTATTGTATCGAAAAAGATGACAACTGCATACTGTGACCTATTAGTAATGATGGAATCGAGGAATTTATTCGATCGGTTTCCTACTCGTTGGTACTCATTAGCAAGGCATATCCGCAACCTTAAGAGAACTGATAATCTTACAGAGATTCAAACCTGCATAACTTATTGTTGACATCAGAAGCGTCATCACTAAGCTGTTTAGGACACAACTGAATCCCTGAAGGACTTCATTAAATAGCTAGCAAACTCGAAGATCTGCAGGCAAAAACTAACAAGTTGACACAAGAGGCGAGGAGGCGAAGACGGGACTTCAAGTGAATGTAAAGAAAACATAGGTGATGATGATATCCAACCAACGTCACCAACAATAACAAGCTCCAATCACCATCAATGGGAGAAACTTGAAGGAAGTAGCCTCTTTCACCCACCCTCCTTGGCAGCATCCTTTCAACTACTGGAGGAGGCACAGACGAGGAAGTCAAAGCAGCCAGGATAAGAAAAGGAAGTCATAGCAGCCAGGATCAGAAAAGCAAGACAAGCTATCATTAAACTGAAACCAGTGTGGAGATCTTCTGCACTCAGCATAAAGCGTGAAAAAAATCCGGATTTTCAACACCAATGTCAAGTCAGTGCTGCTATATGGTTCAGAGACGAGAAGCATTTCCAACAAACTACAGACATTCATCAACAACTGCCTACACTCATTCGATACTAAAGATGAGATGGCCAGAAAGAATAAGCAACAAGGAACTCGCTGTGGCTGGCTGGCAACGAACCAACCAACAACCTATCACTCAACCAACATGCAGAAGGAAGTGGAGATGGATTGCCTTCAGTAGCACGCCTCCATTCCACCCTGTTCTCTGCAGTCTTTTGAACCTGGCCCCACGACAGCCCACAAGCTCTCATTTCTTCCTCACACACCACCTCCTCCACGTCACGCTCGGCTCAGACGCCCAACTCACCGTTTCCCATTTGGCTTCCACTCGACAGCCGTGACGTGGCGCGTGACGTCTCCGAATGGTCTTCTCAGTGCATGCCCAATCCATCTCCACTTCCTTCTGCATGTTGGTTGAGTGATAGGTTGTTGGTTGGTTCGTTGCCAGCCAGCCACAGCGAGTTCCTTGTTGCTTATTCTTTCTGGCCATCTCATCTTTAGTATCGAATGAGTGTAGGCAGTTGTTGATGAATGTCTGTAGTTTGTTGGAAATGCTTCTCGTCTCTGAACCATATAGCAGCACTGACTTGACATTGGTGTTGAAAATCCGGATTTTTTTCACGCTTTATGCTGAGTGCAGAAGATCTCCACACTGGTTTCAGTTTAATGAAAGCTTGTCTTGCTTTTCTGATCCTGGCTGCTTTGACTTCCTCATCTGTGCCTCCTGCAGTAGTTGAAAGGATGCTGCCAAGGAAGGTGGGTGAAAGAGGCTACTTTCTTTAAGTTTCTCCCATTGATGGTGATTGGAGCTTGTTATTGTTGTTGTTGGATGGGTGTCTTTCGTTCAGTTAGTATTATTTAAAGTTGTCAGTATTATATCAGTGTGCATGGTTTAAATCATATTCACTGCTATACCGATTAAGGAAATGAATTTTTCACTAATTCACTACTGATAGTAGTATGAAGGTGTAATCATAACGCCAATACAGCAATTTTAGGGTTATTTAGTCAACTGTGTTAGGCTATAATCACTTCCATATGATGATTAATAGATTTTCAATCAAATATGTCTTTGAATATTGACTTAAGCATAAAGAGAACACCGATTTATCAGCGTTTAGATAAGGCACCGGAGTATAAACAGTTAAGATAAATTAGGCGATGAAGATTCAAGCTCATTGAATGAGATAACTGGGAATTATACCATACGTAGTAAAATCAAGGCAATTATTACCTATCCAGTTCGAGCCCAGGAGACGCTAAGAAATGGTTCATTTTTATAGCCAACATCAACGACTTATTATGTATTTATTTAATCTGAGGCTTGATTAGAATTTAAAATGTCTTGTTACTCTGATCTTGATGACCAGTAGATGAATCTAGGACATGCGTTTCGACCCATTTGGGACTCGTCGGGGTCGAGTAATGTTCTTCTCATTGAGGCTCGAACCCAGCACTCTTCGCTTCAGACACCAGAGTGTTACCCACGAAGCCACAAGGGACGCAATAGCTATCTCTTATGCAACAGGTACCAGTTGTTGTTATGATACTTTTAATTTGCTTTTAAATCGGTCGACCTCTGTTGGTAGATGGGCTCCTATGCGGATGCCTTGATACCGACAAATATTCATGATGTTACCCTTCCGTTTTGACCGCTATCATATACAATTAAGTTATTCTAAAAAAATTTTATCCCCCCCCTGATTTTCTGTTTTTTGTTGCTATACATCCCGACACCACAAATGAAAAACTGTTTTCGACGTATAGGAGTTAATAGCAATGAATTCTGAGCTAATTATCTGCTAGATTTCATAACTGTACTCAACCTTTCCTAGAATCTGCAAGCTGTCCTCAGCTATTCATATTTTTGATGGGGATATATGGAAATTAATGTAAATTAAAGCAGTTTTCATCTTGGAGTTATATGAGTTAAAGGGCTTCTTAAAATCACAGAGCATTACATAATAGTTTCGCCTACCTTTGATAGTCTTTAAGAGTGCATACACATGACTATGAGGGGAATCGAGCCTAAGATTGTTGAGTTGTGTAACCTAGCGCGTTCTCATTCATTGAACAGTCCATGTTTTCCTACTTTTGTTAATTCTAAAAAAAATATGCGTACCAAAGATATTATATCCATTTAAATTCTTGGAGGTGATTATCAGTAGTTTTGAACGTTGAGACAAGTATTATTTACTCGTATTGTAAAGATGATGTTCGATTTTGGATAGCAGTAAAACTTTAAATTATTGTCCAAGAGTTCTATCAATGGTGATAAAAGACTCAGCAATTAATTCATTTTCAGTTTCAGTTTAATTTCTTGTATTTAAAATGATATTCTGTTGGGATCATTTCTCATGAGAACTGACTTGCAACCTTTCCGAACTTGAGTGATGGTGGTACTCAGATAACAAAAGACAAGTAAATTGCCACTAACAGAAACTAAATAACAAAGTACTGTTGTATACCTTATGAAATAGACAAAACCTTTGTTTTGATACTAATAATGGATAGTATTTAGTATTGGAAAGCATAGTACGGGTTTTGTCCGACACGGGACTTATCAGCTAGATGTACCTGCTTCCCAGTGCGGAATGATTTTGTTCCCACCAGGACTCGGACCCAGGAGTGATCGCTTCAAACGTCAAAGCGTTATCCACTACACCACCTACCCACAATAGCCACTGCTAGCCATGATCCATCATTAATATAATTAGAAGGCAGGCAATATTAAGGCATCCACAAAGGAGCCCATATACCAATAGAGACCGATCAATTCGGTCCAATCAGCGATGGTATGATATAAAAAAAATTATACCAGATATTTAGTATGTTGTAATAAGTGGTCAATAGCAGCATCAACTAGGGAACTATTTCTTCCTCAATGAGTTTACATTCCATTATGAAGCCATCATGATAGTTAATAGTATTGACTGTGGCCCCAAACACATAGAAATTACGACAAAATAAAGTAATTAGGGTGAAATAAAACTCTGGGTTGAACTAAACTAGTTTTACTTGTACTTTAATAACGTAAACAGAAGTTGTAACTAGGCGTAATGAGTATCTTTAAATGGATATAAAGTAAAATAGATAATGAAGACATTTTATTCACTTTCATCTCTTGAGAACGTTCGAATCTATTCTAGTGGTTTTATATAACGAAATCGTTTGAATGAAAGTTCCTTAGATTGATTGTACAGACAAATAGGAAAGTAACAAGATTCCTCTTCTTTAAATTGACCGCAAAAATGAATGTAAATTGTGTTAGCTGGATGAAAGCAATCGGCAGGAAGTCCTGAACGATCTAGATTTCTTGCTTGTTGACACTTGTCAGCAAGATGTATCTGCAAGCTCAATAGACATGATGTCCCGTCCTCGTAACCTAATGTTTTAGTTAGCGACGTTACCACTGAGCTATTCAGGCCACGACTGATTTCTTATAGGACTGGATTAGATACGTTGATCGGTCATAGGAGGGAAACCAACTTCATGTTGGATTTAGGGAGTTTGTGAAGATTTAGAGATTTTTTCAAGTTGGTATTCATCATGGACTGAGACCAGTTGGCGAAACATTAAAAACCTGGTAGCACTGGAAAGCTGTTTCGTCGTAAAACGGGACTCTTCAACAGTGTGCACCAACGACCTTCAGGTTCCATGGCCAGTACGTTACCACTGAGCCACAAAGTCGGAAGTCAAGGGGCCACATTTCCTACTTCTGTCAGTTCACAGTATAGCACGACCACCACCATCATGACAGAAGTGGGAAATATGGATCACTGCATTCCAAACCAGTGGTTCAGTGGTAACGTACTGGCCATGGAACCTGAAGGTCGTGGGTGTGTACTGCTGAGGAGTCCCAAACTAGAACGAAACAGCTGTTCAGTGCTTCCAGGTCTCCAGTGTTCCTCCAACTGATCTCAGTTCATGATGAATACCAATTTGGAGAACAATCTAATGTTATCTAGTCTTCGGCACTGATCAATTTCTACCCATCACCTAACAATGTGGCAACTAGACTAGGCAGCTAGCTCAACATCGTGGTGCACTTTGATACATGTTAGATGAATGGATGGACAAATGAATGAATGTAGATTATATTTAAACGATTCCTTAATAATACCTTTTCAATAAAATTATAAAGTTAATTAAAACGTATTCTTATTAAGGAGGATGAAATACTTCGATCACTGGATGGTTATGATGAATACGGAAGTTTATTATTACCTCCACGTAAACCAGGTGATCCTTTACCATCAGAATTAATTACATACTATGAAGAACAAATGAAAATGTCACATTCCAAGTTGTCTGAAGAATCTGAAGAGAATATTGAAGAGAAAAATGTCAAAGAATTGAAAGTAAATATTACAAATGTTAACTTTTTCACATAAACCTTTCTTTTCTTTTCATAGCTACTGAATATATATACATATCATCTTAGGTATTTGAAGATTCTCAACAATAATAGTCTTTTCAATAACTTCTCATCAAATTCTACAATTGATGTAAAATCATATTCATTAACATAATAACAGCCAAATTTGCAGTGAATATGCTTTGGAATGAATATGAAATTATAATTATAATCATATTGATTATGTTAGTAGGTAATAGTGTTACATATATATTAGTTGGGATGATAAGTCAAGTGAAAAATATAAGACACACCATTAGACACGTTCATCTTAGGATACAAGGAACATCTACAAGCTTGATTTGCTAAGGGTAAGATCAAATTCATAACAAGTTCTATGCTAGTATATCAAATAGACGCTAGAACAAATTTTTACTGTGATTCACTGAGTTCCAAAGTCTCTGCCATCTACCATTCGTTTATGCATTCAGAAGCTGTAGGCAACTTTAATGGCCACTCTAACAACTACAAAAAATAACCAATCAGGTTGGATTATTTTGTTTGAGAAGACCATTTTTCATAGAATAGAGAAACGTGATTGGTTGATTCATCAGTTGCTTGGATGGCGTTAAAAGTCACTTGTAGGTACGACATCGAATAAGTCTTAATTACGTACTCGAAAGGGACACGTTCAAGTCTTACTCTCTTTAAATAGTGGAATACACCCATTTGATAATAGTAAAAGATAAGAGGTGGTTACAGTAGAGAAAGTTTTTTTTGACGAAGTCATTTACCAACCTGTACATTTATGAATATATGTTACAGTGAGCAGAACGTTCCAGAATTAGTTCCGCTGAATTTAGCAAAATATATTCAGTATCTAAAGGAAGTTAATTAGCACACATTCGGGTTTAAAATAGAGAAACATACAAGGGATTATGAAATTAAATGAAATTATGTAGTACAGGATAAATCTATGACGGAGTAGGAAACTAAACAAGGCAAACATAAAGATTAAGAGTACCTTTTTTGGAAGCATAACACTGGTTTGAAATTCTAGATGTCTAGTGCTTCAGCTCGAGACAAGTGCCTCGATATTACTTCTTTCGAGTGGTCTGATCGAACCTTATAAAGGGTTCTGAATGACTTCTTAGAAAAAGCTAAGTGGCCTGCGTTCATACGGTGTTCTGTTATTAAACTGAGGATAGATTTCTGTTCTCGCTTTGCTGACCAGTCTGGGTAGTGTTCAGGGGCACGTTTTACAAGCGGACCCATGGTACAGTCTATGTACTCAGCTCCACAAGATCAAGTAAACTGGTATTCACACATTGATATGGCACACTGAATTGGCTTATCTTCCACATATTGACTGAAAGGTTTCTCGCAGAAGAAAATATTTCGAAGGTTGGATCTTGGATTCAAAAATGATATTGCTGTAGACATCCTCAAGAAACGACTATCGAAATCCTTATATAGAGCATACTTCACTGCCAACTTTCAAACTATTTTCTCCTACGAGAAACCTTTTGGTCAGTGTGTGTAAGACAAGCCGATTCAGTGGGCCACATCAATGTGTGTATACCAGTTTACTTGCTCTTATCGAGCTGAGTACATCGACCGTTCCATGGGTCTGCTTGTAAAACGTTCCCCCAAACACTATCCAGACTGGCTGGCAAAGAGAGAACAAATGTACTTAACATGTAAATAGTTTGTATAAATTGAAGTTCAAATTGTTTTAGGTTGTCAGCAGCTGATGAGAAACCACGAAACAAAACAGATCTATACTATTCTGCTAGAGCTCTCGCTTTATTTAAATTTTTGAAGCAAATGAATTGAATGAAACTGTACTATTACCTTTCCTTCCCGATACTGTATACAGGCACTATTTTGTAATCACCAATCGATTGATACAGCTTACGCTCGACCTTATCACCTCAGTTGATATACATTTATAAGTTACACTATCTAAATATTTCAAGAATGTATTTCAACTATAATTTCATATTGATTCTAAAATACGAAAGCAACAATTTTGGCTATTATAGTTTCAACAAATTTGATTTTATCAGAACTATAGAACAGAGTATAGAATAACAATCAACTCAACTCTACCTCAACTTTATCGACTTTGAAAAGGCCTTCGACAGCGTCTACCAAGAAGTAATTTGGCAGTTGCTTCAACACTACGGCTTTAGTGCCACAAATCTTTATCAACCTCATTTAACAGTTATATGACGGCTGTACATGCCAAGTGATCCACAATGGGAAGCTCAGTGACGCCTTTGAAGTGAAGTGAATACAGGAGTAAGACAAGACTGTCTACTATCACGGATGATCTTCCTGATTGTGGTGGACTGGATCATGCAGTAAACTGTAAGGAGCAAGAAGATCGGCGTACGCTGTTTGACCGATGAGAAGACCCTAGAATATTTGGATTTCACCGGTGATGATTTATGTCTAATGTCACACAAACTCGAAGATGTACATACAAAACTAATAAGTTGACAGAAGAGGCAGAGGAGGAAGACGGGACTTCCTTCAGGTGAATGTAAAGAAGACGGAGGTGATGAAGATACCCAACCAACAACAACATCAACAACAGGAGGAAGTAATCAGCATTATTGGGAGAAATCTTAAAGAAGTAGTCTCTTTCACCCACATGCCCATCTAGGCAGCATCGTTTCAACTACAGACGGCACACATGATGATGTCAAAGCCAGGACCGGAAAAGCAAGATAGGCTTTCATTGACTTAAAATAAGTGTGGACATCTACTGCACTCCACTCAGCATTAAGTGTGAACAACATCCGGATTTTCAACACCAATTCAGTCAAGTGAGTGCTGCCATATGGTTGAGAAATTCAACGCGTCACGAAAAGCATTTCAAACAAACTACAGACATTCATCAACAGCTGCCGCCTACGCTGACTCGACATTGAAGATCGGATGGCCAAAGTAATAAGAATAAGCAACAAGAAACTTTGGAAACGAAGCAACTAAGAACCCGTCGCCCAAAAAATATACAGAAGAAATTTCAGATGGATTGGATTGGACATACACTGAGAAAACGATACGGAGACGTTACACGCCAGGCCCTCGAGTGGAACCCAGAGGGGAAACGACGAGTTTGGCGTACAAGGTTGACATGCAGGTGATCATATGAGGAAGAAATAAAAGCTTGTGGGCAGTCTTGGTGTCAGGTCAAAAAGACTGCAGAGAACAGAGTGCAATGGAGGCATGCTACTGAAGTGGTATGTTACACCAGGAACCCAAGGGAAAAATAAAAGTAGAAGCTGAAAAGAATATTCTTGATTCATATTTCACCTTTACTATGTTTGTATTGAAAGTAGTAGTAGGGCTTTTGTGGATATACATGAGGAGGTGAAAGCTTAGTTAAACACTGAACAAATAAATACTATCTATATTGTGAATAAGGCTTTCAATACGTATTAGTCACTTTATCTCAATTATTTGTTCCTTTGAGTACTGGGGATTCTGTGGTATATAAAGCCAATAATCCTGTAACGATTTCAGCCATATCCTCGATATGTTATTAACTCTCTCTCAGAAGGTCATAATGATCATTTACTCAGCTCTGACTAGGCTTTTTACACTTGTTTTTCAGGTAAACTATAATAACGAATTAAATAAACGAGGTGTTATAACTATTTATTGATATATACTTGTAATTCTTCGTGGTTTTTTTGGATTGAATTACTCCACCATTGTTGGTATATGGGCTTCTATGTAGATGCCTCAATATTGCGTGAATGTCTACTATGGTAATTTAGTTGGTTGTGGCTATCAGAGGAATCCTGGACTCTCGTTTCGCCCATTTGGAACCCGTCAGTTGGATACACCTACAACCAAGTGCAGAGTGATGTTGTTCCCATTGAGACTTGAATCTCGTACCCAGTGCTTCAAATGCCAAGGTGTTATCCATTATGCCACGGAGGAACGATAGCGTCCTGGATTCTTCTGCTAGCCACAACCAATCAAATTATCATAATTAACATTCAAGCAGTATCGAGGCATCCTCAGAGAAGCCCATATGCCAATAGAGGTCGAACAATTCGATCCAATAAAACAAAGAAAAATCACAAGTATATATCGATGAATAGTAATAACTGCTATTAGTTGTACAAGAAGTGGCTATCATTCCTCCGTGGCATAGGGGATAACGCTTTGGCGTTTGAAGTGATGGGTAAGAGATTCGAGTCTTAGTGGGAACAACAACATTCACTGGTGTAGAAGGTACATCCAGCTGCTGAGGTGTTACAATGCCTAACTGCTTGCATTTTGGCTTAACTAGTCGACCCGTAACAAATGACAATATCAGTGAAACGAATAATTTACCTTTTAGAAAGAAAATATCTATTCAATGAAATTCAGGCTGTCATTCATCACAGACTCTTATCATTTGGATAACTCATTATTTTACCATTATTATTTGTCCCTTGGATTCCTAGTGGAACATAGGGCTTCAGTAGCACGTCGCTATTTCACTGTCAACTCCCTGTAGTGTTTTTAACTTAGCTCCATGACTGCCCAGAAGCTTTTATTTCGTCCTCATACGATCTCCTCCATGTCACTCTTGGATGCACAACTCCTCACTCCTCTTTTGGGTTCCACTTGAGGGCCTTACCTGGCGCATGGTGTCCATAAACCGTCTTCTCACTGCATGTCCAATCCAATCCATCTCCACTTTTTTCTGGATATTTATTGGCCGATAGCCTCTTGGTTGGTTAGTTCGTCGCTAGACCAGAGTGAGTTCCTTCTTGTTTATTATTTCTGGTTATCTGATCTTCAGTAACGAGCCAGCGTAAGCGGCAGTTATTGATGAATGTCTGTAGTTTGTTGGAAATCCTCTACGTAACGCCCCAAGTCTCTTAACCACCACATTGAAGCACTGACTTGACTGACATTAGTGTTGAGAATTCGGATCTCGTTCACGCTTTATGCTGACTGCGGTAGATCTCCATACTGATTTCAGATTAATGAAGGCTTGTCTTACTGTATTTCCGATCCTGGTTTTGATGTCCTCATCTGTGCCACCGCCTTTAGTTGGGACGATGCTGTCAAGGTAGGTGTAGGTGGAAGAGGCTACTTCCTTTAAGTTTCTACCCTCGATGGTGATTGGTGCCTCTTGTTGTTGTTGGTTGGGTATCTTCGTCACGTCTGTCTTCTCACTCCACGTTCACCTGAAGGAAGTCCCGTTTTAGCTGCCTCTTTTGTCAACTTGTTAGCTTCTACCTGTAGATCTTCGAGTTTTGTGCTACATTAGACATAAATCACCATCATTGGTGAAATCCAAATCTTCTAGGGTCTTTTCACCGACCAAACAGCGTATCGCCATCTTCTTGCTCCTCACGTTTTTTTTTTGCATAATCCAGTCGACCACAATCAGTAAGATCATTGGTGGGCTAAGATAAACACTAATTTACACATATTTAGGTTGAAAATTCGTCTAGCATTTAAGGAAGATGAGATATGAGAAAGAATAAAAAATACTTTGGAAAAAATTTCTCATATTTTAGTCTGTTATCAGTTTAGAATTATACCTTCTAACTTCGTCAATTTAAAGTAGTTAAACAATCTTCTGACGTTATATCCAACTATATTCACCAATTCACTTGTACTTATTGAAGTAGTTGTTACATAGAAAGGATTCAGATAAGGACATGTACTTCATTTTGATAAGCATGTTCTAAGAGTGATACAGTATTATTCACATGATGACCGTGCTTCAAGCATAAATTATCATTATTATTATATTATTATCAGTCCCTTGGGTTCCTAGTGGAACATAGGGCTTCAGTAGCACGCCTCCGCTCCACTCTGTTCTCTGAGATCTTTTCAACCTGGTCCCACGACAGCCCACAACCTCTCATTTCCTCCTCGCACACACCATCTCCTCCATATCACCCTCACCTCGGACACCCAACTCGTCGCTTCCCATGGGGATTCCACTCGAGCAACTGGCCTGACGCGTGATGTCCTCAGTCGGCCTTCTCAGTGCATGGCCAATCCATCTCCACTTCCTCCTGCATATTTGTTGAGTGATAGGTTCTTGGTTGGTTCGTTCCCAGAGCCCCTTGTTGATTATTCTTTCTGGCAATCCATCTGATCTTTAGTAGCGAGCGTAAGCAGTTGTTGATGAATGTCTGTAGTTTATTGGAAATCCCTTTCGTGAAGCGCCAAGTCTCTGAACCATACAGGAGCACTGACTTGACGTTGGTGTTGAAAATCCGTATCGTGTTCCGCATGCTGAGTGCAGAAGATCTCCACACTGGTTTCAGGCTAATGAACGCCTGTCTTGCTTCTCCGATTCTGACTTTGACGTCCTCGTCCGTCCCGCCTGTAGTTGAAACAGTGCTTCCTAGATAAGTGAAGGAGGTTACTTCCTTTAAGTTTCTCCCGTTCATGGTGACTGGAGTTTGTTGTTGTTGTTGATGGTGGTGGTGCGGTATCTTCATCACTTCTGTCTTCTCTATATTCACCTGAAGTCCCGTCTTCGCTGCCTCTTCTACCAACTTGTTAGTTTTTGCCTGCAGATCTTGAAGTTTATGTGACATCAGGCACAAGTCATTGTTGGCGAAATCCAAGTCTTCTAGGTTCTTTTCCGCAGTCCAGCGTATCCCCCTCTTCTCACAGCTCCCCACTGTTTGCTGCATGATCCAGTCCACCACAATAAGGAATATCATGGGGGATAGTAGGCAACCTTGTTTCACTCCTGTCTTCACTTCAAAAGCATCACTGAGCTTCCCATTGTGAATTACTTGGCTGGCATGTGGCATCTTCATATAGTTGTTGAATGAGGCTGATAAAGGTTTGTGGTATTCCGTAGTATTGAAGCAGTTTCCAAATTACTTCTTGGTCGACGCTGTCAAAGGCCTTCTCAAAGTCGATGAAGTTGAGGTAGAGAGCTGATTGCCATTCTATGCTCTGTTCTATGATGATGCGAATCGTTGATAAATTATCATTGCTCATTATTATATCAATGTAATCACACTCCACTTTCGACACCTGAATCTTATAGTCCTGACACTTCACATTCTTTGTTTCTATTGGTAGTGAAACAATTCATATCTATGGTATAGTTACTGCATCATTCCTATTCCACGTGTTGGGTGTTGGTTGATTGGATACAAAAAGATTCAGTAATCAATCTTTCCTACGTTCATCTATTCTTAGTGACGCCGATCAACCGACCTAGTTTCACCTAAATACTTGACCTTACAGTCATTACATGGAATTTGATGGATTAGATTATTTTGCTGAATTGGTTCTATCGGATCCTTAAGCCAGCCAACAAAGCTCATCTCTGAATGAGGTTGTAGGTTTAAATGCCATTCTAATCCCAGTTCTTTTTGATGTAACTTCCTTATACGGTAACACAATGGAGGCTGTGAACTTCTTTCTGTTCATATTGTCGTTATTATTTGTACTTGTGTTACTGAGAAAAGACAGACTGATTACTGAATCTTTGCTTATCGAATCAACTAACACCCAACATATGTAATAGGAATGATGCAACATCTATACCAGAGATATGGAAAATTCTACTGGCATGGTCACACCACGCCTTGTTTTTTATCTTATTAACTTGAAGTCAGATTTATTTTAACGTTTTCTGAATGTTTATTGGCTTATATGCTTCCTTAGTTTTTGAGATACCCATTTTATCATTTTGACTATCTTATATCGCCGTGGTTTAGCAGATTAGTGTATACACTGGGTGATGATTGGAGGTGAGATGAAGATATGGACCTCCACCGGATTCGAACCAGTGACTACCGAGTTTCCGGCCTGATGCTCTACCAACTGATCTACGAGGTCTCAGCTAGTTTAGTTGGTAAAGGCGTTCTCACCAATGAGCTTGCTTCTCAGCTATATCATTCAGAGTCTCCAAACGCAGGCTTCATTTATCACTTGATTCTAAACTAGGAAGTCTGGATTTTTAATTGTGGCTTAGACCATCAGTTAGAGTCTTCGTGGACCAATGCAAAGGTGTAGTCTAACACCGTTTTACCTTCTTTCTTTCATCTAGGATTAGTTGACTGACTAGACGGTAACTAAACATGCCTTTGATATATTCTCGTCATCTGAGTCAATGAAGCTTTACAAACTCATCAGTTTAATAACTCATTTTTTCTTCAGATTCTACATCGAACTTTTACATTGTAAATGTAATGGTTCCACAATACATGGAGTATATCACGAAGAATACCTGAAGTTTTTACTTGGTTTCATAGTTTGATTGTAGCATACATTGATGTGCTTAGTAGGGTCTCATGAATTTCACCTCTGAAGAAGATGATTTTAACTTCATACAGCCTAATACAACTGCTTCATATTATTAGGTCAACTCTGAGAAAACATCTTTTCTTCATAATATAACTCCTTAACAATCATATTGAACACTTTAATTTACTAAAAGCTGTTAACTGTTTATTCCTATTTTACATGTGTTTATCTTTTCGTTCCAGTTCTCAGAAGTTCCACTATCATCATGGAAGGAAACTAAGAAATCCATAACAAATTATACTTCAACTAGTGAATCAGAACGTAATAAATCTGATAGTCGAAGTACTAGTTCTGATGTATTTTTGGACAATATAAAACGTGAAGATAGTAAAATAATGAATTTGAATATTCACACTAATGGTGAAAAACAAACATTTGATATTACACCTGTTACACTGGCTATATCACGATATTTAGGCATAGATTCAACTCCAGAATCACATAAATCAAGTACACTTGGTATTGTAATCTTTGTCAATGGAGCATTAGCATCTATTCGAAGAAGTAAGTAAACTGAAATAATATTTTGAAGATGAAATCCCTTGATGTATGAAATGATTACTAATGTTTGTATTTAAGTATATTAATATTCCAGAAAAAATCTCTTCTGGTGTGAATTGATGGAACACTGGCCATCACTTTGATTCCTTAAATATTTCATTAAATTTCGTCTGTTTGTTCTTTATCTCTGTTTCTGATTACTTTTGTCAACTTTATTATGGCTATGATGCTTGGCTTCGATGGTATAGTGAATAACGCTCTGACTTTTGAAGCGATGGGTACTGGGTACATTCAGTTGACACCCCCAAATAGGACGAAACGCCTATCCTGGATTCCTTTGTAAGTCATGAACATGAATAGTGTCTTCGCAGCATTGGTTGCCTTTAATGAGATCACCGTATGAGGTAATATTGAGGTCAGGCAAAGAGTACTAGGCAAGACAGGAATGTACGTCGGTCAATAACTTTGTAAACTTGCGTTGACATGTTCTACGAATATGTAGCTACCACCTAGCTCAACGTTCCATACTATGTGAAGCCTAATTCGGTTGAAAGAAAGTTTACAGTGAACAGAATGAGACATGGCTCCAGTCTATGAAGTTACCAACTGTTAGTCTGACCCATGTAGGGACATGCAGACTACTTGAGTGGGATCCTGGAGATGATAGAAATCAGTGATTGAGGACTCTTGGTGACATGGATGAAAATCAGTTACAATGATGCAGATGTATTCATTCTTCTAAAGCTTAAGTATTTGCAATATCCTGTATCTTCTAACTATTTATTGAATTTGGGGTTTGTGGGGATTTAGTCGGTATTTATCATGAACTAACATCAGTTGGCGGAACATCAAAAACCTGTGAGCACTGAACAGCTGCTTTGTCCTACTACCGGACTCTTCAGCAATGTGCATCCATGACCCGTCCCGACAGGGATCGAACCCACAACCTTCAGGTTCCATAGCTGGCACGTTACCATTGAGCCACTGGTTCATATATCCAACTTCTGTTGGTTCACGACCTAGTGCAACCACCATCCAATGTCATCCTTGAGTATTTGTCGTCACAGCCACCACGTTTGCCCCAACGATGACGATTTCTCATTAGAACTTCAGAAATCACCTCTCAAAGCTAGTCATTGGATTCCAACCCAGTGGCTTAATGGTAATATGCTGACCACGGAACATAAAGGTCATGGTTTTGTACTGCTGAGGCGTCCCATACTAGAAAGGAACAATTGTCCAGTTCTTCAGGGTTTCCAGTGTTCCTCCAACTGATACCAGTCCATGATGAATACAAACTTTGAAAACTATTTGTTGTCAAGCACAACATTTTGTACTTTAATTTCCTTCATTTTCTATTCACTTGTCTGATATCACTTCTACACCAAGTTTCACTTGTTACAGTACTTAAAACATAAAGATATCTGTTTCGTAGTATCTTGTACTTGTTATCCTTGTATGGTGATTGAAAAACTGTGCTGAGTAAATATGATACACGGTATGCTTTTTATAAATTTACTCCCTATTTTTGGTGGTCCTGTTCTTATTCATTTGTTGTCCTGGTATAAAGATGCTCTTAAAGTAAATGCCAGCGTTATCAAACAGCATTCTACTACTTTAAGTATATAATCTTCCATCGATAGGTACGTCGAACTACTACTATTTTTCAGTCTTGTCTCCATTACTATCTATCGCTATTTGTGTATATTTTACTGCTAACATCAAGGCTAATCAACATTACTTTCTTATTAATTTTGATATGTTATTATTATTTATCCCTTGGGTTCCTAATGAAACATAGGGCTTCAGTAGCATGTCTCCATTACACTCTCTTCTCTGAAATCTTTTGAACCTGTCACCACGACTACCAACAAGCTCTCATTTCTTCCTTGCACCATCTCCTTCATGTCACCCTCGACTCAGACGCCCAACTCGTTGCTTCCCATCTGGGTTCCACTCGAGTGTTGGCCTGAAGCATGATGTCCCCAGTCGGCCTTCTCAGTGTATGCCTAATCCATTTCCACTTCCTTCCACCGCATATTTGCTCAGCGATACGTTCTTGATTGGTTCGTTAGCAGGCCAGAGTTCCTTGTTGCTTATTCTTTCTGGCAATCTATCTGACCTTCAGTAACGAGCCAGCGTAGGCGGCAGTTATTGATGAATGTCTGTAGTTTGTTGGAAATCCTCTACGTAACGCCCCAAGTCTCTTAACCACCACATTGAAGCACTGACTTGACTGACATTAGTGTTGAGAATTCGGATCTCGTTCACGCTCTATGCTGACTGCGGTAGATCTCCATACTGATTTCAGATTAATGAAGGCTTGTCTTACTGTATTTCCGATCCTGGTTTTGATGTCCTCATCCGCCTTTAGTTGGAACGATGCTGCCAAGGTAGGTGTAGGTGAAAGAGGCTACTTCCTTTAAGTTTCTCTCATTGATGGAGCTTGTTGTTGTTTTTGTTGTTAATTTTGATATATTTTAAACTTTTTTTCTAATTCAACGGAGTAGAATATCCTTAGTGTAGAATATCTCACGCCGGTCATAGATTCCTGAAGTCTACAATAAGTCTTTACCCAGTATCCTTCTCTATGCATGTAGCTTTATCAGAGGAATAACCTCTAGGCATATCATATCGTTTGGAATAGTTTCAAGTCATTTTAGTCTATCAATTAATATTTGTTTCATCTGTTTAATCATTTTCCATGTTTCGTACAACAGTGTTCATTGATTTGTTGATCATTGAATACAATCCAGTTAGTTACCAGAGCAAAGTGATCTGTGACCAGTTCTGTTATCCATTCCTTATATTCTTCTTCTAGTGAATGAATTCTTAATACAAGTTATAACATCTTCATGCTACAGTTTTTCTGTAGACCATAAATATTGAAATTTGTTTGCTCAGTACTTTGTAATCTTAGTTGATTCATTCCATAATGAATAAACTGGTAATCCATATTCGTAATAATAATAATGATAATTCACTTTATTCCAAACAATTTGTGGTACAATTTGGAATTCTCAGCATAATATATATTTCAATAACAACAAAATATAAGTATACACATACTCCTTTGCAGCCTTTCGAATTGTTTTATGATAAAAATTTAAGTAATGTAAAGAATATTAAAAACGAGAAAATTTTGCATTGTAAGTTAAATTATTGAAATGAGATTGTTAACTCTTACAAAGTTGATATGTGAGTTCTGTTCTAACACACTTCTCTCCTTACATAAAATGCGTGCTAAGGTAAGGGGTACAGTCGAATTCTTATACTTAGCTGTAACGAGCATGTAGTCGTCTTATGTAGTTTCTCCTTGTCCTCCCTATGAGGAGATACATGGAGAGAGTTGTAAATGAAGTGGATGCTCACTGTCAGTTAAAATGACTGAAGCTAGTAGCTTCCAGGAATTTATATGTCGGTCAGTTGAGCCAGAGACACACCACTTACCCTGCTGAAGGCCTTCAAAGCCCTAAGCAACATAACTCGGTCCTTTTTAAGAAGACCAGTAAAGATTAATTGGGAACAACAGAGACGAGGAATGGGTAAAATGCAGGAATTAATAAATCGTAAAAGAAGCAGTTGAGTTGTACCAGTAAGCCTCAATTTCTTTATGTAATAAGTCAAACGAATGATTTTTTTACAAGTCAATAAAATATGGGACGACCAACAAAGGTCAGAAGCAAAACCCAACCCAAGATAGTTCATACTCGATTTACTTGCTGCAGAAATACCATTGATGTAGCAGGCGTCATGAGATTTAAGCAGCTAACATAAGTCTTGTTTACGCCTAAGGCTAAAATTAATAGTCTGACATTTAGAGGGGTTTAGTTTGAGACCATTTGAGAGAGACCATTTGCCAACTTCAGACAAGAATTCATTTAATTTCGAGCAATCCAAAGAAAAGGTAGCTGGAATAGAAATCGTCAGGTCGTCAGCATACTTGACAAAATTAGTTTTAACAGAATAAGGCAAATCGTGCAAAAAAAGGAAAACAGAAAAGGAGAAAGTACAGCAACTTGAGGCACACCAGCTTCAGTAAGCAATGAAGTGGAGCGCATCCCTTTATGAATAGTGTACTGTTTCCTTTCAGAAAAATAATAATGCAGCCATTTTGTAACACATGGCTCAGTGTGAGCTATGGCAAGCTTATTTAACAAGAGTGGTCTAGGAACAGAGTCAGAGGCTGATGAGTAATCCAAAAAGGCACAACGAACATACTTAACACTTTTGTCGAGCTTAGAAACAATGTTATGATGCAAGACAGTAGCTGCACCTAAAGTACTCCTCCGATGTTTGTAAGCAAACTGTTTTGGATCTCTGAAGGCCATCAATGAAGGCTCAATCACAAGCAGAAGTAATTTCTCCATTGTCTTCAGAAAAGGGGAAGTTATAGCGATGGGTCGAAAAGTAACATCTGATCCAGAAGATGGCTTAGGCACAGGTACAATTTTTATCCGGACGATACATTGAAGATATCTGTAAGTGGATGACATAAAATATCTGCACATTTTCTAAATATGATACTAGAAACACCACCCTATCAGATTTCTGCCAATTCTAATCACTAATAACGATTCTGATTATTACGTGATGAGAATGGTAGATTGATTAGCGACAATTTGGAAGAAACTTATTACAAATGTTTGAAAAGTTACTATTATTTGTCAGCTAGCCAAATTAGGGTGATCGAAGCTAGATTAACTTCTATGAATTGAATTTGTCCGGCACCAAAATGAGTGAAACGGCTATCCGGTGCAGCTACCTCTCCGTTCTTAAAAATAATGGAGAAGCTAATAATACCTGTGCTTGAGCCCTCATTTAAGGATTCCGGAGACCCTAATCAATTTGCATATAAAGCAGAAGAAGCACTTTGGATGCTACCACTCTCTTATATTACGATATTGCTTATAATCTTGATAAAAATGCCAAGTATGTCGAGTGTGCCTTTTTAGACCACACTTCAGCATTTGATTCTGTGCCAAGACCTCTTTTGTTGGACAAGCTAACTGGGAAAAATACTGAGTCTTGGATAATCAGCTGGCTGCATTCCTATTTTTCTGAAAGGAAACAACATACTGTTTACAGAGGGAAGCGCTTCACCTCATTGCTAACTGTGACTGGTGTTCCTCAGGGTGTCATCCTTTACCCATATCTTTTCTCATTCTTTCTGCATGACTAGCCATCTTCAGCTGGTATTCATTTTATTAAATATCCTGATGACCTAACAGTTTCTGTACCTATCTCGTCTTCAGCAGATTGTCTCTAAATGAGTGATTTCCTATCTACTGATAGATGATGGTCCTCCAAGAATGTTCTTATGCTTAATTCCTCAAAATGTCAGACCATAAACTTTAGTTTAAGACAGGAACATAACTTATGTAAACTGCTTAGTTTTCATGATTCCTGTTGTGTTGATAGTTGCTCATTAGAGAATGTTACAAGTGTGATTTATCTTGGTGAGTGTCTTCCCTCGGACCTTTCCTAGTCTCCCCATATCTCACTAATTTCCAAAAGAATTTTCCGTCTCACTTTCTATAACAGGAAGATGAGAGTATCTGGTACAATTTAGCCTCTCCTCTTGTGTTTTATAAACTCCAACATCTTGCCTGTCCTCCTCTATTGCCCCCTTTTATTTTTTCCTGGGTTGCTGAAAAAAGACTGTGCTGTGAATTGAGTAGAACTTTGGAGATTGTCAACAGAACTAGTGATGTACCCCTAAGTCTCCTAGTTAAAACAGTTGTGGACAAACATATTAATCCATGTAAACATCTGACAGGAGTTATTTTATCACATGACCAAGATCCTCTTCACTCAAAGCTCTCTCTCTACCTGTCGGTCATCTGGAAAAACAAGGAGCAAGTACATACGACTCTATGCACTTACTACAAAATATAAAAACTCTACGATGCCTTATTTGCCTCGTCTCCTGTGTAATGAGGAAAGTACTAGTAGTGAACTAACTAATAATCAACTACTGTTTTGGAAAGCAAACTAACTGAAGATGAGCGTGTTTCCTTTTGCATATTATATGATTGTCTACCTAAATTGACTGCACATTTTCAAGAAAGTTTTAGATAGAATATTCTTATCTTTTCTTCTTGTAATTTCTGCTTATTTTTCTATGCATACATGTACACTGTCTCTATCTAATTGATGCTACATGGTGAAAATTCTGTAGAGTATTTTCGAAATAGCTTTCAGAATAAAGTTATTATTATCATCATTATTACTATTATTATTATTATCATTAGACTACTCTGATCGTGGAGCTGTAGCTTAGTGGTTCATGGAGTGGCTTTCAACTGATCGGTTACGGTTTCCAGCCGCATTTCACCAGCTGAGGTTTGATAGGGACAGTCAGGTAGTATCACTAGCTCTAACACATTAGGTTTGGTTCATCGCCTACTACGTGAATATACATGAAGTGACTGAGTGCGTTTCGTTCCCTTTGATCTGCTTGTTTGATAAAATATACAGATTGGTCCGGGTGATTTCTAACTGCTCACGTTATCCCATGCTTTGATGGATAGGGTTCACTTTCATATCTTGTTACTCAGGAAAGTTTAGCATATCATGAGTCTCTTTATTTGTCTAAGTTAACTTCTACATTATGATGATGTTGTCAGACTCAGTTTGACATTCGATGGGTTTGAATCCTAATGTGTAAACCGACATCTAGACAGCCAGATATTATCATTAACCTTCACACACATACTAGTTATGACTCATGGATGAAATCATGAACGCACAGTAGGTTGCTGAGTTACATGAAAGTTGAGAATAAATCCAAAGTGGATTTATGACAATCAGTCTTAAAGTTCATCTGTTGCCTGAAACAGACTGTAGAAAGTATTATCTATAACTGCTGTTTATAGCAAAGGCGTTATCCACTACACCACCGAGCCACGACAGCCACTTCTTGTGTGACGGATATAGTTTTAGTATGACTGCTTGCATTATCCCATCGTTGATTGGACCGAATCAGTAGGTCTCTATCGACATACGGGCTCATGCGCGAATGCCTCGGTATAACCGGTGTTTTAATTATACGTAGTAATGACGGATAGTGGCTAGCAGTGGGAACAACATCACTCCACATCGGGAGGCAGGCAAACTATAACCATTATTATTGTTATTACTATTATTATTATTACAGATATTGTCAATAAATTAGCTGACAAGTATCAAGCAATAATATTGAATATAAATCAGATAATCATTGAAGCTTTACTAACAAGTTCAACTGAGACTGCTGGTCAAGCAAGACAAATATGCTTAGATGTCGGTGAACAAATTATTCAAGCAAAGTTAGCTGAAAAGCAAAGAGAACAACAAGAACAAGACCAACAACGACAACCACAACACCAACAACAACTGCACTTGTCAGATTCAGAAATAAAATTAGACTCACCTAAAGAATCACATACTGAGATACTGAAAGATGAAACACTTCATGAAGGTAATCAAATAATTTTGATGTAACCTGATATAATCTTACAAACACTTGAATAATAACCTTCAGTCTAAATCCTTCATAGTCTTTGAATTCCTCGGAAATAGAAGATGTAGTGAAGTAACAGAAAGTGTATTGTGACGTGAGACCATGCACGACATATATAGGCCTTACTAGAAGTTGAGAACTTCAGTCGACTGAAATGGCTTGTACATGTACTGCACATACTAAGCTACCACCTACATCGATATGCCTTGCTAGGAGAAGTTGGATTCGGTTAAAAGAGGATTCAGAATGGCCATACCAAGACGTGGTACCAGTCTCTGAGTGTTGGTATGAGCAGTGTGGAAAGATGTAGACTACTTGCTTGGGATCCCCAAGACGATGGCAATCAGTGGCTAAAAGTCAGTCACAATAGTACAAATTTATTCATTCTTTGACGCCTTCTGAGGCTTGAATATTTGCACTAACCTTTACCTGAAAACTGTTTATTCTTTCACAGTACTTTGTTATAATTTTTTTTCTATCCATCTGTTTTTTGTTTACAGCTGTGAGTTGGAGCAACTTCAGCCGATACACCTTTATGTCAGGTTCTAGGTTGATTTTGCCGGGCTGTCAGTTAGTCAGTCAGTCAGAAGGGCATTTTCTATTGACTTAGCCTTTTCAGACAACTTAATGTTTACACCTATGATCACATGTTTGTCGATAATTTGTAAAGGATTTCACCTTCTTTGAAACATTTTAAAAATCATAGTGGACTATACTGTTATGCTAAACAGTCAGTTTGCTTGAAAAAATCTAAATGTTGGAATAACAAAGACATCTTCAGAATAAAATGACATCATTTCATTTTATAGTCTGCCCAATTATCAGCTCCAAACAGTCTACAAATGAAATGAAGTAGTAGCAGTAGTAGTAATAATAATAATAACGACATAACATACTTCTAATACTTAGAAATAGATGGAAATTCGAAATCCAGGAATAATAACAGTAAGGTGGCGAGTGAGTCGAAGAAAAACAAGCTTAATCACCACAGATCTTAGTTAAAATCAGTAGTGATTTATGCACATGTGATGAAATGGAAAACTCTGGAACTGTTGCTGGCAACAAGCAGGCAAGAGTATAAAAGAATGGGTTTTTAAACAGCCAGAGGATTACGTAATCACATGAAGGATCTGGTAGAACGTAAGACTGAGCAAAATGGCAGGAAATTGATCACAACGACCCAGATGTACTTACTCTTTGACATTTTACAAAACCTGAATGTTTTGATCAAACTACATTTTCAAAGTCGTTCTCCTCTTCTACACTTTCGTTTACCTGGATATTAGAACAAGACATATATAAGCGAACAATACAGTTTTCAATGACATCCTTTTCAGGCTTTACTGTAATAGAGATAGCTTAATTTAAATTGGGTGATGATTGAAGGTGAAATGAAAATTTGAACCGCTACCGGATTCGAACCAGCGACCACCGAGTTTCCGGTTCGATGCTCTGCCAATTGAGCTATGATGTCCAACTGATGACCACATTTTTATTTAACTTCAGTTACAAGGTGGGTTTTTGCCTGAATACCATGTGAATTCATGACGCTTTATTACCAATTGATTGTATTCACATCGGCTGGCTGCCTAGTCAGGACTTCTCATCACCAACCCAAATCTTACTGAATCAGTGAGGGGGAGTATTATATCGATTATCATTTTGACTATCTGAAATAGCCATAGTTTGGAAGACTAGTATCACAAATTCACATGGTAGTCAGGTAAAACCCTTGGTGATTGAAGTGAAATAAAAGTCTCATGAGTAGCCGGATGTCGTAACTCAATTGGTAGAGTTTTGGGCCGATAACTCGGTAGTCGCTGGTTCGAATTTGGCCGTGATCTAGATTTTCACTTCACCTTCAATCATCAGTGAAATAAAATGCTAGAAATTTAGGATCATTTTACTCCTATAAAAATGGACAACGGGAAACATTAAAACGCTAATTTTAACAGTAAAATTCTGAAAATATGGAAAATGCTACTACTAGTACATTCAAAGCATTAAAAATAGTAGTATTGTAGTGGGTGTTGCTGATCAGGATGAATATAAGTAATATATGTTGAGATGGCGGCAGAAATCATGGGCAATTGCCAGCAATGGGTAAAGATCCTGCCCAGTGAGATGCAAGAGACAACACGGTCGTACTGAGAGCAGATCAAGATAGAAACAGAAGAAAAAATGAAGCACAATGTGCAAATGACCGTCTTAGTGTAAATTGTACAATATTTGATGACTACTGTACAAGATGTCAATAATCAACATTCTTTCCTGAGTTTCAGTTTTGTCGTTTTCTGCAGTTTATGTCCCAGCTTCTGGATGTGATGAAGATTCTGTGGCCTGCAGTGTTCGATGATGAAGACACCAAGATCTTCCTCAGGGACTTCTAGTCAGGCGCGGAGCTAGTGAGTGTCAGGATCCAAGAGCGAAAGTTGTCGTGCTTGGCACGTTGCTGAGGGATAAAGCGAAAGTGGCGTATGGCGGCAAGGAATGGGTAGATGGGAAAGAAACTTGGAAGAGAATGGTTGAGCAACTGGAGGCAGAGCCTAACAGCACAGGTAACAGGAAGCTGGCGATACAGCAGTTCTGGGACACGAAACTTGGAGTAAACGAAGATCCAATGATACTGGTTGTGAAGTTGACAAAGCTACTTCGATGAGCACTTCTCCCTTTAAATGAGGACTCTCAGGCGCAGTTGCTGGCTGCACAGTTCACCGAAAGTGTCCCAAATGCCATCACTCAACAACCACGACTAGTCAACACAGCCCAACCCATGGACATTAGTGAGCTGACCAAGGTCACCAGACAGCTAATGGTTATGGCAGTAGCTGCAGTGGAGTCACTAGAGGTGAATAACTGGAAAAAACAAATCGATAACCCTCGGGAGGAGATGACTGCATTTTGAATGAGAATCAACAAACATATTAAATACTTTGCATGAGGAGAACTGAGACACTGGCAAAGAAACTGTCCGGAGAGGAGACAAAGAAAACATTTTAAACAATATAATATGAGTTCTGTTTTTCTAACTCTACTAGATATTATAGGAGTCATAGACAGGCAATTACTAGCAATGGGTAAAGATTCTGCTCAGTGAAACACAAGACACAATATGGGTGTATTAAGAGCAAATCAAGAGGAAATGAAGCACACTGTGAAAATGACTGTCTTAATGGAAGGCATACAATATTTGATGACTATTGTACAAGATATCAATAAGAAACATTCTTTACAGCGTCTCTATCTTCTCGTTTCTTACAGTATTATAAAAATGAATCAAGAAATTATTTTATCAATTTCGTATGGTTAGGAGTGATAAATATTTTTTCAAAATGCCATTCAGTAGATAATTCTGTTTTACTATGGTATGTGCACATATAACCTAGGCCTACTTTGAAATGAATAATCTTCCCTCAACTTATATAATTATTTTGATTAACAATCAGTTTCTAGACAGAATGAATAGTCGGCATTCTTCATATGTGTTACAATCATTCACTTTGGCTTACATATATGACATTCGTCAATAAGGTGCATCAGAAAGTATAAAGAATCTTATGTTGTTTCGATTATTCTAATCTATGTCACCAAGAGCCAAAGTCATAGACTTTCAGAGCACAATTGACTACCTGTAAGAGAGGAATTTTTACGTGTATTTATCACTAGTACTCATTACTGATAAGGTTTATAGTATCATTACTAAACTGAACGTTGTATTGTATTTTCGTGTTAAATTTTCTGAGTTGATAATCTATACAATATCTACAAATATATATTGGATCATAGATACTGAAGTACGTTCTTCAATGTCATTAAAAATAGATAGGCTTTATTTTGAAAACATTTTGATCAATTTTGTAATTAAGAATGAATATACTTCACTTTATATTGATTTTTCTTAACTTTTTTTTTTCTTCATCAATGTATCAAAAAACTGATTAGTTGATTTACATACTTCATTGTCAAATGTTGGTGAACAATCGAAAGTGATTGGTCAAAACAAAACAATCAATCGACAAGGTCAAGGTGGAAATAAAAGTCTAGGACATCGTCGTACATCAAACGAGCTTGGAAAAGTAAGTTATACAAAAATAGAACAAAAGATGTTTTTTGCCAAGAGTTACTCTTTTCAGCGATATCATTCTCAAGCTACACAATTGCATATATATATATATCTTAGATTGTAACAGAAAAAATGTTTCTTGAAATATTTTGGAACGGAGTTCAGGTAGTGTTATTGCTTTTATGACACTAAAGCTATTCCCATCGCACAAGAAGTGATTATCGTGGCTCGGTGGTGTAGTGGATAACGTTTTGGCGTTTGAAGCGATCATTCCCGAGTCCAAGTCCTAGTGGGAACAAAATCACTCGGCACTAGGAGGCAGGTACATGTAGCTGATGAGTCCTAAATAGGAGTTCAGGTATGATTAAAAGTCAGATTACAAAAGAAAAGTTACGTAATGTTTAAAATTGTAATGAGAAGAAGATTTACCAAGATTGGACTAATATTTGGTTATTAAGTTAAATGATGTAATATGGTGAAATGCAAACAGAAATCAGAATTATAGCAGTGGAAGAATGTAATGTGTGAGAGGATCTGAACGAAGAAATTTTTAAAGGTAGAAATATTCTTATAGGTGATGTCCATTGCAACTTGAGTGATTAGACAAATTTCTTATGAACCAAGAGTTCAGGCTTCAAAATATTAATTACCATAGCTTCCGTAGTTTGAAGGAGTTCCTGGTGTACACCTTTCATGAGATTTGTGCAAACTCTATAGATGACCCTAAAGCTGTTTTCTGCACTTACCGAGTGGTCATAATCGATCAAATGTTCTAGAATAGAGCTGTAAACTGTTTGTCGTTTTCTCATTGTAGAACCAGGCTGGCTTGTGTTCAGAAATGGACTTGGAAAGCGAACACTGAATACGGCCAATATACCTTACTCCACAGAAGCAGACGAATTGATAAACACATATCGAGGTGGCCAAGGGAGCTAGCTTATCCTTTGCATTTCACCATATTACATTATTTAATTTAGTAACCAAACATTAGTTCAATCTTGTCCTATGACTTAATGGGGATTTTTAAATTATACAAAAATATTGATTGTATATTTGTTAGCCTGATGCTTTAGACGAGCTTTCATGGATTGAAACATAAAATAGGTAAGCATATTTTATACTGACTGATAATTGAAAGTGAAATAAAAATTTGGACTGCTACCGGACTCGAACCAGTGACCTCGGGGTTCCCGGCCTGATACACTACCAACTGATCTACGAGATCTGTCTACTCACCAGGTTTTTATTTAACTTCAATCAACAAAGGGTTTTGCCTGACTATGATGTGAACTCGTGACGCTTTACTACCGCTTCATTGTATTCACAGAGGCTAGCTGTCTAGTCAGGACTTCTCATCCCAATCCAAATCTGAGTGAATTAGAGACGCAAGGAGCATCATATTGATAATGATTTGACCATCTAAGATACCTGTGGTTTGGCAGAAAATAAGATTTGGATTGGGATGAGAAGTCCTGATTAGGAAGCCACTGTGAAGGAGGTCAAGCGGTAGTAAGGCATCACAAATTCACATAGTAGTTCGGCGAAACCTCCGGTGATTGAAGTAAAAAAAATCTGGTCAGTAGTCGGACCTCGTAAATGAGTTAACAGAGCTTCGGTTAGGAAACCCAGTGGTTGCTGGTTCGAATCCGGCAGTGGTCCGGATCCGACCTATGTACTTGACCTCACAGTCATTACATGGTATTTGATAGATTAGATTATTTTGCCTAAATGGTTCTATTGGATCCTTAGGCCAGCCGACAAATTTTATCTCTGAGTTAGTTTGTAGGTTTAAATGCCACCGTAATTCCAGCTCTATTGAGGATTCTACGTAAAGTTTCCGAACATAGGAATTTAGCTAAATATAGAATAACAGACCCGATTAAGATCAATAATCTAGAAAGGTAACTCAGCTATTACTCTGCATGCATTAACACAGAACCATACAATAGAGTGGGTGGGATAAAGCCACTGTACTTAGGTGGAGAGAGATTGATTACTGAATCTTTGTTTATCAAATCAATACGTAACACATGTAATAGAAATGACGCAACATATATACCAGAGATATGGAAAGTTCTGCTACCAATAAAAACAACTCATACAAAGTGACATAACTATAAAAATCAGCTGTCGAAAGTGGAGTGTGATTACACTGAGATATGATTATGAGAAATGATAATCAATGGTCGATGTATCATCAAGTAAATAATACTAGATCACTTTGTGTTATAAATCAAATAAACAAATCTAATATGGGATTAAATTCTACCACAGTGCCCAAGTTTTACACTTATATTAATCTGAACAAAGAATATTCTTTCGAATAGATTCTTTTCAGGTTCTGCATTTATAAAAATACATTGGTACAGTGTAAAAGCAAGCCATGTTAGGGGGCAGTTACATTTTCGAAATGAAATGAGAACTAGGAAGTGTAAGGAAATTAGTTTTTTTTCTTCTAAATTAGTCAATATTGGGATGATACATATACAAAAGAATAACATGATGGTGAACAAAAAGATAATGAATAAGACTGCAGGAGTGACATTTAGTTAGCTGAAGGCTAAGGGAGAAGTAACGCATAGACGTGTTCTTCCTGAATGCAGAGTTCAGGCTTTATTAGTCTTATTGCGACAGCCTTTGCTATATTGGCCAGACGTTTGCCAGCCACAAGTGGCATTGTTTTTGGAGGACGATGAATAACTTTGAAAGCTTTATTAGCATCCATGTGATACCCTGTGTCGACTAGATACGCTAGGAGTGAACTTTTAAGCACTTTCTGAATCAAGTTGGTAAATATTGTCGTATCCGGAGACGTACTTGTCTAATCGTACACTCTGTGTAATTACTCCCTCAAGAACAGTTAAAGTGATATTTACAAGATGAAGAGTTAACATTAGGTATGCTATCCTTTAGTCTAGGATTGAGCATTGGCCGACTACTGAATGATATATATTAGCCGACCTGCATTAAACGTCTTATTGGCTGCTCTACTTAAGTGTCATGATAGAATGTCATTCAGACAGCTCTCAAGAAAATACTTCTAAAAATCTGAAATACAAAGGTAAAACTGCAGCGGACTTCCTTTTTGAACGTTTATGAAATTCCCCCAAATTAACACATTGGACTTCATCAGTGTGTATTTGATAAGTTCACTTGTTCCTGTGATGCTGAGTACATTGGCCGCACTAAATGTTACAGAACATTACCCAACCAGGTTATTGAAAAGTGAGCATAAAACCAATCTCCAACTATATCACTGAAAGTATCGTAGACTGTGGACATCTAGCTCCTCTGGAAACCTTATTTAATGTGCTCTACAAAATTTGATCACACCGATCAAAAAGGATACTGATTAGACAATAACATACAACATAATCTTTGAAGATTCACACTTTCAAACTTCATTTGTATGTTCAAAAACAAACTTGTACAAACTTTGTCTATACCATGACCTTAAACAGATCAAATGGCGATTTTTCGTCATATAATAATTATTTCTTGTTATTTGGAACGAAAACTTTCTCCAGATCTCAAGTTAAGGTATAAACTACACACTACATCAGTAACTGAAAGAATATATAGCGAGGGAAAAAAGAAAGAGAAAGGGAGTAAAAGAAGTAGTCAGTAAGAAAGAATCACCTTTATTGATTACAATCAATAGACTAGCGGACAGCGCTCTGGAGTCTGAGGTCTGTCGTTACACGGTTTACATCTCAGTGCGAACACCGTCACCTCCTGGAATGCAGGTGCATTCGACTGAGGAGCTTCAAGTAGGGCAAAAACTCCTCCTTGCATTTCTTTACTGACTACCGTCAACAAAATAAAATAAACATCGAATTCACAGCAATATCGAGGTATCTGTTCAAGGAGTCCAACTGAGAACGATCTATTCAGTTCGGTAGAATGGGTCATGGAAAATCTCAAATCTCAATAAGATACAACTAGAAAAGTGTAATTAACTTTGCTTAATTTTATGACAAGGCAGTTACCAAACAGCACAGTTTCACAATTACTGCTTGATATTGAGTCATATCTGAAGTTGTTTAAAGCTAATAAATCTTGAGATTTTTCCTAGTCTTTTAATTATTGGCACCTGCATATTTTTCTCTTTCATCCACTCTTAGAGTAATGAAATAATACTTTGTCGGGAAAGTTGTTAACAATAAGTAGTATACAAAGATGGTGTCAAAGCTAGTCTGAACGCTTAGTATAAAACGTTTTAATTGGTAAGGGTCCATGGATTTTATTGAAATATATTATCCCCGAATGGAGGAAATTTTCTACAGAACTACTGGTGATTAAACCTAGAGTCGAATAATAAGTGGCTAAAGTTGATAATACCCGTGTTTAATATTGAGTAAAGTTGTGTACTATATAATAAAAAAAATCGTTTTCTATGCTGTTATTATTGCAAGTGAACCTGTGAGGGACTGGTTACGTTACTGTTATGTAACGCTGAACCAATCCTATTTAACTCATTGTGTTTTGTTACCTGCTTAATCAATACCTTACCTAACGTGTGACGTGATAATGATTATCAGGGGAAAAGTTTATCCAACTTATCTGGTTAATGTAGCTGAGATAGGAACTCTGAGGACGTAAGTGTTAACAAGCATAAAGGGAGCACAAAATGGCATCGAAGCCTCCTTGGATGTATGCTTGTTAAAACAAAACTTAAAACATGAACATTTACACAGCGACCGGATTCGAACCAGGGATCACAGGGTTTCATGTCCTATGCTCTACCAACTGAATTACGAAGTCTATTTATTTTGGCACTAGTTGCATTTTGGGGCCAGGGGAGATGCACTACACGACTACCTAGTCTCATTATCAAATTGAATACGAGATATTAGTTGGTTGGAGGCAATCGGCAGGAAGCTCTGAACCAAGGTTTCGTGATTCTTGGCACTCGTCAGCAAGGTGTGTCTGCAATCTCGACGGAACTGGTGTCCCGCTTGAGATTCGAAGCCGCACCACCCAGTGTTGTAGTCAGCGACTTTACTACTGAGCTATTCGGGCCGTGATTGACATCCTGTAGAACTAGGTTACATGATCGATAGAATTCTGTCTACACTCAGGACTAGACAACATGAAATTGGTTGCACTCCCGTGACTAATCAATACATAGAATACGAGATTGACAGTTTCTGCAAATTATTGTTATTTGTCCTTTGGGTTCCTAGTGGAACATACGGCTTCAGTAGCACGCCTCCATTACACTCTCTTCTCTGAAATCTTTCCAACCTGGCTCCACGATAGCCCACAAGCTCTCATTTCTTCCTCACACCATCTCCTCCATGTCACCCTCGGCTCAGACGCCCAACTCGTCGATTCCCATCTGGGTTCCACTCGAGTGTTGGCCTGGTGCATGATGTCTTCAGTCGGCCTTCTCAGTGTATGCCCAATCTAATCCATCTCCACTTCCTTCCAGTGCATATTTGTTGAGTGAAAGCTTCTTGGTTAGTTCGACCTCAGTCAGAGTTTCTTGTTACTTATTCTTTCTGGTCATCTAATCTTCAGTAATGAGCCAGCGTAGGCGGCAGTTGTTGATGAATGTCTGCAGTTTGTTCACAATGCTCTTCGTAATGCGCCAAGTCTCTGAGCCATACAGAAGCAAATTATCGTAGGCATATTTATCATCTGTAAACATTGTAATCGAAGTTATTTATCATGATATAAATTTCAGCGATAGTTTTTTATTACTTTCTCAAGAGAAAATGAATAGTGATTTATAGAGTTAATGATGTTATATGTCTGAACAATCATTGTAATTTAGTATGCTAAGAATTCTACTATATACAATCAACTACATTATATTGTTGCATTTTTTTTCTTTCAAAAATTGTTTTTCATCTTATTAAATAGCCATCAAGTAGTCCCAAGTTAAATCCATTTTCAAAGTCAAAATATATCAGTTTATCAATTCTCAATTATTTAAATATATCATCTGAAAACATTAGTAATAATAGTTTACAATTTATATTACCGTATACTGAACAATTATACACTACATTTCTACCTGATGAGATAATAATAAGATTAATACAAGAACGCTTAAAGTATCCTGATTGTATAAATGCTAACGGTATTATAATTGATGGATTAGAATCAGATTTTATAAAAAATTCACTGTCTACAATCGAGATACTACTGAAATGCTTTAAAGATTGTAAGTATACTTATACAATAAGTATTAAATCTGATTATGAAAGATATAAACAATGTATAACAGAAATACAAGCTGATATAAATGAAGCTCAATTGTTAAAAAATACTACTTATTATAAAAAGTTAGATGATTTAACAGACTATGAATATGAAGAATTATCAGATAATGAAAGGAAACATATTGATGAATTACAATTGAAAATACGTCGTGAAAAACGTCAAATTGAACTAGAACAAAAACGTATACATGCAGAACAATTACGTGAAGAACAAGAAGCTGAAATAAAGCGTTTAGAAATGGAACGGTAAGAATTATTTTATAAATAAATTCTAACCTACTGTTACATATCTTTAACTAAAAGTGTAAATGGGCTAATTCGATTGAAGGTGAGATAAAAATTTGAACCATGGACGGTTTCGAACCAACAACTACTGGGTTACCAGCCTTATGCTGTGCCAACTGAACTGTACAGTTTGATTGCTCATTAGATTTTTATTCCCCTTAGATCAATCAGCAGTCGAACCTCATAGCATTGGTTGGTTGCTGGTTTGAATCCGGCCACGGTTCTCACCTTCAATCCTTACCAAACATAAAATACCAGTCAGCCAAACTATGGCTATCTCAAACAGTCAAATGATAAGATAATAAAATGTAAAAATTCCTGATCAATTATGAAACTAAGACCGAAAAATAAAATGAGAAAAGTGCAAACAGAGATGATATTTACATTTATCCTGGTGACAGGGAAGGGAATTATTGTAATTGTATCTAGGTTGAAGTTGAAGGCTATGGGAGGGAAAAGGAACGATAAACATCTTCTGAATATATAAATTAAGTCTGAAAATTTTAATTGCTATGGCTTCTGACACCTTTGAAGTGAAGAGAGGAGTAAGACAAAGCTGCTGCCTACTATCACTCATGATATTCCTGATTTTGGTAGACTGGATCATACAGCAAACCGTGAGGAGTGAGATGAGCATACACTGGACCGAGGAAAAGATCCTAGAAGATTTGGATTTCGTCAACGATAATGATTTTATCTAATGTCTTGTCGCACAAACTCGAAGATGTACAGGCGAAAACTAACAAGTTGACAGAAGAGGTGAAGCAGCGAAAACGATACCTAAATTAAATGTGGAGAAGACGGAGATGATGAAGTTACCAAATCAACAACAACAACAAGAGGCACCAATCACCATCAGTGGGAGAAACCTAAACGAAGTGGTCCCTTTCACCTACCTACCTATCTACCTAGGCAGCATCATTTCAACTACACGTGGCGACACACATGAGGATGTCAAAACGAGGATTGGAAAAGCAAAACAAGCTTTCACTAATCTGAAAACAGTGTGGAGATCCACTGCACTCAGCATAAAGAACAAGATCTGGATTCTCAGTACCAATGTCAAGTGAGTGCTTCTATACGGTTCAGGAAATTGGCGCGTTACGAAAAGCATTTCCAAAAAACTACAGACATTCATCAACAACTACCTACGCTGGCTCGACACTGTGAATCAGATGGTCAGAAACAATAAGCAAGGAGGAATGAACCAATCAAGAGGCTATCGGCCAATAAATATGCAGAAGAAAGTGGAGATGGATTGGATTGGATATGCAGTGAGAAGACAGTTTGGCGACACCACGCGCCAGGCAAAGGCCTCCAGTCGAACCCAAAAAGGAAACGGCAAGTTATGCGTCCAAGAGTGACATGGAGGAGATGGTATGTGAGGAAGAAATGAAAGCTTGTGGGCAGTCATGGTACCAGGTCCAAAAGACTGCAGAGAACAGAGTGCAATGGAGGCGTGCTACTGAAGCCTTATGTTTCACTGGGAACCCAAAAGAAAAATAATAGTAATAATAATAATAATAATAATGGCTTTTGTTATGCCTAGCAGTCGGAGGCACACAAACTTGGGGTATTGTGATGGGAGTTTGTAAATAATAGTAAATGCTGAGGTTTTGTCAATTTTATGATTGGGATCTACTAGATGGGCGAGTATTGAGCTTTACATGGACTTCACCGTTCCTTTGGTCGGCTTCCTGACTCGTTCTACCTATGTAACCATGTCTACAGGAGGAGTTAAATTTATAAACCAACATAGATGTGGCCAGATTCGGAAGCCTATCCTTCAAATGAATTGACATCATACAGCGAGTAGTAAATTTCAGACATAATGTGGTGGCTAAGAATGTTTTTTGTGTATCAGATTCCTGAGTTTCAGTGTCAGTGTTTCTGCAGCCTCACTTCCTTTGAACGCTGATGTGAGGTACAATCGTTTTCTTCGGCACCATTTGAAGGCGCTTTTCTCCATCTGTTTTCATTGTTACAGTCTTTATGAACTTTTCAGGATATCCGTTCTTATATAAAGAGTTCTCTATTATTCTTAGTTTACAGTTCAAAGTATCAGCCATACAAATCTTACCGTCTTGAAATCTCAGTGTATGGATTAAATTTCTTTTGTACGCAAGAGGGATAGATGATTGGAAATGTGTATACTGACCAACGCATGATTTTTTACGATAAATACTGTGTCTGATACTATCATCCATATGTCTTGACAGCGAAACATCTATAAATAGCAGATATCCGTCTTTCTCTGTTTTACATTAGAACTCAATTTTTTGATGACCTCTGTTGAGTGTATCCAGAAGAATGTCAGGATTAGTATCATTTTTGTACGGAATGAAAGTGCCATTCATGTATCTGCAATAGAAGGACAAAATTAAAGTGTATGTATTTTGCAGATTCTTTTCAGCTGCTTTACAACCTACAGAATAGAATATTTATGATGGAAGATATGTTATACAACTTTGATAAAGTGACTAGAACATAGTTAACATAGTTAACTATGTTAACTATTTATATAGTAATGCAGAATGAACATTCTAGAGAAGATGGCGAAAAATGCATGTCATCGCAGAACTGATAACTGAATAACACTTGTGATTGCCATTACGGCTATATTTCACAGGCATATGGTAGCGCTATATACTCGACCCTTAGTAGACTACCAGTTGTCCCATCCATGCTATAGATGACACAGTTACTTGGATTTAAGACTTGATCTGACTTCCTATGTATGTAAGTATTCATCATTGCTAAACACTTCACTTTCAATTGTTAGACAAGATAGTAAGGCAGGTCATTCCTGAAGTAACAGTTTTCACCTGAGTGGTAAGGAACGCATTCTAAACATTCTCAGATTGTCACTCAATGTTCAAAGAACTTATCATCTCGTCACCACCTCCATAGAACTGTCTCATATGTATACTCTATGTTTACTACGGAGTGTCTTGTGGCAGCATCGATCCCTTTAAACTGAGATAAGAATTAAGAGATCTCCATAAGCCTGTCTATCACAACCTTAGGTAAAAATCCTTTCTTTGCTTAAATTATTTATCTGAACCGTGTAATGTATTTGCGCAACACATTTCGAACTATCTGACCACACACGTACTTGTCATAGGTATTTATATAAAAACTCATGAAGATAAGGGGTGAGAAAATAAAAAGGGGTCAGGTAGGAAGGCTGAATAACAATGAAAATCAATATAGCGAAAAAATAATAGTACATCGAACTTGGTTTTTCAATAGTTGAATTTACCAAGGAAGGTTTAATGTGACAACAAATTGTTTATGAACACATGAAGGTGGTTTCAACTTCCTAATAGCTAAGGCTTCAACAAATTTCAGGATCCCTCCCCAACATGTTTTGTAAATAGGTGTAAAGGAAGTAGCCACATCAATCTTGTGACCTGTCTCAACGATATGTTTAGCGATCGAAGAACTTGGACGTCTGCTACCAACATTTATAGGTTCAGGTGATTTAATTTGCTTCTGAAGCCACTTTGGAATATGTTCCGAGGCCCTTACTTGCATGGATCTATTAGTCCTCCCTATGTATGTGTCACCACACGTACATTTGAATTGGTAGATACAATGGGATGTGACATTATCGTTCACATGCTGTGGGGGTTTGGGGGAATATAAGGGCTTCGTGGTTTCGATTACTCGAACCCTGGTTGCATAGTAAGTCCTTCTAACAGCAGCGTTAAGTCTCTGCTTAAGGATTGCACTCTGAGAGTCACCTTTGTACGGAAGGCTGATGAAGACATCCTTCTTTGGGACTGACTGCAGTTCTAGTTTTGACGCTCTGCTGATTTTGTTCTGCCTGATAAATGTTGATGGATAGTTATTTTCCAACAAAATATCGGTCAGTGTTCCCCTTTCATCTTCTAAAGTATCCTCGGTGCATATTCGTTGAATTCTGCTGAATAAGCACCTTACTAACGTTCGTTTGTACTGAACTGGGCAAAAGCTATGGTAATTCAGATATTGCCCTGTCCATGTAGGTTTTCTGTAGATAGATCGTTTTATGGATCCATCCTGCCTTCGACTAATTAATATATCTAGGAACGGCAAGCAGTCATCTTCCTCTCTTACACATGTCAAAGATATGCTGTTCTGTACTTCGTTCAGTCGGTTTAGAATTGAAGTAGCCTGATTTGAGTTTTCACAAATGATCAGGATATCGTCAACATATCTTCGATACAGATGGGCTTGGTCTATTAAGTTCTCGGCTAAGTTCTCAACGTGTGACATAAATATGTCGGCTAGGAGGGGACCTAAAGGACTTCCCATAGCGACACCATCAACCTGGCGGAAATGTTCGCCCTCAAAATGAATTTAATATTGTTTGTACATAAAAGTAACAGCTGTTTTAGGTGATCCAAAGTAATGGGTATCGGAAACTTATGCACAGAAATATAATTACATAAAATGTCAATTGTCTTGACCAAAGGGACATTGGTAAATAATGAGTTAACATCAAATGAACACATAAATTTACTCTTTATGTTGACATGCTCAAGGCATTTGATTACTTCAAAGTTTATAAAGGGAACTAATTGTTTTAAATTATTTATCTTATGCGGGTTTATCATTCCACTATATAGTGAACTTCAAATGTCCTTATAGTAATTATTACCTAAATCATTTATGGAAGAGAATATGTGTTAAACAGAGGAGTCACCCTGCATAAAACTCGTCTTGACCTACGTCACATACTTCTTGACACTTATCAGCAAGGCCTTTCCTGTAGCAATGAGTGAATTTACATTACTGTAGTGATTAAAGCTTGTGTCCTTCACTACTGACATCAAAGACTTCACCACTAAGTTGTTTATACTAGGAATGGCACCTTACAGGGGAGATTCATTGCAGCGAATTAGTCACCGGTGGGTAACTGATGTCCTTATCTAGTCTTCAGCTTTCAGCACCGACTGTAACCTGTCGACCACGTTTGCAATAATGCCACTAAGCCAAGTGATGTGACAATGTGCAGCATAGTATAAGTTTTGTGTTCCTATCCATCGTGACTTATACATACAGACACACACGTACAAACAAAAAGTCCACTGATGATAAGAAAACCATAGGTTGAACGGGAATAAAGGTGAAAAGCTGAATGATGAATAGTGGTTAACAGTGTAGTCCAGAAAGCGCATTTCATCAAATTAAGGACTTTTCACCTGGATGTGCCTGTACACAGACAATATCGAAGCATCCACGCAGGAGCTCATATGCCAATACAGACCGAGTAATTTAGTTCAGTCAACAACGGGGTAATAAAAAAAACAATAACATAAAAGGTTATAATTGAATTTTTCAATGCATATAGAGTAATATGGTTCTGACAAATATATACAACATTGATATATCAGATTTTCTGAGAAATGCTTCATCAGAGACAAACCGTTTTCTTCACACATCCTCCAATTTATTAGAAATGTCTTAACGACTTCCAAAACGAGTTATCATGTAATCAATGATCTGAATAGCTATTGCACTCTAAAGGTCTAGAATCTTAATCGACCATATCTGTCTAGTTCCTAATTACTTATGCTTATTCTATTTGCTTCATTTCTATGTATCCTTATGTCTTGATGAGTTTATTTTAAGTGTTAGACAACCTGAAATGGACCAATGTGTTATTTTATATTTTAGAAATAATAAGAGACGAGGTAAACGAATGGATGACAAACCACTTAAACCTAATACAATGAAAGATAATGTTGCATTATCTGGTCGAATGAGCTCGAAATCTACAAGAGATGTGATAAATAATATGCATAATAATAATGTGATTAAATCAGATTTACCAGAGAAATCACCATTGGGAGTGTTAGAAGAAACGTGAGTCACTTATCATTCATTTAAATTCTTTTTTGCCTTTCTTTAAGGTAGCATTCATCACAAACTAACATCAGTCGGGGAGATATTGAAAATATGAGAGCACTATGCAGTTGTTTTAACCTACTTAGTCCAGGAATCCACAGTAATGCACGCCGATGACCGCGCTAAGGATATCACTTACAAACACGTTACCGTTGACCTACTGGGCCAACTTTTTATTCTTACTTCTACAGATTCACGAAATAGCATAATCATCATCCTGTGTCATCAGTGAGTATCCGCTTCATTTCCATCGGTCACAGTTTTCCTCTGGAAACTAGAGAAATTCTACACTTGGATGAAAAATCTATCAGGTGTTTCAGGGCTTTTTAGCGGCTTCCCACTAGATTTCAGTTCGTAAGGAATGCTATCTTGAAATAAACAAATCCCCATGATTCTTGTTCTAAGCATATATTCACTTTCATCGGTGTACATTATTGTTTTAAGAATACTTACTACTCATTTTTTGTTAGTAGTTAAATACTGTTTACATTAAATTTAAGTTATCATGAATTTCGACTTTGAAAACGTAACTCATTCAGGTAAAATACATTTTAGTGCTTTTACTGAGTGATGATTGAAGGTGACATCAAAATCTGAACCACAGCCACATTCCAACCAGCGACCACCGAGTACATTCAATTTCCACTGAATAAGTCATCGTATACAAGTTATGATTGGGTCGGATTAAACGAAAATTTAGTTGATTTCGCAGTATATATAGTTTAATAATAATCTGTTGATTATCCGAACAAATTATACATCACTAAGGGCTTAAAATTATACACATAACTTTGGGATAGAATCTTTTGATTGTAAGAGATAGTTGCTATGAATATTAGATTGCGAAATGAAAGAATAGTGGTGTTGATTGATACCTTCAATTTCAGCCTGTTCGGAACTTGTCAGCCGGACATACCTGTACTCCAGTGAGTGATGTTCTCATTGACACTTGAACTAAGTAATCTTCTCCTAGAACGCCGAAGCTTTATCCATTAGGCCACTGGAGTACAAGATGAGATTATTCCGGCTGATGTCTTCTAAATAGGAGGAAACACGTAACCTAGACACTACTACTAGCTAACAAGTAGATTGAAACGTAGGAAAATGGTGTTATCTTTGAAGTGACTATAGAATATGTAGATGAAGGAATAAGTGAATGTACATTAAAACACTCTATCAGCTTGAATTTTCATGTGCATCGAATTCACTTTTATTTAAGATGTCACCTTCAATGTACTTTTACATTGGTTTTAAACTGGAGCATTTTTCATGATTATTTAATTGAGGTAATTAATTCAATTTGAATGATAACTGGGGATAGGACTTTAGTTGAAACCACTCTTCATAAAAAGGTTACTGATAAAAATCTGCTTTACCTTAGCTTTGGAAATTTCACTAGTACCCCTTAGTTTACCATTACTCCTTGAAAACTTTTATATAGAAAGGAAAAAAGTAATAGAATGTTCACAACCCTAACCGAAAATAAGCACCACTATATCGAAGTTCATTTCAATAAATTCACGTCGTTTACCAGAAGAATTATGAACCTAAACTTTCAAATAGACCAGGTTGTCACGGTTGTATGATTTTCAAATAGTGGAGAATATTTGTAGCTTAGGGGGATGATCTTGGTTGTAATGTGTTCTCTCAGCTGAGTAGTTTAATCGTGAAGCTATTAGTCAGGTTAACGGAAGTGTTAGCCAGTATATGGGATCAAATACGATCCCCTCTGACTGGTCTAAGTCACTCATCATCCCAGTCTTCAAGAAAAGCGAGAAGTCTTCTTGTGATAACCACAGAGGAATCAGCCTGACGAACATAGTGTCTAAGATCCTAAGTTCTATATTTCTCCGACGCCTGAGTGGAGCTCGGGAACAGCAAGCCCGAGAAAACCAGGCAGATAGGCTTTAGACCTGGCCGTGGATGTATCGACCAAATATTCACACCGCCAAGTCCTAGAACATAGGCATGCTTACAGACGCCCAACAATAGCTGTATTTCTCGACCTGAAGGCGGCATTTGACTCCGTTGATTGACAAGTCTTATGGCAATGTCTGTCACTGAAAGGCGTGCCTAGTAAGTACATCACCTTATTGAAAGCTCTCTACTCGAACGCTTGTGGGCATGTTAGAGCCTATGGCGAGTTGTCCAGGGAGATATACTCATCAACTGGTGTCCGTCAAGTATGCCCACTATCCCCATGCTTATTTAATTTTATCATAGATATTCTTATGGAGGTTTCCCTCTCCTCACCTTATCACACAGACGTTGACCCGATCACAGGTAAATTTTCTTTAGATCTAGAATATGCAGATGACATAGTCCTGTTAGGTGAAGACGACGCTGACAAGATGCAGAGTCTTCTGAACACCTTGAGTGGGAATTTGAGAATGTTTGGGATGCGATTTTCACCAACCAAATGCAAATTTTTGCTCCAGGACTGGTCTTCAGCGGTACCGCGGTTAACAATAGAGAGTGAAGTGGTTGAGTGTGTTGACCACTTCACTTACCTGGGAAGTAAGATCAACCCTGGTGGGTTAGTTGCCGATGAGATTTCTGCACGGATACAAAAGGCTCGATTGGCTTTTGCCAATTTGAGCCACCTATGGCACCGCCGTGATATCTGTTTGTCTATTAAGGGTCGCGTGTACTGCACAGCAGTCCGCTCTGTTCTACTGTATGGCTGTGAAACATGACCATTGAAAGTGGAAGATATAAAAAGGCTTCAGGTGTTTGACCACCGTTGCCTGCCTTCGTAATATAGGACGTATTCCGTGGTGTCACCATGTGAGTAATGCAGAAGTTAGGTGTAGAGTTTTGGGAGAAGAGGTAAGTCAGTTGACGAGGTTATGAACCTTCATCGACTGAGATGGTTGGGACACGTACTAAGTATGCCTAGTCACCGATTACCTCGTCACACAATGTTGGCTGAGGTGGGTTCAGGCTGGAAAAAGGCCCGAGGTGGCCAGACTAAAACATGGCACCAATGTATGAAGTCTCTGACTGTTGGTTTAAGCCATGTAGGAAGATGCAGACTAGGTGGTTGGGGTCGGCGGGACAAGAGGAACCAGTGGTTGGAGACCCTAGGTGATATGGCTCAGAACGGAAGTGAGTGGCGGAGATGTATACACACATTATCCTTATCTTTACAACGCTATACCGAATCTCACCATTTTGTCACTCCTCTTTCCTTTCTTCTCATACTTTATATTTCTTTTGACTGCATTCACTTATCTCCATCCTTCACCTTACTACCGTTTTACTTGATGTGCTGATATGAGGTGTGGCAACTCCGACCGTTACGCAGTAATGCCTGGTCCTATGTTGATAATGATGATGATGATGATGATGATGATGATGATGATGATGATGATGATGATGATGATGATGATGATGATGATGATGATGATGATGATGATGATGATGATGATGATGATGATGATGATGATGATGATGATGATGATGATGATGATGATGATGATGATGATGATGATGATGATGATGATGATGATGATGATGATGATGATGATGATGATGATGATGATGATGATGATGATGATGATGATGATGATGATGATGATGATGATGATGATGATGATGATGATGATGATGATGATGATGATGATGATGATGATGATGATGATGATGATGATGATGATGATGATGATGATGATGATGATGATGATGATGATGATGATGATGATGATGATGATGATGATGATGATGATGATGATGATGATGATGATGATGATGATGATGATGATGATGATGATGATGATGATGATGATGATGATGATGATGATGATGATGATGATGATGATGATGATGATGATGATGATGATGATGATGATGATGATGATGATGATGATGATGATGATGATGATGATGATGATGATGATGATGATGATGATGATGATGATGATGATGATGATGATGATGATGATGATGATGATGATGATGATGATGATGATGATGATGATGATGATGATGATGATGATGATGATGATGATGATGATGATGATGATGATGATGATGATGATGATGATGATGATGATGATGATGATGATGATGATGATGATGATGATGATGATGATGATGATGATGATGATGATGATGATGATGATGATGATGATGATGATGATGATGATGATGATGATGATGATGATGATGATGATGATGATGATGATGATGATGATGATGATGATGATGATGATGATGATGATGATGATGATGATGATGATGATGATGATGATGATGATGATGATGATGATGATGATGATGATGATGATGATGATGATGATGATGATGATGATGATGATGATGATGATGATGATGATGATGATGATGATGATGATGATGATGATGATGATGATGATGATGATGATGATGATGATGATGATGATGATGATGATGATGATGATGATGATGATGATGATGATGATGATGATGATGATGATGATGATGATGATGATGATGATGATGATGATGATGATGATGATGATGATGATGATGATGATGATGATGATGATGATGATGATGATGATGATGATGATGATGATGATGATGATGATGATGATGATGATGATGATGATGATGATGATGATGATGATGATGATGATGATGATGATGATGATGATGATGATGATGATGATGATGATGATGATGATGATGATGATGATGATGATGATGATGATGATGATGATGATGATGATGATGATGATGATGATGATGATGATGATGATGATGATGATGATGATGATGATGATGATGATGATGATGATGATGATGATGATGATGATGATGATGATGATGATGATGATGATGATGATGATGATGATGATGATGATGATGATGATGATGATGATGATGATGATGATGATGATGATGATGATGATGATGATGATGATGATGATGATGATGATGATGATGATGATGATGATGATGATGATGATGATGATGATGATGATGATGATGATGATGATGATGATGATGATGATGATGATGATGATGATGATGATGATGATGATGATGATGATGATGATGATGATGATGATGATGATGATGATGATGATGATGATGATGATGATGATGATGATGATGATGATGATGATGATGATGATGATGATGATGATGATGATGATGATGATGATGATGATGATGATGATGATGATGATGATGATGATGATGATGATGATGATGATGATGATGATGATGATGATGATGATGATGATGATGATGATGATGATGATGATGATGATGATGATGATGATGATGATGATGATGATGATGATGATGATGATGATGATGATGATGATGATGATGATGATGATGATGATGATGATGATGATGATGATGATGATGATGATGATGATGATGATGATGATGATGATGATGATGATGATGATGATGATGATGATGATGATGATGATGATGATGATGATGATGATGATGATGATGATGATGATGATGATGATGATGATGATGATGATGATGATGATGATGATGATGATGATGATGATGATGATGATGATGATGATGATGATGATGATGATGATGATGATGATGATGATGATGATGATGATGATGATGATGATGATGATGATGATGATGATGATGATGATGATGATGATGATGATGATGATGATGATGATGATGATGATGATGATGATGATGATGATGATGATGATGATGAAGCTTTCATCGTCGTTCATCAGCACTAACTTCAGTATGAAGTGAGCTGCCAACATCTCTCCATGATTGATTTAGTGGCTTGATCTGACGATGTGGTGTGTGATTGGTTGTTTCCCTCCTAGAAGCTTGGAATTCAGGTCAGTCAGCAAACAACAGATGTATAGACGTGATGGACCCAATCTACCAACCAATAAGAAAAATGATAAACGACAGAAAGGTGAGAGGTGAAGCAGAGGAACAGTCAGCCAACAGGAAAATCTATACAATCAATGACACAACAATCGAAGGAAACTACCAATTGCAAACCAGTTGGTCAGGCCAAGCTACTAAATCGTTGATGGAGAGATATTGACAGCTCACTTCATACTGAAGTTGGTGCTGATGATGTTGTCCAGGAAGACGATGAAAGCTTCACGAATAAACAACCCAGCTCAGAGAACACAACACAACCAAAACCAGGTTGTCGTATAGATTCTTGTTAGAAAATCATATGGTTTCTTATGTTACAGTTGGGATATCATTTTTATTACTATTCATTGAAAAGATGCATCTGAGAACTAGACAAGAAATCAAGGAATCAAGCCATTGTCTCTCTACATTACAGTTTTGTATTTCTGGAGAGTGATTCAGATTATGAACGACTATGTAAAACAGGATGAATTTAGTAACACGTAAAAACGAAGGTTTTTATTCTAATTCTAAATGCTAAATAAGATTTATCAATATTTAAAGAACAGAAAATCTAGGAGGTTAAGAAAGAGATCTTATACTTCAAACAGTAGGCCATGGAGTTGACAGACAACCTTGAAGTCGCTGGTTTGAATCCTATCGAGGTACGGGTTATAGTTTCCCTTCAAATATAGTTTCATCTAACAAATATATTCACGTCGATAACAAGAATGAAGGCGTAATACTACGTTTGTAAAATGTTCAGGAAAATTGCTGAGTATTCAAAATCTACAGAGGATATATCTGACAAATCAAGCTATTGAATACATTTCTACAGAATGTAATGTTGCCCTGGTTTTCTATAGTTCTGTAGCAATATCAACTCTTCTTAGTTGTATTGTGTTCACTGAGCTGAACTGTTTTATTGTAGAGATTTTCATCACCTTTTTAAACGACAAGATTTACATACAGATGAAAGGAACTCCAACGGGATCACCAATATCCGGATTAATTGCAGAAGTAGTCATGCAGAGACTGGAAGCCATCATCCTACCTGTGATCAAACCAAAAATTTGGATTCGTTATGTAGACGACACTTTTGTCATCATTAAAAAGGATGATATAGAAAACACTCACAGTTTGATCAACAAGGTTTTCAATGACATCGAATTCACAATAGAGAAAGAGTCAAACAACCAACTACCATTCCTGGATGTTTTAGTCAGTAGGACAAATGCCGGAAAGCTGGAAACTCAAGTGTACAGAGAGCCAACACACACAGACCAAATCCTCAACTACAATAGCAACAACCTAACAACACACAAAATTAGTTGAGTGCAGACTCTATTCAAAAGAGAGCGAGAACACACTGCAGCACAACAACTTCATGGAGAAACGAAGAAAATTACCTGGTGTCCACCCTAAAGAAGAGCGACTACTCACGAAACTTTATCAGAAGATGCCTGCCTATCCCGTGCATCACCAACTACAAAGTCATCGACAGAAATCAACAAACACATCGTCCTTCCATACATAAAGAATATATCAGAAATCACAACAAGATTGCTGAGGCCGCTTGGAGTTGGTGTAGCTGGCTCATAAACCAACAAATCCCCTCCAAACACTATTATGCAGACGAAAGGATGCAACAATCAAAGAAGACAAATAGAATATCATTTACGAAATCAACTGGAATAACTGTAGTCAACACCACATTTGACAGAGTGGTCAGCATCTTCACCTTCGTCATTTACATGAACACCAATCGGCTAGTCAATGTTACATACACATGACATTCCATCACTCATTTCGATGCAGGTGGATAATAACTATGCACATGAATTCAATTTTGAGAATGTATAAATTTTGGACGGAGAGAGGAAACACAAAGAATGTCAGAGAATTCCTAGAAGCTTGGTATTCAGGTCAGTCAGCAATTAATAAATGTATAGACATAGACCCAATCTACCAACCAATAAGAAAAATGATAAACGACAGAAAGGTGAGAGGTCGAGCAGAGGAACAGCCAGCCAATAGAAAAATCTAAACAGTCTGTCAATGGCACAACAATCGAAGGCAGCAACCAATAACAAACCAGTTTGTGAGGATAATCTACTAAGTCACTAATATAAGTGAAAAACTTGGGCACTGTGGTAGAATGTAGTTCCATATTAGATTTGTTTATTTGATATATAGCGCACAGTGATAAAGTATTATTTACTTGATTACGTTTCGAGCATAAATTATTACTGCTCATAATCATATCAATGTAATCACACTTCTTTCGATATCTGATTTTATAGTCCTGTCACCTGATCTCTCTTTGTTTTTTTGTTTTTTGATTGGTAGTAAAGTTTTCCATATCTCTGGTATAGGTGTTGCGTCATTCCTATTACATGTGTTGGGTGTGGATTCGATGAACAAAGATTCAGTAATTAATCTCTCTCTCCACCTAGCTATATTAGACTTAAGTACAGTGGTTTTGTCCCATCCTATTGTGTGGTTGTGTGTTAATGAATGTAATGCAATGGCCGAGAGTTTTTCTAGGTTATTGATCTTATTGGGGTCTGCCGTTCTATGTTTAGCTAAATTCCTATGTTCTGTTAATCTAACTGACCCGACCGGCTAGTTAGATTAACAGAACATAGGAATTTAGCTAAACATAGAACGGCAGACCCCAATAAGATCAATAACCTAGAAAAACTCTCGGCCATTGCATTACATTCATTAACACACAACCACACAATAGGATGGGACAAAACCACTGTACTTAAGTCTAATATAGCTAGGTGGAGAGAGAGATTAATTACTGAATCTTTGTTCATCGAATCCACACCCAACACATGTAATAGGAATGACGCAACACCTATACCAGAGATATGGAAAACTTTACTACCAATCAAAAAACAAAAAAACAAAGAGAGATCAGGTGACAGGACTATAAAATCAGATATCGAAAGAAGTGTGATTACATTGATGTGATGATTATGAGCAGTAATAATTTATGCTCGAAACGTAATCAATTAAATAATACTGTATCACTGTGCGCTTTATATCAAATAAACAAATCTAATATGGAACTACTAAGTCACTGACAGCTCAGTTCATAGTGAAGTTAGTGCTGATGGTGTCGATGTCTGGAAAGGCGATGAAAGCTCCATAAATAAACAATCCAGCTCAGAGAACACAATAATACCAAGATCATCCATCTGAGCTACAAATATTCTCCACTATTTCAACACCAACTATTGAAAATCATCCTCAGAATATCACGTATAACAAAGTTATAAAAGTCAATAGAAGATTGAACGATCCTTTTTAATCGTCTTATTCGTTTAAAAGACATTGAAGAATAAGTACTGGAAACTTTCTAGTTGTATCAAGTATTTCACTGAGGTACTAGTGGGATTGTGAAGATTATCTGTTTACACTTTGACCTCATATCTTTTAATGTCATCTTAGTAATAATTTGCAGAGAAAACTTACTGAACATTTCACAAATATTCATGTCAAACTGATTGTCTAACCAAACAGCCTTCTCAGTGATTTATGAGTGGCATAAAATTTAGGATGATTTTAATGATAGGCAACTAAAATGTCTTTTTATTTAGTTGCTTTATCCTCCTGATCTTCACGGGTGTCGTATGACAATTCAAGGTTATCAACTATAAGACTAGTTTCTAATTAGGCGAATATATGTTTGAAATTGTGTACTTCATATGGTATGCTGTCCTACTAAGGGGATAACTTCATTGTATTGGTATCTACACTTGACAAGTACACAGGGATGATATCCAGGGCCCTAACTAGGTTATCAGTCACTTAGGCCAGTTATATCTCACACTTATTCCTCTACTTAATACCAACCAAGGCCTGTTTGGATAGCAGACAGATGATCAGGTCAAGGAATCTATCAACGACTACCCCTTCATCTGATTACTAAAACTTTAAGGATAGTAAAAATGGTGACTAAAATTCTTAATGATTACACTTTCATACTTTTATTAAAGGAAAATATCTTAAAAAGTTTATCAGCTCTGTTATTCTATATCACACTTTCATTTACTTTAAAGACGTAGAACATCAAGATCCCATGAAAAACATCGTAAATCTGCTACTAGTTTCAAAGATGAAGCATTAACTGAAGAAGAGATTGGAGTGCATATGACAGATGAAGAACAGTTAACACATCAAATGTAAGTCCCTGTTTAATCGACTTACCTGAATAAAGTTTATAATTCTTGGGCAACTTCAAAGATTCACACAAACTTGATGTTTTTTTTTCAAATTTCTATTCATCATTGACTGACATCATTTGGAGGAACATTGGAAATCTGGAAGCATCTCGCCAGAGATCGAACCCTAGCGGAGTCATAGATACGCACTGCTGAGGGGTACCATACTTGGGTAAATACAGCCTTCCAGTACACTCAGGTTTCTAATGTTCCTCCAAATCACTAAATCCCTGTAAACCCACCGAATTCGAAATTAATGTTGACGCCAAGCAATTAAAACTTTGTAAAGAATAATCTACTGTTTAGACGTTCAGTCCTGTAAAATTTGATCAAGATTTGTTTATTTTCAGCCACTGAATTTATATCTTGACTGAAACCCTAGAAAATGGAAGTGCACATGTGTTTTCTTCAGATTGAATGAGCAAGTTGGTATTTATTATGGATTGACATAAGTTAGAGAAACATTAGAAACCCTAAGGAACTGGACAGCAGCTGTTTCGTCATAGTACAAGACTCTTTAGCAGTGCGCATCCAAGAACTTCAGGTTCCGTAGCCAGTACGCTACCACTGAACCATAGAGTCAGAATCCAATGACCCATATTTCCAACTTCCGTCAGTTCACCATACAGCGTGACCGTCAATCAATGTTATCAATGAGTATTTGTCTTCATGGCGACTAGGTTTTCTTCACTGGTCATAATTTCTTATTGGAAGTTCAGAAATCACCTGTTGAAGTTAGTCATCAATGAGCATTGGATGAATTGAATTTGGGAGTTTGTGGGGATTTAAAGTTTCAAACTACAGTCTGCATCGATTATGTCCATGTTCACATCGTTACATTCAAAAGAAGTGATTTAATGGACAGAAGCGTTGATCACCAAGTATCTCTGTAGATTTATTTCATAACTCTTGAATAATGCGGAAGTGATAATCAAAGACAAATGAAAATCAAGCTCTATGAATGAGCTTTATTATCTATTGTTAACTGAATCGAAGATGCCTTCCTTTCTGAAAGTTTTTGCCTAGGACAACTATGAACTGCATATACAACACTTTATATGGATGAAAAAGTGATCTCTGATCAAGATGTAATAATTAATCTAGTCTTCTGTATGACAAATACAAATCAGTTAACTGCATAATGCATCATCATAGAACAGAGTATAGAATAGCGGTCAACTCTCTACCTCAATTTCATCAACTTTGAAAAGGCCTTCGACTAAGGTGTCGACTAAGAAGTAATTTGGCAGTTGCTTCAATAATACGGAATACCACAATCCTTTATGAGCCTCATTCAACAACTCTATGAAGACGCCACATCACATGTAATTCACAATAGGAAGCTCAGTGATGCCTTCGAAGTGAATTGAAGACAGGAGTAAGACAAGGCTGCCACCTACTATCACCCATGATAATCCTGATTGTGGTCAACTCGACTGGATCATGCAATAAACAGTGAGTAGTGAGAAGAGGGGCATACGGTGGACCGGGGAAAAGAACCTAGAAGATTTGGATTTCGCCGATGACTTATGTCTAATGTCACACAAACTTGAAGATCTACAGGCGAAAACTAACAAGTTGACAGAATAGGTAGGGCAGCGAATACGGGACTTCAAGTGAATACAGAGTAGACAGAGGTGATGATCATACCCAACCAACAAAAACAATAACAACAAGCTCCAATCACCATGAACGAGAGAAACTTAAAGGAAGTAGCCTCTTTCACCTACCTAGGCTGGGCAGCACTGTTTCAACTCCAGGAGGCGGTGACGAAGACTAGGACGTCAAAGCAGCTGGGATCGGAAAGACAGAAAGACGCGTTCATTAACCTGAAACCACTATGGAGATCTGCACTCAGCATAAAGCGTGAACAACATCCGAATTTTCAGCATCGGTTCAGTCAAGTCAGTGCTCCTATATGGTTCAGAGACTTGGCACGTTACGAAAGGGATTTCCAACAAACTACAGACGTTCATCAATAACTGCCGCCTACGCTGGCTCATTACTGAAGATCAGATGACCAGAAAGAATAAGTAACAGGAAACTCTGACTGAGGTCGAACTAACCAAGAAGCTTTCACTCAACAAATATGCAGTGGAAGGAAGTGGAGATGGATTGGACTACGTATACACTGAGAAGGCCAACTGGGGATATCACGCGACAGGCCAACACTCGAGTGGAACCTAGATGGGAAGCAACGAGTTGGGCGTCCGAGGCGAGGGTGACATGAAGGAGATGGTTTGAGGAAGAAATGAGAGCTCCTGGGTTGTCGTGGAACCAGGTTGAAAAGTTTGCAGAGAAGAGAGTGTAATGGAGGCGTGCTACTGAAGCCGTATGTTCCACTAGGAACCTAAAGGACAAATAATAACTGCATAATGAATGTTGTCCAACTACAGCGCGGGTTTAAAAATCCTGATCTTTAATAGGCAGCAGTGAGAAGGTTGTAGGTAGACAGAAATTTATTCAATCTAAGAGATTAGATGTGATTCAGACAAAAACACTACATTGATACCGTAGCCTGACATTCGACTTTGATAACGCCTGCTTCATTAGAACACAAAATAGACAATCTTAATAAAATAACTTCTCATTTGATGAATTTATGTCCAGAATAGTTATATTTTAACCTTTAACTATTCAAGTATCTCAACATTAGTAGTAGTCAGGGCTTTAGTAACTCTTTTGGCGATGAGACTACTTAACAAGTTCATCTCTTTTGGTTATGTTGTGTTCTCTCAGTTGAGTGGTTTGGTTGTCGAGATTTCATCATCTTTTTAGCAGATGAACACCAATTGGCTATTAAAACATGACACATGACATTTCATCACTTATTTCAACACACGTGGATAATAACTATGCACATGAATTCAATTTCGACAATGTATAAATTTTGGACGGAGAGAGGAAACACAAAGAATGTGAGAGAATTTCTAGAAGCTTGGCATTCAGGCCACTCAGTCAGTCAGCAATCAATAGATGTATAGATATGAACCCAATCTATAAACCAATGAGAGAAATGATAAACAATAGAAAAGTGAGAGGTGAAGCAGACAAGCAGCTAGACAACAGGAGATTCTATACAGTCAATGATACAATAGTCAAAGGAGACAACCAATCACAAACCAGTTTGTCTGGCCCAGTTACTGAATCACTCACGGCGAGATATTGACAGCTCACACCATAGTGAAGTTAATACTGATGATGTCGTCTAGAGGAAGGACGATGAAAGGTCCGTGATGAAACTAATCCAGCTCAGAGAACACAATAATACCAAGATCATCCACCTGAGCGACAAATATTCTCCACTGTTTCAGGTTCATCTCTCAGTAGTTATATGATAATTTGGCCAAATAACCACTGTAAAATGGACATGAGATAAGAAAAACAGACAATTCATTTCGTGGGTGCGCACTGCTGAAGAATCCCATACTAGGACGAAATAGGTGTCCAGTGCTCCCAGGTTGCCTTTGTTCCTCCAAACGATGTCATTCTACAATGAATAACAATGTGAAATATTTCCAAATCCCCACAACTCCCTCAAAATTCATTTTTCTCATTACTGACAAAACAAAACTAGGTATAGAAGGATTACAACTGTAATTGAGAGTTGACGATGGATCGTGGCTAGCAGTGGAATCCAGAATGCGCATTTCGTTCTATTTGGGACTTTTTAGCTGGACGTACCTACTTCCCAGTGAGTGATGTTCATCCCACTGGGATTCGGACTCGGGAGCGAGGACTAAATGCGCATCCTGGATTCCACTGATAGCCACTGTCCATCATTAACATAATTAGAACGCTGGCAATATCGAGGCATCCGCACATGAGCCCATATGCGAATAGGGACTGATCAGTTCGGTCCAATCAACGACGGTATGATATAAAAACAACTATACTGTAATTGAGTCGTTAGGAAGTGTATCTTGGCCTAGTGTTATTAATAAAACAGGTTTAAAGAACACATCAGTCATCACTGTTAGTTCACCTTCAGAGAAATAACAGATTAATCGTGATAAGATTGTGTAATCATGCAATTAGGTTTGTGAAGATTTATTATTTTGTTTTAGATTGACATTCATCATGATGTTTTTGAAAGCAACCTAATGCCTCAGCAATCTTACCTAACGGATCATATAGATAGGTTTAATTCAGCTTGCATGCATCCATTTTATGCCCCGTTTGAATAATAAACTTAGGTAGTAAAGAGCTTAGATGTTTATTTCCAGGATCAATCAGCTCAGATGACTCTATTTATTTCTGAAACCGCTTTGAAAAATGTTCTGTGGCATTTATTTTTAATAACCAATGACTGACATCAGTTGGAGGAACAAAGGAAACCTGGGAGAACTGGACAGCTGTTTCGTCCTAGTATGGGACTCCTTAGCAGTGCGTAACCACGACCCCACCAGCAGGGGTCGAACCCGCGACCTTCAGGTTCCACGACCAGCGCGTTACCATTGATCCACTGGATCAGAATCCAATGCTTCATATTTCCAACTTCTGTTAGCTCACGATATAGCGCAAACCGCCACCCAATGACGAAACAGCTGTCCAGTGCTCCCAGGTTTCCTTTGTTCCTCCAACTGATGTCAGTCTTCGATGAATAACAACTTGAAATATTTCCAAATCTCCACAACCCCCTCAAAATTTAATAACCAATGAGTTTTTCCTGTGTATATGTGATCATCCATTTAGATTGGTAAATACAGTGGTATGTCATTCCACTTTTCACCTGTTCCAAGAGTTTTGATGAGCATGTAAGCTTCGAATTTTCGCTGATCCAAACCTTATTGATGACAGGTTTAATTCTTTGTCTGACTATCAAATTATTCATATCATCAGTGTATAGTAGCTTGATGAAAACAATTAGTTCACTTAATAAACTTTGAACCATGTAATGTATCTGCGCAACATATTTCGAACTATCTGATCACACACACACACGTACTTGTCATAAGTATTTATATGAAAATTCGTTAAGATAAAGGGTGAGAAAGTGGAAAGAGGTCAAGTTAGAAAGCTAAATTAAAGGCTGAATAACAATGAAAATCAGTTGAGTGAAAATAATAGTACATCGAACTTCATTTTCATAGTTGACTTCACTTAGGGAGAGATTTAATGTGATAACAAATTGTTTATGAACACACAAAGATGACTTCAACTTTCTAATACTTAAAGCCTCAACAGGTTTGAGGATCCATCCCCAACATGTTTAGTAAGTAGGTGGAAAAGAAGTAGCCAAGTCAATCCTGTGACCTGTCTCAATGATTGATTCACAATTGAACTACTTGGGCATCTACTACCAACGCTTATACGTATAGGTTATTTAATTCGCTTCTGAATAAGTTGTGAGGACCTTACTTCCATGGATCTATGAGTCCTCCCTATGTATGTGTCACCATACGAGTGCATTTGAATTGGTAGATACAATGGGATGCGACATTGTCGTTCACATGCTGTGAGGTTTTGGGGGAATAAACTGACTTCGGGATTTCTATTAATCGAACCTAAGCTGCACAGTAAGTTCTTCTAACAGCAGCGTTAAGTCTCCGCTAAAGAATTGCACTATGACAGTCATCTTTGCATGGAAGACTGATAAAGACATTCTTCTTTGGGACAGACTGAAGATCTAGTCTTGGCGCTTTGATTATTTTATACTACCTAATAAATTTTGATGAGAAGTTATTTCCCCTTCATATTCTCCTTAATTGTAAATCCCAAACAAAAATATCACACGTAACATTATAGTCATTCGGTAATTTGGTATATGGAGGTGAATAGTATTAATGAACTTTTCATTGGTTTGCCAGATAACAGTGTACATGAATGATAATGATAATAATAATGAATCAATCCAGATTGTGTGTTGTAGCCGGTGCAGAGATAACAAAGTTGAAACTGATGCTGAATGTAAATGTTAGAGTCATTCTGCTTACTAATTAGTAATTGCTAAGAGGCAGCTAATTGTACTTTATCTCATCTGTTCAAACTGTCGGGATTTGTTCGGATATGTAAAGCTTTGGCTGCCAATCTTTCTTGGTATGATCAAAAACCCTTTTGTAGAACCTTCGTCCCGTCAAAGTCAATTTTATGTCCCATCTCTATGGAGTGTAGCGTTATTGCAGATTTATTTTCTAGTTTCTTAACCTCTGCTAAGATTCTTTAGGATCTGCTATAGGCATAGTTTATGGTGCTTTAATCTCACATTCACCTACCTGGTTGTCTCCCCTACACATACTGCAGTACAATCTCCATATTTGACTTCATAAATACAGTTCTGTTGATTTTCTTAAGGTACTACATCTTTAACTTTCATGAAGTTAAAGCGTAGGATATTTATCGCCCGAAAATATACTCTTATGTTGTGTTTGTTGAGAATCTTTCTCATTTCTTCTGAAGTCTCTTTGCGTTATGCGATTATGACAGTGGTTATCCAGTTCTTCGGAAGGAGTTTTGGTACATCCTTAATCTCATTTTTAAAAATTTCCTTTACAAAATCTTTGAGATAATTGTCTACTTCCAATCTGTAGCATACTGACTCTAACTTTTCTTTGTCGTCTTTCGTTGTAACAAGACAGTTAACTCTGTTGATCAGATTCGGTATGTCGGTTACTTTATTAGTCACAGGATGTGCAGACTGATAATCTAGGTATCTGTTAGAATACATTGTTTTTCTAAAAATCTTAATTTTTAGTTTCTTGTAATACTACTGTTTTTCCACTATACAATCCATAAAGTTTAATTTCAACAAGTTGGATTCAAGTTCCTTGGTGAAAGTAATGCTTCTGCACCCATTGCTTATGTGACAGAAAAGTTCATCCAGACTGTTCCGTTTGATGATGAAAAATATATCGTCTATGTACCTTAACCAAATTTTTGGAGGTGTAGAGAAATTTGCTATTCCATTTGTCTCTAATGAATACATGAACAAGTTAGCTACTATCTATCTGTCGCTACAGATCTCCTCTAAAAGTGAATACAGTTGATCGTAAGCATAATTCCAGGGACTTGATAGAGACTTACACTACACAAGAATTACATATTCAATGAAATTACAGAGAAAGTGAGAGAGCAGTTCTCTACTCTGTATAGAGTTGAAACTTAAACTGAAGTGCTTCATTGGATATTTGCTGACAAATAAAATAGGCTTTGAAACTAAGGCTTGTGATGAGTTATTGGTTTCAAAGTAGTCTTCATTAAGGATTGTTGTCAGTTGGATAACATTTGAAAATTTAACGTCACAATAATTATTCTGTTCTAATTTTCGACCTATCAGCAATGCACATCCATGACTCGATGAACCATCGAACTTAGGACCGTTAGATCTCACAGTAAGTTGAATTCCTACCAATGACATTAGTTGATAGTCGCGGTGTTTCATGAGTTGACTGATTGCAGCTCAGTGGCTGAATGATAATCCACTCACCAAGTCACCTGACGGTCGTCGGTTGAGTCTGTCTCTTAAATGGTTATTGGTGTGTACTGTCGAGGAGTTATGAACGAGGGTGAAATAGCTGTCTAGTGATCTACATTTTTCAATGGTTCTCGAAATGATGTCAGCCGATGATGAGATCTGCCTTCAAATTAACTTTGTTGAATGTTGAATGAGAGATAGCTCTCAATTCCTGTACTCCCTAATTTCCATCAGCCTTAATGTAAGCGAAAGACTAAGGTACTGTGACAGAGCATAATTTCATAATAGATTTATCTAATATATAGCGCAACAGTGATACAATATTACTCACATGTATGAAATTTCGAGTAGAATTTATTACTCATATTCGTATCAAAGTAATGACATAACCTTCAAACTTCGTTTATACGGTCCGACGGTTCTTGATTCGTTTATCTTGAAGGTATTAAAAATTTCCGAATATCTGTAATATGCGATGGTGAATCATTCGTGTTACATGTGTTAGGCGCTGGTTGATTGGATGAACGAAGATTCTGTGACTAATCTCTCCCTCCACCTAGAGCTATACTGCATTTTAGAATTATCGCCCTATCCCATCCACTCTATGGTGTGATTATGGCTCAATGCATTCAGAGTGATGGCCGAGTTTTTCTCTAAATCACTGATCATAGTGGGGTTGGCCATTATGTGTTTCGCCAAATTTTTATGTTCTGCTACTCTGACTGACCTGCTTTGACCTACATACTTGACCTAACAACGAATCTTTTAGCCTGGAAAGTATCTCTCTCAACGAGTCTGTGGGTTTTAATGCCACCTTAATCCCATCTGTCACTGTTAAGAATTCTACGTAGAATTTCCGATGTACCTTCTTTATGTGACAACACTACAGAGGATTTAGATTCCCTCTTAGGCTGGATGGAATCACCACCAACAATACTGCAACTTCTCTTATCGATCTTTATGACCTCTAGTGGGTAGCACTTGAGAAGAAGTGTCTCTCTGATATGTTTTACTTCATTATTTAGGTTTTCTGTCTTACTAGTCAAACTCCTATCCCGATAGCTTAGATGTTTTATCAGGCCTACTTTGACGGATATAGAGTGAGATGATTTGAAATCCAAGTATCTATTAGAATATGTTAATTTCCATCAGACTTGGAATCCACATCATACTGATTATCATTTGATTATCTGAGATAGCTGTACTTTGGTAAACAAGTATTTATACTGGGTGATGATTGAAGGTGAGATGAAAATCTGGACTGTGGCTGAATTCGAACCAGCGACCACGGGGCTTCCAGCCTGATACTTTATCAACTCAGCTACGAGGTCCAACTGCTAATCAGATTTTGAAGTAAAATAAAAATCTTGTCAGCAGTTGGTCCTCGTAGGTGAGTTGATAAATCATCAGATCGGAGACGCTGTGGTCGCTGGTTCGAATCCGGCCATGATACAAATTTCCATCTCACCTTCAATCATCACCCAGTATAAATATTATCTAAGATAGCCAAATGATTCTCTGAATATATTGACTTAAATGGGAATAAATTTAAAATTCATATCATTGCCTAATCAGTTACGAAGTGATATACTACTTGTTGAATAAACGAGTATTATCTTGTATAATGTCAAAGTATTTTACGTATATGCTAATATTTTATTTTCTTTCATGGTATTATTTAGTTTTAAATCATTTGAAGGTGAATTTCTAAATATTTGTGAATTACTCAGTACATGGAATCGAATAACATTACAACAACAAACATCTTTATTAGAATCTCGTGAAGATAGTCCAACATCAACTATTGTAAACTTACCAGCTGGTAAACGTACAAGACAAAGTGGTTTAAATCTTCCGCTAAATTCTATCAGTACTAATTTAAACAAATCAAAACATTCAATTAGTAAATGTGAACCAACTAGTATACCACAAGTTATACATGAAAATTTAACTATTCTATTACCAATCTATTGTGATTTAAATATATTGAATGAAAATCAATTCAATCATGAAAAAGATTCATCAGACTCACAAATTATCGGTATTCCACATTTAATTGTTGAATTTCCATTCAAGAAGGAAACAAATATTACTGAAGGTATGATTCATTCATGAATATATTATTCTGGTGATTACGGTGAAGATTAGCTTCGTTATTACTACTTATTTATATACTTGTAATTCTCCGTTGTTTTATTGGATCGAATTACTCGACCATTATTAACATATGGGCTTCTATATGGATGGCTCAATATAGTTTGAATGTCGATTATGGTAATATGTTTGGTTGTGGCTAGCAGACGAATCCAAGACGTCCATCTCGCCCTATTTGGAACTCGTCAGTTGGATGTACCTGCACCCCAGTGTAGAGTGATGTTGTTCCCACTGAGACTCACACCTCGTACCCATGACTTCAAAAGCCAAGGCGTTATCCACTAAACCACTGAGGAACAACAGCCACTTCTGCGACAACAGGTTATTACTATCTATTGACATACTTGTTATTCTCCGTTGTTTTGTTGGATTTAATTGTTCAACCTTTATTGGCATATGACCTCCTATGCGGATGCCTCGATATTGTATTAGTATTATTATTTGTCTCTTGGGTTCCTAGTGGAACATACGGCTTCAGTAGCACGCCTCCATTACACTCTCTTCTCTGCAAACTTTTCAACCTGGTTCCACGACAACCCAGGAGCTCTCATTTCTTCCTCAAACCATCTCCTTCATGTCACCCTCGCCTCGGACGCCCAACTCGTTGCTTCCCATCTAGGTTCCACTCGAGTGTTGGCCTGTCGCGTGATATCCCCAGTTGGCCTTCTCAGTGTATACGTAGTCCAATCCATCTCCACTTCCTTCCAGTGCATATTTGTTGAGTGAAAGCTTCTTGGTTAGTTCAACCCCAGCCAGAGTTCCATGTTTCTTTATTCTTTCTGGTCATCTGATCTTCAGTAATGAGCCAGCGTAGGCGGCAGTTGTTGATGAATGTCTGTAGTTTGTTGGAAATCCCTTTCGTAACGCTCTAACTCTCTCAATCATCTCATGGAAGCACTGACTTGACTGTGATTTATGTTGAAAATTCCACTTGGCACTCATTTGTCAGTTGGATGAACCTGCACCTCAATGTGGAGTGATGTTGTTCCCACTGAGACTTGAATCTCGAACCCATCATTTCAAACACCAAGACGTTATCCACTATACCATTGAGGAACGATAGCCACTTCTTGTACAACGAGCAGGAGTTATTACTATTTATTGATTAACTTGTAATTCTCCTCTGCTAGCCACAACCAACTAAACTACCATAATTAGCTTAGTGATAGAATATTAAAATAAATTATACAGGTTTCAACCACCCAATTATCACAGGAAAAGACAAGATGTGGTTTCAGAGAATAAAAGTTCTCCTCTTCGACGAAGTCATTTACTAAGCTGTACATTCGTGAATACATGTTACAGTAGGTGGCAGAACATCCCATTATTACTTCCAGTCACGGGGCGAAATATATTGAATAACTAAGGGAAGTTAATTAATACATATAGAACATAGAACGGCAGACCCCAATAAGATCAATAACCTAGAAAAACACTCGGCCATTGCATTACATTCATTAACACACAACCACACAATAGGGTGGGACAAAACCACAGTACTTAAGTCTAATATAGCTAGGTGGAGAGAGAGATTAATTACTGAATCTTTGTTCATCGAATCCACACCCAACACATGTAATAGGAATGACGCAACACCTATACCAGAGATATGGAAAACTTTACTACCAATCAAAAAACAAAAAAACAAAGAGAGATCAGGTGACAGGACTATAAAATCAGATATCGAAAGAAGTGTGATTACATTGATGTGATGATTATGAGCAATGGTAATTTATGCTCGAAACGTAATCAGGTAAATAATACTGTATCACTGTGCGCTTTATATCAAATAAACAAATCTAATATGGAATTACACTTATAATACACATTTGAGTTTAGAGCGGGACAAAAGACTATGAAATTAAATGTAATTGTGCAATACAAGATGAGTGTATGTCAAAGTAGGAAAATCAATGGAGCGTTATGAAAATTAAATTGCTATTATGTAATACAGGTTAAATCTATGACAGAGTAAAAAAATAAACAGGGGATTATGAAAATAAGCACTGATGGTATTCGGCATGTTGCCATGTACGCATAATATGACACTTTGGATTAAAAATACTACACTAAAGGAAGACATTGTAAAGATTGAGAGTGGCTATCAGTGGAACCCAGGATGAGCATTTCGTTCTATTTGGGACTCGTCAGCTGGACATAACCGCCTCCCAGTGTGGAGTAATGTTGTTCCCACCGGGATTCAGACTCGGGAGAGATCGCTTCAAACCCGAGAGCGTTATCCATTACATCACCAAGCTAGGATAGCCACATCTTGTGCAACGGGTATAGTTTTAGTATAATTGGGTGATGTATTTGCACAATACACATTTCGAACAATCTGATCACACACACAAACACTTGTCAAGTCAATATATATTAAACCGAGGAGTGGGGGGGGGGCAAATGCAACAATTAACACAATGGGGGATTGAAATTAAAAAAGAGGGAGGACAAACAAGAAGAGTGACCAGTTAATTCTAATCTTGGTTAGAAAACAAAGTTTACCGAGGTAGGTAGATGTAGTTTGTAAGAACAAATTGATTTTCTACCCACCCAAATGTGGTTTAAATTTTTGTATGCCTTTGACTTCCACAAATCTCAGAATACGTCTGTAACTGACTGTTTCTTTATAAAATTTTGAAAGGTGTTAGAACATTAACTCCATCTAATCACGCTGTCGAAATGACCACTAATGTCAATCCCATCCCCCATAAAACTAACGTGGTAACATCCGGGATACCGGCAGTGGAAAATGAGAATATAATTACGTTGTGCAAGTTAAATCTATGACGATGTAGGAAACTAAACAAGAGATTATGAAAATACATGTATAGTTACCTAATACAGAATGAATCTATGATAACCAAGGCTTTATGACAGCTATGGCAAAGATAAAGGTTGGACGTACCTATTTTCGACTCATAACGCTAGTTTGAACTTCTGGATGACTAGTTCTTTAGCTATTGACAGATGCCTTCGAATGGTTCCATTGAATCCTGTGGAGAACTTTGAATGGGTTCTTAGAAGCAGCTAAGTGGCCTGGAGACTATTGGTCGTAGAAGGATATGGGGTTTGTGTATTTTTGGTCTTCCATAGAACCGAGGAATGACAGATCCATTCGATTTCATTCTCCATTTATATTGCTTTGTTATTTCTTTTACTTTGAAGAGTTTGTTCAAGGTTTTATTAATCTGGTTGTTGAACTTCAGGATGGGGTTGGTTTCAAGTGGTTGATACACATTTTTGTCTGCTGGAAGTATAACGATATCTTTCCTATTTTTCAGTTTTTTTTTAATGTTTTCTGTTCTCGAGTGTTGATTTGAACTTGATGTCTCATCGTATCATCCAGTGTCATCAGCGTATATCCTCTTTACTTTCAACATTGATTGACTCCATAGAAACTATCACATTATTATCTATGTATTAACTTTAGCTATTTGCTTTCAGTGTTTGTCTATGATTTTAAATATATAAAATTATTTATAGTAATTGGAAAATTTTTATTATTATTTTCTAAAGTCATTAAGAAGGAAATCACCAGAATGTTAAATGATTCAGATATAATTCATATTGAACATTTAATTGGTACTAAAATTAAAGAATATTTACTAATGACAATTTATGAAACTAATGAAGAAGGAGAAGAAAATGAAAGGCAACAACATATAGAAGAGAATAAATTATCAAATGAACTTTGTCAGTTATTATCTTTTTATTTACCAGAATTGAATGATATATTAAATTATCTTGATATTGGACCAAATGGGCCAAAAATACCGAAATCAAATAATTTTTCAATTATATATTATCCTATAAATCGTGAAATAATAAATAATTTATCAATTAATACAAATGATAATTGTTATAATTATGAAAAAATGAATCAATCATTTAAAACAATAAAAGTGATTAAACAAAAATTGTATACAGCTAACTTGAAATATTATGAATTCTTATATTCTGGACAAGGTGATCCTATAACACCATCAATTCAAATGAATGGTTTATCACAAGTTACTGGTTCAGTTGAAGAAGAAAATGACACTGTAGAGTCATCAATTAAACAAAAGGAAGTTATCTAATTTATTATTAAAATTTTGAGGGAGTTATAAGGATTTGGAAATATTTCAAGTTGTTATTTATCGTAGACTGACATCAGTTGGAGGAACAAAGGAAATCTGGGAGCACTGGACAGCTGTTTCTTCCTAGTATGGAACTCCCCAGCAGTGCGCACCCACGACCTTCAGGTTCCGCGACCAGTGCGTTACCATTGAGCCACTGGGTCAAAATCCAGTGGTCCATATTTCCAACTTCTGTTAGCTCACGATATATAGCGCAACCGCCACCCAATGTCAACGCTGAGTATTTGTCCTCATGGCCATCAGGCTTTGACTCCACCGGTCATGACTTGTCATTGGAACTTCGGGAATACTTCTCGAAACTAGTCACCAATGACCACTAGTTCAATTAAATTTTGAGGGAGTTGTGGGTATTTGGAATTATTTCAAGTTGTTTAGAGAAGTATTCCCGAAGTTCCAATGACAAGTCGTGACCGGTGGAGTCAAAGCCTGATGGCCGTGAGGACAAATACTCAGCGATGACATTGGGTGGCGGTTGCGCTATATATCGTGAGCCAACAGAAGTTGGAAATATGGAGCATTGGGTTCTGACCCAGTGGCTCAATGGTAACGCGCTGGCCGCGCGGCCTGAAGGTTGCGGGTTCGACCCCTGCTGATGTGGGGTCGTGGGTGCGCACTGCTCAGGAGTCCCATACTAGGAAGAAACAGCTGTCCAGTTCTCCCAGGTTTCCTTTGTTCCTCCAACTGATGTCAGTCTACGATGAATAACAACTTGAAATAATTTTTTATTTATTATTATTGACTATCTGTTTAAAATTTAGTTAACTGTATATATCTAACTAGAAAATGGTATAAAATTGAGTTATATTTATGATGAAGGTTCCTAGTGGAACCAGATGAATTCAGTAGCACACAGCCATTTCACTGTCTTCCAAGCAGTCTTTTCAACCTGCATCCCCACGAATACCAAGAAGCTTTCATGTTTTCCTCATATATCATCACCTCCATGTCGTTCTCATACAACCAACTCATCATTTTACATTTGGCTTCCACTAAACAGATTGGCCTAGCCTCGTCTAACTTGTGATGTCCCCTAAACCGTCTTCTTATTGTATGCTCAATCTATCTCCACTTTCTTCAGCGACGGGTTCATGCTTGGTTCACTGTAAGGTCAGAGTTCTTTGTTGCTTATTCTTTCTGGTCATCTCATCCACAGTATCGAACGTAGGTAGCTGTTGGTGAATGTCTGTAATTTGTTGGAAATGCTTTTCGAAATGTGCGAAGTTTATGAACCATATACAAGCGCTGTATTGACTGATATCTTGTTCACGCTTTTACATTCTCATCTGTGCCATCGCCGCCGCCTGTAATTGAAACGATGCTGCCTTGTCTAGGTAGGTGAAACAGAGATTTCTCTTGTTGATGATGATTGGTGCCTCTCGTTGTTGCTGTTTGGTTGGGTATCTTCATCACCTCTATCTTCTCTCTCTACATTCACATGAAGGATGTCTGATCTTCGCTACCTCACCTCTTCTGCCAACTTGTTAGTTTTTACCTGTACATCTTCGAGTTTGTGCGACATTAGACATAAATCATCATCGTTGGTGAAACCCGAATATCCTAGGGTCTTTTCGTCGGTCCAGAGTATCCCCTTCTTCTCACTCCTCACGGTCTGCTGTATGATCCAGTCCACTACAGTCAGGAAGGTCATAGGTGATAGTTTGTTTTACTCCTGTCTCTACTTCGAAAGCATCACTGAGCTTTCCATTGTGAATCACTTGGCATGTGTCGTCGTCATATAGCTGTTGAATGAGGTTGATAAAGATTTGTGGTACTCCGTAGTGTTGAAGAAGTTTCGAAATTACTTCTCGGTCGACGATTTCAAATGTTTTCTTCAAAATCAATAAAGTCCAGGTAAAGAATTGACTGCCATTTTATACTATGCTCCATGATGATGTGTAGCGTAACTTTGCAATTTGATCCACACATGATTTGTTCTTCCTGAATCCAGCCAGTCCGTTCAAGTCGTAATTTTAAATTCAGATTAACTTTAAGTTTCTCCAGGATGACGTGGCTTAATATTTTGCTTGGGGTGGACAGGAGCATGATTCCTCGCCATTTCTTTCAGAGACTTATGTGTCCCTTCTTTGGAAGTTTGACAAGGTAACCCTTCTTCTAATCAGTGGGCAGGTACCTTTCCTTCCTTCCAAACCTTCTGCAATAGTTGTGTCACCGTGTCCACTGTTGTTTCCGCATCCGATTTCATTGTTTCTGGTGGAATTCCATTTGATCCTGCTGCTTTACCAGACTTCAGCAACTTTATAACGCTCAGGACTTTTGCTCTTGTCACAGGGTTTGTGTTCACTGATAGTTCTATGGATGGACTGCTGGTGATGTTTCTGGACGAGTTTCAGATGGTGGTGGTGATGGTCGACTCAAGAGTTTTTCTCCTCTTTGGTAACTAAGTTCTCTTCACTACCTTTCATTGCTTTCACTTATGCTGATTCAGATAGCTGTTAGATATTTGGATCATTCCACTATGAAGTTGATTCATGAGAAAAGATTCAACTAAATAATCTTGTTATATTGATAGTAATAATATTTCACGGACTGATATCAGTTAGAGAAGCACTGAAAGCACTGGCGAAGTGTTTCGTCCTAGTAAGGGGCTCTTCAGCAGCGCCTCCCCCCATGACCTCATTGAAGATTAAAATCGAAAATTTTTACCTCCCTTGGCAACCATGGTACCATTGTGCCACTAGGTCAGATACCAGTAATCTACATTTCCTAGTCCTTTCAGTTCACGATAAACTGCTACCTCCATTCATTGCCGTTATTAAGTAACTATCTTCATATCTGACTTGGTTGTGGGAAATATAAATCATTGGACTCTGAACTAGTCGCTCTGTAACGTGGTTGCCAAGGCACCTGAATATCCCTAGTTTGATCTGTGGTAGGGTCATGGAGACGAGCTACTGAGGAGTAACACACTAGTGTGAAACAGTAGTTTAGTTCTCCCAGGTTTCTCATGGTTTCCCAACTGATATCAGTCGATGAGAAAATCAATAAATAAATCCCCATGAAGCTCTTAAATTAACAATAATAAAGCTTGACCTTGTAGTAAAGTGTGCTATGGCTAAAGTGCTAGAGTTTTCACCTTCTTGTGAAACTGTGATGCTCAGATGACGATATGTAATATAAAGTGAGACATCCATCAACTACTTGCTCTGCTAATTCACACTAATATCCATTCTAAGGTCTGTCTATGAACTACCAGGTTGACCGATTGGGATTCCTTATTTCCTCTGAAATGGTAATCTTTTGATAAAAATTGAGAAATTTCATTGGCTATTTTAGTAGTAGATAAAGTGACCTATAGAGTCACTTAAATGTAGCTGGACTTACCCATGTTTATTCTAAACTTGAGTCATCAACTGAAATAAACACAAGACAACATGTTCCTAACTCTTTTTACTACCAGTCTCTTTTCTTAGGCTTACAACTATGGGAATTTTTATTCATGATATCACATATCTACAACATACAATAAATCGCAAACAAAAGACTTCACCATCATGGTTACAAGATGGCTGACAATCGCTTTTCAATACTGATGCATGAAACAATAATTTAATAGATCGGTGAATTGATCATGAGATGATGTCCAACTTCATTTTGTCTAGTCCTAAGTGCTGATTGAATCCTACCGATCATTTTTACAATGTAGCTATCAGGCTAGGAGATTCTCCATCAAGATGTACTGAGGGAGATGTTAGTCGTGTGTTGGTAATTGACAGGAGTACCTGCTCAACAGAAGTCCCGTGCTCTTTGGCACTTATCAGTAAGGAGTATCTACAACCTTGACGAAAGTGATGTTCCCCGAGTTATCTGAATCCACGTCACCTAGTACTTCAGTGAGAGACGCTACCACTGAGCTATTCGAGGTACGACTGATATACTTTTGGTGCATGGATTGACCATAAGAAAGTAGTCAATTTCATGTTCTCTAGTTCTAAGTGCTGCACTGCATGATATGGGTTCGAACCTCAGGTAAGAGATCAATTTCGTCGAGGTAACAGATACTGCTTGTTGATAAGTGGTAAAGAGCGAAAAACTTAAGTTTAGTAAGGCTTATAAAAATGATTACACAACAAAAACGTGAAATTTGATGGGTAGATAGATAATACGAAAATAGGACCTGACAGTACTGCCTAACAGTTCAAGTTACCATACTTCATTTCAGCATATCAGATGACATTTCATCAGGATGAAAGATGCTTAAATCATGAAGCAAACTGTCAAAGATGACGAAAGGTCAGAAGAAGGAGAAAAACGAGGAAATAATACCTTAAAATGACTTCTGAGTAGATTGTCTTTTAGAAAAAACCCAAAAAGCGGCTAAAATATCCTCAACCTAATTTCATCTCATAACCTTTGTTTGGTTCCTTATATTACAGCGGTACAATACAGCAGTACACACTCACGACCTAACCAGGGATCGAACTCAACAATTTCAAGTTTCTTGGTGAACGTGGATGGACAGAAGCAAGAAACTGTGATTCCTGAACTCTGACCCAGTAGTTGAGTGGGTAATGTGTTCACCATGAAACTATAAGATCCTGAGTTCGTCCTCTAATGAGGTGGGTATTGCATGCTACAACTTTCAACTCTAAGATGCTTCTTATGGACCCTTAGTTTCTTCTTCTTCGTCTAGTTAGATAAGGAATGTAGAGGAATGTTTGGTTGTATCAGTAGGTTCAGTCACATATGAAAAGATGACATTAAGTTACGATTCCAGTTATTTTGGATGGAAGAAAAGAGGTTTATAACCAACTATTTGCTGATGAAATTGACACCAAACATATGAAGCAAGAATAATTCCGGAGGTGTCCTAGATATCGGAAAAATTCTACTCCCCCAAAAACTACCAGAGCAAAAAAAAATGATCTACTACTTTGTAGACCACGTCTCGAAATTATGAAGTTTTTTGGGTGATAAGTGTGGTAAACTTTACTAGGAACTGTTTTTAACACAACTGTCAAGTTGAGTCTCCCTAAAAACGTATAAATTTATATGATATAAACAGCCAGGTGTCAGGTACACTGATGTTGATCCAGCAGACTGGATGATAGACTCGGCGATACTACTTGTCTATGGAAATCTCTGTAGATATATCAGAAGTAAAACAAGTGATAAGTTAGTTGATGGTCAAGTGACTAAATGAATCTACAGTTGCTTCTTATTTTCATGTTATCTGAAAATTTAAGAAACTGCTAAACAAACACTAAAAAAATTCCATATTAGATTTGTATAACACAGTGAGTGATACAGTCACATTTACTTGATAACCACGTCCCCAGCATAAATTATCATTGCTCATATGTATATCAGTGTAATCACACTCCACTTTCGATACCTGAATCTTATAGTCCTGACACCTCACATTCTTTGTTTCTGGTGGTAGTAAAATGCTCCATATCTCTGGTATGAGTATTCCATCAATCTTGTTACATATGTTGCGTCTTGCTTGGTTCGGAGAACAAAGATTCAATAATCAATCTCTCTCTCTCTCTCTCCACCCATTTATATTGGACTTAAGTGGTACTGTGGTTATATCCCAACCATCCTACAGTGTGGTTGTGTGTTAATGCGTGGACTGCAATAACCGAGTGTCTTTTTAGATTATTGATCTTATTCGGGTCTATCATTCTATATTTAGCTGAATTCCTATCTTCCCCTAATCTAACTGTCTAGTTTGACCTACGGACTTAACCTCGCAGTCTTTGTACTAAAATACCAATCAAGATGACAGTGAAGGCAGTCAGAAGTCAAATAAATATTGACTCAGAATTTACTCACAGAACTAAGATATCAGTTGATGAGATCATATTACGCGGACAGTTGTGCCTGACCTCCACAGTCTTCAAGTTTCAGGACAAGATATCCAGACAAAAAGGAGTAGCAATGACATCGTCAATATACCCAATCGTAGTAGATATATTCATCGATAGTTAGGAAAACATGACCTTACAAACGCTTAATCGTGGACGTAAGATATGGTGGTGATATATGGATGACATATCTGCTCTGTTGAAATGGGAACACATTGACAGTTTGCTCACACATATAAACTCAGTAGTAGACACAATCCAATTCACTGGCGGGGTAGAAAATGAACAAGGAGAATTCCCTATGTTGGATCGCAGGGTAAAATGAAAGACAGATAGTGGTTTGGATACTACCCTCTACAGAAAACCAACAGATTCCAACTGGTATCTAAACTTCAAGTCATCTCATTCAGTGTCAGTCAGCTAAGACAGGTTTAGTCAAATGTTTAAGGGATAGAGCTAGAAAACTGACTAGTCTATGCATGGACCTAAACAAGGAAATGAAGCACGTAAAAGAAGCACTAATAGTTAATGATTATCCTCCGCAATTTATTAAGAAGTTCTTACGGACACACAAGAAACGAAAAAACAACAGTAACACCAGTACGAATAATAACGATAATACGAGTAGAGAGGAGTTCACAGCCTCCATTGTGTTACCCTACAAGAAAGGTACATCAGAAACTTTACATAGGATTCTTAATAAGGCTGGAATTAGAGTAGCACTTAAACCTAAAAACTCGCTCAGAGATAAGCTTTGTCATCTTGCTTAAGGATCTGATGGAACCAATTAGGCAAAATAATCTAATCGACCAAATTCCATGTAATATGACTGTGAGGTCAAGTGCATGGGTGAAACCAGTCAGCCGGTCAGGATCAATTAGATTAGGGGAAGATGAGAATTCAGCTAAATATAGAATGACAGACCCGAATAAGATCAATAATCTAAAAAGACACTCGGTTATTGCAGTGCATGCATTAACATACAACCACACTGTAGGGTGGAATAAAACCAGTGTACCGCTTAAGTCCAATACACTTAGGTGAAAAGAGATGGAGGTCAAATCTTTGTCCATCTAACCAACCAACACCCAATACATGTGGAATAGGAATGACGCGACATCTATACCAGAGATGTGAAAAATTTTACCACTAAGTTGGCAGAAGAGGTGAGGCTGCGAAGACGAGACATCCTTCAGGTTAATGTAGAGAGAGAAAGCAGAGGTGATGAAGATACCCAACTAACAACAACAACGAGAGGCACCAATCATCATCAACACGAGAAATTTGAAGGAAGTTGTCGTTTTCATCTACCTGTCTACCTAGGCAGTATCATTTCAATAACAGGCGGCGGCAATGGCACAGATGAGAATGTCAAAGCTAGGATCGGAAAGACAGCAAGACAGGCCTTCATTAACCTGAAACCAGTGTAGCGATCTACTGCACTCAACACAAAGCGTGAACAAGATCCGGATCCTCAACACTAATTTCAGTCAAGTCACTGCTTTTTGTGATGGTTGAGAGAGTTGGTGCATTACGAAAAGCATTTTCAACAAATCGCACACATACATGATCAACAGCTGCAGCCTACGCTCACTCGCTCAATATTGAAGATCAGATCAAATCAGATGACCAAAATAATATGAATAAGCAAGAAAGAATTATGGTCTGGCAACGAACCAACCAACCGAGAACCTATCGGCCAACAAATATCCAGAAGAATATCGAGATGGATTGGATTGAGCATATAGTGAGAAGATGGTTTAGGGAAATCAAAAGCTAGGCCAAGCCAGTCAAGACAGTCGAGTGGAAGCCGAAAGGGAAACGATGAGTTGAGCGCATGAGGTTGACATGGAGGAGATTGTGTGTGAAGAAGAAATGAAAGCATCTGGGCGATCGTGGAACCAGGTTAGAAGAAAAGACTGTAGAGAATACAGTAAAATGGTTGTGTGCTGCTAAAGCCTTATGGTTCCACTGGGAAACCAAGGGATAAATAATAATGAATAATCTATCACAAATAAGTTTAGTCAAGTACTTTACCGCTTGTATTCACATGTTATTGATACCAGATGTTGATTGAAAATGAAATGAAAAACTTGGCCGCAGCAGGATTCTAACCAGTAACCTTTGGTTTACCAGTTTGTTGCTGTACTAAATGATCTAAGAGACTTGGTTGCTGACCACACTCTTATTTCACTTCAATCATTATGAGTTTTGCCATCACTTTTCTGTTGTGCTGATTTTTAAAAGTCCACGTATTCATGACTAAAGTGAAATCCTTTTGTGTAGACATTGAAAGTTGATATGACTGTTCAAGGGCTTATTTTATATTATGATTAAAGCTAAATATCATTGTTTAGTAAATATGTAGTTGATAAGACGCTTAGACCTTGACCTGGCTAGTGTGAAAACATTCATACTGATTAGTAATGACTGAGCTTTTATATTCTCTTGTGAACGTATCATTACCTTATTGGTGACTAGCTTCAACATGTGATTCCTGAAGTTCCGATGAGAAGTCGAGACCAGTGGAGTTAACCAAGTCGAACATGATAACAGTTACTCAATGATGACATCGTATGAAGGTCTGTCTATACCATGTAATGAAAGAAGTTAGGAAATATGCATCACTGTACTGCGACTTAGTGGCTTGATAACCTTGGGCTGGATCCCTGGTGGTATAGGGTCATTGGTCCGCACTGCTGAGGAGTCCCATTCTAGGACGAAACAGCTACTGTCTAGTGCTATTAGATTTTCAAAGTTTCTCCAATTAATTCCAGTCCATGACTGTTATTCATATAAAAAACTGGATAACCATTTCCTCTTTTTCAATGTCAACTGTATCAGTTCAAATAAATCCATACAGTTGAATCTCTTAAAGTACCTGTCAATTCGCTAGTTCCTTAAATGGGTTATATACAGAATAAAAATTATGAAGCTATAATGATAGATCTTCATTATTTTACATTATTATGACAGAATAACATTCATACTCATCAACAATGAATAACTTTCAATTATTTAATAATATTCTATTCAAATATATAGGCTGGTGAATCATTACGTAAAACAGTTGGTCGATCTAATAAAAAAGAACGTAAATCACCACGACAAAAGCATCCAATCATTGAATCAGGTGAAACTACAAGTCGAAAACCAAAATTTTCTGTTACCAGTTCAAATGTTGGATATGGTGGTGGTAGACATAGTTCTATAACTAGTCTTATTTCAGAGCAAGTTTCATTGAATGATGAAATTTCAAGGTAATAATCAAATAATATTTTCTGCATGTTTTTTAATTATTATTATTATTATTATTATTATTATTATTATTATTATTATTTGTCCCTCGGGTTCCCAGTGGAACCATAAGGCTTTAGCAGCACACAACCATTTCACTCTCTACTCTACAGTCTTTTCTTCTAATCTGGCTCTACGACTGCTAGGAAGCTTTTATTTCTTCTTCATACACAATCTCCTCCATGTCACCCTCACACGCTCAACTCGTTGTTTCCCATTTAGATTCAACTCGAAGGCCTGGCACATGATGTCCCAAAACGGTCACCTCAGTTTATTTCGAATCTTCTGGCGTTACCATGTTTTTAATACATTTTGTAAGTTATCTATCCTGAAATCAGAGAAGAGAAATCTAATTTACTCTCATTAATATTTGCTTCATTATTTACCTTCGAAGATCTTGGAATATTGAAGCACTCAGAAATCTTGTGTACATATTCTCTATAGATAACAAGCAACCTTGCCTGATTAAATAGTTCACTAGTTACTAGCCAGTCCTAAGCTGGTGATAGACCTCAGTTCAAGTACAACACTCGGAAACTGAAGGATGAAACTACAAAGGAGATCTTCAAGGCAGCCATCAAGACAAAATGGGAGATATCGAGGAACATCCCTGAAGAAACCTGTGTGGAAGAACACTGGAAGTCTTTGAAAGCTATGTGGAAAGAAACCTGCACAACAGTATTAGGAAGGAAGAAGAAAGGAGACGAGGACTGGAATTGATCTCGATGGATACATGGAAGCTGACAGGGAAGGGAGAGGAGGATGGTGAAACAGAAGATGAACCAGTGCATGGATGCTCAACGACAAGAGGAACTGAGCACAATGTATAAAACACTGGATAAAGAAGTGAAGAAGAGTGCACGCAAAGACAAAAGACACTTCTACGAAACACTGGCAAGTGAAGCAGAACAGGCTGCAGGTAGGAGAGACAGAGACCTGACAACATAATATCAGATAACCAGGTTACTTGCTGTCTGGCAAGAGATCAACACAGATGAAACCAATAAAAGATGATGACGGAAATTTAATTACGAAAGAAGAGAAACAGAGGAAACGATGGGCCGACCACTTCAAAAAGCTCTTGAATCGACTACCACCTGCACTTCGTCCAGAAATACCACCAGCACCCTAGCCACAGAACTACAAGTGAACATAAATCCTCCAACAAAAATGAAAGTCCTGAACGCCATAAAGCTACTGAAATGCGGGAGAGCAGCAGGACCAGATGGAATCCCACCAGAAGCACTGAGAACAGACGCAGAGACAACAGTGGACATGCTCACACGACTATTGCAGAAGGTGTGGAAGGAAGAGAAGGTACCTGGCCATTGATTGGAAGAAGGGTTACCTTGTCAAACTCCCGAAGAAGGGAGACCTCAGCGTTTGCAAGAACTGGCGAGGAATCACTCTCCTGTCCACCCAGAGCAAGCAAAATATTAAGCCGCATCATCCTGGAGAGGCTAAAGGATGCACTGGATTCAAAACTGCGACCGGAACAGGCTGGCTGGCTGTCTTCAGGAAGTGCAAATCATGCACGGACCAAATTGCAACGCTTCGTATCATCATAGAACAGAGCATAGAATGGCAATCAGCTCTATACCTCAACTTCATCGACTTTGGGAAGGCCTTTGTCAGCGTCGACCGAGAGGTAATTTGGAAACTGCTTCAACACGACGGAATCCCGCAAACCTTTATCCGCCTCATTCAACAACTATATGAAGAAGCCACATGCCGGCCAAGTAATTCACAATGGGAAGCTTAGTGATGATTTTGAAGTGAAGACAGGAGTGAAACAAGGTTGCCTACTATCCCCCATGATATTCCCTATTGTGATCAAGTGGATCATGCAGCAAACAGTGGGGAGCTGTGAGAAGAGGGGAATACAATTGCTGGACTGCGGAAAAGAACCTAGACGACTTGGATTTCGCTGATAACTTGTGCCTGATGTCACATAAACTTGAAGATCTACAGGCGAAAACTAACAAGTTGACAGAAGAGGCAGGGCAGCGAAGATGGGACTTCAGGTGAATATAGAGAAGACAGAGGTGATGAAGATACCGCATCACCACCAACAACAACAAACTCCAATCACCGTCAACGGGAGAAACTTAAAGGAAGTAACCTCCTTCACCTATCTAGAAAGCACTGTTTCAACTACAGGCGACACAGGCACAGACGAGGATGTCAAAGTCTCAATCGGAAAAGCAAGACAGGCGTTCATTAGCCTGAAACCAGTGTAGAGATCTTCTGCACTCAGCGTGTGGAACAAGATATGGATTTTCAACACCAACGTCAAGTCAATGCTTCTGTATGGTTGAGAGACTTGGCGCGTTACGAAAGGGATTTCCAATAAACTACAGACATTCATCAACAACTGTCACCTACGCTGGTTCGCTACTGAAGATCAGATGGATTGCGAGAAAGAATAAGCAACAAGGCGCTGTGGGAACGAACCAACCAAGAACCTATCACTCAACAAATATGCAGGAGGAAGTGGAGATGGATTGGACATGCACTGAGAAGGCCGACTGGGGACATCACGCGTCAGGCCAGTTGCTCGAGTGGAATCCCTATGGGAAGCGACGAGTTGGGTGTCCGAGGTGAGGGTGATATGGAGGAGATGGTGTGTGCGAGGAAGAAATGAGAGCTTGTGGGAAGTCGTGGTGACAGGTTGAAAAGATCTCAGAGAACGGAGGTCACTGGAGACGTGCTACTGAAGCCCTATGTTCCACTAGGAACCCAAGGGACAAATAATAATAATAATACTACCTGGCTACTCAAACTTCTGTCGGTAGCGTGGTTTCGAAGTTATGACCATTCAGTTGAAAGTTAACTGCCTAAAACTATGAACCGCAGTTTCCCTAGTCTTCATTTAACTTAGTACATCAGGGATATCAGAGGATTAATCTCCTCAATGGTTCTGTAAAACATCAACTTTTTTTTAGTTATTTTATTACTGAACTGTTTGGACGATTGCTAGAGGGTGGGTGTTTTCAACCAAATAAGGATGCTCAAGCAACGAGAGACTAAGATGTTCAACAAAGTGTAGAGTGTGAGTCAGTTGATATGGTTGTGAACCTTCATCGGCTGAGATGGCTGGTTTGGACACGTGTTACGCATGCATAGTCACCATCCACCTCATCACACAATGTTGGCCGAAGTAGGTTCAGGCTAAAAAAAGGCCCGAGGTGGCCAGACTAAAACACGACATCAGTGTATGAAGTCATTGACTGTTGGTTTGAGCCAGATGGGGCGATTTTGTAGACTGGCCAGTTAGGGTCTATGGGACAAGAAAAACCAGTGGTTGGAAACTGCCTCCCGGTGATCACATGGCTCAGGACCGATGTTGGTGGCGCAGATGTATACACACACATTATCTTCATCTTAATCCCTATACTTAATCTCATCATCTCATACTTCCTTCCTCTTTCACTACTTTTTACTTCTACTACGCTCGACCGATTTTTCTTTCCCTCTTCATCTATTCTATTGCCTTATTACTTGATGTGCTGACATGAAGTGTGGAAACTTGGAGCGTTACCCAGTAATGCCTAGTCCTATGTTGATTTTAAATGATTAACCACAGTCAAATTAACAAGTAACGCTTACTACACGATCAGAAAAGTATTCTCCATGAATCACTTGGCTAAGCGGAAGCTGGTGGCCAGGTGTCGTATGAGTCTTGTTCTTAACTGTAGCAATGAACGAAACACTTTAAAGTATTCGAGAGGATTTACAAAGTTGTACATGATGTACTTATAATCAGTTACAAATACAATTTGTGATATCGGAAGTTTCCCTTTCTCAGACTACTCGTTATCGAATCTTATGTACATAAATAGGGTCAAAATGTCAATATCATCACCTAAATGATAAGCAGAACTTTCTATTTGCTATTAGCTCATCACACAGTAAAATATTCACCGAATAATTTCAGTTTCTAAAAAGAATACACGTAAAGTAAAACGATGTTATTTTTGGACAGTGAATAAAACTCCTACTCTAAAGATGTGGTTCCGATATGTAAATGATACGTTTACACTAGAGAAACTGGAACGCATCAATAGGTTCTTCACACATACACACACACACACACACACACCACCACCACCACCACCACCAATTCAGTAGTGAATGCAATCCAATTCACCTGTGACTTGGCAAGTGATCAAGGTGGGCTAGCAATTTCGGATTACAAGACTAAACAAACACAAGATGGAAGGAAGGTTAGAGAGTAGTGTCATCTGTGGTGAATCTTGATATTCAAATCACCACTTAAACTTCAAATCTTCACACCCCATGTTGGTTTAGTTAAATGCGTGAGTGATAGGGTGAAGAAGCTTACCACCAGTAGACCATAAAATCTACGACAAGAAATTGGACACATCAAGAATGTCTTGCGTCTCAGTAATTACCCACATAAATTTATAAATAAATTCATGAGAAATGGAAAGAAAAATATGAGCAGCAGTAGTAGTAGTAGTAATATATGTGTTATTAATAATAATCCCACTATGACTGGTAATCATGGTGACAGGGTTAAGAGAGAATTCGAAGCCCCTGTTGTGTTACTATACAAGGAATGCGCCTCAGAATCATTATGAAGAATTGTGAATAATGGTGGTTGGGAATATGGTGGTTGGCATTCAAACCAACGAGGTCTCTGTGAAACAAGCTTTGTAGGTTGAATGATCCTATTGATGCAATTAGGCAAAATAATCTGGTTTACCAGGTCCCTTGCGTTGATAGTGAGGTCAAGTACATAGGTCAGAGCAGTCGACTAGCCAGGATGGATTAGAATAACAGAGTACAAAAACTTAACTAAATCAAGATTAGAGGATGCAAATGAGATAAGAAATCTAAAGAAAAGCTCGGCTATAGCTCTGCATGCGATGACACACAATCACACAGTAGGGTGGGATAGGGCAACAGTGTTGAAAACTAACTTGGTTGGATGGAGGGAGGGAGAGATCAATAACCGAATCCGCTTTTATCGAATCAACACCAAATACACGCAGTAATCGAAGTGATTCTTCACCTGTCCCAGATATACGGATAATTCTACTAGCCTTGTCATCACAGAGAAGGAGAGAGAATTAGGAATATATAAAGCCTGTCTGGGAGTTGTGGAGTTAGTCACCTGATATGAATATGGACAAAAAATTGTGTCCGAAACGTAACGCAGTAAATGCTACTGTTTCACTGTGTGATATTCCCAATAAACAGACTAAAATGGAATTACAATAGACCATAGTGCCCAAGTTTAACACTTAGTAAATAAAACTTATTTTTTGGTAATGATGGACACTGGCTAGCGGTAGAATCAAAAACTCACTTTTCGTCCAACTTGGGACTCGTCAGCTCAATATACATGCCTTCTAGTGAGCAATGTTGTTCCTATTAAGTTTCAAACCCAAGACCGATCACTTCAACCGCAGAACACCATCTGCAGCAAAAATAATTGTCGTTTCGAAGACTCATTTTCACAGATGTACATTCGTAAATATATCGGAAAAATGATAGAATGTCTCAGACAAGTTCCGGGTCAAAGGTCAAACGTAATCGATAGATCCAGATAGGGGATGGAATGATATTGCGCAACACAAGATATGATCTCAGTGTGTTCTTCACCCGATACAAATAACTAAATAAACATATTAAAGTTTTGATATTTGTAGCTTCCCGCTGCTATACATGGCCAAGTTACTCGACCTCTGTTGGCAGATGGGCTTCTATGCGGATGCCTTGCTACTGCCTGGCATTCATGATGTTTTATTGACCTCTGTGAATAGTAGAGGAATCCAAGACACACGTTTCGTCCTATTTGGTACTTGTCAACTGGATGTACCTGCACCCTAGTGAGTGTTGTTCCCGCCGGGGCTCGAACCTAGTACCTGTGGCTTCATAACCACCACTGAAAACCGTTGCACAAGAGGTAGCTATTGCATCCCATTGGCTTAATGGATAACGCTCTGGCTTTCGAAGCGATAAGCGATGGGTTCGAGCCCCAGTGGGGAAAACTACTCACTGGGGTGCGAGTACATCCAGCTGACAAGTCTCAAATAGGACGAAACGCGTGTCCTGGATTCCTCTGCTAGTCACTGAGGTCAATAAAACATTTAACAGAATAAATAAATAAAATTAAAACACGAAACTAACTGTAAATGGAGGTTAAGAGTATCTGACTAAGGCCTTCGTACTGAGAGTGTTTTTCCATGCTCCCTTTTGAATATAGTACTGAGGTTTAAAGCTGTAAATTGCTATTGCTTCGGCCGTACATAAGTATATAATCCTTACTCCCTTTGAATGGTTTGGTCGAACTTTGTAGAGCCCGTTGAACAAGGTTTCCAGAGAAACCACATGTCTAGAGGATAGGAGATGTTCAGCAATGGAATCGGAGGTGGTTTTATGCTGATCCTTCAGAAACCCACTTGAGTGATGTTCACAATTGCATTTCCCATCCGATTACATAGTATAGCCGACCTAATAATAATAGTGATATGGTGAAGGAACAATTAAAAAACCTTTATTTAGATTCCACATATGGGAGGAACCTCAGAAAGTTTACGAAATGGGCTTCAGTATGATAAAGAATCTGAAAAAAAGCTCGGCTATAGGTATGGAAGTATTGATAACTAAAATCTTTGTTTACCGAATCAACACTGACGGGGTCATGTGTACATGCTGCTGAGGAGTCCCATACCGGGGAAAAACAGTCGCTTAGTGTTCCCAGGTTTCTAATTGATGTCAGTCGATGACGAACATCGCTTTGAAGACAATTTCTAACATTACGTCATTACATGTAGTAATAAATTATGAGTGGAATAACGGTTACACCCTGTTCTTAATTAAGCCTTCCTTAATGTAAAAATACATCATTACTTCTGAGTGTAAGTGGCTTTATTTTATGTAAGTGTAAATTAGATTCACACAAAGTCATTTAATTTGTGAAGAGTTTTTTCAAGTAGTGTAGTGATTAAGTTTAGATGACATTTATTATCTATTCAGATGATATTTGTTTCAACGTTCGATGAACTACCATTATCAGGTTACCACAGATACAGGATTCCTTCCACATTTTCATTGGGAACCTCACAAAAGAAACTGAAGCGACAGTGGCTAATAAATGCTTACCTGAATCTCTATGTTTATTGTCATCAACATTATCATTATTTCTAAGAAATTTTTATACAGCGTACATCAAAGAAATTGATAGCATGTTATCGACACCAAATCGGATCTAGTTCACGAAGTTACTCATAAACAATGTGGACAATGAAGAAGTATATGAATTACTATCTGAATTTCAGATAAGTGCCAACAATTAGGGAATCTAATTTACGGGCTTCCTACTGATCACGTCCGACAATCTGATATCAGTCAAAAGTATACCCTTGCGATAAGCCTTCTAGCTTGCTGGTCACATTGTAAAATGTTCGATAGAATTCGGTTGGTACTCAGAACTAGATAACATAAGACTGGTCATTTTTTAATGATCAATCGATCACCGTTATAATCGATTAGTATACTTAGTTAAGTCATTAGGCAGCTAATTGAGTAGTATTTTCGAAATTATCTTATCTGCCCTCAATTTACTGACATTAAATGTAGCTCACAATAATGTTGTGTCGTACAGCTTTGAGTTCATAATATGAATAGAGCTAATAAGATTTGGCAAGCTCCAATAATTTGACAGTATGATGTTTAGAAATTCTCCTTGTAGGTGATTTATAGTTTTTTAAACTTGTAAGTCTTAAGTTCGATTCCACATAGAGTTGTGTATGTGTGCGCGCATTGTTAAAGATTACCAAACTAGGTTCAAACAAATGTTTCCAATGGTTCTTTACGTGATGTTCATCTTCTATTTTGAAACACTTTATTATGAAAATATTTATTCACAGTTTATTGGTGAATCTGTAAGGAAACTTGATTCATGACAGGAATGAGGCCAATGACTTTAGTGTAACCGTCTTGCTAAGTGATTGTTAATTTCACTTCCTTCACTGGTGACTTTTCTATTCATCTGTTACATGAATAAATCTAGAACTGTATACTTTAAATCTTGTCTCAATTTATTTATACTTGGTGATAAGTGAAGGTGAGATGAAGATCTGAACTGCGGCCGGATTCGAACCAGCGACCAATGGGTTTCACATCCGATGCTCTATCAACTCAACTACGAAGTCTGACTGCTGACTAGACTTTTATTTCCCTTCAGTTATCATAGATTTTGCCCGACTACAATGTGAATTCGTGATACGTTACTATCGCTTGATCATATTCATACCGGCTGGCTGACTAGTCAGAACTTCTCATACCAAACCAAATCTAACTAAATCAGAGAGGGGAGCATCATATTGATTATGATTTGACCATCTAAGATAGCCGTAGTTTAGCAGACTAGTATTTGTACTGGGTGATGATTGAAGGTGAGATGTGATGCTCCCCCCTTCAGATTCAGTAAGATTGGGGTTGAGATGAGAAGTCTTGGCTGACTAGACAGCCAGTATGAATACGATCAAGCGGTAGTAACCCGTCACGGATGCAAATGGTAGTCGAGCAAAACCTTTGGTGATTGTAGTGAAATAAAATTCTGGTTAGTAGTCGGACTTCGTAGCTCAGTTGGTGGAGCACCGGGCCAGTAAGCCGGTAGTCGCTGGTTCTAATCCGGCAGCGATCCAGATTTTCATTTCACCATCAATCATCACCCGGTACAAATACTAGTCTACCAAACCCCACGGCTACCTTGCTCAGATAGTCAAAAAGATTCTCAATTAATGATTTCCAATTGAACTTTATTCATGAGTCATGTACACAATTATCAGTATACTGATGAAGATTATAATATTGTGTAGCCAATGGTTTCTTTCTTTATTATTTATTTAGTGTTGAATCAAATCAAATCTTAATTGGACAACCGTAAGTGTTTTTATAGCTTATTATATCAATATTTATCAAAAGGTATAAGGATTTTGTCTACAAGTGATTGAATCATTATGGCTAATTCCAGTGAATAGGATTCATAGACTAAATTAACGCACTTCACACCATCACTCACCTTTTAATGATGTAGACCGTAGGGGTTCGAGGTGAATTTCAGAGATCTAGTAATCTTGTCAATGTATTTTAGCATTTAAATAATTATAATAGTATTATAATATTATATGATATTATTACTATTGATAATAATAATAATTAACCATTGTTATACTCGTATAAACAGTAAATTTGAGTAACTTTGTGAAAATCAAAGCACTCAGCTTGTGGAACAAGATTCGGATTTTCAACACAAATCTCAGTCAAGTCAGTGCTTCTATATGGCTCATAGACTTGGCGCGTTACAAAAAGCATTTCCAACAAACTACAGACACTCGTCAATAACTGCCTACACTGGCTCGTTACTCAAGATCAGATCAAATCAGATCAGATGGATTGCCAGAAAGAATAAGCAAACAGGAACTCTGGCTGGCTGGCAACGAATCAACCAAGAACCTATCGTCCAACAAATATGCACTGGAAGGAAGTGGAGATGGATTGGGTATGCACTGAGAAGGCCGATTGGGGATATCACGCTCCAGGCCGGCCCTCGAGTAGAACCCAGATGGGAAAGACGAGTTGGGTGTCCGAGGTGAGGGTGATATGGAGGAGATGGTGTGTGCGAGGAGGAAATGAGAGCTTGTGGGCAGTCGTGGTGACAGGTTGAAAAGATTGCAGAGAAGAGAGCGGAATGGAGACGTGCTACTGCAGCCGTATGTTCCATTAGGAACCCGAGGGATAAATAATACTAATAATGTGAAAATTGAATTAAAAACTTTATTATCAATGAATAAGTTTACTTTTAAAACCTGATAGGAAGACATTTTTTAAGTACTGGGTATCAGTTTTAAATCCTAGGCCATTTGCTTCGAATGAAACCATTGAATATTGAATGTTTCGCATATCTTTGTATGCCAACGTGTACCTTTGGAATGTGTTTTATGTTTACTGATTATCAGATGGATCACTTTACAAAACACTTATATTGCGTAACTAAGTACATCCACTAAAACATTTATAAAAGGAACGGCTAAGTTTCATTACTTAAAATGAACCAGTTTAGATGTGCTATTGGTGTTAATAGTAAGTGATGGCAAACTACTTGATGGTCAGATCTACTTGCTTTAGTGACTTGTATCCTTCAAGATATTATCAATAGGCCATTTTACATATAACGATCATTTAAAGTTCTGATTAAGTCGTAAAGAACTATCTCTCTGTAACTATCTTATTGCTTGACATCAGTAACATTGGAAACTAAGTTCTTTACTAAGTTTAATCCATTTGATTACACTTGATGAGGTCAATCAATCATCAAATGACTGCCATAAAACGTTAGTATAACCCCCTCCCCCTCAAAAAATATCTGGTCAATCCACGTTGATTATGTTGCCTGGTTAACTAGTTCACTAGTTACTAGCCAGTCCTAAGCCCGGATGAAGAGGAAAGGTTGAGCATAGGGCTAGCAACCCTACTCCAGAAAACAAATCTAACCGCTAAACAAACTTCAAAGCACAAACAAAATATAAAAAATAAAAACAAAATTATTCCTCACTGGAATCGGAGAGGAGAAATGATGTCAGTTAGTGAAAACCTTCTGAAAGCCAATTGGCCGATGTGTCTTCTCTCCCTCGATGAAAGCGAAAGTAAACATGGGGACATGGAATGTCCGCACGATGTTTGAACCCAGTAAGGCAGCCCAGATTGCAAAGGAGATGAGGAGGTATCACATTGAAGTGCTTGGGATTTGCGAAAGCAGATGGAATGGGAGTGGACTCTGCAAACTGTCAAATGGAGAATCAATAATCTACTCCGGTCACCCAGACGCCAACCACGAGCACACTGAGTTATGGAGTGGCTATCATGATGTCCCCAACAGCATCGAAGGCTCTCATGCAGTGGGAACCAATCTCCTCCAGGATCATGACAGCAAGATGCAACTCAAAAGAAAGGAAAGTCATAGTCATTCAATGCTACGCCACACAACTACAAATAATGCAGATCAAGAGGAGAAGGAGAAATTCTACAGACAACTGCAATCAGTATTAGACAAGACTCCACTTCTACGAAACACTGTCAAGTGAAGCAGAACAGGCTGCAGACTTCTGGCAGGAAAGACCTGACAACATTATATCAAATAGCCAGGTTACTATCTGGTCGGGAAGAGATCAACTCAGATGAGATCAATGAAAGATAGTGAAGGAAACCTAGTTACCAAAGAGGAGAAGCAAAGGAAACAATGGGTCGACCACTTCAAAAAAACTCTTCAATCTACCAACACCACTTGCAACTCGTTCGGAAATACCACCGGTAGCCCAGTCACAGAATTACCAGTGAACACAAGCCCTCCAACAAAGCAGAAGTCCTGAATGCCATAAAATTGCTGAAATATGGGAAAGCAGCAGGACCAGATCGAATTCCTCTAGAAGCAGTGAAAATACAGCGAACGCGGTCACACCACTATTGCAGAAGGTTTGGAAGAAACGAGTGAAAGGTACCTGCCCATTGATTGAAATAAGGGCTATACTGTCAAACTTCCAAAGAAGGGAGACCTAAGTCTATGCAAGAACTGGCACCAAATAATGCTGCTGTCCGCCCAAAGCAAGCAAACTATTAGGCCGCATCATCCTAGAAAGACTAAAGGATGCTCTGGAGTCAAAATTAAAACCGGAACAGGCTGGCTAGCTGGATTTAGGAAGGACAAATCATGTGCGCATCAAATTGAATCGCTACACTACGCATCTTCATAGAACACAGCACAGAATGGCAGTCAACTCCCTACCTCAACTTCATCCACTTTGAAAAGGCCTTCGACAGCGTCGACTGCGAAGTAATTTGGCAGCTGCTTTAACAATACTGTTTCAGTGCCAAAAACCTTTATCAATCTCACTCAACAACTATATGATTGATTCTCATTACTAATACACTGCAATAATGATGTGACACTGTATAAGGCTTAAGGATATTAAAAATTGGCAAAATATCGTACCGCAAAGTTTCTACGTACATCTCTTTTCAAAAGTGTTCTGACGTCTTTTGGTGAACGAGACGTTTAGTGATACATAATAATTGCTCGGTTCCAGATCACTGTTGTTGTTGTTGTTGTTGGTTGGGCATCTTCATCACCTCTGCCTTCTCTCTACGTCCACCTGAAGGATGTCCCGTCTTCGCGGCCTCGACTCTCCTCGCCTCTTCTACAAACTTATTAGTTTTTGCCTGTACACCGAGTTTGTGCGACATTAGACATAAATCATCATCGTTGTTGAAATCCAAACATTCTCGGGCCTTTTCATTGGTTAAACAGCGTATGCCCATCTTTTCAAAGTTCCTCACAACTTGTTGCATGATCTAGTCGAGTTGAGTTGATCACAGTCAAGAAGGTCATCGATGATAGTAGGTGGCAACCTTGTCTTACTCATGTCTAAACTTCAAAGGCATTACTGAGCTTTCCATTGTGAATCACTTGGCATGTAGCATCATATAGCATATAGTTGCTGTTGAATGAGGTTGGTAATAGTTTGTGGCACTGAAACCGTCATGTTAAAACAATTGCTAAATTACTTCTCGGTCGACGCCTCGATTTTAGGCCTTTTCAAAGTGGATGAAGTTGACGTAAACATCTAGTTGACTGGCATTCTATGCTGTGTCCTATGAAGATGGACAGTGTAGCGATCCAATTTGATCCATAGATGATTTTTTCTTCCTGAAGCCAGCTAGCCTGTTCAGGTAGTAGGTTCAAATGCACAGCATTTTCTAGTCTCTCCGGGATATAGTTCCAATAATACTTAAACACATAACTTATACCTGTTTTACATGTAGTTTGAGTATGAAAAGAAAATTAACTATCCTAAACACACAGGACCGGATGACATGAAGTTGTTTGCCTTCGAGTGATTAATCAGTGTAACTAACGGACTCAGTCCTACAGGAGGTCATCTGCTGCCCGAATAGCTCAATGCTAACACCCCTGACTGGAGGGACATGAGTTCAAACCTCAGGCGGGACAATAATACCATCAGGGTTACATATACACCTTTCTAATGAATGCTAATAACCATGAAATCTAACCGAATCGGGGCTTCTCGTTGATTGTATCTATCCAGTTGACAGAATATTAAATTATAAGTATCAATGATTGTAATTTTTCCTACAGACTAAATCATTTTCGTTGGATTATACCTGCTAAAGGAAAAGTACAGTTAAGAATTCGTTTTCGATGTGAAAGAATTGGTCAATTTGATCAAATCTTCAATTTTGAACTATTGAATACACGAAGAATTTATCAATTATACTGTCGTGGAGTATGTATGCTACCAACAATTAGCCGTGAGCCAAGGTAATTTATTTTAATCATTTAGTAACAAGAATTATAGTTATAACAGTTTAGTCTGTTCATTATATGTGTCACAGAATAAAATAGCTGAAACATTCATAATAGGTGAATGAATAAGGAATGAATTGATACTAAATAGAGAAATATAGATTCATATGTTGTCAATGAAGTGAAAATTGGTGATAATGATGATGATGATGATGATGATGATGATGATGATGATGATGATGATGATGATGATGATGATGATGATAAATAAGAAGTACATCAAAGTGAAGTGAAATGAAATTGACAACAGTAACCAACAAGGAGTTGTTAACTTCAAGGTAGAGAAAGTGGTTTCACAAAACGCTTTTGAATGCAAAGTTTCAGTTTTTGTTCATGTATAACTAATACTTTAGCTATGGATAAGTGGTGGAAACGTAAACCTCTGAAGTAGCTCAATATAATTTTGTAAATTATTTTAAAGGATGAATCTCGAGGTGCTGAATGATCTAATTCAACAAGGTGTTCATATATGGATGAAGTCATTTTCTTTTGCTCGCCTCTGGTAAGCCAAACCAGGTAGTGTTCAGCAACACGTTTTCGGAGGACCCGATTACAACGTTTAATATAGTCAGCTGTACAGGAGCATGTAAACTTGTAGATGGACATAAATGTGGACTTAATTTGAAGTTTATCCTTTACACATTGTCCAATCAGACGATGGCTGGAGAATATCAATCTCAGTTTAATAGCATACAAGCTACTATAGATACACTTTGACAGACGAATTTTCAGCACTTCATCTGTGGTATCTCCTGTGAATTCTAGATTCATGGGTAAAATTTTCTTAGGGACTGTAATGGGATGAAAAGTGGTTCGTTTCTTCAAATTCTTATCAATAAATCTTTTAGGATATCAGTTAGTAAATAGCGTCCTTCTAAGAGTTTCGATTTCAACATCCACCGTATCTTCTGAAAGTATTTTGTAGTTTCCGGAACACAGTGAGTGAATGAGATTTCTTTTACAACTAAGAGGTACCCAACTATTGAAGTTAGTGAACCGGCTAGTCCGAGTTAATTAGCTAGATAGAGACTGACCTTTGAATCGAGCCACTATCCCTTCCCTTTAACGTTACGTCTAGAAAGTGGAAAGTTAAATATAACTCTTCCTCTACAGTGAGTTGAAACGTCTTAGCAGCTCGTCCACTGAACACGTTTCGTTGCAAATAACAATAGTGTTGTCAATGTACCTTTTATACAAATGAAATTCCAAGATTATATCTTTAAGTGACCCATTTTCGAGCTTTGCCATAAAGATATCAACCAGAAGAGGGCCTAGTGGAGACCTTATTGCAAATCCGTTCGTCTGCTTATAAATTATATCATTAAATCTGAACTGTATATTGAACATACATCTTAATATCAGTTCTTTTGGTGCCTCGTAGGTATATTTTGCATATTGACTTGGCAACTTCTCGGTGCATTTATCTGTCATTTTACTGAGTATAAATGCGACTTTACACCTTGATAATGAAGTTGTTGATACATGTCTTGTTCTTATTCATGATCATGATCAGATAATGATTTATGCATGTACTGACATGATAACCTGATTGGACAAATTCGACGTCATACGACCAATCGGATTAGTTTATTTATGGCTTAATTTTCTAAGGGTTTTGTAAATATCTAAATATACCACGTATTCGTTCAATAAAGCTGCTGTTCTTACAGTTACAGGTCAGTTTTTGTATTCTGATATCTCGTGGTTGAGTGAAGTAGAGAGAACTGAGGGAGATCAGTCGAACAGTATTCGACATAAACAATATCTCAAAGTTGTGGAGTTACCTCATATATGTGTGGACAAAAAATTGTGTCTGAAACAGACTAAAGTGAAATAGTGCAGAATCATGGTAGCTCAGGTATTGTGTTCTCTGAGGTGGGTTGTTTAGTCATGAAGCCATCATCGTCTTACGAGACAGCAACATCGTCAGCACTAACTTCACTATGAACTGAGCTGTCAGTGTCTCTCCGTCAGTGATTTAGTAGCTTGCCCTCACAAACTGGCTTATGATTGGTTGTTTCCTTCAATTATTGTGTCATTGACAGACTGTATAGATCTTTCTGTTGGCTGCCTGTTCCTCTACTTGGCCTCTGACCTTTCTGTCGTTTATCATTTTTCTTGTTGATTGATAGATTGGGTCTATGTCTATACATTTGTTGACTGGCTGAGTGACCTGAATGTCAAGCTTCTGGGAATATTCTTATACTTTTTTCCCTCTCTCTGTCCAAAATTTCTACATTGTCGAATTGAATTCATGTGCATTGTTGTTATCCACGTATATTGAAATGAGTGATGGAATATCGTATGCGACGTTTAATGGCCAATTGATGTTCATGTAGACAAAGGCGAAGGTGGGCGACCACTTTGTTCAATGTAGTGCTGAATAGGAGCCTGGTATCATTGATCCATGTTGGTCATCCGAAGGTTGCTAGTTCGAACCCCGTGGGCACAATTGACTACATTTAACCCTAAATTATCTCTTCGCAGTAGTAATAGTAATAATAATATTAATACCGATCTATCAAACCACAGCCTCATCAATTATATTATTATATCTTAAGAGGAGTGATACACTACTCATACAATAGCCAAGAACCCAGGATGAACTCAGATATTCAGTGAGTTCACTAAATATATGCAACCAGTAGCTATTAGTAATGCTTATTATATCGAGAAGAAAATCTCTCATTATCTGAATATTCAAATTTTGGTGGATTCTTGAAGACATACCGGAAATCACCATTCACAACATATTTTTTAACGTATACTTAAGTAATCCTTCAGTTATTTGTCTCTTTTTACTTGGAAAACCTATATTTACACCGAAATTATTTGCCTAGTAGCTTAATTCCACCGTAAACAAATATTACTCTTTAAAAGAGTGTACATTCAATGCCTAATAATGACTTTCACATTCTATTAACTTCCTGTAGACACATTTGTCAACTGTATAGTTAAAGTGGATTCAGTGTTTCTTGGCATGTGTAATCACACAATAAAAATGACCATAGAGGAATCAGTTTAACCGAAATCATATACAAGATCTTAAAGTCTATAGTTATCTGATGCCTAACTGGAGCTGAAGAACAGCGAACTCGAGAGATATCCCGGGACACCCCCTGCCTCAACATACCACGTTAGTCAAATTACGATTGTGTTGGATGAAGACTTACGTTGATCAAACCAAGACGTATAATAATTATTATTATTATTTGTCCTTCGGATTCCTAATGGAACATAGATCTTCAGTAGCAAGTCTCCATTCCACTCTCTTCTCTGCAATCTTTTCAACCTGTCACCACGACAACCCACAAGCTCTCATTTCCTCCTCGCACACACCATCTCCTCCATATCACCCTCACCTCGGACGCCCAACTCGTCTTTCCCATCTGGGTTCTACTCGAGGGCCGGCCTGGAGCGTGATATCCCCAATCAGCCTTCTCAGTGTATGCCCAATCCATCTCCACTTCCTTCCAGTGCATATTTGTTGGACGATAGGTTCTTGGTTGATTCGTTGCCAGCCAGCCAGAGTTCCTGTTTGCTTATTCTTTCTGGCAATCCATCTGATCTGATCCTCAGTAACGAGCCAGCGTAGGCAGTTATTGACGAGTGTCTGTAGTTTGTTGGAAATGCTTTTTGTAACGCGCCAAGTCTATGAGCCATATAGAAGCACTGACTTGACTGAGATTTGTGTGAAAATCCGGATGTTGTTCACGCTTTATTCTGAGTTCAGAAGATTTCCTCACTGGTTTCAGCTTAATGAAGGCCTGTCTTGCTGTCTTTCCGATCCTGGCTTTGACGTCCTCGTCTATGCCTGTGCCGCCTGTAATTGAAACTGTGCTGCCTAGGCAGGTAGGGGAAAGAGGCTACTTCCTTTAAGTTTCTCTCGTTCATGGTGATTGGAGCTTGTTGTTGTTTGTGGTGGTGGTGCTGGTGCTGTATCTTCATCACCTCTGTCTTCTCTATATTCACCTGAAGTCCCATCTTCGCTGCCCTGCCTGTTCTGTCAACTTGTTAGTTTTTGCCTGCAGATCTTCAAGTTTATGTGACATCAGGCACAAGTCATCGTTGGCGAAATCCAAGTCTTCTAGGTTCTTTTCCGCGGTCAAGCGTATCCCCCTCTTTTCGCTCCTCACTGCTTGTTGCATGATCCAGTCAACTACAACCAGGAAGATCATGGGTGATAGTCGGCGGCAGCCTTGTTTTACTCCTGTCTTCACTAGTTATCTGATCCTTTATCTTAACCGTGTGTGGGAGTGCAGACTGCTTGATTAGGATCTAAGCGAGGACAGGAATCATTGGTAAAGGTATAAAGCTACAATATTTTGACTACCGATTATCTTTAAATTCCCTTTCCCCGTATACACCTTTATCGACTTCGATATCAGTCACTTTGTATCCATTTTCCTTTGGTATACTACTGTGAATTGGGGCAACTTGAACCAATGCACTTGTGTGCGACGTTCTAAGTTGATTTAGTCTCTCTTTGTGTTGACTTCCTTATTTTTACCAGTTACATTGTCTTTTGAGTAAAAATAAACTTTTCCAACGTTTTGGTAATACTAATTTGGTTTCCATTTCAAGCAGTACAACATCTTATAGGAGTAAAACCTTGGCGCTATGGTAGATTATAACTAAATTTTAGTCTGTTTATTGAAAATGTCATTTAGCGAAGGAACACCATGACTTACTGGATAACGTTCCGGACACAACATATTTTCCATAATCAATCAGATAACTTCACAACTTTGAGATACCCTTCCTATAGTTCTAGTGTTCTCTGTTTCTTAGTGATGACAAGAGTTGTAGAATTTTCCACATATCTGGGACAGGTGTAGAATCACTTCGATTGCACCTATTCCGCATTCATTTGATAAGGTGGTTTTTAACGCTGTCTCTTTATCCCAAACCCAACTATGTGATTGTATGTAAATACGTGTATAGTCGAGCTTTTCTGTAGATTTCTTATCCTATTAAGATCGACTAATCTTGATTTAGCCTAGTTTATGCGCGCTGTTATCCTAATCAACCGTGGCTGGTTGACTACTCTAACCTATGCCTCTTACATCGCAATCATTGCAACCGATTCGGTAAGACAGATTATCTTGTTTAGTTGCATCAATAGGATCTTTCAACCTACAAAGCTTGTTTCACAGCGACCTCGTTGGTTTAAACACCAGCCACTTTAATCCCAACCACCATTATTCACAATTCTTCATAATGATTCTGAGGTGCATTCCTTGTATAGTAACACAACAGGGGCTTCGAATTCTCTTTTAACCCTGTCACCATTATTACCATTAGTAGTGGGATTATTATTAATAACACCTGTATTACTACTACTTCTACTGCTGCTTATACTTTTCTTTCCATTTCTCATGAATTTATTTATAAATTTATGTGGGTAATTACTGAGATGCAAGACATTCTTGATGTGTCCAATTTCTTGTCGTAGATTTTATGGTCTAATGGTGGTAAGCTTCTTCACCCTATCACTCACGCATTTAACTAAACCAACATGGGGTGTGAAGATTTGAAGTTTAAGTGGTGATTTGAATATCAAGATTCACCACAGATGACACTACTCTCTAACCTTCTACCCATCTCGTGTTTGTTTAGTCTTGTAATCCAAAATTTCTAGCTCACCTTGATCACTTACCAAGTCATAGGTGAATTGAATTGCATTCACTACTGAATTAGTGTGTGTGTGTGTGAGTGTGTGTGAAGAACCTATTGATGCGTTCCAGTTTCTCTAGTGTAAACGTATCATCTACATATTAGGAGCATATTTTTGGAGTAGGACTGAGTGTTTTTCTCAGGGCCATCCCTTCCCAATTACTTACAAATATGTCTGTGACAACACTGACAATAGTAGTGTAATGATGGTAGTCATCATGGTGTCAGGGTTGAGAGAGAATTGAAAGCCTCTGTTGTGTTACTATATAAGAAAGGTATCTCGGAGTTATGACTAAGAATTGTGAATAAGTCTTGCTGGGAATAAGGTGGCTGTCATTTAAACCGACAAACTCTGTGTGAAACAAGCTTTGAAGGTTGAAAGATCCTATAGGTGTAATTGAGCAAAATGATTTGGCATACCATATCCCTTCCAATGATTGCGAGGTCAGATTAGTCGACGAGGGTCTATTAGAATAACGGAGCACAAAACCTTAGTTAAAATAAAATTGGCTAATCTTAATAAGATAAGAAATTGAAAGAAATGTCCGGCTATAACTATCCATAGAATTACACAATAGGATGGTATGGAGTGACAGTATTGAAAACTAACTTAGTTGGGTGTAGGTAAGCAGAGATCGATAACCCAATCTGCGTTTATCGAATCAACACTTTATGCATACAGTAATAGAAATGATTCTACACCTATCTCAGATATGTGGAAAATTCTACTACCTTTGTCATCACAAAGAAGGAAAGCAGACTAGGACTATATGAAGAGTGTCTCAGACTTTTATGACAGTGGACAATAAATTATGTCGTAAAAGTACGTTATCCAGTAAATGATACTGTTCCTCCCTCACTGTGTGTGTGTGGACATTTCCGATAAACAGGCTAAAATGGAATCGTATAGTATGAATCATTTCGTGTTACAATTGAAAATTTTGCATAAATATCAGAAATTTTTATTGCCTCAAGGAAATACACATAGACTACACTTAGTCAATCTTTATCTAGTGTAATTTTCCTCTTCTTTGTTTCCTATTCTCTTCTCTTTATCTAGACTAATTTATCCCATACGTAAACGTACTATTAATCCAGGTGAAATTGTACATGGCACCTATTTAATGTCAACATCTTGCTTTGAATTTGGACCATTATTGATTGAAAAATCTAAAGAACGGTAATACTGTTTATCTTTCTTATATTTAAAAAAACCTACTTATTTAAATAACAATTAAATATTGAGGAAGTTGTGGAGATTTGGAAATATTTCAAGTTGTTATTCATCGAAGACTGACATCAATTGGAGGAACAAAGGAAACCTGGCAGCACTGGACATCTGTTTCGGCCTAGTATGAGACTACCCAGCAGTGCGCACCCACGACCCCACACCTCCGACCTGAAGGTCGCGGGTTCGATCCCTGCTGGTGTGGGGTCGTGGGTGCGCACTGCTGAGGAGTTCCATACTAGGAAGAAACAGCTGTCCAGTGCTCCCAGGTTTCCTTTGTTCCCCAACTGATGTCAGTCTTCGATGAATAACAACTTGAAATATTTCCAAATACCCACAACTCCCTCAAAATTTAATTGAACTGGTGCTCATTGGTACCTAGCTTCGAGGGGTATTCCCGAAGTTCCAATGAGAAGTCGTGACAGGTAGAGTCAAAGCCTGATGGCCGTGAGGACAGATACTCAACGATGACATTGGGTGGCGGTTGAGCTATATCGTGAGCTAACAGAACTTGGAAATATGAAGCACTGGATTCTGACCCGGTGGCTCAATGGTAACGCGCTGGCCGTGGAACCTGAGGGTCGCGGGTCCGATCCCTGGTGGGGGGGGGGTCGTGGGTGCGCACTGCTGAGGAGTTCCATACTAGGACGAAACAGCTGTCCAGTCCTCCCAGGTTTCCTTTGTTCCTTTAACTGATGTCAGTCTTCGATGAATAACAACTTGTAACAATTAAATAATAATAATACACAACCAGCAGATGGATAGAAAATGAAGTGAGAGAATAAACAATCTGAAGGTGAAGGTTAGTGTAAAATCTCTAAGCTTTACAAGATGCTAAGGAGTGAATATATCTGCGCCATTGCCACCGATTTTCAACCGTATTACTGAGAATCCTCAACCATTAACTACTTTCCTCTTAAGGATCCAAACACAACTCAGGCCAACAGTAAGAGACTTCATCGATTAGTGCCACGTTTTTGTCCGGCTACACTGAACCCTCATCTAATTTAATTCAACATACTCTAGCATTACACGTTGAGGTAGGCGATGGCTTGGAAAGCGTAACACATGTCCAAGTCATCTCAACCGATGAATGTTCATAACTTTATCAATCGATTTGCATGGTTCGCCTAGTATCCTTTTCTTGACCTCAACATTACTCATATGGTGATTCCAACACGAAAACATCTATGATCGAAACCCTGTAACCGCTTCATATCTTCTAATTCCAATGGAGATTTCTCAGCTGTACAACAGGTCAGAAGGGACTGTAGCGCAATTCACTTGTCCTTTGATAGATAGCCAGATATCCAAGCTCTAAAGAAACTTCAAATCACAAAGAAAAAAGGTAAACTATACATAGAAACCAGACTTTCTAGAGCTAACTGTTGATAAACTGCTAAAATTTACACTGGTTATCTGAATTGAGATTTTGACATTGATCCCAACCTGTTCAGGTTGATACAACTCTCCAAGTAAGTTAAGTGCTCAATGCAATCTACCACAAGTAGCTAGAAACCAACAATGAAGCGTCATCTTATTATTCATCAGCTGTGAAACATATGTCAATCAAACTCAGATTTCTGCTAAATTCATTCAAAGGGAGATAGTCAGCTCTAAGCAATGTTTTAGAATTTATAGCTTGCAGATGTCAATGTATTTAACTAACCAATAAGCGGTTAATTATTATTGATTTATTATTTTTCCTTTGGGTTCCTAGTGGAACATAGAGCTTCAGTAGCACGCCTCCATTACACTCTGTTCGCTGCAGTCTTTTCGACCTGGTACCACAACTGTCCACAAGCTTTCATTTCTTCGTCACATGATCTCCTCTTTGTCAGCCTTGGCACAGACGCACAACTCATCGTTTTCCCTCTAGATTCCACTTGAGGGGCTGGTCTGGCGCATGATGTCCCCAATCGGCCTTCTCAGTATATATGCCCAATACATCTCCATTTTTTTCCTCTTCATATTTTTTAGGTGATAGGTTCCCGGTTGGTTCATTCCCAGAGTTTCTAGTTGCTTATTCTTTCTGGCAGTTAAATGATTCGAGTTTATCACATTATTCTTAGTTCAAAGCAAACATCATCTACAAGTTAATATTGTATATAATAATTATAAACATTTGATTAAGGATATCGGGAAATATTACCTACATTTGAAGTTAATTCAAACGTTGGGCTAGTTAACTTATTTGCATAAAAACCAAGTATAATGATTTTGTACTGTTTCCTTTTCGATTACTTATTGAAAAAGCCTTGAAGGTAACCATTTTTAGCTAGGATTTTGTTCAATGTTTTCATTTTTCAATATATAAATCTTTTCTTCATACTTTAATCTTATTTTGACTCATTCAATTTCTATAACTTTCAAATCTATTTTTCATTTACTCATTTTATGCATTAGTATTCAAGAGAATTGTTATCCAGAAAATATCACGTATTTCAATTTGGTTAATACATCACAAATGGTGGCAGAGATTAAATTAGGTTTCTTAAATGATCCACAAGAAGATTGTTATAATGTTCAACCAAATGAATTATGCCTTAAACCAAATCAATCGACTACAATTTGTCTATATGCCTATCCAAAATTGAATAAACGTTATAATGATGTATTAGTATGTTCAATCAAAAATAATCCAGAACCAATTTTATTTAAATTAGCATGTGATGGTGTTCTACCAGAATTGGAATTGGATAAGAAAGTATTTAATTTTGAAAAAGTATTACTTCAAAGGTAAATTTAAGCCTTCCTTATAAAATGTATCATTTTTTTTCAACTATTTTAAACAAATGTAAATGATATTTTGATACTAGTAATTTCGCATTGATATACGGAGTCGAACTGCTTGACTGCTATTAACAGATGGGCTTTATGAATACCTTCTGCACAAGAGGTGACTTATGAATCAATGAGTACTGGCTTAATATGTCAGGATGAACAACATCACTAACTGGGGAGGGGGAAGGTACATTCAGGTGACGAGTACTAAACAGGACACTCTAACCCTACCAAGATGAATACAAAATGCAAGTGTTATTATTATTGTTATTCCTCTCTTGGGTTTCTAGTGGAACGTAGGACTTCAGTAGCACACAGCCTTTTCACTTTCTTCTCTACAGTCTGCTTAAGCTGGCTCCACCACTGCCCAGAAGCTTTCATTTCTTCCTCATACACACTCTCCTCCATGTCCTTTCCCGTTTGGGTTCCACTCGACGACCTCATCTGGCGTATGATACCCAAATCGGTCTTCGCAGTGTGTATCCAATCCAATCCAAACCATCTCCACTTTCTTCTGCAGATTAGTTGGCGATCGGTTATTTCGTTGCCAGACCAGAGTGAGTTCCTTATTTCTTATTCTTTCTCGCCTTATCATCTCATCTCATTTAATCTTCATAGTCGAGTGAGTGAGTGAGTGTAGGCGGCAGCTGTTGATCATGTATGTGTGCGGTTTGTTGAAAATGCTTTTCGTAACCTGCCAAGACTGTGAACCATCACAAAGAAGCACTAACCTGACTGACATTAGTGTTGGAATTCCGGATTTTGTTCACGCTTTATGCTGAGTGGAGTAAAGTAGATCCCCACACTGATTTCAGATTAATGAAAGCAGACCTGTCTTACTGTCTTTTCGATCCTGGCTGCCTTAACATCCTTGTCTGTGCCGCCGCATGTAGTTCAAACGACGCTCTCTTGGTAGGTAGGTGAAAGACACTACTTCCTTTAGGTTTCTCCCGTTCATGGTCATCGGTCCCTCTTGTTGTTGATGCTGTTGTTGGTTGGGTATCTTCATCACTTCAGTCTTCCCCACATTCACTTGAAGTCCCGTCTTCTCTACCTCACCTCTTCTGTCAACTTGTTAGTTTTCGCCTGGAAATCTTCGAGTCTGTTTGACATTAGACATAAGTCATCATAATCAACAGCGAAATACAAATCTCCTAGGGTCTTCTCATCGGTCAAACAGCGTGTGCTCATCTCCTCACAGCTCCTCACAGTTTCTTGCATCATACAGTCCAGTCGAGTTGACCACAGTCAGGAAGATCATCGATGATGATAGTAGGCGCCAACCTTATCTTACTCCTTCTTATCTTCACTTCAAAGGCATCACTGAGCTTTCCATTGTGAATCAGTTGGCATGTGGCATTATCATATAGTTGTTGAATGAGATTGATAAAGGTGTGTGGCACTGCAATCGTAGTGTTGAAGCAGTGGCCTTCCAAACTACTTCTCAGTCGACGCCTCGATTGAAGGCCTATTCAAAGTGGAAGAAGTTGAGGTAAAGATCCAGTTGACTGCCATTCTGTACTCTGTTCAATGATGATGCATAGTCTAGGTTTGCAGTTTGATATGCACATTATTTCTTTTTTCTGAAGTGAGCCAGCCGGTTTTCGCTGTAATTTCGAATCGAAAGCATTTTTAAGTCTCCAGCATGATGCGGCTTAATATTTTGCTCGGTGTGGACAGGAGCATGATTCCGCGCCAGTTTTTGCAAAGACTCAGATTACCCTTCTTTAGCTGTTTGTAAGTGTTGTTTAGTGGTTATATTGAATTAGAAACTTCAATGTTTTATGCAGAAACTGGCTAATCAGTTTTCACAAGAAACTAATGGCACTGAGGGAAACATGGAAAACTGGCCCGGAAAATAAGAACTTTAGTATTCTGACATATTTCTCACCATGACTACGGAATTTCCTTGGCTCAATCTCATGTGAAGTATTGGGCACACACTGTTGTAAAATCCTAAGCACAGATCAATTACCTGCACTGTACTCCGTTTCTTCATTTTTTAGTAATTCTGTTGACTCCTTCCCAACTTTATTGTCGTTTACCCAGTATGTTGTTACTCAAGCATCACGTTTTAGTCTTTAAATTTTATACTACTTAAAATTATTGAGTAGGACAACTCATTTTTTCACGTAATGTTACAAAATGTGACTCTTCCGTCTGTTCTATCGTAACTTATTCATGCTTTAACGCACCTTTCCGGGTTCATGACTACGTTAGGATTCCATTTATTGTTCTCTGATGTTCTATTTCACTTTTAACATTTGCTTATATTGTATCGTTACCTCATAGTTGAGAATTAGAGTATTCTTTACATTCCATTCAGGTTTGCTTTAGACACAAGTTTTACTGTTTGAACAGTTGAAACACCTTCTGGAAGATGCTTTGATAGTGATAATCTCATAGATACCTTAAGATTCGAGGTTTTTTAATGTATCAGTCACTACTGCTCATTAGTATTTCAGAAAAATCTTGTGTGTTTTACGCTTGACTCGAGCTTTTTGTTTATCGGTAGAGAATGATTCGTTTACATTTGGTTCCAAATTTCTTGGTATTGCTGTGTGTAACCTAGAACTAATCTTGTCAATCAGTAGGATAATATGCGTAACTTCTTGATTACAATCCTCACACCTATTTTGGTGTTGAACAGATTACCTTATAGGATTTGAATATTTTGATTACCATAGTAAACTATAGTACAATTTCGCCAGGTATTGTTTTCTTTGAGCTGGATGATTTATCATTCTAGATAACATCAGAAGAAATTTCAAAAAGAAATAAAAACAATTAGATCAAAACCGTCTCACTGAGTGGTATTTCTATGCTCATAACATCACTAAAGTTATTTGGGATAACCTGGTGTTTGAATCCTATTAGTACCATCAGATCTATAGTTGATTCAAGAAACACTCCGAATTATGAGTTATCTAGATGTATTTTGAGATGAAAGGAGATTTTTAACTTACAGGTAGTATTCATCACAGGATGACACCAGGTTCGGGATGCCATTGGACATTTGGGAGCAATGGACAGCCGTTCGTTCGTAGTGCAGGACTCGTCAACAGTTCGCTCCTACGACCCGGCAATGGGTCGAACCCAAGACCTCTGGGTTTCATGGTGAATGCATTAACCACTCAGCCGCTAAGTTGGATTTTGTGCCTCATGATCTCAAACTCTAAATTAAAAAATCCCCATTCATCTCAAAGATATATTACTGTATAGTGCTCATTAATGACTTGCTTCCAAATGGATATCTAGAAGCTCTAATGAGAAGCCGTGATCTGTGGGGTCAACCAGTCGGAAGTGAAGCGGATGCCGAGTGAAGACCTTCGTGATCAAGAACTGACAAAAGTTGGAAATTGTGAACCACTGAGAACCGACCCACTGGCTGAATGGGTAACACGTTCGCCGTGAAACCTGAAGGTCCTGAGTTTGACTTCTAGCCGGGTAGTGGGTGCGTAATGCTGAGCAGTCCCACACTAGGAAGAAACAGCTGTTCATTTATCTAGAGATTTAGAAATGGTTCTAGGCCCAGTAACAAGTCATTCAAAACTTAGACTTACTAACTCATGACTTAGAATAGATGATATACGAATGGACAACTATGGAAAAAATGTTTAGATTTTGGCTTAACTAGCCTTCACACGAATATGCCGATCGATAAGCCTCTAAAGGCAGTTAGAAATTGAACTATAGAGAGATCATGCTAGGAGTATGACTATGAATGACGTCAACAGTTTATAAGTTCTAAAATAAATTATATCGGTAAACTAAAAGGTTTCCCATGGGATCACCAATATCCCCTACCATCGGAGACATATCTACGTGTAGAGCTAAAGCTGAGCTTTTCTCTAATTTTTTTATTTTATTGGGATCTACTTATCTTCATTGAACTAAGGTTTAGTGCTCCGTTATTCTAATCGACCCTCGTCGACTAATCTGACCTCGCAATCATTGGAAGGGATACGGTATGCCAAATCATTTCGCTCAATTGCATCAACAGAATCTTTCAACCTACAAAGCTTGTTTCACACAGAGTTTGTCGGTTTAAATGACAGCCACCTTATTCCCAGCAAGACTTATTCACAATTCTTAGTCATAACTCCAAGATGCCTTTCTTATATAGTAACACAACAGAGGCTTTCAATTCTCTCTCAACCCTGACACCATGATGACTACCACCATTACACTACTATTGTCAGTGTTGTCACAGACACATTTGTAAGTAATTGGGAAGGGATGGCCTTGCAAACACTCAGTCCTACTCCAAAAATATGCTCCTAATATGTAGATGATACGTTTACACTAGAGAAACTGGAACGCATCAATAGGTTCTTGACACACACACACACACACACACACACACACACACACACACACACACACAATATATATATATATATATATACATACACACACAAATTCAGTAGTGAATGCAATCCAATTCACCTATGACTTGGTAAGTGATCAAGGTGAGCTAGAAATTTTGGATTACAAGATTAAACAAACACAAGATGGAAGGAAGGTTAGAGAGTAGTGTCATCTGTGGTGAATCTTGATATTCAAATCACCACTTAAACTTCAAATCTTCACACCCCATGTTGGTTTAGTTAAATGCGTGAGTGATAGGGTGAAGAAGCTTACCACCATTAGACCATAAAATCTACGACAAGAAATTGGACACATCAAGAATGTCTTGCATCTGAGTAATTACGCACCTGCATTTATAAATAAATTCATGAGAAATGGAAAGAAAAGTATAAGCAGCAGTAGAAGTAGTAGTAGTAGTAGTAGTAATAGTAGTAGTAGTAGTAGCAGTAGTGATACAGGTGTTATTAATAATAATCCCACTATTACTGGTAATCATGGTGACAGGGTTAAGAGAGAATTCAAAGCGTGTGTTGTGTTACTATACAAGGACTGCACCTCAGAATCATTATGAAGAATTGTGAATAATGGTGGTTGGGATTAAAGTGGGTGGCGTTTAAACCAACGTGGTCGCTGTGAAACAAGCTTTGTGGGTTGAAAGATCCTATTGATGCAATTAAACAAGATAATCTGGTTTACCGAATCGGTTGCAATGATTGTGACGTAAGTGGCATAGGTTAGAGTAGTCAACCCCCTAGGTTTGATTAGAATAACAGAGCATGCAGTTACACACAATGGGATGGTTAGAGGGAGAGGTTGATAACGGATTCTGTGTTTATCGATTCAATACCAAATGCATGGAGTAATAGTGGTGATTGTGCATCTATCCAAGATATATGGAAAATCCTACTATCCTTGTCATTGTAAATAAGGAGGTGAAATTAGGAATATATAAATTCTATCTCAAAGTTGTGGAGTTAGTCACGTGACATTATTATGGACAATAAATTGTGTCTGAAAAGTGTGTTTTCCAGTTGATGATACTGTTGCTTCACTGTATGACATTTCCAATGAACAGACTGATGTGGAATTACAATTTATCACAGTGCCTGAGTTTTACTCATATATTACTTGAATAAGGCATCATTTAAACGTAAATAATGCATGTCATAATGGCTAAGCATCACTCAGGTTTGATTAAAAGTAACTTCTCCTTTATATTACCATTACTATTGATTACTGTTTACGATGTATGAACTATCCATCAGTAGGTGTTAGTTGGCTGGAGGCAATCAACAGGAAGCCCTGAACCTAGGTTTCATGCTTCTTAGCACTTGTTAGCAAGGCGTATCTGCAACCTTGACGGAACTGATGTCCCGCCTGAGATTAGAACCCTCATCACGCAGTGTTGTAGTCAGCGAATTTACCACCGAGCTGTTCGGGTCACGATTAACCTCCTGTAGGACTGGTTTGCATGTATTGATTGGTCAATGGAGTACAACCAATTTCATTCTGTCTAGTCCTGAGTGCTTCATGATAAAGTCGCTGACTACAACACTGGGTGACGCGGGTTCGAATCTTAGGCGGGACATCAGTTCCATCGAGGTTGCATGAAACTTAGGTTCAGGGCTTCCTGCCAATTGCCTCCAACCAACTAACATCTACTAATGTGTACCACGATGCTGAGCTTCCTAGCTTAGTTGCCACATTGCATATATGATCGATAGAATTCGGTCTACACTCAGGATTAGATAACATGAAATTGGTTGCACTCCCGGTGAATAATCAATACATATGAATTACCCGTTATCCATGAGTGAAAGATTTCATTAAACAATAAAGTATATAACGAATATTATATGTTATATAATTTCATGACTTTTATAGTCATAGTGTTATTATGATGAATTGTATAATTCTCTTTATTGACAGAAAAGAAGTACGTTCTATTGTATTGAAAAATAATACACTATTACCTGCACAATGGAGATTATCAGGCATAGAAACATTAGGTGATGAATTTTCAATTTCACAAGATACTGGTATTGTTGAACCACAATCAGAATCTATTTTATATGCATACTTTCGTGCAATGAAACCGATTAAATCAAATCAGAAGAAAAGTTTACGTTTAGAAGTTTATGATTTAGAGAATATAGCTGGTTTAATACAAGTGGAGACAATTCAAGTGATTGCTGAAGCATATGATGTAGCTTTAGATATTAACTTTCCTAAAGGTTAGTTTTAATTTAATTCTATTGTATTCATTGAATAACATGATTGTTTATTATAATCATTAAGAGCTTTTATAAGTTTTGATATATTACCTTAGCAACAACAAGAGACACCAATCATCATCAACGGGAGGAACGTAAAGGATATCATCTCTTCCATCTACCTACCTAGACAGGGCATCATTGTTTCAACTACACGCGGCAGCTTAAATGACGATGTCAAAGTAGCCAGGATTGAAAAGACAGCAAGACAGACCTGCTTTCATGAATCTGAAATCAGTATGGAGATCTACTACACTCAGCGTAAACAACAAGATCCGGATTCTCAACACCAATTCAGTGAAGTCAGTGCTGCTATGTGGTCCGGAGACTTGGTGCGTCACGAAATACATTTCCAACACCTTCATCATCATCGATACCAACGCGAGGACAGGAATTATTGTGTAACGCTTCAACCTCCCACCCTCACTTCATATCAGATAAGAAAATTCAGTCAAAAGGAGTAGAAAGTAGTAAAAGAGAGGAAGAAGGAATGAGAAAATGATCAGATTAGATATAGCGGTTAGGATGAGGATGATATGTGTATCAATCTGCACCATATCACCTAAAGTCTCCAACCACTGGTTTATCTTGTCCCACGGACCCCAACCGGCTAATCTGTATCGTACTACATGGCTCAAACTAACAGTCGAGGACTTCATGCATTGTTGGCATGTTTTAGTCTGACGGCTCTATTTCAGCCATCTTGGCTGATTATAGTTCACAACGGTATCAACTATCTCACCTCTTCTCCATGAAACTGTGCTTGACTTTTGACATACTCATGTGGCGACACCACAAAACATGTTCTATACTATGAAGACAATGGTGGTCACACATCTGTACAATAAAATCAGTTAGAACTTAATGACGATATAATGAAGTGAGAAACTTGTCCAAATTGTGATAAAAGCACAATGTGATGTAATGATTTCATAAATATTATCTTACTGAAATGATAATTCCCGTAAACATTAGATAGGAGTGTATCAATGAATACTATGGAATTTTGAGCAAGTGACTGCTTAAATCACTCAGTAGACAGGTAAGTAGTAATCAAAACTGGCGCGGAAACAGGCTGCTGTCCACCCATATGGAAGCAAACTATTATGCCGCATCATGCTGGAGAGATTAAAGGATGCTCTGGATTCAAAATTGCGACCGGAACAGGCTGGCTGACTTCAGAAACAACAAATCATGTAGAGATCAAATTGCAACACTACGCATCACCATTGAACAGATTATAGAATGTTAGTCAACTCTCTACCTCAACTTTATCAACTTTGAATAGGCCTTCAATCGAGGCGTCGACTGAGAAGTAATTTGGAAGGCCACTGCTTCAACACTACGATTGCAGTGCCACACACCTTTATCAATCTCATTCAACAACTATATGATAACGCCACATGCCAACTGATTCACAATGGAAAGCTCAGTGATGCCTTTGAAGTGAAGATAAGAAGGAGTAAGATAAGGTTGGCGCCTACTATCATCATCGATGATCTTCCTGACTGTGGTCAACTCGACTGGACTGTATGATGCAAGAAACTGTGAGGAGCTGTGAGGAGATGGGCACACGCTGTTTGACCGATGAGAAGACCCTAGGAGATTTGTATTCCACTGATGATTATGATGATTTATGTCTAATGTCAGACAGACTCGAAGATTTCCAGGCGAAAACTAACAAGTTGACAGAAGAGGTGAGGCAGCGAAGACGGGACTTCAATTGAATGTGGGGAAGACGGAATTGATGAAGATACCTAACCAACAATAGCATCAACAACAAGAGGGACCGATGACCATGAACGGGAGAAACTTAAAGGAAGTAGTGTCTTTCACCTACCTACCAAGAGAGCGTCGTTTGAACTACATGCGGCGGCACAGACAAGGATGTTAAGGCAGCCAGGATCGAAAAGACAGTAAGACAGGTCTGCTTTCATTAATCTGAAATTAGTGTGGAGATCTACTTTACTCCACTCAGCATAAAGCTTGATCAACATCCGGATTTTCAACACAAATATCAGTCAAGTCAGTGCTGCTATGTCGTTCAGAAACTTGGCGTGTCGCGAATAGCATTTCCAACAAACTACAGGCATTCATCAACAGCTGCGTACGCTGGTTACTGAAGCTCAGACGTCCGGAAAGAATAGGCAACAAGGAACTCCGGCCTACTAACGAACCAACCAAGAACCGATTACTCAACAGATATGGAGAGGGAAGTGGAGATCGATTGGATTGGGCATACACTGAGAAAACCATTCGGAGACATCACGCACCAGGCCAGCACTCGAGTGGAATCCAAAAGGGAGACGACGAGTTCGGTATCAGAGGGTGACATGGAGGGGATTGTGCGAGGAAGAAATGAAATCTTGTTGGCATTCTTGGCACCAGGTTGAAAAGACTGTAGAGAACAGAGTGGAATGGAGTAGTGCTACTGAAGCCCAATGTTCCACTAGGAACAAAAGGGGAAAATAAATAATTTTAAATCAGAAAACAAAATATATAATCAATCATAATGAGTAGAAGTCAATAGATTGAGATTGTAGTTGACTGTTTACAGAAATTTTCATTAAACTAATTTAAAACTATAATGTAATTTGTAAGTTATGTGGTTATGTAAGCATATTACACATGGAAGGCTATTTTGTCTTGGTTGTCAAGGTGACTAAACAACGAAATCACTTACTCCTACATTCCCCAGCTGGAAAACTACTACACTTCTAGTAAGGGAATCCCCAGTGGTACTCACTCACGACCCTGTCAGGGAGCGAAATCAGGACCTCCGGGCGTCTCAGCTAATATGCAACCATTCAACCATGGGGCAGGAGTTCAATGATTCACAGTATCCTTCTTCTGTCATTTCGAAACAAATTTCCATTTCTTCCAGGTTTCGAATGGTTGTCCAGTTGATTTCACTTCGTAATGAATATTATCTTGAAATAAATAAAACCCTGAGAAACCTCAACTTAAATTACTTTCTAGTGGTCTAGTGGATACCCCAAGGTTCTTGTGAGAAACCATGACCTGTACAGCCTAACGGATATCAACTGAAGATCTTGGTGGATAGTTTCGTTATACTGAGAACTGAAAGTACCAGAAAACAGGGGGAGCACTGAACTCCGAGTCAGTGGCTGAAGTCCCACAAATTCAACGTGATTCCTGATGGTATCAAATCCCATCTCTGATGGTGTCGTCGGCACACACTGATGAAAAGCCCTTTACTAGGACAAACTAGATGTCTTGTGCTGCCAGCTTTTCAATCCTTCTCTAAATGATGTCAGTCCTCCAACAATACTCGTATTTGCCTAATGTTTATCTGTGTGTTTTGTAGAAATATAGTCAGGCTGATATATCTATTTCAAAGTGTTGCTAATTCATGTTTTTCCTTATTTGCTTTATTCAACACTCTTATATCCAATAGGCAGTGATGGTGGTATTGATTTTGGTTTAATCAAAGTTGGTGAGGAGGTGAAACACACAATCATATTAAAAAACAAAGGACCTTATGAGATTGTTGTCAAGTAAGTAGAAGCACAATCAGTTCAGTTTATTATTTGTCATTTGGGTTATTAGTGGAACATACTGCTTCAGTAGTACGTCTCCATTGCACTCTCTTCTCAGTAATCTTTTCTTCTAATCTGGATCCCTCACTGGCCACAACCTTTCATTTCTCCTTCACACGCCCAAATACTCGTTTCTTATTTGACTTTCACTCTGCAGCCTGGTCTGGCCTGGGTGATACATTCTTGGTTGGTTGGTTCGTTGCCATGCCAGAGTGAGTTCCTTCTTGCTTATTCTTTCTCGCCTTCCCATCTCATATCATCTTGTCTTCAGTATCGAGTGAGCGAGTGAGCGTAGACGGCAGCTGTTGATCATGTATTTGTACAGTTTGTTGTAAATGCTCGTTGTAAAGCGTCAAGTCTTCCAGTCATTACATAGAAGTACTGACTTGACTGAAATTGTTGAAAATCTGGATCCTGTTCACGCTTTACGCTGAGTAGAGTGGAGTGATCTCCACACTGATTTCAGAATAGTGAAGGTCTATCTTGCTATCTTTCTGATCGTGGTCTTGACATCCTCATCTGTGCCTCTGCCACCTGTAGTTACGACGATGCTGTCTAGGTAGGTAGGTGAAAGAGACTACTTCATTCAGATTTCTCCTGTTGATGGAGATTGGTGCATCTTGTTGTTGTTGTTGTTGTGGTGGTGGTGGTGGTGGTGATAGTGGTGATTGGGTATCTTCATCACCTATCTTCGCTGCTTCGCCTCTCCTCACCTCTTCTGCCAATTTGATATTTTTCGCCTGTAAATCTTTGAGTTTGTGCGACATTAAACATTAGACATAAATCATCATCATGGAAGAAATCCAAATCTTCTATCGATGAAGCAGCGTATGCCTATCTTCTCGCTCCTCATTGTTGTCGGTTGCATGATCCAGTCCAGTCCAGTTGACCACAATCAGGAAGATCATCGATGATGATAGTAGGCAGCAGCTTGGTTTTACTCCTGTTCAAACTTCGAAGGCATCGTTGAGCTTTCCATTGTGAATCACTTAGCATGTGGCATCTTCATATAGCTGTTGAATGAGGTTGATAAAGCTTTGTGGCACTGAAACCATAGTGTTGACGCAGCTACCAAATTACTTTCCGGTTAAAGCTGCCGGAGGTTTTTTAAAGTTGATGAAGTTGAGCTAAAGATCCAGTGGACTGAAATTCTATGCTCTGTTTTATGACGAATCATTACGAACCTTAAATTCATTATACCATTTGACTCGTCCATTTAGCTGCTTAACTTGAATGTTAATTGAATCTTCGTTAGTTCCTATCATTGACTGATTGTTTTTGTTCATCCTAGATTAAGACCTGAATAGGTTACAACTCAGTAACGCAGGTTCAAAACCCTACGAAAATGCCACGCTAATGAGTTTCGATGAGTACGAAATCTATATAGTGCACAAGTTCCCTACTAATTGGCTATATTTATTTGAGAATAAGACTGATTGAGCAAAGAAATGTATATTCATTTTCAATTAGGTCTTCTTCTTGGGATCTACACTAATATATAGGTTCCCAATCTAATCAAATTACCAATCCCGTGATGGTGATGTTTCGGAAATAATGATGTAAATAATCAGTAGAGTTACTTAAATAGGAAATGTGAATATTGTTAGAAACAAAGGGAAGGGGAAGAGGTGTACAAAGTAAACCTAGAAGTTACTTCATGTTGACGGCCACGGTAATGAAAGTGGTTGAACAAACTTCTTTTGGATACGAAGACTAGGTCTGTAGAGGTGGATTGCAATGGCCTCTGCTATGTGAAGTAACCGAGCATGTAATCCATGAGGTAAATTAAGTGGAATCTGATGGATAATTTTGAAGGCTTTTCCAGTAACCACTTGATGTCCTGCGTTAACTAAGTGTGCAAGTATGGAGCTCTTTATAGTTCTAATTTATTCCTTGTTCAACCATGATGGGTGGTGATCAGAAATTCGACGATGGGACTGCATCATTGTACGCCCAATATAACTGGCTGCACAGGAGCAGTTTAATTGATGAAGGCACATAGAAGTGGCAGAATCAGGCAGTTTGTCTTTATTTCTTGCACCTGGAATTGGGCGGTTGTAGAAGGCGAGACATAATTTAGCAGCTTGGAATGCTTTATGCAAGACTCCATACTTGCACACTTAGTTGACACAGGACATCAAATGGTTACTGGAAAAGTCTTCAAAATTATCCATCAGATTCCACTTAATTTACCTCATGGATTACATGCTCGGTTACTTCACATAGCAGAGGCCATTGCAATCCACCTCTACAGACCTAGTCTTCGTATCCAAAAGAAGTTTGTTCAACCACTTTCATTACCGTGGCCGTCAACATGAAGTAACTTCTAGGTTTACTTTGTACACCTCTTCCCCTTCCCTTTGTTTCTAACAATATTCACATTTCCTATTTAAGTAACTCTACTGATTATTTACATCATTATTTCCGAAACATCACCATCACGGGATTGGTAATTTGATTAGATTGGGAACCTATATATTAGTGTAGATCCCAAGAAGAAGACCTAATTGAAAATGAATATACATTTCTTTGCTCAATCAGTCTTTTTCTTTATTTGTTTTACTTCATAGAAATTTTGTGGTTATTTATACTCTCAAGATATTTGAAAATATATGATGAATGTGAATTTTGTATAATTTTCATTTTTATACATTTTTCAAATTAGTTTCATATTTTCGAAGAATACAACAATGAAAAAGGATTACAGCGATGTATTCACCTTGACTCCACAACGAGTTAATCTTTCTCCATCAGATAAATCTGCTCAAATTAATGTAGGTTGTAAATGAACCTCTTTATACTCTATTTTACCTATTTTCTGTTGGATATAATTTCAGAGTTTCTAGAATGCACTGTTTCAACTACAGGTGGCGCAGACGAGGATGTCAAATTCAGAATCGGAAAAGCAAGACAAGCGTTCATTAACCTGAAACCAGTGTGGAGATATTCTGCACTCACCATGTGGAACAACATCCAGATTTTCGACACCAACGTCAAGTCAGTGCTTCTGTGTGGCTCAGAGACTTGGACCGTTACGAAAGGGATTTCAAACAAATTACAGATATTCATCATTAACTGCCCACGCTGTCTCGTTACTGAAGATCAGATGGATTGCCAGAAAGAATAAGCAACAAGGGACTCTGGAAAGAACCAATTAAGAATCTATCGTCCAACAAATATACACTGGAAGGAAGTGGAGATGGATATGGATTGGGTATGCACTGAGAAGGCTGACTGGGGACATCACGTGTCAGGCCATCACTCGAGTGGAACCCAGATGGGAAACGACAAGTTGGGCGTCCGAGGTGAGGGTGACATGGATGAGATGGTGTGTGCGAGGAGGAAATGAGAACTTGTGGACTGTCGTGTTGACAGGTTGAAAAGATTGCAGAGAAGAGAGTGTGCTGGAACGTGCTACTGAAGCCGTATGTTCCATAAGAAACCCAAGGGATAAATAATAATAATTTCAGAAATGTTGTTGTAATTTGATGACATACGGAGAGAAAGTGTAAGACATACCTGCCAACCATACTGACAGACTGCTCATAATTGTCAACTATTGGGGGACTGGTATAGGATTGCCACTGTACTCAAGTTTTACACTTTCTCTGTACTTGCTTGAACTTCAGTCATTCAATGGTTTGAGCACTCATGAAATAACACTGAACATCCTATCTATAAACAGCTGCTACTCAGAAAATGAAACCACTAGATAGCCAATCAAGAGATGATGCTCAGAAGATGAAGCCGTGAGATAACCAATCAGATGGACATCTGAAACGAAAATATTTCTACCCTAACGGCGAAGGCCCTTGAATGATGATTTCCATTTTTGGCCACTTCGTAGCAGTATCTCAGTGACAGCAACACTCAGATAAACAAATACGAATCTGTGATGAAGGATGCAGTTCCAAGAAATTAGACTTACATGTTGTAGTTTATTTGCTGGCTAGTATTGAAATCCAGGATGTACGTTTTGTCTTATCCAAGACTTGTCAATACCCCAGTGAGTGATGTTGTTCCCTGACTGACAAAACCAATGTAGAACCTCGCACATAGGTGTATCGGCCCAATTGACCACACCTGACAATAGTACACAAAGAAGACAAAGCAGTTTGAGAGAATAAACAGTTTGGAGACAATGATGAGTGTAAACATTCAAGCTACAGATGTGAAAGAGTGAATACATCTGCACTAGTGACCGGTGTTCAGCCATGTCACCAAGAGTCCCCAACCACCGATTCGTTTCGTCTCAGGAACCCAAGGCAAACAATCTACAAGTGCTCACGAAAAGCTAACCAAGAGTCTAGAACTTCATTGACTGAAATCATTTCTTAGTTTGGCCACCCTGGACCCTCTTCCAACGTGATCTAACTTCTGTTATCATTCCAAATCGAGATAAGTGGTGTTTCGGCGAGCATGACGCATATCCAAGTCACCTCACTGGATGAAGGTTCAAAAGTTCATCAGTCGACTTGCCTATCTTGTCTAGAACCCTTCACCTGACCTCAACACCTCTCACTCAGTGATTCCACTAAACGCGAGCAATGCTACGTAGGAGACTATGACCAAGCACATATAACTAATTCATATCTTCTAGAACGAACTACAGTGGAGTATATTCGTCCTTTGGTGATAGTTGGATGTCTCGCCAGCGTCACAGATGACGCAAGTTGGTGAATGCCAAACAGACCTTCTGCATTCGAGGTGAGACTCCATCACCAAACATCTCCCTCCGGCTGATGCAACTTTACAAGTAAGTGAAGTGGTCAAGGCATTCCACCACTTCACTCCCTATCAATAAACTGTGAGTAATTGCAACAGAATAGTCCTTGAACATTGTCGTAGATTTGTCAGGTGCGTAAAAATGCTAGCCAAACATATTCAGAGTTCTGCTGAACACGTCCAGAAGATCCTTCATTATGTCAGCGTCTTCCCGTCGCGACTCAAACCGGGTGCCAAACGACAAATTGCAACCCACTAGATTATTGAGGGACAGGAGTCACCTCTTATGCAATAGGTACCAGTTGTTATTTGGGGTTTGAAAAGATGAGCACTGTGTTTGAATCTCAATGGGAACACTATTATTTAACTTAGTGGTCACATATACAGCTGATGAGTCCCAAATAGGATGGAACTCGCTTCCTAGATTCCACTGCTAGCCAACAAGTAGACTATAACATGATGAATATTCAGGTAGTATCCAGGTGTGTGCATAGGAGCCCACCTGCCAACAGAGGTCAAATTGTTCGATCCAGTATGGCATTGGGGTTACACGTTGCTTGTTAGTATCTAGTTGGTAAACTAAATAAAACGTTTCGACCTTATTCATTGCTGCGTAGCCAGTTACTGACCTATGTAACTTTAATAGAGACAGTGAACGCTTACTCAGTTGTTTGGCTTTTCCAGAATTGATCCCAAAGTCGTTTTCATCAGTGAAGGTACTGGCTTGTGACGAATTAACTAAAGTTTTACAATCCAGACAAGCGGTTTGCAAAAAGATTACCTAATGTTAATGTGCCCACCATGAAAAGACAAATGAATAAGGAAGATATTCTCCTAGTATATTAAAAGTCAAGGGTGGAGAAACGCTTTAACATGATCCTTCTGAATGCATAGTCTACATTTGGTCAATTTTATTGTGACAGCCTCAACTGTGCTGAACAAGCGTTGGTGAGCCACACATTTTGTTGACACTGAAGACTTTACTAGCATCTGTGTGATGCTCCGTGTCTACTAGGTGCTTTAAGATAGAAATCCTTACCACTTTCACTTCACCTTTTCTAAACCAATTTGGTAAATGTTCTCCTATCTGGAGACAAACCTGCGTAATTGTTCGACCTTTGTAACTTATTCCACAGGAATAGGGTTAGACAGACTATTTATTACTCTTGCCAGGCCCTTGAGTGGAATCCAAAGGGGAAACGACGAGTTACGCATGTGAGTGTGACATAGAGGAGATCATGTGAGAAAGAAATGAAAGCTTGTGGGCAGTTGTGGCATCAGGTTCAGAAGACCGCAGAGGACAGAGTGGAATGGAGGTGTGCTACTGAAGCCCTATATTCCACTAGGAACCCAAGGGAAAAAGTAATAATAATCATAATCTATTACCCTGGAACTGACCAATGGGCGACTGCTGAAAGATATTAACATGATGACCTGCATAAAACTTTCTGTTGACAGCTAGGTGTTGTGAAAAGGATATCACTTGGAACATCTCCCTTGAATTGTAATCGTAAATTGTTATTGGTTATTACTAGTTCCCGGCTGATTTGATTTTTTAATAGAAACTATCATACTCATATAGATTTGCTTTCTCTTTCTCAATCTTTTATTCCTTCCAATATAGCTTACTTGTTGTGCACAGTCGGAGTGTATTTTAAAAGAAGAACAAGTCATAAAGTGTCAAATTGTTGAACCGAATGCCAAAGGAACCCCACAACTAATTGCATCTATCCCTATAAAATTATCTTTGAAGGCAGTATTCAGCAAGTAGGTTGCAAAATATTCTTACTGAGTGACTAAAATAAACAAACCAGTCTCACAAGAAGTAGATATCATGACTCAATAGTCAAATGGATAACATTTGGGCATTTCAAGCAATTAGTTCTGAGTTCATATCCTAATGGGAACAATATCATTCAGAGGGAGACATACACATCCAATTGATGAGCTCCAACTAGACGGTATCCGTCATTATTATCATAGTGAAATTTCTGATAATAAATAGCCATCTATGCAAAAGCGCTTTCACCGGTAATAGACGATAAGTAGGGTTGAATTTACGACAGGAAATTACTAGCAATAACATCAATCCACTAGGTTATATATTAAAGTTGAATAGTGGCTGGCAATGGACTTCTCAGCTGAGTTTATCAGGGCTTTATCCACAAGGTCATCAAGTTACAATAACCACTTCTTGTGCATTGGGTATAGTTTTAAGTGTTGTCACTTAGATTATCAACGACGGTAATAGTACAACTGACAATATTAATGAACTAGATATTTTGAAAATTGTTTATTTTGTCGAATGTTTAAATGGTACTCACCGCAAAAACTGAAGTTAGACAGTATCTTGAATGGTACCATGTTCAGATGAACCCTTAGTAACGTAATTAGAAGACAAAGTTTATCTGAACAATGTGATGTATTTGCACAATACACATTTCCAACAATCTGATCACACACACACACACACACTTGTCTCAAGTCAATATATATTAAACCGAGGACTGGGGGGGGGGGGCGACAAATACAACAATCAACACAATAGGGGATTGACATTAAGAAAGATGAGAACAAACAGGACAAGTGACATGGTTGATACTAACCACGGTAAGAAAACAAAGTTTACCAAGATAGATAGGCGTAGTTTGTAAGAACAAATTACTTGTCTTTTTACCCACTCAAAGGTGATTTCACTTTGTGCATGGCTATGGCTTCTACAAATCTCAGAATACATCCATGACTGACTGTTTCTATATAAAACTTTGAAAGCTGTTTGAATATCAATTTTGTGACCTATATCTATAATATGTTGTTTAGATAGACATGAAGACGGTGGTCTCCCACCTGCGTTTTTCACGATTTCACACTCCATTTGTTTTTGAAGGGATTTAAGTACATGTTTTTCCACCCTCGATTACTCCTCCATGTGTGTATGTGTGTGTGACCACAGACTCATGTGTAAATTGGTAAACACAAAGGGATGTGACGTAACCATTGGTGGAGTGTTTAGGTTTGTGGTGAAGCATGTGTCTTGTTTCTTCCACAATGATAAGACTTGCCGCGTAATATGTTTTCCTAATGGCTAATGTCAACCCACGTCTCAAAATGATACTATTTAACTCCCCTCTGTATGTTACAGTGATATGGACACTTTTCTTAGGAAACGTGCATAGAGTTGGCGTTGGTGTTACTTGACCTCTACAACGGTTTACAAACTTCATCGGATATTCATTTTGGTCAATAATTTGATGTTTTCATGTATCCTATCTGATGTACTGATACGATAGATCCTATTGAACAGGCATTTTACTAGACCTCGCTTGTATTTGATTGGACAAAAACTGTGAAAATTCGGTATTATCTTGTCCATGTAAGCTTTGTGTAAACTGACCGTCTTATTGAACCACATATTCTCGTCAAGTCAGGAGTCTATCTAGGAATGGCAGATGATTATGATTATAGCTAAAAATGTCATAGAAACAAGTCACAGAATTAATGTTCAAACAGCTTTCAAAGTCAGTCATGGATGTATTCTGAGATTTGTAGAAGCCATAGCCATGCACAAAGTAAAACCACATTTGAGTGGGTAAAAAGACAAGTAATTTGTTCTTACAAACTGCGCCTACATATCTTGGTAAACTTTGTTTTCTTACCGTGGTTAGTATCAACCATGTCACTTGTCCTGTTTGTTCTCATCTTTCTTAATGTCAATCCCCTATTGTGTTAATTGTTGTATTTGTCCCCCCCCCCCAGTCCTCGGTTTAATATATATTGACTTGAGACAAGTGTGTGTGTGTGTGTGTGTGATCAGATTGTTGGAAATGTGTATTGTTCAAATACATCCCATGCATTGCTGAGATAACCTTCTTCTTCTTCTAATAACGCTATCGAAATTCATAAAAGGAACTGATTGTTTCCAATTTCGAGTCTTTAGTAAATAATTTTCATCTTTTTCGAGTAAATCATAGAAATGGTCTAGTTATTTCCAAAAAAAAACAGTAAACAAAGAGTTCTATTCAGTTTGTCTTTTGTTTTCATCTTATCAATTTTCTAGAAGTTTATCAAAAGGATTCAATCTTCTTTGTTTAAAATACAAAGTGAATTAACAACACCAATAGAAATTCAGGACTTTTATGCCTCTTAGTGTATGTATTAAGTATTCAGTCGCTCGGTCAACATTTAGTGATCCACAGTTTCCTACTTTTGTCACTTCGTAATATCATGGGACTATTCATCCAGTTGTTCTGTTGTAATCTATTTTAATTCCAACTAGCTAACCTCACGGATCACGGTTTCTTATTGCAACTTCACGATATATATTTCAAAGTATTTCACAAATGAGCTATAATATATTTCACTAGTATTGACAGTTTTGTAAACATATTTGCATACTGTCGTTGACTGGACCGAACTGATCGGTCTCTATTGGTATATGGCTCCTGTGCGGATGCCTCGATATTGCCTGTATAGTTCTAGTTATAGTAAAGATGGCTAATAGCATTTCGTCCTATGTGGGACTTACTCGTCAGCTGGATGTAACTGCATCCCAGTGCGGAGTGATGTTGTTCCCAATAGTCACCGATCAATTCGGTCCAATCAACGAAGGTGTAATACAAGCAATAACACTAAAACTATACCCATCACAAAAGAAGTGGCTATCCTGACTAGATGGTGTAGTGGATAACGCTCTGACATTTGAAGCAATCCCTCCCAAGTCCGAATCCCGGTGTAAATGAAAACACTCCAAACTAGAAGGTGGGTGCATCCAGCTGACGAGTCTGAAATAGGACGAAATGCGCATCGTGGATTCCACTGTTAGCTAATATCCACCTTTACTACAAATTCACAAAGAACGTGTCGACCATGTTGTGGTACAAGGTAAACAAAGTGGATGTACATATTTCTTTTGAACATATACACCCGGTTTTCTTCCATTGATCCCTATGACTTCGGCTATGGATAATATACCAAGTCGTTCACATTTAGGGAGATCGCAAAGGACAAGATATATCATAGAAGAGGCGTGATCTACCTTCATCTGATGTCCGATATCTATTAGATGTGAGAGGATTGTACTGTTGATGTTCTTTGTCATTCCTTTCCCTAACCAACAATGCGCATGGATAGAGTCCTTTGAGTACGGTCTATGTAACCAGCTCCACAGGATCAGTTAAACTCATAAATGCACATTGAAGTGGCCATCATAGGTAACCTAATCTTGGTTCGCTGTATCAGTAATGGTTTTTTTTTGAGAAGTTGACGAAAGGTTTTGCTGCATTGAATGTCGTTTCGATGCGCTAAGATATCCGCGGAAATATTACCTTTGAAATTTAGTCTAAGATATATAGGTCACTTAGCAACATTATCTTTCGAAATAGTGGGGACTATTTGTAGCTTAAGTGGATAATCCTGGTTGTATGATATTCTCTGAGCTGGATTGTTTAATCGTGAAGCTTTCATCCTCCCATGAGACCCCAACATCATCAGCACTAACTTCACTATCAACTGACCTGTCAACATCTCTCCGTCAACGATTCAGTAGCTTGCCTTGACGAAGCGATCTATGATTGGTTGTTTCCTTCGATTGTTGTGTCATTGACAGACTGTATAGAATTTCCTGTTGGCTGGCTGTTCCTCTTCTTCACCTCTCTTATCGATTGATAGATTGGGTCTACGTCTATACATCTATTGATTGCTGACTAACTGACCCGAATGCCAAGCTTCTAGGAATTCTCTCATATTTTTTGTGGTTCCTCTGTCCAAAATTTCAACCTTGTCGAAATTTACTTGATGTCCATAATTATCCACGTGCATTGGAATGAGTGATGAAATGTCGTGTGTTACGTTTAATAGCCAATTGGTCAACATTACAGTTATTGCAGTTGGATAAAGTGGTCACCCCCTCCACCTTCGTCTACATGAACACCAATTGGCTATTAAACGTAACACACGACATTTCATTACTCATTCCAATGCACGTGGATAATTATGGACATCAAGTGAATTTCCACAAGGTTGAAATTTTGGACTGAGGAAACACAAAGAATGTGAGAGAATTCCTAGAAGCTTGGTATTCAGGTCACTCATTCAGTCAGTCAGTTAGTCAGCAATGAATAGATGTATAGACGTAGACCCAATCTATCAATCAATAAGAAAGATGATAAACGACAGAAAGGTGAGAGGTGAAGCAGAGGAACAGCCAGCCAACAGGAAAATCTGTACAGTCTGTCAATGACACAACAATCGAAGGAAACAACCAATCATAGATCGCTTCGTCAAGGCAAGCTATTAAATCGCTGACGGAGAGATGCTGACAGCTCAGTTGATAGTGAAGTTAGTGCTGATGATGTTGATGTCTCGTGAGAGGATGAAAGCTTCACGATTAAACAATCCAGCCCAGAGAACACCATACAACCAAGAACATTATCTTTCTTTACCTTCTCTGTAAGTTTAGCACAACTTAACAAGTACTGAACTCTTCCGTTTACCTTGTTCTATAGAAATCGTTTATGCTCACAGTATATAAATACTAATAACCGGACAAGTTACGACTTTTCAGTCAATCATACGTTTTTTCTATAATCCTTATACAGATTTACTATTTCTCCAAGCAAAGATATCAATTTTGGTTCACTTATACTAAGTAATCATAAAACTAGACAATTGATTATTGAAAATAATGGCGAGTATGAATTTCGTTATTCAATAATACGTATGTGTAAAATGCTGGAACTAATAGCAACACGTGAAGCATATTTGAATAAAGAATCTGTTGGTACAGGAAAGCATAAAATGTAAGTTGACTGCATTTCACTTCACTTCATGTTTCTTTTCTATTGCTTTATTATCATATGTGATTCACAATGGAAGGCTCAGTAATGCATTTGAAGTGAAGACAGGAAGGTGCAAGATAAGGTTACCGCCTACTATCATCACCGATGATCTTCCTGATTGTAGTTGACTCGACTGCACTAGATCATGCTAGAAAGTGTGAGGAGCGAGATGCATATGCTGGATCGATGAAAAAACCATAGAAGATTTAGATTTTGCTGATAATGATTTACGTCTAATGTCTAATGTTGTACAAACTCGAAGATGTAAAGGCGAAAATGAACAAGTTGGAAGAACAGGCGAGGCGTGTCAACGAAGACGCGACTTCCTTCAAGTGAACGTAGAGAGAGAAGACAGACGTGATGAAGATACCCAGACAATAACAACAACAAGAGGAACTAAACACCATCAACGGGAAAAATCTGAATGAAGTTGTCTCTCTGACCTACCTACCTAGATATCATCGTTTTAACTACAGGTAGCGGCGGCGGTACACATGATATCAAAGACATGATTGGGAAGAAAGTAAGACAGGCCTCCACCATTCTGAAATCAGTATGAAGATCTACTGCAATCCACTGCACTCCACTCAACATCAACATAAAGTGTGAACAAGATCCGGATTCTCAACACTAATGTCAGTCAAGTCAGTGCTTCTATGTGATGATTGAGAGACTTGGCGCGTTACGAAAATTATTTCCTGCAAAATTTACACAAACATAATCAACAGTTACCGTCTACATTCACGCGCTCACTCACGTGCTCGATACTGAAGATCAGATGAGATGAGATGAGATGAGATGAGATGAGATGGACAGAAAGAATAAGAATAAGAAAGAAGGAACTCACTCTGACTAGGTGGCTGGCAACGAACCAACCAACCAAAAACCTATCGCCCAACGATAAAGAAACTGGAGATGGATGGAATTAGATTCAAGTGGACTTGAAGTGAGAAGACGATTTGGGGAAATCATAAGCTAGACAAGGTCAGTCCAGGCAAGGTCGTCGAGCGGAAACCGAATGGGAAGTGACGAGTTGGATGTTTGAGGTGAGGGTGACATGGAGGATATGGTATGTGAGGAAGAAATAAAAGCTTGTGGGTAGGTTGAAAAGATTACAGTTAAGAGAGTGAAATGGAGGTGTGCTACTGAATCCCTACGTTCCACTCGGAACCTCAAGGACAAATAATAAAAATAATAATATTATCGAATGTATTCTGAGGTTTGTGAGGATTATAATTTTAAGGTAGTATTTATCATATACGGATATCAGTTAGACAACCACTGAAAACTAATGGGCACTAGATAGTTGTTTCATCTTAATATGAGACTTCTCAGAAGTACACACCCACGACAATTAACTCCAGTAGGAAACATCTTTAATCAACGCGATCACATGAAAACGAACCCTCCTATCGAAGCTCTTTCTTAAAGCTCCCTAAAATAACTGATCAGTGGATCTCTCCCTTTCAACTGTCGAGCTTCAACGTATCTACGTTAGCTGGACAATCGGCTCATTAACCGTACTCACCTCCCCATGGGGGATTGTTCAAACAGATTATCCACAATCTTGCAGAAAGCGATGCAGCACACCACGGAAAAGGGTTACCCTATGCTTCCTGAAAAATAGGCTTTTGCTACAACGAACGATACCCAACATTCTGGACTTAATACCGCCCTACCTTCTCAAAGAAAACCACACCACTTCTCTTGAGACTCCTTGAATAGCAGTGACTACTGGAATTATGAAGCTGATCTCCTTTATTATTTACTGGTGCACCGCTCCTGCGCGTTTGTACCTTGGAGATCCACGCCACTTGTCGGTGCATATGGATCTCGTTGATTGCTACTACCGCTGAATCAATTATGACGGTGTGGTGCAAACCCTTTCACAATCTAATATATGTAGCTTTAGTGTTATTGCTTGTATTATACCGTTGTTGAATGGACAAGCAATAACACTAAAACTACACCCGTCACACAAGAAGTGGCTATCCTGACTCGGTTGCGTAGTGAATAACGCTCTGGCGTTTGAAGAAATCCCTACCAAGTCCGAATCCCGGTGTGAATGAAATCATTCCGCACTGAGAGGCAGGTACATCCAGCTGATGAGTCCCAAATAGGACGAAATGCGCATCGTGGATTCCACTACTAGCCACCAGCCATCTTTACTAACATATGTAGTTGTTGTAAAGCCCCAATTTTGCATAAAATATTGTTATTGATTTAAACATTTTTAACTTGTCATTCTCACACCGTTATTAACAGCATGATTAGTAGTCCCTTTTCTGCCCCCATTTCCAAGGTTAATCCTTACTCTTACTAATGTCAATGTCTCAGATGCGGACAAGATCATATCTCGTATGCGTACATACTCAGCTTCCATCCATCCAGCTTCAGTCTCCTTCTGTATTTGTCGTGAGTTGCAGTCGGTGGTTGTTGCGTACGAGGTTAGCTGTCAGTTAAGCGTGCCTATTATAACCGTTCAAAATATATAATAGTACTTCACATTGTCTTATCAGTCAGTCGGTATCGTGATAGGATCTGGAATCACCGGACAGCCATATTAAACATCAACAAGTCAAGATAGTTGGTAAATATACGAAAGAGAAATAAGGAAGCCGATGGTCAGAAGTGGTAGAAAGTTGTGATAAGCGGTGAAACAGTAATGAAATTTGTTATGACAACTAAAGTGAAAAGAATGTGTGGATACATCTGTAACTGTCCTGAGCCATATAACGTAGAATCTTCAGTCAGCGATTACCAACAGTTAAAGACTTTAAAAATTGGTACCATGTCTTATATTCTGGCCGCCTGTAACCTTTTTTCTATCCCAGACTTATTTCAGTTAACATCGTACAACTGCTGAAAGGGTGATTAAATGTGAGTTGCATATGCTTCAATCATCTGAGTCAATGAACATCTACAGCCTCGTCAACTCACTTTGTTCCTATGACCGGGACTGTACGCCTGACTTTTACATTTCTGACATGGTAATACCATAATGCGTAGCTTACAGAAAGGTGATGGTAGTCGGACACATGTATTGGGGACGTTTTACAGCCACACATCAGTAACTATAAACTTCACTGATAACGTATTCAGGTTATCATATTGACTAATCTAGTCTTCTGCTGGTAGATCTTAATTCAGTTTTGGAGGTTTGTGGGGATTTATTGATTCCAACTTGGTATTCATCATTGACTGACATCACCTGAAGAAATATTGGGAGCACTAGACGGCTGGTTCATCCCACTATGATCAGTTCATGATGACTACCAACTTGAAATCAACAAATCCCTATAAACCCCCAAATTCAATTGATCTAGGCCTCATTGGTGATTAGCTTCAAGAGGTGATTCTTGAAGTTCAAATAAGAAGTCGTGATCGGTGGGACAAATCTAGTAGGTGTGAATAAAAATACTCAAGAATGACATTGAATAAGGGTTGCTTTAAGTCATGAACGAGATTCCGACCCAGTGGTAACGTGATGACCACGGGACATTAAGGTCCTGAGTTCCATCGTTGATGCAGCAGGGTCATAGGTGTGCACTGATGAGGAGTCCCATACTAGAATGAAACAGCTTTCCAGTACTTTGGGGTTTCCAATGTTCCACCAACTAATATCAGTTCATAATCAATACCAGCTTCAGGTATTAATCTGATCTGAGGACAACTGGGTAAGTGAACTAGACGTATCTATATTATTCCTTTGACTTACGTATATAATAAAATGAATAATTATTGTCATTGTTTGCATGTAAACATGTATATCTTTATTATGTATAGATCTAATCGTAGAAGTAAAAGGTATGCTGATTATGCAATCGATTTACAATGAATACACCATATACCATTACAATGAGCACCTCTATTTTTACACCCTTCAATTATATCCTAATATTGTTTGCATTTTTTTCTTCCAATTATCCTCCACTTTCTAATATGAGATATACTGGTTAATGCAAATTTTAGTGCATGAATGAAATACCATTTTATTTTTATAACGGTTACTTTGCCTGTCATAAATTTTCTATCTTTAAACAGAATCATAGATTTTTGAGGGAGTTGTAGGGATTTGGAAATATTTCAAGTTGTTAATCATCTTAGACTGATATCAGTTGGAGGAACAAAGGAAACCTGGGAGCACTGGACAGCCAACTGTTTAGTCATATTATGGGACTACTCAGCAGTGCGCACCCACGACCTTCAGGTTCCACGGCCAGCGCGTTACCATTGAACCACTGGGTCAGAATCCAATGCTCCATATTTCCAAGTTCTGTTAGCTCACGATATAACGCAACCACCACCCAATGTCATTGTTGAGTAACTGTCCTCATGACCATCAGGCTTTGACTCTACCGGTCACGACTTCTCATTGGAACTTCGGGAATACTTCTCAAAGCTAGTCATCAATGAGCACCAGTTCAATTGAGAGAAGTATTCCCGAAGTTCCAATGACAAGTCGTGACCGGTAGAGTCAAAGCCTGGTAGTCATGAGGACAGTTACTCAACGATGACATTGGGTGGCGGTTCCGTTGTATCGTGAGCTAACAAAACTTGGAAATATGGAGGATTGGATTCTGATCCAGTGGCTCAATGGTAACGCACTGGCCGTGGAACCTGAAGGTCGTGGGTGCGCACTGCTGAGGAGTCCCATACTAGGACTAAACAGTTGGCTGTCCAGTGCTCCCAGGTTTCCTTTGTTCCTCCAACTGATGTCAGTCTACGATGAATAACAACTTGAAATATTTCCAAACCTCCACAACTCCCTCAAAATTTGATTGTTTTAATTGTTCAAATGTCAACAAATCGTAAAACGTACTCTCATATATTCTTAAAATGTCACTCAATCTATCATCACACAAATTAACGACAAAATTATAAAAATATATTATAGTAGATGGTAGTAGGCTTTTGAGTACACAATAGTTCATTACATAACTATCACAAGAATAATTAGCAAGAAATGTAAAGTGTTTATATCCGATGATTGATCCACAATCACCGACTGCATTTCTATTCGTCCCCCGTGCCACAAAGTAGATGATAATTAAGAAATAATTGATCACTGTGTATTACTCTTTGTCATCCTGTTACTATTATCATCACTGAAATTGAAAATTGTAACAAACTGTGAGGAGCGAGAAGACGGGCATACGCTGTTTGACCGATGAAAAGACCCTAGAGGAAGATTTGGATTTCGCCGACGATGATGATGATTTATGTCTAATGTAGCACAAACTCAAAGATCTACAGACGAAAACTAACAAGTTGGCAGAAGAGGCGAGGAGAGGCAGAGAAGGAAGATTTAATTTCCTTCACGTGAACTTACAGTAGACAGGTGATGAAGACACCCAACCAGCAACAACAAGAGGCACCAATCACCATGAATGTGAGAAATATAAAGTAAGTTGTCTCTCTGACCTACCTACCTAGATAGCATCATTTCAACCACAGGTAGCGGCGGCGGTACACATGATATCAAAGACATGATTGAGAAGAAAGTAAGACAGGCCTCCACCATTCTGAAATCAGTATGAAGATCTACTGCAATCCACTGCACTCCACTCAACATCAACATAAAGTGTGAACAAGATCCGGATTCTCAACACTAATGTCAGTCAAGTCAGTGCTTCTATGTGATGATTGAGAGACTTGGCGCGTTACGAAAATTATTTCCTGCAAAATTTACACAAACATAATCAACAGTTACCGTCTACATTCACGCGCTCACTCACGTGCTCGATACTGAAGATCAGATGAGATGAGATGAGATGAGATGAGATGAGATGGACAGAAAGAATAAGAATAAGAAAGAAGGAACTCACTCTGACTAGGTGGCTGGCAACGAACCAACCAACCAAAAACCTATCGCCCAACAAATAGTAGAGATGGATTGGATTCGATTTGGGTTGAGAAGACGGTTCGGGGAGATCACGTGCCAGTCCAGGCAAGGTCGTCGAGTGGAAACCGAATGGGAAACGATGAGTTGCGCGTATGAGGTGGACGGAAGAGATAATGTGTGAGGAAGAAATGAAATGTTATGAGCAGTGGTAGAACCAGGTCAAGCAGACTGCGTACAAAGAGTGAAAGGGCGATGTGCTACTGAATCCCTATGTTCCACTCAGAACCCCAAGGACAAATAATAAATAATAACAAGTACAAACTCACATCAGCCTGACTTATGAGAAAGAGAATAGCAATCAACTGCCATTCCTAGATAGACTCCTGACTTGACGAGAAAATGGTTCAATAAGACGGTCAGTTTACACAAAGCCTACATGGACAGGACAATCGCTGAATTTTCAGTTTTTGTCTAACTCAATACCAGCGAGGACTCATAAAATGCTTGTTCAATGGGATCTATCGCATCAGTATACCAGATGTGATGGATGAAGATATCAAATTACTGACCAAAGCACATATGGAAAATGAATATCCGATGAAGTTTGTAAACCGTTGTAGAGGTCAAGTAACACCAACGCCAACTGTATACTCGTTTCCTAAGAAAAGCGTTCATATCACTGTAACATACAGAGGGGAGTTAAATAGTATCATTTTGAGACGTGGGTTGACATTAGCCATTAGGAAAACATATTACGCGGCAAGTCTTATCATTGTGGAAGAAACAAGACACATGCTTCACCACAAACCTAAACACTCCACCAATGGTTACGTCACATCCCTTTGTGTTTACGAATTTACACGTGTGTGTGGTGACATATATATAGGGAGGAGTAATCGAGTTATATAGTTGATGAGGGTGGGAGAACATGCATCTAAATTGCTTCAAAAACACATAGAGTGTGAAATCATGATAAATGCTGGTGGGTGACAACCCTCTTCATCTATAGGTCACAAAATCATTATACGAACACATTTCAAAGTTTTATTCAGAAACAGTCAGTGTCGTATTCTGAGATTTGCGGAAGCCATAACCATACAAAAATTTTAACCACCTTTATGTGTACAAAAACAATTTGATTTTACACTTCACCTATCTTGGTTAAATTTGTTTCTTTACCAAGATTAGGATCAACTATGTCACTCTTCTTGTTTGTTTTCCCTCTTTTTCCTGATTTTAATCCTCTGTTGTGTTAATCGCTGTATTTGTTCCCCCCACTCCTCGATTTAATTAATACTGACTTGTGTGATCAGATTGTTGGAAATGTGTATTGTGCAAACACACCACTCCCACTGTTCAGATAAACTTCGTCTTCTAATTACGCCATCGAAATTCATCAAGGGGCTAACCGTTTCACAAATAACATTTCGTCACTCATTTCAATCCACGTGGATAACAACTATGCACATGAATTGAATTTCAACAGTGCACAGAGCTTAGACATTGGAAACACAAAGAATATGAGAGAATTCCCAGAAGCTTGGCATTCGGGTCAGTTAGTCAGCAATCAATAGATGTATAGACATAGACCCCATCTATTAATCAATAAGAAAAATGATAAACGACAGAAAGGTGAGAGGTGAAGCAGAGGAACAGCCAGCCAACAGGAAAATCTGTACAGTCTGTCAATGACACAACAATCGAAGGAAACAACCAATCATAGATCGCTTCGTCAAGGCAAGCTATTAAATCGCTGACGGAGAGATGTTGACAGGTCAGTTGATAGTGAAGTTAGTGCTGATGATGTTGGTGTTTCGTGAGAGGATGAAAGCTTTGAGACTAAGCAATCCAGCTCAGAGAACACAATGCAACAAAGATATCTCAGTGTCGCATTTCCAATCCTTTCGAATGAAAGGATCTTTCAAAAAGGGTCAAGTCACCTTATCTTACTAACTAATCTGTTACATAACTGAAGACATATTTCCACTCGTCTTCTGTTATTCAGGTTAGATAATACTCATCAACACATTTTGCAAACTCTTGCATGAGAAGGTGAACGTACCAGATACATTAGAAGCACATACTGAAGTGGCCGAAGGAACCAGCTAGTCTTTCACATTTTCATAGATGAATTTATAACTGAAGAATATAGTTCTGAAATAAGCTATAAAAGTGCTTTACTTACGGGTTTTAGTTAACGTTTCCATGTGGTGTTAACTGTTAACCTTGAATTTGAAGTCGGCATAATTCATGATAACTTTTAACAACTACATAATTATACAGGTATGATAAGATGTGATGCGAAATCCTCTTTGCTAAACAATGACTTCATAGTTCTGCATATGTAAATTATTTTATTACCGCAAGCTTGGCAATGTGTATGCATAAAATTGTACAGCTTTGTTTTGCATGCCAACTTTTCAATGTTCGCACCTTTGCTTCACTTTCACCTGCTGTTTACAGTTTTGATATTCCTCTAAGAGTTATCTTATTGATTATTAATTAGATTATCTGAGATAGACATGGTTTGACAGGTGATGATTGAAGGTGAAAAGGTGGAAATATGAGTGACCACAGGATTCGAACCAGCAGACTGTGGATTACAAGACCGGTGCCCTACTTACCGATCTACAACATTCAGCTGTTGACTCTATTAGAATTTGCTTTAATTACCTTATCACATAGCTAAACGAATTTCATAGGAAAGAAAATTAATAAACAATATACTACGAAATGATAAGAATAGTTGTATATGAGTTGAAACGATCAACAGTACTGATTAGTTGATCGAAGCCATGTTACTATTGGATGGCAGGTTTTGTAGTTTGATAATGGAGTTCATCTACAGCGATATGAAGTAAATGTGAATGTACTTTTTGTGTTTCAGTTTCAACTAGTCGTGTCAATTCAACATGGACTGTAAACTATGAAAGGAACCTATTTGATTTACTATAAGTTATACTGTATGTTTTTGTGAAGTGATTACTTCATTTTCTCTAAGGAAATAATTTAATTTGTGTTCTCTAAGCTGAGCTATATAATCGTGGAGATTGTATCGTCTTTCTAGACAGTGACATCATGAATTCAATTTTGACAAAGTAGGAATTTTAGCTAGAGGAAACAGTGAAATCCTAGAAGCTTACTTACTTAATCTCTAATCGAAAAAAGAACGACTACCCATGAAACTTTATCAGAAGATGACTATTCCGTACATCATCAACTAAAAAGTCATCAACAGAAATCAACAAAACGCATCGTTCTACTATACATAAAGGATATATCAGAAATCATGACAAGATTACTGAGACCACTTCGTGGAATTGATGTGACCCCTCATTAACGAACAAATTCCCTCCAAACTCTGTTATGCAAACCAAAGGATGTAACAATCAAAGAAGACAAACCCAATATCATATCAACTGTAATAATTTGTAGTGAATACTACATTGAACAAAGTGGTCACCCTCTTCGCCTTCGTCTACATGAACACCAATTGACTATTAAACGTAACATACGACATTTCATCACTCATTTCAATCCACGGGGATAACAACTATGCACATGAATTGAATTTCAACAGTGCACAGAGCTTGGACACTGGAAACACAAAGAATATGAGAGAATTCCTAGAAGCTTGGCATTCAGGTCACTCACTCACTCAGTCAGTTAGTCAGCAATGAATAGATGTATAGACATAGACCCCATCTATTAATCAATAAGAAAAATGATAAACGACAGAAAGTTGAGAGGTGAAGAAGAGGAACAGCCAGCCAACAGGAAATTCTATACAGTCTGTCAATGACACAACAATCGAAGGAAACAACCAATCACAAAGCAGTTTGTGAGGGCAAGGTACCAAATCACTGACAGCTCACTTCATAGTGAAGTTAGTGCTGATGATGTCGGTGTCTCATGAGAGGATGAAAGCTTCACGATTAAACAATCCAGCTCAGAGAACACAATAGAACCAAAGCCATCCACTTGAACTACGAATATTCTCCACTATTTCAACATCAAAAGCAGATACTCGTAGAAAGTATAATTATCACGTTTTCCAATATGTCACATCATCCGTAATGGCGGGTGGTGAGATACTCGACTATTTATCAAAAGATAAGTATGCTTTCATGATGTACGTTATGTCATGTTATACGACTGTGAGACATGCCTGTTAAAAGTAGGAGACTTGAAGCTATTTCAGGATTTTGATGATAGGTGGTCTTCATTTTATTGCTGAAGTATTTTGCAGTCACCGTATGAACAATGTTGAGGTCAGGAGAAAGACTCTAGGCGATAAAGGTAAGTCAGTTGATGCGGTTGTGAACTTTCATCGACTGAGTTGGCTTCGAGATGTACGGTGTATGTCAAAACCTTGATTACCTCGACGTGACATATTCGGATAGGTTGAATTAGGTTGTGAGTGTGTCCAGGGTGACCAGACAAACACCTGGCACTAGTCTATGAAGTCTCTTACTGTTGATCTGAGCCATGTGGAGAGATTACGGTTAGTATAACAAAACAAACCAGTGGTTGAGGTATCTATATGATATGTCTTGGAATCAATGTGAGCGGTTCAAATGTAGCCAAACGTAATCTCAGTGTTCTCTGATTCTTCCTTACTCTCTTTCTATGACATTCGACCAATTTTGACTTCTTTTTTTTCCTATGTCTTTCATCTTGCTGTGTTCATGCTCGGTGTATTGATATGCTGTTTGACTACTTTGACCGTTATGCAGTAATGCCAAGCCCCATACTGAAATTGTATGTCTATCTATCTGGATAATTTTAACCTACAGCTATTTGCATGCTAACATTTCAGTAGTGCAAGTATCAATGATGATAACGCTTTAATTTCTTCCCTTAATTCTTCATTAATGTAATAAGTTTAATCTGAAAAATAAATCTACCTTTATTTGAATATTTAGATCTGACCCAACTATGCTAAGTACACCTCAGCCTCGTTTACAACAAGGATTCTTCACAATTAGTCCAGCTAGTGGATTAATTCCTCCAGGAAATGCACAAATTATCACAGTTGACTGTGTAGCTAAAACACAGGAACTTTGTGAAGAAGTAAGTTGTCATTAATAAATGTTAATTGAATATTTATTCAGTAATTTTTTTTAGCTATTGGGTATTTCGATCTCGATACTTGCTCATTCAATGATACAAATTTTTCAAGTTGTTATTCATCGAAGACTGACATCAGTTGGAGGAACAAAGGAAACCTGGGAGCAATGGACAGCCAACTGTTTAGTCCTAGTATGGGACTCCTCAGATGTGCGCACCCACCCGGTGGAGTCAAAGCCTGATGGCCGTGAGGACAAATACTCAACGATGACATTGGGTGGCGGTTTGCGCTATATCGTGAGCTAACAGAAGTTGGAAATATGGAGCATTGGATTCTGATCCAGTGGCTCAATGGTAACGCGCTGGTCGCGGGTTCGATCCCTGCTGGTGGGGTCGTGGATGCGCACTGCTGAGGAGTCCCATACTAGGACTAAACAGTTGGCTGTCCAGTGCTCCCAGGTTTCCTTTGTTCCTCCAACTGATGTCAGTCTTCGATGAATAACAACTTACAAATTTTATTGTTACTGTTCAGTTACTAGTTAGTGTCTTTCACAAAAGGATATGTGTAAAACTTTTGCTTGTAAATACTATTTCCAAATTGTTGTCTATCATGTTCAAAGTATTGAAAGGCTTTTATAAACCGTTTTTTTAACCATAAAGTGACGTTTACTGAAGAGAGTCTTCTTTTCAGGAATTTGAAACAATTAGTCCCTTTAATAAATTTCGATAACGCTATTAGAAGACGAAAATCTAATCACCAATGCCACACTCTATAGAAGGTATGTGGATGATATCTATGTAATATGTGACACAGATGTAGATGCTAAGAGGTTGTTAAAAAGGCGTAATGCCGTACAAGATCATATCAGTCTGACATGTGAGGAAGAAAAAGACCATCAACTTGCATTTCTTGATATACTCTTGTGCCGGAGGGAAGACGGATCTATAAGACGATCAATATATGGGAAGCCTACTTGGACAGGACAGTATTTGAATTTCAACACTTTTTGTCCGATGAAATATAAGAGAGGCTTGGTAAGATGCTTGTTCAATAGAATCCAACGTATTTGTACATCTGATACGATGGATGATGAGAATAAGTTTCTGACAGACACTGTAGTGGAAAACGGTTATCCATTACAGTTTGTCAGCCATTGTAAAAGACAGCTGGCCCCAAAGCCTATAGTTTCCTGGGTCCTGAAGAAAAGCATATTTCTTAAAGTACCATACAGAGGGGAAACAAGTAGTATGATATTGAAGCAGAGATTAAAATCTGTTATCAGTAAAACATACTATGCAGCTCAGCTTATCATTGTTGAGACGACAAAACACCTGCTTCACCACAAACCTCAACCTCACACAAATGATTACATCACATCCCACTGAGTTTACCAATTTACATGTATGTGTGGGCACGCATACATAAGGAGGACTAATCGTTCAATGCAGACTAGGGTGGGTGAACACATCCCCAAATGGCTAGAAAAACAGTTTAACACACAAACTTTGATAAGTGCAAGTGACAGAAATCCATCGTCATCTATAGCAAAACATATTATTGAAATGAATCACAGGGTTAATACAAAAACAGCGTTTAAGATATTATACAGGAATAATCAGGGGCGCATACTGAAGTTTGCCGAAGCGTTAGCCATTCGTAAACTTAATCCCCCGCTGTGTGTACAAAAACAATTTCTTGTTTCACTTAATTTACCTAGGTAATCCTTATCTGATTATATTACCAAGACTAGTGTCATAACCTTTTCATTTTCGATATATTTGACCTTTAATTTTCATATATAAATTGACTTGTTCGAAATGTATTGCGCGAATACATCACATTTTTCAGATAATCTTCGTCTTCTAATAGCGTTATCGAAGTTTACTGAAGGGTTAATGATATATGAAACCATTTCTGTTGGTGTTTATAGGACTTTTGGGATGATCTTTACAATGAGTTAATTAATGATGGAGAATACCGCAACCATATATGAAAACCCAACTACAGTAAATGATCTAAAGCTTGTAGACGTTCATAATGGCAGCGAAAATCTGGACAAATAACTAAGTTTAAGAAATAAACTCACCTAGTGACTCAAAGTCAGACATATTTGCAAATAAACTTCTCCAGCACTTCACCTCATTTGACTCCGTTTCATAGAAGACAATTAAAAGTCAACATACCTCCTTGATAATGCTGTATGCTTCAATGTAAATTCCATATTCAAAACTCCATCACCATTGGGTAATAGTCCTTCAAATGTTTATTTCTTTGTACGACAACAACAACAACTAATTCTGATGGATTACATCTGTATTGTTGAGTAAGGTCACACTACGAGGGGGGAAATATGAGGACTTATATACTCAAGTGGATTATATGGTTATGCTAACACTTGCTGTTACCTGAAATCGATGAAGTGAGTTTTAGATGGTCAACAATACTATAAACACGTTAACTGATGTCAGAATAAACGTTTATTTGATGAAACACGGAAATATACCACCAGGTTAACTATCTAGATCACATGTAACGCAAACGTCAAATATTGTACGATTTTAGTATCACTTAATTGTGAAAAAAGAATGGTGAGTGGAGACAACCGAAACTCATCAACAATCTGTATGTACTGTGAAGTGATATTTTTCTGTTCTTTTTATAACCTGCAGTCACTTTTGATATCATGATAAATCCTGATGTGACACCTTCTGTATCATTCAGGATAGCTCAACTACTGGAGATTTGTTGACTATTATCAGTTTGATAATGCCTGTAAACTGGCTTCTTTCATGGTAAACCCTTAATTTGAGAATAAAATATTTATTTATTTATTAAGTTAATCATAATCACCAACGTTTATTATTATTATTAGTCCCTTGGGTTCCTAGTGGAACATAGGGCTTCAGTAGCACGTCTCCAGTGACCTCTGTTCTCTAAGATCTTTTCAACCTGGTTCCACGACAGCCCACAAGCTCTCATTTCCTCCTCGCACGATCTCCTCCATGTCACCCTCGGATGTCCAACTCGTCGCTTCCCATGGGGATTCCACTCGAGCAGCTGGCCTGACGCGTGATGTCCTCAGTCGGCCTTCTCAGTGTATGCCCAATATAATCCATCTCCACTTCCTTCCAGTGTATATTTGTTGGGTGATGGGTTCTTGGTTGGTTCGTTCCCAGAGCTCCTTGTTGCTTATTATTTCTGGACATCTGATCTTCAGTAGCAAGCGTAAGCAGTTGTTGATGAATGTCTGTAGTTTATTGGAAATGCCTTTCGTAACGCCCCGCCAAGTCTCTCAACCATTACACAGAAGCACTGACTTGACGTTGGTGTTGAAAATCCGGATCTTGTTCCACATGCTGAGTGGAGTGCAGAATATCTCCACACTGGTTTCAGGCTAATGAATGCCTGTCTTACTGTCTTTCCGATTCTGACTTTGACATCTTCGTCTGTCCCTCCCAGCAATGTTTAAGTGTCCACGTTACTACACCTATTGAGATCAGCTTTTTACTATATAACTTAGTCTGTAAACACTGATTCCTTATGTCTTGAGAATTGTTAAACAAGAAGTACAGATTTTCATATAATATCAGTGATGACTTCCTGATCATGAAATGATGATGATAAAATACACTTCAAACCATAACACAACTGTTATCATATGCTTATTAATTTTTTGTTTCTTAATGGATACTTTTTTTGAACTTATCGATTCTCTAAGAATCATGGAGGTGAACAGTTACATTTAATGTAATATAAGAAAATACGATTTCATCCTTTAGATGATGAAGAATATTTTTATAGCTCAGAAGGAGAATTTTGATAGTGTTGTATTTTCTAAGTTGGATAGTTTATTCATGAAACCTTTATCATTCATCTAGACTACATTATCAGTGTAAGCATCAGAATATAATTTTATTAACAAATGAATTGGTAGCTTGTCCTGATGATATTCGATGTGATTGGTTGTTTCCATTAAAATCTTATGATTGTCTACATATATGTTTCAAGTTGTTATTCATCAAAGACTGACATCAGTTGGAAGAGGTGTGGGGTCGTGGGTGCGCACTGCTGAGTAGTCTCATACTAGGCCGAAACAACTGTCCAGTGCTCCCAGGTTTCCTTTGTTCCTCCAACTGATGTCAGTCTACGATGAATAACAACTTGAAATATTTCCAAATCTCCACAACCCCCTCAAAATATATGTTTCAGTTGGTTTTCCTATTGACTAGATCTTTAACCTCCTTCTTATTGTTTCTCTATTGATGACTGAGTGATTTAAGTGACAAATTCCTAAAAATTTATCAGATATATTTTATATTTCTATTTTCAAAGATTTTCACAGTTAAATTTATGTTCATGATTGTCTATATTTATTAATAAATAGGTTGACTAGTCTGTTGAACATAGTTCTGTGTTGAAAGATTACTCAATTCATTCTGATGATAAATTTGTATTTACTTTCCATTGATATTATGTCTTTTTTAATGAGTTTTTGTTGTTGTTGTTGTTGTTGTTGTTGTTGTTATTGTAATTACATTTCAGAAATTAACAATTGAAATTACTGATCGTGATATGATTCTATATCCTTATGGAATACCATATCAACTTATAGCTGAAGGTCATCTACCATCAATTGAAACAAATAATTATTCAATTATATTTGAAGAGCATCATGTTTGTAAAAATTTAAGTATTTTAGAATTACCTGATTTATCAAATAAGGTAAATTATATTTCTAGTTATGGTGAATTTTTTTATTTTCCATTATTAGTAGTATAGTCTATGTATTTTGTTGATGAATCTAACAGATAGTAAGGCAGCCTTATATAAATGTATTGGTATAAATTCATGTCTTGTGCATTTTATCTACAGATGAAAACTAACAAGTTGGCAGATTAGGTGTGGCAGCGAACATGAAACTTCCTTCAGGTGAACGTAGAGAAGATACACGTGATGAAGATATCCAACTAACAACAACAAACAACAATCCTCATCAATAAGAGAAATCTAAAGGAAGTTGTCTCTTTTAACTACAGGTGGTGGCGGCGGCACATATGAGGATGTCAGAGCCATGATTGGAAAGACAACAAGACAGGCCTTCACTATTCTAAAATCAGAGTGGAGATCTACTCTACTCCATTCAGCATTAAGCGTGAACAACAACGGGATTCTCAACGCTAATGTCAATCAAGTCAGTGTTTCTATGTGGTTGTTCACAGTCTAACCACGTTACGAAAAGCATTTCCAACAAACTACAGGTACACATCAACAGCTGCCGCTTACGCTCACTCTATCACTCGCTCGCTTGACGCTGAAGATCAGATCAGGTGAGATGGCCAGCAAGAATAAGAATAAGAAAGAAAGAACTCACTCTGACTGGTTGCCAATGAACCAACCACTCAAGAACCTATCGCCCAATATATATGTAAACGAAGAAATTGGAGATGAGTTGAATTGAATTGGGCATACACTGAAGACGCTGTTTGGGGATATCACGCGTCAGGCCAGGCCAGGCTGTTGAGTGGAAGGCAAATGAGAAACGATAAGTTGTGCATGTCAGGGTGACATGTAAGAGATGGTGTGTGATGAAGAAATGAAAGTTTATGGGCAGTGGTTGATCCAGGTTGTAAAGACTGAAAAGAAGAGAGTGAAATGGCGACGTACTACTGAAGCTGTACGTTTCACTAGGAGCCCAAGGGATCTGAATCTCTTCCGCTTATATAGTTGTATGATTTCTAGGAAAATGATTTTGAGTTTTATTGTTTGTGAATAGTTAAGAGTGTTTATGTGAAAGGTATGTTGAAAAGAGTACAGAACAGTAAATTTAAGATACCAAGGTTGTATTCTTGGGGACACTAGGATAGCTGTTTTGTCTTAGTTCGAGACTCTTCAACAGTACTCACTAACGATCTTCAAGTTTCATAGCGAGCAGTTTACTATTCATTCAATTAGTCAAAATCCAATGGTCCGTGTTTTTCTACTTCTGACAATTTGCGATCTTCTTCTAATGCCACTGAAGACTGTTTGTCATCACACTTGATTTATTTGACCTTACAGGTCATGGCTTCAAGATATCCATCTTGAACAATAATAACAATAAGCACTAGGCAGTAATGTTTAGTTTGGCTGAATTGTTAACGCTTTCTTTGCAAGACCTCAAGATGTCAGTTTCAATCCTTAGGGAAGTCGTCGTTTCGTACTGCTGAGGAATCTCATACTGAGACGAAACACCTGACCAGTCCTCCTAGATTTTTTAATATTTCCTCAACTGATATTAATCCATGATTAGATATAAATAAAATCGCTACAAACTATAAACTTAAACTGAAAATTAATTATCATGATAACTGTTTCGATTCTGTAGATTTCATCAGGTGGTATATATGGAATTGAAGAGAATCGTTTTGTCTATAGAAATGTATTAGTTGGTTCACGTGTTAGTTCACGTTTTCGAATAGCTAATCAAAGTAATGTACCCGCTGATGTATCTTTTGAAATCACATCTACAAATACATCCACAAATATTAATCAACCAAGTGGACGTTCAAGTAGTCAAAATAGTCAAACAACTAGTTGTGATTCATTTGAAGTTGTACCGGAGAAAATTCAAATTGAACCACATTCATCAATTTATGCAAATGTAACATTTGCTCCAATGGCTATGCAAGTAAGTAATTTTATCATAATTAGGTGATTTTTTAAATATTATTTCTGTTGGTTGAAACTCTTAGATAACCAGTAATTGGCTACTTTTGTTGCCTAATACTTTATAGCTTACAGACCTAAGTAATATTTACTTTCCAGTTTAGTTTGAATGCTAGAAACGTCATACAACGAAATAGTATTATTTACTCAATGACATTTTGGATAATACTTATTTCAACATGGTTTATATGGTTCAAGTTAATTCCCCTTTCCTCTTTGTGGAATGAATTTAAAGGCTACCCTAACCGTAACATTTGAAATAACCAATTAAACGTTTGCATATTGTGAAAATCTTCCTTTTCAGCCTAAATTAAGGGACCTGATTGTCTATTTCGATCGTTTTAAAGTCAACCGTGAAATGATGGAGAATATTTGTTGCTCAGGTGGATGGTCTTGGTTGTATTGTGTTCTCTGAGCTGGGCTGTATAATCGTGAAGCTTTCATCGCCTTGCTAGACAACATCATCAGCACTAACTTCACTATGAAGTGGGCTGTCAGTATCTTTCCATGAGTGATTTAGTAGCTTGCTCTGACGATGTGGTCTGTGACTGGTTGTTTCCTTCGCTTATTGTGTCATTGATTGTATAGAATTTCCTGTTGACTGGCTGTTCCTCTGCTCGACCTCTCACCTTTCTGTCGTTTATCATTTTTCTTATTGGTTGGTAGATTGGGTCTATGTCTATACATTTATTAATTGCTGACTGACCTGAATACCAAGCTTCTAGGAATTCTCTGACATTCTTTGTGTTTCCTCTCTCCGTCCAAAATTTATACATTCTCAAAATTGAATTCATGTGCATAGTTATTATCCACCTGCATCGAAATGAGTGATGGAATGTCATGTGTATGTAACATTGACTAGCCGATTGGTGTTCATGTAAATGACGAAGGCGAAGACAGTGGCCACTTTGTCTAATGTAGTGCTGACTACAGTTATTGCAGATCAAAAATATTAACATAGAAAACGATGAATTAATGACATCCTTCGATGTTACAGCACTATACACATCCATCGAACCTTAATTGGCCAAGGAAACGATATCCCTTCTGATCAATGTTGACAAAAACCTTTCAGAACGCACAAAACTCAAATGTTCAAGTCTGATGGAACTCATCGACCTTTGCATGACAACATACTTCCAATTCAATGACAAGATATACAAACAGATGAAAGGAACTCCAATGGGATCACCAATATCCGGATTAATAGCAGAAGTAGTCATGCAGAGACTGGAAGCCATTATTCTACCTGTGATCAAACCAAAAATTTGGATTCGTTATGTAGACGACACTTTTGTCATCATTAAAAAGGATGATATAGAAAACACTCACAGTTTGATCAACAAGGTTTTCAATGACATCGAATTCACAATGGAGAAAGAGTCAAACAACCAACTACCATTCCTGGATGTTTTAGTCAGTAGGACAAATGCCGGAAAGCTGGAAACTCAAGTGTACAGAGAGCCAACACACACTGACTAAATCCTCAACTACAATAGCAACAACCTAACAACACACAAAATTAGTTGAGTGCAGACTCTATTCAAAAGAGAGCGAGAACACACTGCAGCACAACAACTTCATGGAGAAACGAAGAAAATTACCTGGTGTCCACCCTAAAGAAGAGCGACTACTCACGAAACTTTATCAGAAGATGCCTGCCTATCCCGTGCATCACCAACTACAAAGTCATCGACAGAAATCAACAAACGCATCGTCCTTCCATACATAAAGAATATATCAGAAATCACAACAAGATTGCTAAGACCGCTTGGAGTTGGTGTAGCTGGCTCATAAACCAACAAATTCCCTCCAAACACTATTATGCAGACCAAAGGATGCAACAATCAAAGAAGACAAATAGAATATCATTTACGAAATCAACTGGAATAACTGTAGTCAACACCACATTTGACAGAGTGGTCAGCATCTTCACCTTCGTCATTTACATGAACACCAATCGGCTAGTCAATGTTACATACACATGACATTCCATCACTCATTTCGATGCAGGTGGATAATAACTATGCACATGAATTCAATTTTGAGAATGTATAAATTTTGGACGGAGAGAGGAAACACAAAGAATGTCAGAGAATTCCTAGAAGCTTGGTATTCAGGTCAGTCAGCAATTAATAAATGTATAGACATAGACCCAATCTACCAACCAATAAGAAAAATGATAAACGACAGAAAGGTGAGAGGTCGAGCAGAGGAACAGCCAGTCAACAGGAAATTCTATACAATCAATGACACAATAAGCGAAGGAAACAACCAGTCACAGACCACATCGTCAGAGCAAGCTACTAAATCACTCATGGAAAGATATTGACAGCCCACTTCATAGTGAAGTTAGTGCTGATGATGTTGTCTAGCAAGGCGATGAAAGCTTTACGATTATACAGCCCAGCTCAGAGTACACAATACAACGAATAAAGTCAACCCTCTTTGTGACATATGTGACAAATTTTTCGGTATATCTAAACAAAGGCAGCCTCGTTTTGCATCGTATAGCGTGAATGTCTTTAACGGGACATCCTCGCAACTTCTGAAATAACCAATCACCATTCTTTATTGTATAGTAAACTAAAATTGTAGACGAAATACCGAAAACTAATTTATTATTCCACTAGTTGCTAAAGTCACTCCGGATGTATTTGAAATGACTTTAAAAACCACGTAAGCAACTACTTAAATGACCAGCCAGAATTCAAAATTTCGGCTGAGAATGTGGTAGTTTTCCGTACAACAGAGAAACGTAGTCGATTATCCCAGTAGTTGTTGAGGTATTCAGCATTGATTTGGTAGACAAAGAATAAGTTGGCAATCTGTCCCTCCGACTAACCATGTAATTGAAAGGCTAATGTTCTTTCCAATCACTTTGGTGTGACTTTAAAGACCACCCTAACCACAAAATAAACAACCAATTAGATTTCTATGTTTCCGCCAGAAAGGTGAACTGACACAAAATAAAAAAAGTCGAAATGGTTACTTCAGTGGTTGATAAGATGGCCCTTGGAGTAACTTTCACTTTGTATGATTGCGCTTGCTGTCATCCATTAGTGACCATGGAGGCTACTTGAAAAATAACTGACATGACCAATCAGGTGTCTAGGTTTTATGAAAATCTACCTTTCCAGCTGAAACAAGGAAACGTATTTAGGTATTTCAGTTGTTGCTAGGGTGACTTTTAAAAGTTTAGCCTCAACAGCCACAGTCAAGCTTTTCTGTAGATGCATTATTGATCAATCTTTATGTTTAATTATTTGACCCTTGGGTTCCTGGTGGAACATAGAGCTTTGATAGTACGTCGCCATTTCACTCTCTTCTCTGTAGTCCTTCAGATCGCAATCCACCACTGCCTAGAAGCCTTCATTTCTTCCTCACACGATCTCCCCCAGTCATCATCCGACGCCCAACTCGTAGTTTCCCATTTGGCTACCACTCGACAGCCTGACCTGGACTGGCGCTTGATGTCCACAAACTATCTTCTCAGTGTATGTCCAACCCATCTCCACTTTCTTCTTCTGCATATTTGTTGGGCGATAGCTTCTCGGTTGGTTGGTTCGTTGCCAGCCAGTTAGTCAGAATGAGTTCCTTCTTGCTTATTCATATTGTTCTGGCCATCCTATTTGATCTTCAGTATTGAGCGAGCGAGTGAGCGTAGGCGGCAGCTGTTGATCATGTATTGGTGCAGTTCGTTGGAAATAATTTTCGAAAAACGTCAAGTCTCTCAACCATCTCATAGAAGCACAGACTTCATTGACATTAGTGTTAAGAATCCAGATCTTGTCCACTCTTTATGCTGAGTGTAATGTAGTGTAATGTAGTGGAGTGGACTAGATCTCCATACCGATTTCGGGTTAATTAAGGCCTGTCTTGCTTGCTTTTCCGATACTGGCTTTCACATCGTCATGTGTGCTGCCACCTGTAGCTGAGGCGATGCTGTCTAGGTAGGTAGGTAGGTAGTTGGAAGAGACAACTTCCTTTACATTCCTCCTGCTCATGGTGTCGTTTTTGTTGTTGTTGGTTGAATATCTTCATCACATGTGTCTTCTGTACGTTCACTTGAAGGATGTCGCATCTTCGCTGCCTCGTCTCCTTCGCCAACTTTTTAGTTTTCGTCTGTAGATCTTCGAGGCTGTGAGATCGTTCAATCTTACTTTAGCCTGACATTTGTGTTCAGATCGCATAGCTGACCCTAGTCTGATGGGACAGCCCAACAGCTCTGAACACTAACTTGGGTGGAATGAGAAGATGATGACAGAATCTTTGTTGATGGATCAACACAAATACTTGCCTAGGAAAGTCATTATTTTTTTAATTTATTAGTCCCTTGGGTTCCTAGTGGAACATAGGGCTTCAGTAGCACGCCTCCAGTGACCTCTGTTCTCTGAGATCTTTTCAACCTGGTCCCACGACAGCCGACAAACTCTCATTTCCTCCTCGCACGACCTCCTCCATGTCACCCTCGGACGTCCAACTCGTCGCTTCCCATGGGGATTCCACTCGAGCAGCTGGCCTGACGCGTGATGTCCTCAGTCGGCCTTCTCAGTGCATGGCCAATCCATCTCCACTTCTTCCTGCATATTTGTTGCGTGATAGGTTCTTGTTTGGTTCGTTGGCAGCCACAGTTCCTTGTTGCTTATTATTTCTGGCAATCCATCTGATCTTCAGTAGCGAGCGTAAGCAGTTGTTGATGAATGTCTGTAGTTTATTGGAAATGCCTTTCGTAACGCGCCAAGTCTCTCAACCATACAGAAGCACTGACTTGACGTTGGTGTTGAAAATCCGGATCTTGTTCCACATGCTGAGTGGAGTGCAGAATATCTCCACACTGGTTTCAGGCTAATGAACGCCTGTCTTGCTTTTTCCGATTCTGACTTTGACGTCCTCGTCCGTCCCGTCTGTAGTTGAAACAGTGCTTCCTAGATAAGTGAAGGAGGTTACTTCCTTTAAGTTTCTCCCGTTGATGGTGATTGGAGTTTGTTGTTGTTGTTGATGGTGGTGGGTGCGGTATCTTCATCACTTCTGTCTTCTCTATATTTACCTGAAGTCCCGTCTTAGCTGCCTCTTCTGTCAACTTGTTAGTTTTTGCCTGCAGATCTTCAAGTTTATGTGACATTAGGCACAAGTCATCGGTGAAATCCAAGTCTTCTAGGTTCTTTTCCGCCGTCCAGCCATTGTATCCCCCTCTTCTCAGCTCCCCACTGTTGTCTGCTGCATGATCCAGTCCAGTCGACCACAATCAGGAATATCATGGGGGATAGTAGACAACCTTGTTTCACTCCGGTCTTCACTTCAAAAGCATCACTGAGCTTCCCATTGTGAATTACTTGGCATGTGGCATCTTCATATAGTTGTTGAATGAGGCTGATGAAGGTTTGCGGCACTCCGTAGTAATGAAGCAGTTTCCAAATTACCTCTCGGTCGACGCTGTCAAAGGCTTTCTCAAAGTCGATGAAGTTGAGGTAGAGAGTTGACTGCCATTCGTTGCTCTGTTCTATGATGATGCGAAGCGTTGCAATTTGGTCTGCACATGATTTGTACTTCCTGAAGACAGCCTGCCTGTTGCGGTCGCAGTTTTGAATCCAGTGCATCTTTAAGCCTCCCCAGGATGATGCGGCTTAATATTTTGCTTGGGGTGGACAGGAGAGTGATTCCGCGCCAGTTCTTGCAAGCACTGAGGTCTCCTTTCTTCGGCAGTTTGACAAGGTAACCCTTCTTCCAATCGTCAGGTACCTTCTCTTCCTTCCACACCTTCTGCAATAGTGGTGTAGTGTGAGCATGTCCGCTGTTGTCTCTGCATCTGTTCTCAGTGCTTCTGGCGGGATCCCATCTGGTCCTGCTGCTCTCCCGCATTTCAGTAGCTTTATGGCGTTCAGGACTTCCATTTTCGTTGGGGGATTTATGTTCACTTGTAGTTCAGCGGCTGCAGGTGGTATTTCTGGACGAAGTGCGGGTGGTGGTCGATTCAAGAGCTTCTTGAAGTGGTCGGCCCATTGTTTCCTTTGTTTCTCTTCTTTCGTAATTAAATTTCCTTCTTCACCTTTTATTGGTTTCATCTGTGTTGATCTCTTCCCTGATAACAACCTTGTTATTTGATACAATGTTGTCAGGTCTCTCTTACCTGCAGCCTGTTCTGCTTCACTTGCCAGTGTTTCGTAGAAGTGTCTTTTGTCTTTGCGTGCACTCTTCTTCACTTCTTTGTCCAGTTCAGTGTTTTATACATTGTGCTCAGTTCCTCTTGTCGTTGAGCATCCTTGCACTGGTTTATCTTCTGCTTCACCATCCTCCTCTCCCTGCCCTGTCAGCTTCCAGGTATCCGTCGAGATCCATTCCTTGTCTTCTTTCTTCTTCCTTCCTAATACTGTTGTGCAGGTTTCTTTCCACATAGCTTTCAAAGACTTCCAGTGTTCTCCCACAAAGGTTTCTTCAGGGATGTTGCTCGATGTCTCCCATTTTGTCTTGATGGCTGCTGTGAAGATCTCCTTTGTAGTTTCATCCTTCAGTTTCCGAGTGTTGTACTTGGGTTGAGGTCTATCACCAGCTTCCTTGAAGGCTTTTAACTTGATTTGGAAGGTTCCTTGCACTAGATAGTGAGAGGTGTGAACCTACATCTGCTCCTCTTCTTGACCTTGTGTTAAGTAGACTGCGTCTCCATTTTCTTGAGATTGAGATAAAGTCGATTTGATTTTTAGTGTGTCCTGGTGTCTGGTGAAATCAAATCCATGTCGCTTTGTGGATATCTTTGTGCCTGAACACACTGCCTCCAATCACCAAATCGTTGAATGCGCAGAATTCTGCAAACAATTCTCCATTCTCATTCATTTCACCTAGCGCCTCTCGACCCATGGTTAGTTCTCTTCCCGTGTTGTCCCCTCCCAGTTTGGCATTCATGTCGCCCATTAGAATTTTGATATCGCCAACTGAGGTGGGGTCTTGTCCAGTGTTGATTGAAGTTGTCTGTAGAATTCCTCCTTTTTCTCTTGCTCTGCATTATTTGTAGGTGCATAACATTGTATGATTGTGACCTTTCTTCCTTTTGAGTTGAATCTTGCTGTCATGATCCTGGAGGAGATTGGTTCCCACTGCATGAGAGCCTTCGATGCTATTGAGGACATCATGATAGCCACTCCATAACTCAGTGTGCTCGTGGTTGTCGTCTGGGTGGTAATACTGGAGTAGATTATTGATTCTCCAGTTGACAGTTTGGAGAGTCCACTCCCATTCCATCTGCTTTCGCAAATCCCAAGCACTTCGATGTGATACCTTCTCATCTCCTTTGCAATCTGGGCTGCCTTACTGGGTTCAAACATCGTACGGACATTCCATGTCCCCACGTTTACTTTCGCTTTCATCGAGGGAGAGAGGACACATCGGCCAATTGGCTTCCCGAAGGCTTTCACCAACTGGCGTCATTTCGCCTCTCCGATTCCAGCGGGGAATAAGTTTGTTTTCATTTTTTATATTTTGTTTGTGCTTTGAAGTTTGTTTAGCGGTTAGATTTGTTTTACGGGGTAGGGTTGCTAGCCCTATGCCCAACCTTCCCTCTTTACCTGGGCTTAGGACCGGCTAGTAACTAGTAAACTGGTTAACTAGGCGACGTTAGGAAAGTCATACTGTTGTTCTATATGTGGAAATTTTTGTCATAAACATGGAGAAGGCATTGAAACCATATAAACCTTGTCTGAAGGTTTCTCAGTTTTATGAATTGAAAATGGTCTATAAATGGGCAACTTTAAAGACCACCATAGAAACGATCAAAATTACTCAAGAAATGAATGCTGGTTTGTTGTTTGAGGTATTCAATAAACAGACTAAAATAATGTCTAAGGCCATTCTCCATCTCCTCAAACAAAAGGAATTGGTAAATTTGATTAGTTATCATTTAACCAACTGAGATAGCCATGATTTAGCAGACTAGTATTATATACTGGGTGATGAATGAAGGTGAAATGAACATTTGGATTGAGATCAGATTCGAACCAGAGACCACCGCGTTTTCGGACCGATGCTCTACCAACTCAGGTACGAAGTCTGACTGTTGATCAGATTTTTATCTAACTTCAATCACCAAGGGTACAGCATTATGCCGGAAAGTCGGTGATTGCTGGTTCGTATCCGTCTGCGGTTCAAATTTTCATTTCACCTTCAATCACTGCTCAGTATGAATCGGATTATTTCAAAGTGGTTATCAAAATTTGTTAGAAAAAATCCATGAGTAGACGGAAAAAGGTAAAGTAGATTTATTAATATTATTTATCCCTCGGATTCCTAATGGAACATAGGGCTTCAGTAGCATGTTCCAGCACACTCTCTTCTCTGCAGACTTTTCAACCTGGTTCCATGACAGCCCACAAGCTCTCATTTCCTCCTCGCACACACCATCTCCTCCATGTCACCCTCACCTCAGACGCCCAACTCGTCGCTTCCCATCTGGGTTCCACTCGACTGCTGGCCTGGCATGTGATGTCCCCAGTCGGCCTTCTCAGTGTATGCCCAATCTAATCCATCTCCACTTCCTTCCAGTGTATATTTGTTGGACGATAGGTTCTTGGTTGGTTCGTTAGTAGGCCAGAGTTCCTGGTTGATTATTCTCTCTGGCCATCTGATCTGATCTTCAGTAACGAGCCAGCGTAGGTGGCAGTTGTTGATGAATGTCTGTAGTTTGTTGGAAATGCCTTTCGTAACGCTTCAAGTCTCTAAACCATTACACAGAAGCACTGACTTGACTGAATTGGTGTTGGAAATCCGCATCTTGTTCATGCTTTGTACTGAGTGCAGAATATCTCCACACTGGCCTCAGGCAAATCAACGCCTGTCTAGCTGTCTTTCCGATTCTGACTTTGGCATGCTCGCCTGTGCCTGTGCCACCTGTAGTTGAAACAGTGATGCCTGCATATGTGAATGAGGCTACTTCCTTTACGTTTCTCCCGTTGATGGTGATTAGAGGTTGTTGGTGGTAATGTTAGTTGGGTATCTTCATCACCTCTGTCTTCTCTACATTCACTTGAATAGTGTCACGTTTTCGCTGCCCTGCCTCTTCTACCAACTTAGTTTTCGCCTGTAGATCTTCAAGTTTATGTGACATCAGACACAAGTCATCGGTGAAATCCAAGTCTTCTAGGTTCTTTTCCGCAGTCCAGCTAGCGTATCCCCCTCTTCTCGCTCCTCACTGTTTGTCGCATGATCCAGTCTACTACAATCAGGATTATCATGGGTGATAGTAGGCGGCAGCCTTGTCTTACTCCTGTCTTCACTTCACTTCGAAGGCATCACTGAGCTTCTCACTGTGAATTACTTGGCATGTGGCGTCTTCATATAGTTGTTAAATTAATAGAAATTTCAAGCAACACCAAAAGACGAAGTCATAAACAGAGATGTGATAAGAGATCAGATGAAATATTAGAAGATTAGACATTAGAGATGGAAAAAAACTTCATAATTTTCCTTTTCTAATTGATTATAGCCTTTTATTGGATTCTTCCTCTTCATTTTAGATATATTCAGCAAGTTTTCATGTGTATTTGGATAATAAACCATCTGTGAATACAATTCTCAGTTCAGGTCGAGGAAGTGCTACTTCAAGTACTAAGCGTTCAACAAACACTCCAGTTCTCACATTTGAATTATATGGTGAAGGAAATCTACCTCGTATTGATATCATACAACCAAAACTTCGTAATCGTACAGGACAAACTATGTGTGTATTCAAGCGTATTCAGGTCGGTAGAACATCTAGTCAAACATTAACGTTATACAATAATGGAATATTAAATAGTCGGGTAGGTGAAAATTTTTAGTATAACATCCTTAAAATTCCCATTGTCAAAAGTATTAAGCATAAAATCCTTCGGAAGTTATTTGTAGTCCCTTATTATGTGATGCAATAGGATCAATGAAAAGATCCTAGAAGATTCGGATTTCACGATGATGGTTTATGTTTAATATCGCACACACTCGAAGATCTACAGGCACAACCTAACAAGTTGGCAGAAGAAGCTTGGGAGCGAAAGGAGATGAGATAACGTTCATGTGAACGTAGAGAAGACAGAAGATATCGAATAAAAACAACAAAAACCACCATGAACGGGGGAAATCTCAACTCACTTGTCACCTTCACCTACACACCTACCTTCGTGCCTAGCTACTCATCTACTTACTTCACTACCTACCTACCTACCTACCTACCTACCTACCTACCTACCTACCTACCTACCTACCTACCTACCTACCTACCTACCTACCTACCTACCTACCTACCTACCTACCTACCTACCTACCTACCTACCTACCTACCTACCTACCTACCTACCTACCTACCTACCTACCTACCTACCTACCTACCTACCTACCTACCTACCTACCTACCTACCTACCTACCTACCTACCTACCTACCTACCTACCTACCTACCTACCTACCTACCTACCTACCTACCTACCTACCTACCTACCTACCTACCTACCTACCTACCTACCTACCTACCTACCTACCTACCTACCTACCTACCTACCTACCTACCTACCTACCTACCTACCTACCTACCTACCTACCTACCTACCTACCTACCTACCTACCTACCTACCTACCTACCTACCTACCTACCTACCTACCTACCTACCTACCTACCTACCTACCTACCTACCTACCTACCTACCTACCTACCAGCCTACCTATGATCAATAGCAGCTGCCTACGCCCACTGGCTCACTCGCTTGCTCGATACTGATGATCAGATCAGATGGCTTGAAAGAATAAGAATAAATAAGAAGGAACTCACTCTGACTGGCTGGCAACGAACCAACCAACCAAGAACCTATCGCCCAACAAATATACCGAAGAAAAAAGTCGAGATGGATTGGATTGGACATAGAATGAGAAGATGGTTTTGGGAAACCACAAGCTAGACCAGGTCAGTTCAGACCGTCGAGTGGAAACCGAATGGGAAACGGCGAGTTGGACGTATGAGAGTGATATCAAGGATATGGTGTATGGTTAAAAAATGAAAGCTTGTGGGGAGTCGTGGATACAGGTTTGAAAGATTGCAGAGAAGAGAGTGAAATGGCTGTGTGCTACTGAAGAAGTATATCTCACTAGGAGTTCAAGTGACAAATAATAATATCAGACAGCGAAAAATTCCCTAGTCCTTGAATGAAGAGAACGTTGGAGTAGTTCAATTTAACTTTGTAAATTACTTTAAAGGATGAATCTCGAGGTATTGAGTGACCTAATTCAATAAGGTGTTCACATATAGATAAACTCGTTTTCTTTTGCTCGCTCCTGGTAAGCCAAACCGGATAGTGTTCAGCAACACGTTTTCGGAGGGCCGGCTTACAATGTCCAATATTATGCAACACGTTATAGCCTTCATTAATTGTTTGGATGTTTTCTGTTCCCATTATATTTATCATAACGAAGATTATTATTACAATTTCTCACCTAAATCTATCACTAAATTCCTAAGAAATTGAAAGAAAAATATTATTAGCAGCAGTAGTTATAGGGATGTTATTAATAATAATCATATTACTAATAGTTATTTTAGCGGTAGTTATAGTGACAGGGTTGAAAGAGAATTCAAACCCTCTAATGTGTTACCTCAGAAGCATTACAAAGAATTTTCAATAAGGTTAGGATTAAATAGCATTCAAACCAATAAACTTGCTTAGAAATAAGCTTTGTAGGTTAAAAGGTTCTACATCTAATTAAGCAAAATTATTCAGTTTATCAAATCTCTTACAATGACTGTCAGGTCAAATATATAGGTCCAATTAGTCAATCAGAGTCAATCAGAATAAGTGAGCATAAAAACTTAGCTATATCAAGATTAGTAGATCCTAATAAGATAAGGTATCTGGAGAAAAAAAAGCATGTGATTGCGAACAATCACACAATAGGGTAAGATGAAATGTTAGTGTAGTGGGCGATGCTGATCAGAATAGATGTAAGTAGTATCGGTTAAGAGGGCAGCAGAAACACAGAGTTAATGTAGGCGTTTTAAGCGCAAATCAAGATAAAAACAGAAGAGGAAATGAAGCGCATTGTGCAAATGACTGTCTTAGTAGGTGTACCACGTTTGATGACTACTATACACGATATCCATAATAAACATTCCCTCCTGTGTCTCAGCCTTTTCCTTTCCTACATTTGTTTTAAAGACTATTTTAGTTGGCTAAAAAAAGCAATTGATCACCGAGTGAATCCTCGTTTATCGAATCAACACAAAATATGTGCAGCAGGAAAGATTCTGCACCTGTCCCAGATAATATGGACTGACATCAGCTGGAAAATCAATGAAATCTAAGTATAAAATTCCCTAGAAGTGTAGATCCACGACCACGCCAGGAATCGAAGCCAACCTAGAACTTTCAGGTCACGTGGTGAATATGTTACCATTGAGCCACTATCGCGACTTTTATGCAATACCGTCGTTCGACTTGATTTGCCGCAATGGTCATAACTTCTCACTATAAAAAAATCCCTTTTTTGATTCTTCACAGAGTCATCAGTGTGCGCTACTGAGGGGCTCTATATCAGACGAAACAGCTGTCCAGTGCTTCCCAGTTTTCAATGATCCCTTGACTGTTGTTATTTAGTGATGACTGCTAATTTGAAATCAATCAATCCCCACATACCTCCATGTCGTATCATCACCACTTCATAACCTTTCGAAATTTATGTCTTAAGTCACTAGCTGTTGTAAACTCTACACAGACTATCAACTAAATAAAAGTCTGTTTCTATTAAAAATGACTTTTATTCAGATAATTTAATTATAATCATGATTATTTGTCCCTTGGGTTCTTGGTGGAACATAGGGCTGCAGTAGCACGTCTCCATTGTACTCTGTTCTCTGTAGTCGTTTCAACTTGGCTCCACGACTGTTCAGAAACTTTTATTTCTTCCTCACACCATCTCCTCCATGTCATCCTCGGATGCAAAACTCGTCGTTTCCCACACGGGTTACACTTGACAGCCTGACTCGTGATGTCCGGAAATCATCTCAGTATGTGCTTAATCCACTTTCTTCTTCGGCGTATTTGTTGGGTGACAGGTTCTTGGTTGGTTGGTTCGTTGCCAGATCAGAGTTACTCCTTGCTTATTCTTTCTAACTATCTGATCTTCAGTACTGAGCGTAGGCAGTTGTTGATGAATGTCTGTAGTTTGTTGGAAATGCTTTTCACCAAGTCTCTCAACCATCACACAGAAACACTGACTTGACTGAGATTTGTGTTGAGAATCAGGATGTTGTTCATGCTTTATGCTGGGTGGAGTGTAGTAGATCTCCACACTGATTTCAGGTTAATGAAGACCTGTCTTGCTGTCTTTCCAATCCTGTCTTTGACATCCTAGAAATACATGGCTGAAAACTAAATACCTTTCTTGTAGAAAAGTCGTTAAGAGTTAGAATGACGTATAGTAAAACACATGGCGCGGAATCACTCTCCTGTCCACCCCAAGCAAAATATTAAGCCGCATCATCCTGAAGAGGCTAAAGGATGCACTGGATTCAAAACTACGACCAGATTAAGCTGGCTGGCTGTCTTCAGGAAGTACAAATCATGTGCGGAACAAAATGGCAACGCTAGACTATGCATCATCATAGAACAGAGTAAAGAATGGCAGTCAACTATCTACCTCAACTTTATCCACTTTGAGAAGGCCTTTGACAGCGTCGACCGAGAGGTAATTTGGAAACTGCTTCAACACGACGGAATCCCGCAAACCTTCATCAGCCTCATTCAACAACTATATGAAGATGCCACATGCCAAGTAATTCACAATGGGAAGCTCAGTGATGCTTTTGAAGTGAAGACCGGAGTGAAACAAGGTTGTCTACTATCCCCCATGATATTCCTGATTGTGTTGTGGTCGACTGGATCATGCAGCAGACAACAGTGGGGAGCTGTGAGAAGAGGGGGATACACTGGCTGGACTGCGGAAAAGAACCTAGAAGACTTGGATTTCGCCGATGACTTGTGTCTGATGTCACACAAACTTGAAGATCTACAGGCAAAAACTAACAAGTTGACAGAACAGGCAGGGCAGCGAAGATGGGACTTCAGGTGAATATAGAGAAGACAGAGGTGATGAAGATACTCAACCAACAGCAACAACAAACTCCAATCACCATCAACGGGAGAAACGTAAAGGAAGTAGCCTCTTTCACCTATGTAGGCATCACTGTTTCAACTACAGGCAGCACAGCCACAGACGGGCATGTCAAAGTCACAATCGGAAAGACAGCTAGACAGGCGTTCATTAGCCTGAAACCAGTGTGGAGATCTTCTGCACTCAGCATGTGGAACAAGATACAGATTTTCAACACCAACGTCAAGTCAGTGCTTCTGTGTAATGGCTTAGAGACTTGAAGCGTTACGAAAGGCATTTCCGACAAATTACAGATATTCATCATTAACTGCCTACGCTGTCTCGTTACTGAAGATCAGATCAGAACAGATCAGATGGATTACCAGAAAGAATAAGCAACCAGAAACTCTGGCAAAGAACCAATTAAGAATCTATCGTCCAACAAATATGCACTGGAAGGAAGTGGAGATGGATTGAGCATACACTGAGAAGACCATTTGGGGACATCACATGCCAGGCCAGCACTCGAGTGGAACCCAGATGGGAAACGACGAGTTGGGCGTCCGAGGTGAGGGTGACATGGAGGAGATGGTGTGTGCGAGGAGGAAATGAGAGCTTGTGAGCTGTCGAGGAGCCAGGTTTAAAAGATTTCAGAGAACAGAGTGGAGTGGAGGCGTGCTACTGAAGCCCTATGTTCCATTAGGAACCCAAGGGACCAATGATAATATATATAATAATAATAATCGTAAAACACAAAGTTGCCGATTTGATATACTCAGAGAATTCAAGTGAGTGAAAAGAAGCATTGTGCATGATACTCATTAGGTCAACTGTACTAAACTACTTCTATTTTACCATTCAATTCTTTCGTAGGTTACCGACACTGTAGTGAATAACATCGAAAAGTTAGTATACATAAAGTGCTTACTAGGAAGAAGGATGTTTCCTTTGTAATCACATATATATTACTATCACTATTATTGTTATTAATTCCGGTACTAGAAGGATCATTATTCATTATTGACAAGTTAGCCTTAACATCACTATCATTTACTTCTTTTTACAGGTGAATATTGATCTAACTGATCCAGATGGTGTTTTCTCTTTGAAACCTCAACTAAATAATGATGCTCTACTGTTTTACAATCCAGTAAACACGTCAACCGAATCAAATGAAGCATATGAAGTATCAGATTCAGGTGAACTTTAAATTCACTGGGATTCTCTTTCATCAGTTATATTTTTATGTCAAGCATATCTATATTTTCTCTAGCTAATCAAACAATACGAATCTAGGTACTACTACAGTTTTTAAATGTTTTTTCAACGATTGATTCATAACCACAGGGATCCCTTTCTACGATTGATTATCAGTAATCAGGAATGTTCATCTGAAAAGGTGTTTTCTAAGATCTTTCAAACGACTGCTTTAGCAGACCTAGCTCTGTTAGTTTTGAATAGTAACTGAGTGAAGCTACGACCTAAGTCTTTGCAAGAACGGGCTACATTCAAAATTACAACCACAATAGGCTCACTAGCTTCAAGAAGAACAAATCATGTGCAGATCAAATTGCAACGCTACACTACACATCATCATAGAACAGAGCATGGAATGTCAGTCAACTGGACCATGACCTCGACTTCATCGACTTTGAGGAGGCCTTCGACAGCGTCAACTGAGAAGTAATTTGGCAGGCCACTGCTTCAACATTACGGTTTTAGTGCCATAAATCCTTATCATACTCATTCAACATCAGCTATATGCTATATGATACTACATGCCAAATGATTCACAATGGAAAGCTCAGTGATGCCTTTGAAGTGAAGACAGGAGTAAGACAAGGTTGGCGCCTACTATCATCGATGATCTTCTTGATTGTAGTCAACTCGACTGGACTGGATTATGCAAGAAACTGTGAGGAGCTGTGAGAAGATGGGCATACGCTGTTTGACCAATAAAATGACCCTAGAAGATTTGGATTTCGCCGATGATTATGATGACTTATGTCTAATGTCACACAAACTCAAAGATTTACAAGCGAAAACTAACAAGTTGGCAGAAGGGGCGAGGCAGCGAAGACGGGACTTCTTCCAGGTGAACGTAGAGAGAGAAGACAGATGTGATGAAGGTATCCATCAACAACAGCAATTAACGCCATATTTTTGTTCAATTAGGTTTTTGTCTTTTTAACTTGAATCAGTGTCGTCTTCACTCTCACAGTCTTAACTCAATAACCACTTACCATGGAAGCATCCTTAACAAAGTCTTCATAATGAAGCTAATCAATATATTCGAAATACTTCCGATCCACTATATTTGTAACTGACATCGTAGGCAAACAGATTTCTCCACGCAAAGAATAACAGAGTAGATACACTCTGGTTCCTTACAGATATTCAATTTCTTCATATATGGCAGGTCATGTATATTTACTGTTATCCTAATCGAATATTTGACCTAATTAGTTGGATCGGTTCTCTTTGTTCCGGTGTTTAAATATCAATAAATTGATACATTAGATCAACATTTGTAATAATATGAGAATATATTGATTTAATCAATCTTTTCTGGTGTTTGGTATGACAGATATCACCTGAACCTTATTTTATGTAAAGAGATTTATCGTGCGAAGTAATTAACGCGATAATGCAAAGTAACCCTACATCATGGACTCCATCCATTCATCCAAGTCAACATAGGACCAGATATTACTGCGTAATGGTCCAAGTTGACACACCTCAATCATATCACCACATGAAGTAAAAAGGCAGTGAAGTGGAAGGTGAAGAAATGAAAATCTACTCAAAAGAAATATAAAGTACTAAATGAGAGAAAGGAGGAATGCAAGAATGTTGAGATTCGATATAGCATAGTTAAGATGAGGATAATGTATGTGTACTTCTGCTCCACTCACATCGTTTCTGAGCCATATGATCACCTAGAGTCAGTCTCCAACCTCTGGTTTCTCTTGTCCCTCAGACCCCAATCACCTGGCCTGAGCCACCGCACATGGCTCAAACCAACAGCCATGTTTTAGTCTGACCATCTCGGGCCTTCTCTCTACCTGAACCTACTTCAGGCAACACTGTTTGACAAGGCAGATGGTGACTAGGCATACGTAACACATATCCTAACCATCTCAGTCCATGAACGTTCATAACCTCGTCAACTCACTTACCTCTCCTCCCTAAAACTCTACACTTCTATGTTACCCACGTGAAGACGCCACGAAATACGGCCTACACTACAAAGGTAATGGTGACCAAACACTTGAAGCCTTCTCATGTCTTCAACCTTCAATGATCATGTTTCACAGCCATATAGTAGAACGGAGTGAACTGCTGTTCAGTACACGCGATCCTTAATAGAAAATCAGGTATCATGCTGGAGTCATAGGTGGCGTGAATTGGCAAAAACCAACCGAGCCTTTTGTATTCGTGCAGAGATTTCATCGCCTACTGAGCCACCAGGGCTGATCATACTTCCCAGGTAAGTGAAGTGGTCAACGCACACAATCACCACACTCTCTATTGTTAGCCGTGGCACCGTTGAAGACAAGTCTTGGAGCAACAATCATGGACCGACATCACTTATAGAATTAGTTAAAACTTCCGAGCGTCCTACTTTGGAACTTCTCAGCTAAGCACACACATTTATATAAGGGAACTGAGGACAATAGGGAAATATGAACCATTCGGATCCACCTACAGGTGAAGAATGTAGACAACCCAAATCTTTTCGGTTGTACTGAACGCGTACTAACTGGGAGCTTAGTATTCCTTACAGTGAAAGCCGATCTCTGTGACAAAATATTGAGACGGTACGTTTCATATGGAGCTCGTAATCTTGCGTCATTAAACATTAGCGTATAACTTCTACCTGTCCCATGAATTGACGTCCCATGACTATCTGAAGCGTTGTAACCTGAAGACTCCCCACTGCTCATTCCTTCAGCAGCGTATGATCTGTCCAAAAAAGACTGACCAGGTGAAGTTCATGGAATTTTGTCTTTCTTTTGAAAAGGATTCATGAGCTTAATATGACACCAAAATTTAAAGTGGCAGTCTACCCTGACGGTGAGAATGATGTAACTACCAACTGTTGAAAGGGTTTCCTCTAGCCTATAGATAGGTAATACGTCGCTGCGGGGGAGGGCGTATGAGTTAAGCGATGGGAATACCAAATAATAAAACACAACTACCAAACGGTACGAGGTCGTTATGTTACTCCCCCCCTCTATGAAAAAGTACTGTCCCAGTGCTTGAATGCCCCAAGGCTTGGAATAGTGTTTGAAGCTGGTTCAAGTTACACGAGAAGCGATCATCTTGACAGGATTGCCAGGTCTGCACGTCACTCCATCTATATTGGATGAAAAAATTGATTTCGGTATTTCGAAGTTTATATACAATCTAGATGCCAACATCACTTTTGATACATGGTTTCGACGGTACGAAGACCTCTTCAGAGTCGATTTTTGCAGATCAAGACGACGCATTGAAGGTTAGACTTCTACTCCAAAAGCGTAGTCCAGATGAATTAAATAAATATTGTAATCTTGTCCTTCCACAAAACTTACGTGACAGAACATTTGATGAAACAGTAGAAACATTATGGCAGCAGTTTGGAGAACATCGTTCACTCTTCAATGACCTTTACCAATGCATGAAGCTGATGACATTTGTACTTAGCTTGGGATTGTGAATAGAGCATGTGGACGATTCAAGTTGAGGTCGCTAACAGATGAACAATTCAAAGTACTCATATTTATAAGTGCTCTTCAGTCTCCGAAATTCGCGTATATATGCACCCAAATAGTCTAAAACAAGACCCAAAGCTGACATTGAAAGATAATGGTGAGGAATATCAGCGATCAACTAATGTACGTAAAGATACCACCCTAATGCAGACTGGCAGCCAGAACTAGACAGAAGTGAATGTTATCAAACGTCCTGTGTCCATACCCAGATCGACATCAGGTAATGCAGCACACCGCCCTACAAACAGTACCCACCGATAGCTGTATGTGAAATCGTGCCCCTTCAAACAACATAAGTGACGCTATATTCATACGGTGGGGCATAATGATGGGTTTCGCCACCAGTCAAGTTCAGATAACAGGAAAAGAAGCTTATCTCGAGATCATAGACCGGGACATAGCATATGGATGGAAGATGTTGTCATGGGAAGACGTAGGAGTGTGATGTACAATATAATGGTGGGTCAGGAGAAGTGGGAGAGACATAAAAATCAGGCGCGTTACAGAAAATCCAACCATACCACTCGATATTCTGCTGGATATGTTTAGTTTACCAACGACGATGAAAAAACCCGAAATGGATATCAACAAAGAGCCTCTTTCTAAATGTATGGATCGAAAGCGGTCTCAAACAGTTCGTTTCCAACTGGATCTCCAAAAGCGAAGGTACTAATGTTGTTTTTCTTTCTAAAAAGGGAGATGTTGGAAGCCCCCAGTGTTGCATAAAATATTGTTATTGGTCTGAACATTTTTAACTTGTCATTATCAAACCATTACTTACAGCATGACTCGTAGTTTATAATTCTGTCTCCACTTTCAACATAATTCGCGGGTTGGTTAATCCTTACTCTTACCATATTAACGCCTTAATTTGCTGACTAGGTCATGTCTTATGTGTATATGTACTCACTCATGTGCTTTTTGAATTCATTAGTTAATTATTATTTTCGAAGGAATGAACTATGCCATCCAGCTTCAGTCTTTTTTATTCGTCACGGGTTGCAGTCAGTGACTGTTGCCTACGTGTTAGATGTCAGTTAAGCATGCGCATTATATCCGTTCGAAATGTATAATAGTATTTCACATTTTCATATCAGTCAGTCAGCATCATTATAGGATCTAGAATCACCGGACAGCCATATTAAACATCAACAAGTAAAGATAGTTGGCTAAAACCAACTTTTAATGTCAATGAATAGGGTTTTTACCCGTATAAGAACTTTAGACTGAGGTGTTTCAGTTGAACATTTTAGCCTATGCAGAACATACAGTGCTAGACTCCTTTGTATTTACACCAGTTCATGCTTTCTTCTTCCCGTTGAATTGATTTCTATAGCTGGAAATGATGAATTATCAGTAGCAAAACAATCTCATATAATCGGTTTACTACTCAAACCAGGCAATCAATTCAATCTAACAATCTACTACATACCAAATCAACGTAATGTTAAAAATCTTGGACAAATTCAATTATCACTTGTCAATAATGAATATGAGGATACATTGGTTGAATTAATCGGAGAAACGTTGAATGATGAAGTTTGTTTAGAAGATGTACCACAGTTGGATTATGAAAGATACATGTGTATTCAAAATGCTCTTAGACGTGCAGTTTCTGCACCGAAACCTACTTCATCACAATCAACATCAGACGATATGGAAAGCGGTAGGTTTAAAATTGTTTCTTGAGTTTGCAATCACATTCATTACTACTTTTTTTATAATTAGTATTTGTCTCTTGGGTTCTCAGTGGAACATACCGCTTCATTAGCACGCCTCCATTGTACTCTTCTCTTCAGTCTTTTGAACCTCACTCTGCGACTAACCAGAAGCTTCATTTCTTCCTCATATGATCTCCTCCATATTAACCTCACACGCTCAACTCGTCGTTTCCCCTTTGGATCCCACTCGACGGCCTGGTCTGGCACGTGATGTCCCCAGTCGGTCTTCTCAGTGTATGCCCGATCCATCTCCAAATTCTTCTTCTGCATATTTGTTGGGTGATGGGCTCTTGGTTGGTTCGTTGCCAGAGTTCCTAGTTGCTTATTCTCATTATTCTGGCCATCTGATCTTCATCATCGAGCGTAGGCGGCAGCTGCTGATGAATGTTCATTGGAAATGCTTTTCGTGACGCTCCAAGTCTCTGAACCATGTAGAAGCACTGACTTGACTGATATTAGTGTTGAAAATCCGGATCTTGTTCACGCTTTATGCTGAGTGGAGTGGAGTAAATCTCCACACACATTTCAGAATGGTGAAGGCCTGTCTTGCTGTCTATCCGATCCTGACTTTGACATACTCGACTGTGCCAACACCTGTAATTGAAACGATGCTGGCTAGTCGGGTAGGTGAAAGAGACGACTTTCTTTAGATTTCTTCCATTGATGATGACTGCTGCTTGTTGTTGTTGGCTGGGTATCTTCATCACGTCTGTCTTCTCTCTCTACGTTCACTTGGAAGAAGTCCCGTCTCCCTTCGCTGCCTCACCTCTTCTGTCAACTTGTTGGTTTTTGCCTGTGCATCGTCGATTTTGTCCGACACTGTGCATAAATCATGGGCGAAATCCAAATCTTCTAGGGTCTTTTCATCAGTCTAGCGTATACCCATCTACTCGTTCCTCATGATTCGCTGCATGATCCAGTCCACCGCAATTAGGAAGATCATCGGTGATAGTAGGCGCCAACCTTGTCTTACTCCTGTCTTCACTTCAAAGGCATCACTGAGCTTTCCATTGTGAATCATTTGGCATGTAGTATCATATAGCATATAGCTGATGTTGAATGAGTATGATAAGGATTTATGGCACTAAAACCGTAATGTTGAAGCAGTGGCCTGCCAAATTACTTCTCAGTTGACGCTGTCGAAGGCCTCCTCAAAGTCGATGAAGTCGAGGTCATGGTCCAGTTGACTGACATTCCATGCTCTGTTCTATGATGATGTGTAGTGTAGCGTTGCAATTTGATCTGCACATGATTTGTTCTTCTTGAAGCTAGTGAGCCTATTGTGGTTGTAATTTTGAATGTAGCACATCTTTAAGTGTCTCTGGGATGATGTGGCCTAATATTTTGCTTGGTGTGGACATGGATAGGAGCATGATTCGGCGCCGGTTCTTGCAAAGACTTAGGTCGCTCTTTTGTGGTAGTTTGACAAGGTAGCCCTTCTTCCAAACCCTCTGCAATAGTCGTGTGAGCGCGTCCACTGTTGTCTCTGCATCCGTTTTCAGTGCTTCTGGAGGAATTCTATCTGGTCATGCTACTTTCCTAGATCTTAGCAACTTTGCGGCACACAGGATTTGGACTTTTGTGGGAGGGCTTGTGTTTACTGGTAATTCTGTGCTTGCGAGTGTTATTTTTGGATGAGTTGCAGATGGTGGTGGTCGTGGTGGATTGAAGAGTTTTTTGAAGTGGTCGATCCATTGTTTCCTTTGATTCTCCTCCTCGATAACTAAGTTTACTTCACTATCTTTCATTAGTTTCGTCTGCTTTGATCTCTCCAGATAGTATTTTGGTGATTTGATATAATGTTGTCAGGTGTGTGCTACCTGCAGCGTGTTCCGCTTCACTTGTCAGTGTGTCGTAGAAGTGTCTTTTGTTCTTGCGTGCACCCTTCCTCACTTCTTTGTCCAGTTCAGTGTTTTATAGGTTGTGTTCAGTTCCTCGTTTCGTTGTTCATCCATGCACTGCACTGCACTGGTTTACCTTCTGCTTCACCATCCTCCTCTCCCTACTCCATCAACTCCCATGTAAATGTGGAGATCCATTCCATTTTTTAACCTCTTTCTTCTTCCTTACTAACACGGTCATGTAGGTTTCCTTACACATCTCTTTCAAAGACTTCCAGTGTTCTTCCACTCAGGTTTCCTGGTGGATGTTGCTCAATATCTCCCATTTTGTCTTGAAAGCTAGCTGACTGAGGTGAAGATGTTGTTTGTAGTTACGTCCTTGAGTTTGTGTTGTGTGTTTTCAACTTGAACTGTGGTGTATCATGGCCAGCTTGTTTGAAGGATTTCAAGTTGATTTTGCATGTAGGCTGTGTCCACTTTCTCCACATTGAGAAGAAGTCGATGTGATTTTCAGTGTATTGTGTCCTGATGTCTGGTGAAATCAACTCGATGTCGGTTTGTGAATATGCTTGTGGTTGAACACAGTGTCTGGAATCACGAAATGGTTGAATGTGCATAAGTTTGTGAACAGATTTGCATTGTGTTTGATCATTTCACCGAGTGCCTGTCGACCCATGATTGGTTGTCTATTTGTGTTGTGTGCTCCCAGTTTGTGATTCATGTCACCCCACCGATTAGAATTTTGATGTTGCTATGTTGAGTAGGGTGTTGTCTATAACTGATTTCAGTTGTCTATAGAATTCCCCCTTCTTCTTATCAGCTGCATTATTTGTAGGTGCGTAGCGTAGCGTAGCATTGTGTGATTACGGATTTCCTTCCTTTTGATTTGGACCTTACTGTCATCATCCTGGTATAGGATATTCGTTTTCACTGCATGAGAGCCTTCGATGCTCTTGGGAGGGAGATATCTTGATAGCCACTCCCTCAGTGTGTTCATGGTTGTCGTTTGGGTGACACTATCATAGTAGAAGTTTGACTCTACGGTTGACAGTTTGGAGAATCCACTTCCATTCCATCTGCAGATTCCTCGCAGATTCCTAACATATCTATGCCATACCTTCTCATCTCTTTTGCATTCTGAGCAGCCTTGCCAGCCAGCTTCAAATATTGTGCGGACATTCCAACCCACATAACCACCTACTTGTATGTCTACAATATTGAGATTGACAGAAGTTTCAGAAGTTAGCGTATAATTTTATGCACTCACAGACAGCCATAAGAAAAGTGTTGCATAAAACGTCTGAGCTACATTTCAATAGATTTTACAACAGCATAACACAAAGGAATAAACAGGGATAGAATATTACTAAAGCATATTATAAATGAAGACTGAAAAAAAGGATATTGGGTAGCAGTAGAGTGCAGAACTCGTATTCTGTCCTATTTTGAACTTGTCAGTTGGATGTACCTGCCTCCTAATTAGCGATGTTGTTCCAACCAGGACTCGAACCCCGAGGCCGATTGCTTCAAAATGCCAGGATGTAACTCTCTAGGCCATTTTTTATGTGATAGAGGTTACAAGCAACATCATATGACATAAAAAAACGCTTAAGATTTTTTTTCATACTAACGATTTTGTTTGCTTTATTTTTTTGCTCTTTTCTGCAACATCTACGAAATACTATAGATTTAATGCAAGATGAAACTCAAACTGCAACTGGTAAGTAACTTCAGATTCTTTTATGATAACCGAATTCTTCAAATGTTTTCAGTATATCTGCTCATCCCAAAAAGTCGTAATGGACTCATCAGCCGCATGCACTTTAATGCGATAGGTAATAGACAGCACATATTAAGTGATGGCTAATGATTATGATTACATTATTTGTTTCTTGGGTTCCTAATGGAACATAGGGCTTCAGTAGCACGTTCCAGTGCACTCTCTTCTCTGCAAACTTTTCAACCTGGTTCCATGACAGCCCACAAGCTCTCATTTCCTCCTCGCACACACCATCTCCTCCATGTCACCCTCACCTCGGACGCCCAACTCGTCGCTTCCCATCTGGGTTCCACTCGAGTGCTGGCCTCGCGTGTGATGTCCCTAAATGGTCTTCTCAGTGTATGCCCAATCCATATCCATCTCCACTTCCTTCCAGTACATATTTGTTGGACGATAGGTTCTTGGTTGGTTCGTTAGTAGGCCAGAGTTCCTGGTTGATTATTCTTTCTGGCAATCCATCTGATCTGATCTGATCTTCAGTAACGAGACAGCGTAGGCAGTTGTTGATGAATGTCTGTAGTTTGTTGAAAATGCTTTTCGTAACGCACAAAGTCTCTGAGTCACACAGATGCACTGACTTGACGTTGGTGTTGAAAATCCGTATCTTGTTCATGCTTTGTGCTGAGTGCAGAATATCTCCACACTGGTTTCAAGCTAATGGACGCCTGTCTTGCTTTTCCGATGGTTAATGATAATACCTGGTTATTCATACATAAGTAGGTGAAATGGTGTTCGAACCTATGAAGCATAGATTAAGAATTAACTACCTACACCAACAATTCATAGGTCTATTGTAGTGATATTAGTAATTAGTACTTGTGCTATATGGTAGTAAAAACTATTCCAAGTATTGTTATAGTGGAGAGTTGTTACTATGGTTCTACTTGCTCATTATGTGACTAATTGTAAGAGTCCTGAAACTACTGGCATTGTCACTAAGGTGGTTTTATAGTAAATGGTATTTCAAGTGATCATCAACAAAACTGTAGAAAATTTATGAAACATGCTGCCTTTGATGGTGATAAACATTGAGGTACAAAGTTTCTCACCGAATGACTCCCAACATTTAACATCACAGTGTTATATGACTTAACATATTGGCCACATTGTAAACTTCATCAATAGACTTCCGACAGTGTTGAACACTAATGGATACATAGGTCTATCAGTCACATCCTAGTGACAGAGATAAAAAATATGTGTGCTGTCTATGTATGTACGGTTTTACATCTCTGACTTCACAAGTATTAATTTTTTACTCCCTGGAGGGTATCTTGTTGACTTCGGAGTACGCAGATGGTACTGTCCTGCTAGATGAAGACGTTGAACGCACTGAGCAGAAACCTGAGTAGGTTTGGGATGGGTTTTGCACCTGTCAATGTATGATGAAGCTCCAGGACTAGATGGCAACTACTCCCAGTCTAGGGCTAGGCAACAAAAGTGGCAGAATGCATCGACCACTTTACCTACTTGGTAGAGTTAAATCAACGCGTTAGCGATGGCTAATCCCTAAGACAACTAACAATATGTTTATATTATTATTGTAACGTTTAAGCCTTATTTTCGCGCCCTTTTTACGCAACGCTGTTGCTTATTTTTACCGCAGTTTAAGATACTAAACGTTGATTGGGCCAATTTACACTTGAATATACTATTTTGTTTTCTGTAGCCAAAACCATTTAAAGATATATAAACGGCTAAGTCCCCACCTAATATTATTCTGTTGGGGTAAATAAGCCTTCGATCCCATCGTTTTTTCCTGGTGTCAGCGGAATATCGAGTTGAGAGGTCATTGTCCTACCACTAATCGTATCCTCCTGAAACACAGTATCGTTATCTATAATGGATCGTAACACAACCCGAACGGACTGATTCCTCACGAAATTTCAGCTGTTATTCAGAAGGCTCGTTTGGCATTTACCAACTGGAGTCATCCTCTTGTGGCGAATACTGAGATATCCGACTAATTATTAAAAGAAGACTATGCTGCACTTCAGCTCATCCTGTCGTGTTATATGGCTGTGAGAAATGGTAGTTGAAAGCAGATGTAGGGAAAAAAATACAAGTTTCTGACCAGAGGTTTTTTCATAGCATTATCTAAGTAAGGTGGAATCACCATGTGAACAATGTAGAAGTTAGGCTAAGGGTTACTAGGCAAGGCAGGCAAGTTGATTGATGAGGTTGTCAACATTCATTGATTAAGGTGGCTTCGACATATGCTACGCATGCCCAGTCACCGCCTACCTAGAGGCTGAATGCTAGCAGAAATAGAATCAAGTTGGAAGAGCGTTCATCGTGGATAAACTAGATGGTACCACTTCCTAGTGGCATTCCTACAGCTATGCATTTATGAACATATGGTGAAAGAAATAGAATGTTTTACAGCAACGACGACAAAATAGTATAAATCTGTTTATATAGAATAGGAAAATAAACAATATACGAGGAAATGAAGTATAATTACATGACTAAAGCTTTACAATGATTTTCGCTAAGACATATTCCACTTGGTTCTCTTGAACACACAATAACAGTTCGATCTTTTGAATGGCTTGAGCTTCAGCCACATCAAAATGTCTTACTTCGAATTACTTTTTATGACTCCATTGGATCTTTTGTATAATTTTGAAGGACCCTTTAAAAGGAGTTATTTCATCTAAGCTCTAGTAGAGCAAGTTAACTGATATATACATATTGATGTGGTCCATAGCTCCACGTTATCTTTCGCATGCTTTCGATTGGATTTACTGATAGAATAATATGATTTTGAAGCAGCTGGTAAAAATATACGCTGTGTATGGATCACAAAACTGAATTGCTCTCAAATGAGATTCCCTAAGTCCCAATGAGAATTCGTGACCGGTAGGGAAAACCATGTCGGATGTGATGACATGTGCCCACTGACGGCAATAGATGAAGATCACCCTATACTGCAAAATCAAAGAGGTAGAGAAATGTGAACTATTGGATTCCTATTGAGTAAATCGAGGGTAACTTGCTCGTGACGAAACCTGAAGGTTGTCAGTTCGACCCTGCTGAGGAGTCCTGTGCTAAGTCGAGACAGCTGTCCGATGTTCTCAGGTTTTATGGTTCTCTGATTGATGCCAATCAGTGGTAAATAGCAACTTGAAATCAAAAAATCCCAAGAGAGCTGCATACCTAGTTCATTATCAGCGGGATCCTCCAAAACGAAGAATTTATAATTCATCAGATTTAGTTAAAGCCATTGGATAGTCTCTTCAGTAACGACATTTGATATAGAGAAGACAGAAGTGATGAAGATACTCAGCCAACAACAAGCACTAATCACCATCAACGAGAGAAATCTAAAGGAAGTAGTCTCTTTCACCTACCTACCTGGGCAGCATCGTCTCAACTACAGGCGGCGGTACAGATGAAGAAGTCAAAGCCAGGATCGGAAAGACAGCAAGACAGGCCATCACTATTCTGAAATGAGTGTGGAGATTTACTCCACTCCAGACCCAGATTTTCAACACTAATATCAGTCAAGTCAGTACTCCTATGTAATGGATGAGGGATAGCACATTACGAAAAACATTTCCTAAAAAACTACAGACATACAAGTCAACAGCTACCACCTACACTCACTCGATACTGAAGATTAGATCAGATGAGAAGGCGAGAGAGAATAAGCAACAAGAAACTCTGATCTGGCAACGAAGCAACTGAGAACCCATCGCCCAACAAATATACAGAAGGAGAAAGTAGTAATGGATTGGATTAGATTAGACATATAGTGAGAAGATGGTTTGGGGATATCATGTGTCAGGAGGTCAGGATAGGCCAGGTCATCGAATAGAATCCGAATGGGAAACGATGAGTTGTTTGTGTGATGGTGACATAGAGGATATGATGTGTGGGGAAGAAATGAAAGCTTCTGAGCATTCGTCGATGCAGGTTGAAAAGACTGGAGAGAAAGAGAGTGAAGTGATGACGTACTACTGAAAGAACCCAAAAGAAAAATAATAAATCATAATAATGGGTAAATTTTTAGCTTATCATATTTCAGGAATATCTAATAGTTTTATTTCATTATTTATACTTTCTTGGTATAGCATTACAACATAACTATTTAGATTTTGGTGATTGTAGTCCTAATGATACAATAACACGTACAATAACAATTACACATTGTGGAAAAATTAAAGATGCAGAATCGACAAGTTTTCGTTTTACCTGGCCAACTAATCATCCAGTTCTACAATTTCGACCATCTGAAGGTCATTTACATGTTAATCAATCAAAAAGAATTGAAATCACTTTTAAACCATCTGGTTCATCAATAACACTGAAATCTCAGTCAATTAAATGTAATTTACATCGTATTCTAGTACCTATTCCAGAGGGTTGTACAAAGGTGAGATTTTATTAGATCTACATTTCTTGTAGTGAATATTTAATTCAATGAAGTTTCAATTGAAATGAAATATGCTGTCAGATACTTACAGATTAGAAATACACAAAATGATTATGTATGATAAGACTGTAGGCTAAATGACATAGTTAAATTTTTGTCATAAGTCCTAATTAGCACATGATAAAACTAACAATATATACTAATTGAAGTTGTTATTCATCGAAGACTGACATCAGTTGGAGGAACAAAGGAAAACTGAGAGCACTGGACAGCTGTTTCGTCCTAGTATGGGACTCCTCAGCAGTGCGCACCCACGACCCCACCAGCAGGGATCGCCACCCAATGTCATCGTTGAGTATTTGTCCTCACGGCCATCAGGCTTTGACTCCACCGGGTGGGTGCGCACATCTGAGGAGTCCCATACTAGGACGAAACAGCTGTCCAGTGCTCCCAGGTTTCCTTTGTTCCTCCAACTGATGTCAGTCTTCGATGAATAACAACTTGAAATATTTCCAAATCTCCACAACCCCTTCAAAAATTTAATATACTAATTGGTCTTGAAACAGTGGAGAAAATTTGTTGTTCAGGTTGATGGTCTTGGTTGTATTGTGTTCACTGAGTTCACTTCAGTATGAAGTGAGTGATTTAGTAGCTTGTCCTGACAAACTGGTTTGTGATTGGTTGTTTCCTTCGATTGTTGTGTCATTGACAGACTGTACAGATTTTCTTGTTGGCTGCCGGTTCCTCTGCTTCACCTCTCACCTTTCTGTCGTTTATCATCTTTCTTATTGATTGATAGATTGGGTCTATGTCTATACATCAACTTATTTCTGACTGACTGACTGAGTGAGTGACCTGAATGCCAAGCTTCTAGAAATTCTCTCATATTCTTTGTGTTTCCTCTATCCGTCCAACATTTCTACAATGTAGAAATTGAATTCATGTGCATAGTTGTTATCCACGTATATTGAAATGATTGATGAAATGTCGTATGTTACGTTGAATAGTCAATTGGTGTTCATGTAGACGAAGGCGAAGAGGGTGATCACTTTGTTCAATGTAGTATTGACTACTCTGTTCTACTGTATGGCTGTGAAACATGGCCACTGAAAGTGGAAGATATAAAAAGGCTTCAGGTGTTTGACCACTATTGCCTGCCTTCGTAGTATAGGACCTATTCCGTAGTGTCACCATGTGAGTAATACAGAAGTCAAGTGTAGAGTTTTAGGAAGAAGAGGTAAGTCAGTTGACGAGGTTATGAACCTTCATCGACTGAGATGGTTGGGACACGTACTACGTATGCCTAGTCACCGATTACCTTGTCACACAATGTTGGCTGAAGTGGGTCCAGGCTGGAAAAAGACTCGAGGTGGCCACACTAAAACATGGCATCAATGTATGGAGTCTCTGACTGTTGGTTTTAGTCATGTAGGACGATACAGACTAGGTGGTTGGGGTCCACGGGACAAGAGGAACCAGTGGTTGCAGACCCTAGGTGATCACATGGCTGAGAAGCGATGTGAGTGGCGCAGATGTATACACACATTATCCTCATCTTAACAACGCCATACCGAATCTCACCATTTTGTCACTCCTCTTTCCTTTCTTCTCGTACTTTATATTTCTTTTGACTGCATTCACTTATCTTCATCCTTCACCTGACTACCTTTCTACTTGGTGTGCTGATATGAGGTGTGGCAACTCGGACCGTTGCGCAGTAATGCCTGGTCCTATGTTGATAATAATAATAATGAGTTGATATGATATTGGGTTTGTCTTCTTTGATTGTTGCATCCTTTGGTCTGCATAACACAGTTTGGAGGGAATTTGTTGGTTAATGAGGGGCCACATCAATTCCACGAAGTGGTCTCAGTAATCTTGTCTTCATTTGTGATATATTCCTTTAGAAGTAGTATTCATCATGGACTGACATCAGTTGGGAAACTGTGAACCACTGGGAACCGATCCAGTGGCTGAATGGTTAACGCGTTCGCCATGAAACCTAAAGGTTCCAAGTTCGACCTCTAGCCTGGTAGTGGGTGCGTACCGCTGAGCAGTCCCATACTGGGACGGAACAACTGTCCAGTGCTCCCAGATTTTCAGTGGTTCCCCAACTGATGTCAGTCCTTGATGAATACAACTTTTAAATTAAAAATCCCATTCATCTCAAAAAAATATATGTATATTCTTTTGTATGGTAGGATGATGCGTTTATTGATTTCCGTCGATGACTTTTTAGTTGATGATGTACGGGATAGACATCTTCTGATAAAGTTTCGTGGCTAGTCGTTCTTCTTTAGAATAGACATCAAGTAGTTTCTTAGTTTCTCCGTGAAGTTGTTGTGTTGCAGTGTGTTGTCGCTCTTTTGAATAGAATATGCACACAAGTAATTTTGTGTTTTATCGGGTTGTTACTACTGTAGTTGAGCATTTGATCAATGTCTGTTGGTTTCCTGAAGATGTGGTTAGGAAAGACGATGGAAGCTCCACGACTAAACAATCTGGCTCAGAGAACACAATTCAACCAAGACTAATTGGTCTCCGGTGAAAAACGTATATGACTGTGTAGTCTTTAAAGCTCAAGACTTACCAAAGTCTATCTATGAAGTTTGCAGTGTGACTAGTAACTGATGATCTATTCGTATTTCTGTGTAATTGTTCTTTGTATGCTACTGTGAAGTGCCTTAACGTTAAGCAATGCACTTCTGTGCTAGGTTCTATGTCGATTTTGTTCCTGTCTTTCAGTCTATCTGTGTATCTATCCATTCATCTATCTGTTTGTCTATCTGATCCGTTCGTGTGAGTAATGCATTCCTACAAAAGATCGATAGTAGATTATATAAACTAGTGGTGAAGGGTTTTTTTTTCCCACTTAGTGAAATAGGTTCGAATCACTGAGGAAAAACAAATGTCCTTATGGATACAGCCGAACCTTCCTGATAAGTGTCAACATGTATGGAATCCAAATCAAAAAGGCCTTCATACCGACTGATTATTAACATCTAACACCTAAAAATTTCATTATTTTAACAGGTAATTGAAGCGTAAGATTGTGAAGTTGGGTTTTGTTTTAATGCTACTTTTTGATAACTGTAAAACACTAAACCGATATAAATCATCCTCATCGAGCTTATAGAATCATATACCCTGTTTAGAAACTTGGAATTCTCTTACTTTCTTCAAATATCATTAACATTTTGGTTAATAAAGTGAACACCAATTTGATATTTACTCATAAATAAAAATCTACAGTCAATAATTTCTATTTCACTAAAATTGTCTAATCTTTTTTATTTAGCCAGTTGACTGGGACGATACAAAACAAATAATTCGTTGGGTTGATGCACCTGGAGAAAAGTAAGTTGATTGAATATGTTCTAATCAGTTTAAAGTCTTGATTTACAATGAACGCATAATTTCTTTTCAACAATGAACTTTACCGGCAATTTAATGGTGTTGACATGGTGTCACCCTTTGGCCCGCTCTTAGCAGATTTTTTTCTGGCAAAACTTGAGAATGGTCCACTGAATGATATTATTAGCCGTTTAGAGTTATATTGTCGTTACATGGATGATACCTTTATATTTCTCAAAAGTGAGACTGATAAGAATGCTGTTCTGAATGAGTTCAATAGTGTTCATCCGGCAATCAACTTCACAATGGAAGAGGAGAAGAATGATACTATCCCATTTTTTGATGTTCTGTTGGTAAGAAGGTCAGATGGAACCCTGAAGCGAAGTGTTTATAGAAAGCCAACATCAACAGGTCAGTATGCACACTTTTTTAGTGCTGTACCCCTCCAATACAAAAGGAACCTAGTGAAATGCTTAGCATACAGTGCCTCAGCCATTTTGCTCAGATGATGCTATAAAGGAAGAGTGCGCCATCATCCGTGATCTGCTTAGTAGGAACGGCTACCCAGACAAGTTTATAACTAATCACATGAATATTACCAGGGTTAAGACAACAATGCCAACAGTTCCTAAGAAGCAAATCTTCTTGAAGCTGCAATTTAAGAGTGATATTGCCAGTGAGATCATCACACAATGCATGAAAAGAGTCTTGCATAAAGTATTCTTAGCTGCTAAATTATGTCCCGCCTTCTACAACCGCCCAATTCCAGGTGCAAGGAATAAAGACAAACTGCCTAATTCTGCCACTTCTATGTGCATTTATCAATTCAACTGCTCCTGTGCAGCCAGTTATATTGGGCGTACAATGAGGCAGTCCCATCGTCGAATTTCTGATCACCACCCATCATGGTTGAACAAGGGACAAATTAGAACTATAAAGAGCTCCATACTTGCATACTTAGTTGACACAGGATATCAAGTGGTTACTGGAAAGGCCTTCAAAATTATCCATGAGGTTCCACTTAATTTACCTCATGGATTACACACTTAGTTACTTCACATAGCAGAGGCGATTGCAATCCACCCTTACAGACCTAGTCTTCGTATCCAAAAGAAGTTTATTTGACCACTTTAATTACCGTGGCCGTCAACATGAAGTAACTTCTAGGTTTACTTTGTACACCTCTTCCCCTTCCTCTTGTTTCTATCAACATTCATATTTCCTATTTTAGTAACTCTATTGATTATTTACATCATTATTTCCGAAACATAACCACCATGTGATTGGTAATTTGATTAAATTGTAAAACTATGCATATTAGTGTAGATCCCAAGAAGACCTAATTGAAAAGGAATATATTTCTTCGCTCAATCTGTCTTTTTCTAGATGTCTAAATGAGAATATTCAATGTATTGAAATCTTTGTTCGGCAATGACAAGAAGCACTTAAAACTAGGAGAGATAACAAGGTACTTTTTCTTGAATCACAGACACCTCAAAAGCATTGCTTCTACAGGGTGGAATGACTGTGTGAGCAATGTTGAGGTTCTTCGTAGATTAGTTGACAGAGGAAACAAGTCAGCTAATGAAGTTTTGAACCTATACACTTCTATACTAGGTCCTAGATTGACTTCATCTGTCTGCCTGTCACTAAAATGGCTTGGACGTGCATTGCGCATGCTCAGTCATCATTTACCTTGATGTGTATTGTTAGTCAAAGTGAGAATGATGTGGAAGAAGTGTTTAACTGTGTTGTTTTGAGCTGTAAAAGAAAGTGAAGGCTATTTGGCTAGTAATCAGTGCTCCCAGGTTTCTTTTGTTCCTCCAACTGGTGTCAGTCTAAGATGAATAACAACTTGAAATATTTCCAAATCCTCACAACTCCCTCAACATTCAATGGAACTGGTGCTCATTGTTTACTAGCTTCGAGGAGTATTCCCGAAGTTCCAATGAGAAGTCGTGACCGGCGGGGTCAAAGCCTGATAGTCGTGAGGACAGTTACTCAACGATGACATTGGGTGGTGGTTGCGCTATATCGTGAGCTAACAGAAGTTGGAAATATGGAGCATTAAATTCTGACCCAGTGTCTCAATAGTAACAAGCTGGCCACGGAACCTGAAGGTCGTGGGTGAGCACTACCGAGGAGTCCCATAATATGACTAAACAGTTGGCTGTCCAGTGCTCCCAGGTTTCCTTTGTTCCTCCAACTGATGTCAGTCTACGATGAATAACAACTTGAAATACTTCCAAATCTCCACAATTCTCTCAAATTCAGTAGGAATCAATTATTGACCACTTGTTGACATGACCCAGAATCAGTCACAATGACTCAGATGTGTACATCACTTGTTATCTTCTAAGTTTTGAGGTTTTAATCAAGCTTCATTTTGTTTATGATGCCTTTTGTTTTACACTTTCAACAACTTTCATGTCATTTATTCTTCATTCATTTCTAGTTTATATGCTGTTTGGAAGTGTGTCATCTTGAACTGATGCATTTCTCTGCCAGGTTCTACTCTGATTTGTCTATTTCGTGTACATTAATTGTATGAGTGATATTTGTTGATACCTAAAGTATGTATATTCATGTAAAATCCTTAAAAAGAAATATTATAGTAGACCAGATGGTTCATCAATTAGGTACTTTGAAACGTTCCCATTCTGAAATTTGTACACCTACAACTATTTGGGATTTTCATTCCTCGACCTGTTTAATATATCTGCTATTTAAAACTTCTGGAAAAGATTTGTAGTTGAGTATATGTCTGATAGTGGTTTAATGTTCTTTAAGATTTGATATCTTGTCGTGGAAGTTTCATCATCAGACTTGGTGACACAATGACACTCTGACCTTTTTTACTTTATATTCCCTTTGATCACCTTGATTAGATAAGCTTTGTTGGAGTGAAATTTTGCTGTTTACCGTTGTTATACTGTGTATCATTATTGATTTAGAAGTAGTGTTAATCATGGAGTGACATCAGTTGGGGAACCATTGAAAACCTGAGAGCACTAGACAGCAGTCCCAGTATGGGACTCCTCAGCAGTACCTACTCATGACCCGGCTAGTGACTTGCTTGCAGATGGACATCAGAAAGCTTTAATAAGAAGCCATGACCTGTGTGGTCAACCAGTTGGAAGTGAAGCGGATGCCAAATGAATGCCTTGGGGATAGTCCCCCTAGGTCATGAATTGACAGAAGTTGGTAATTGTGAACCACTGAAAACGACCCACTAGCTGAATGGTTAACAGGTTCGCCGTGAAGCCTGAAGGTCCTGAGTTCCATCCCTAGCCGAGAAGTCCCATAATGGGACGAAACAGCTGTTCAGTGTTCCCAGATTTCTAATGGTTCCCCAACTGATATCAGTCCGTGATGAATACTATTTCTAACTTGAAAATCCCTATTCATCTCAAAAATACATTATTGATTTGTTTAGTCAATTTACCCTTGGTTGATGAATAACTGTTTTATTCCTTTGTAAGTTGTAGATCGGGTCTATAACAACGTGTCTGTTGATTAGTGTTTTACAGGAATACTATCCTTCGAGAAATTTTTTCACAATTTTTTTAATCTGCTTTTTGAAAGATTTCCAAATTCTTTCAATCAACATTTTGAATGTGATTTTCTGCCAGTATTTGATATTTCCAATAATTCCTACTTAAAAGATAATAGTAATGAATGAAGTCACTAATAAGAACTGTGAAACATCAAACCTGCTAAAAGTAGTTAATAATAACCAGAAAGTTGAATGCAAAGTGCATGAAGATAATCATTTTCCAATAGTTAATTGCATCATAAACCGAAATATTGAAAGAATGGATGATTATCGAGGAGAGAAATGAAACAGTGAACCACTGATATTATGTAAGGAAAGAAGAGGAAGGAAATCAATAAGTGATCTCAGAAGATAAAGGCTATGACTAGCATACACAGAGATGGAGTTGAGCTACTGTGCTCTGTATGTAGGGCTCCGGATTTTTCAGCTGAATAAAAAGACAACATTCGTTACGTAGTTTGCAGGCGACTGGATCATGCAACCAACAGTGAGGAGCAAGAAGAGGGGCGTACACTGTTTGATTGATGAAAAGACCCTAGGAGATTTGGATTTCATAGATGATTTATGTCTAATGTCACACAAACTCGAAGATCTGCAGGCGAAAACTCAAAAGCTGACAGAAGAGGCGAGGCAGCGAAGACGAGACTTCAAGTGAATGTCGAGAAGACGGAGGTGATGAAGATACCCAACCAACAACAACAGCGGCATCAACAACAAACACCAATAATCATGAATAGGAGGAACCTGAAGGAAGTTCTCTTTCACTTTACTGCTTATACAGCATCTTTTCAACTGCAGGTGACAGCAGCGGCACAGATGAGGACGTCCCGGCCGATAGCTGCTACCTTGACGTGGTGGTCGGGCTTGCATATCACAATGACCCAACGAGCTATGCTGGTGGAACGCTTGTTCCCTCGAGGTCCTACCATACCAGAAAGGTCTGTTGGGTAGTGGTTAGACGAAAAGCAGTTACCGTTATAGTGTAAATTGCTACACTATGATGGGGGTCTGAGGGCGAAGTCGTACTGCTGCTAGCTGGATGGGGTGTGACAGCAGTAAGGTGTTTCCCTTGGATGACCAGCAGTGCCAAGCTGATGCTGCCTTCTCAGTGGAAGGGGGGGTTAGAAAAGGTCGGCCCCAAAAATAACACACTCCACCACGCCCCACGGTCTGCCGGGCCGGCGGTGTTGGTTCACTTGTCGTTTCCTTTCGCTCATCCGGCCCCAAAAATACAAAAATTCAAAATAATCATACTCAAAAGGCTGGGTGTGACAGGCCTCAAGCAGATGTCCGATGGGCTCTGCGGTCACACAAATCTCTTTCAGGTACCTTAAGAAGAAATAGCCTTCCACGGTGTGGGCAGCCGGGAAGTGTCAACCGCCCTCACAACTCTGTCAGCACCCAAGTTTCTTCTGACTGCTATCCTCCTCCTCCATCATTACCTTCT